TTCTTCTCTACGAATAAGATATTACTCTCCTATAGAGATTTAAACTCTCAGATAAATCCCTTCGCTAGGTTTTTATTAATATATTACTTAATTATTATTAAGTCTATTACTAAGTATTTCCTAAGTAGTTAGAATATCGGCTTAATACTTAGTTCTAACTCGATCTGATAATCGTAGTCCTAGTGTTCCGGTAAGGCCTTAATACCTAGTTCCTCTTTAAATAGTACTATAAACTTCTTATATACTAATAGTATATCCTTTATTAGTAGACCTTTATCTTAGTATCCGAGCTCTTCCTTAGAGGTAGCGCTAACCTCTCGAATACTTACTACTTCTATTCCCGGTAGATAATAGTAGTTCTTATAATAACTAAACTTAAGCTTTCCTATCTGCTAATTAATAATAGGATTATACTTCTCTATCTATAGTAACCCTAGGATAATATTATACTTTCTAATCCTAATAACATTAAACTAGATTATTTTAGAGTGCTTAGTGATACCTATATAGACTAAAGCGGTCTAGACCTCGATTAGTCCCTCTAAGGTAACCTTACTATCTACTAGTACTAGATAGTATCTCTTATCCTTTACTTTAGTTGATAGGTAGTGTTTAAGTATAATAGTAAGAGATATAAAGTTCCCTTATACTCTAGAATCTGCTATCGCTTAAAGCTTAACTCCCTTGATTTTTACTTCTAGCGTAAGATACTTATCTCTAATAGCAGTAAGCTGCTATACGTAGAAATATTCTTAATAAACGCTATAGTTAAGAACGCTCTCTTATACCCTCTGATTACTATAGCTTAGACTGACTTTATATATAAGCCCTACTCCGAGTTCGGTATACGTTACTAGGTTATATATCTTGTAATAGTAACGACTATCGTTATTAACGTAGACCTATATTCTATAATATTAGCTCTCTGCTATAATCTTCTATTCCTTGCCTATCTCTAGTAGCGCGTTAGTATTAAGGATAGTAGTGTTCTAGAGTAATAAGTGCTATATAAAGGTCGCTAGTCTTTCTTAGCTACTAACTATACTTTATCTAATTCGTTTATAGTCCCGGTAGACTATCTCGTACTTTACTTCCTACGGTAGACCCCCTAAGCTAATAAGGCCTAGTTCCTAATATATAACCCCGGTAGCTATATTAGTCTAGTAGTGAGTATTATAGCTGACCTGATATAGGCTCTCTTCTTATTAGGTAACTTCCTAAATTTTACTCACTTTTAATTCTAAGAGTTTAGGTTAAAGTAGCCTTAGTTCGGGAGTCTATTCTAGCTCCTAAGCTTCTTCCTTACTATTACTCAGTATTAGCTCTATATTATTATCAGCCTTAGAGCTATTGTTATCTTAATATATATAGTTCTTAGGGAGTATACTACTAATAGTCTACTTAAGCTAATCTATAACACTCGCGGAATCTCGCTTACTATTATTAGAATTACCTAACTATATATAGATATAATTCTCCTTAAGCTTATCTGTAGTTATATATTAATATATTATAGTAAGCTATTATATTAGTTTATTATAAGAGCTATATCCTATTATATTAGTGTGTTTCTTATCTATCTATAACTTCTTTTATTAATAAGAGCTAGCTATATAACCGGGGAAGCTATACTCGAAGTATAGCTTCTTCTCTCGCCGCTTACTTATAACTCTCTTAGATAACTCGCTGCTATATAGCTTTCCCTATTAACTTAGCTTCCGGAATATTATATTAAGTTCTATTGTAATAGCACGGTTTAGCGTTAGCTAGCACGTGAGCGAAATAACTACGGATTAGGTGATAACCTCTCTATTAGCGCGAATATTAAGCTAAGGAGCTCTCGATTCCGTGGAGGGCGCTCGAGCCTATATAGATAAATTCCCTGGGCTATTCCCGATTAGGACTAATTACATTTGACGTAAAACTTGACGTAAACTCCTGTAGTAGTGTAGAGCTATTTCCCTTTACGTATAACTAAGTAGGTAACTGTTGGTAAACCCCTTCAGAGTTAACCGAGCTCTACCGAGTCTTACCGAGCTTTGCCGAGCTCTAGACTCTTCCTAATCAGGTATAGTAAAGAAGTGGTTACCACTACCTTTACAACTAGTATCTCTAAGAGTATATCTCCCTATTAGAATCTTTATAGCTTTACTACGTTAAGCCTTAATCTATAGTACTGAATCTGCTGTACTACCTTCCTAGCTAGTCAAAAGATTAGTAAACCTTATATTAAAGTTATATATAGTAAGTACATTTTAAGTAAGGTTTCTAGACCTATCTCTAAAAGAGGCTCTTTTATTAGATAGAGGAGATATCGGAATATATGTACTATTAATTACTTCTACGCAATACTTAAAATAGTCTTTATATTAGTAGTTATAGAGTATCTAAGACGGAATAGGCATTATATTAGTTACTAACAGAACTATTAATTCAAACACGTCTTTATAATAAAAACAACGCATAATCTTATAATAAGTCCGATTAATTATCTTCGTACTATATTAGAATCGTTCCGTAAGCTTCCTTATTAATAAATCCGTAACTACCGCGTATAGGAAGATTCCTAGCTGTTCTGTAGTCCCTATGTAACGTGTGCGCTATAAGTTACCTTTCCGAATCAGGAAATCTTTAATATAGTAAAAGCTATCTTTAGAAACGCCTAAATTATCTCGAATACGTATATCGTGGCCCTCTAAAAGCTCCTCTATCTATTCCTTCCCGGAGAGCTTAGAATCGTATTATTATTACTATTCAAAGTTGTTCTAGTCGTAAATAGATATCGCAGATATAGCTAGAATACTAGTAAAATAGGCGATTCTTTAGTTCCTACGCCAGTGCTATATCGATAGGGCAATTAATAGTAGTATAGCGCATATAGTAGTAGTAGTAGTAGTAGTAGTAGTAAAAAGGAGTAGAGCTATAGAGCCGTAGAGCCGTGGAGCCGCATAGGGTAGTGAAGTGATACTTTTTACAGGATTTCTACTTTTAGTAAGAACTACAGCGAATAACTAAAGTTAACAGAAATAACAGATATTTCTAGAAGTGATAAAATCGAGCTAAATAGAATCGTCACTTATTTATTATTTCTCGAAGTGACGGAAGTGACGATTTTGTTATTTCCAGTTTTAGTGTCACTTCCCAAGTGTCACTTCCGATCCAAACGGGCCCTAAGGTATTCATTCGCCTGGAGACGAATTAACCAACGGAATCTCAGGCTGAAGCTTACTGAAGTCTGCTGACTCGGAATCTTCAACACCAGATGGCATTCGGCTCAATGATAGCAAACTCTTCATCAGATAGCCCGTTGACGTCCCATATTCTCCGTCCGTGACCAAGATCTGCTCACTCCAAGAACACCCAAGATCTCATCACCAATAGGGGGGCAGTTGACAGTCGGATGCGGCGCTGATATAGCCGTGGGACGTTGTTACTCTCAAAGCCTGTCATCAAAACCTACTGTTGGACTTTTCGGAGAATAAAATCGCGTCTGGGGAACATTCCATGTGGCGCTGGTGTTTGAAACGGTCAAGAACATCACCAAATGTAAAGAAGAGAATTGGGAACACCACAAGAAGAAGAGGCATGTTTGATAATTTACAGCCACGACAGTCCTCGCCAGGAGTATTTTGACATCTTACAGTAATTCCGAAGCACAGCCTAGGAAAGTCTTAGCCGGACACTGGCTGGTAGGTAAGGGATGGTGATGTGCCCTGCAGATTGAGATCCGGGAACGCATCGATGCGGTTTAGCTCCAAACGCTGCAGCCACAAGGTTGATTTCATGTCCCTCACATTTGAAGATGTCACCAAACACATCCCGAACAAAACAACGTCTTGGTGGTCTTAAATCTTGAGCAGCAAGCTCTACCGAATCGGGCCAGCCACCACTGCCTGCCAGCTTCTTCATCTTCATCTCCATCTTCGGAGGTCACGGTTATAATATGACCACTAGGTCCTATGCGTGAACAGCGCCGAGCAGTAAGTCGTCTTGGTGAAGTCTTGGAGGACGACCTCCGAACCAACGCTCCGCCCTCCTCCTATCCATCTTGTTTGCCTTTTTCCTTTGCCCCCGTCACGCTTCCAATTGATAGAGAGTCACCTTTTAGCGCCCAGCCGGCACGAAACGTCCAGAGGGCGAATGAGGACAGACAGGATCGCGACGTTCACCTGAAAGCCCCCGTTTCGCCCAGACGCACATCGCCCTCCTTGCACGTCTCATCGCCGGCCGGTGCCAATGGAAAATGACTGGGGTGGGCTTGCAGCCGCGTTTCGCATCTGTCGCTTAGGGTATTTTCAGCCCAGTTGACGCAGTTCCCGTCCTGCTCTGCGTTTCCACTGTCTGATCATCCTTTCGCAAGCATCAAAGAAAGGTTAGCTCCAACAGTTTGGCTGGAAATAGCACCCGTCGCTCGCTCGCTCAACTCTGACTTCTCGGTCAACTTGCTCAAAGAGTCCTGCCCTGCCTGACTCCTGGGCTCAGCGCTGCACAGCACTGCACTGCAGGCACTGGAGTGCCTGCAGCAGGGTAGGCGGACGATGCGTGGCCATGGCCATGGCACCCCACTGATCTCATTCCTTTTGTCCCCCTCACGGTACGTACATACAGTACGCTGAGCTCACTGCGATCGTGGCTTTCAGGTTCTCGTCCTCTCTTGCTTTCCAGCGTCGTTGGCCGCGTCACTTTGCGGGTCCACAAGCCCCGGTCTCTGCCAAGACAATACAAAGCCCTCCTCCCAGACTCTGTGTCGCAGCGCACCTGGGAAAAACGCTTGGAATTATTTCATCGTCGAGTAACCTTTCGCTCCCAGATCTTGGGGTTTACTTGGCATTTCTAATAATCCAAGCCCTTTTGTATTGTATGAGGCGATCTCGCTACTTCTCATCTGGACTCTTTTTTTCCATTGTTTCCCAACTGCACCTCACCCCTCCATACAAACCAGCCCTCCCGCAAAGTTGACCAGGCACCGTCCACTAGGGCGACGTCAGCTTGCGGAATTAATAATCCTCTCATGGAATTCTGCTCCCTATCTTTAATTTGATTTTATCGTTTTTTCCTTGCACAGAAAATCCCTGAACGATTTTGTCTGTGTTGTCAGTCTTTACGTCTGCCAGCCAAGCCTTTCGTTACGCCTTTCAACGATACCCTTCGCCCAAACGAAATTGTCATTTTGCTTGTCAGTTAGCTGCCGTTTGCCATCTATAGATCTTCCAATTTTCGGCTTTCACAGCCGACACTAGACCTTCTAGTGTACCCTTGACCGCGTCATCTGGATCTTGGGAACCAATATAGTCGTGGAAGGCCCGTTACCAGGAGGAAGGGCGACATCTTCAAGGACAACTGTTTGAAATAGAGAATCATGAAGGGCCTCACGACGTTGGCCATCTCGGCGACTTTATTATCAACATGCACCGAAGCACTTCAGTTACAGAGGAGGACCGATGGACCAGCAAGAGTTGTAGGGTTTCAGATCGAGAGGAACACGATACGGAATCCTGTGAAGAGAGACAGATTACGGAGGAGAGCAGAGACTGTTCAAGCAACGCTGGATAATGAGGTCAGTTAAATAATTGCACGTTGAAACTCGGACTGACCTCTCCAAGGAAACGTTGTATTTTGCAAATGCGACATTAGGGACACCAGCACAAAGCTTTCGGTTACATCTCGACACAGGTAGCAGCGATCTATGGGTGAATACAGCATCATCGACGTGGTGTAGAACGAAAGGAAGCCCATGTGCATTTGCAGGAACATATTCGGCCAACTCGTCCTCGACATACTCGTATGTTGCGAGCGACTTTAACATTTCGTACGTGGATGGATCGGGGGCGGCGGGAGACTATGTGACGGACACATTCTCAATTGGGACATCAAGTTTGAGAAAGCTCCAGTTCGGTGTTGGGTATGTCAGTTCGTCGAGTGAAGGAATTCTAGGAATCGGTTACGAGGTCAATGAAGTGCAGGTTGGAAGAGCTGGAAAAGCGCCCTACAGGAACTTGCCCTCGCAGATGGTGGAGGATGGTCTCATTCAATCGAATGCGTATAGCTTGTGGTTGAATGATCTGGACGCGAACACTGGCAGCATTTTGTTTGGCGGAGTCGACACCGGGAAATACTTGGGTACACTGGAAACCCTTCCAATCCAGGCCGAAGGAGGGTTTTTTGCCGAATTTCTCATCACGCTCACGGCCGTGAGTTTTGGCAACATTGTGATTGCCAAAAATCAAGCACAGGCTGTCCTCCTGGATTCGGGTAGCTCGCTCACCTACCTCCCAGATGCCATGACCGAGGCAATCTATGAGCAAGTGGATGCTCAGTACGATGCTTCCCAAGGCGCTGCTTATGTCCCATGTTCGCTTGCTGACAATGCCACCACACTCAACTTCACCTTCTCCGGCCCAATGATATCCGTTCCTATGGATGAACTCGTCATTGTCGTCACGTCAGCTAGTGGTCGACAACTCACCTTCTCAGATGGAACCCCAGCATGCCTCTTTGGTATCGCTCCAGCCGGATCCAGCACCTCAGTAATGGGCGACACGTTCATCCGATCCGCTTACTTGGTATATGACCTTGCCAACAACGAGATCTCGATGGCCCAAACGAACTTCAACTCAACAACCACTAACGTGGTTGAGATAACAACAGGAGCAACCTCTGTTCCCGGTGCCACAGATGTATCTGATCCAGTCGATGCCGAAGTTGGGGTGGATACTGGAGTCATGGCTGGTGGAACGGCCTCGGTTGGCCTTGGGGGAACCGCAACTTCGAAAGCATGGGCGCAACGAACAGCAGCGCCCATGAACATAGGTGCCATGGCTGCCGTTGGAGCAGGCATATTGTACGCGGCGATGTGATAGACTTAGACACACCTGCAGAGTTTTGTTCTCTCTACTTTTCCGAGATTCAGAGCGGCATTTTCTGGACGGGCTATTTGAATTGCCTAGGATTTGGAGCGTGGATTGGAACGGTGCATTAGTTTGGCGTTTAAGGGATAAGACTTACAGGTACAGGGGACCTTTTGGAATTGGGATATGTGTTTGAAAGTTATGAAGCGAGCATTAGCATTTTTGACTGCATTGCATGGCATGGCATGGCATGGCATGGCGTAACGAATTCTGTACTATACATATCATCATATCTATGATGGATTGACTGAATATATGACGGAGAGGAATGTCTTGAAGAACATAATTTGCAAGGACTTCTATTTATTGCGGGATCGGCTTTCGGACCAGGTGGCTGAACGACGCGGTAGAAGAATGACTCTCGATAGGGATTTGATTGTACATCTGGAAATGGAAGATGTCAATACAGTAACTTATTTATGTTACACAGCTTCAAAATAGAGTGCACTTTCATACTGCTATCATAAAGTGAAGTCAGTTCAAACATTCGGTATTGGGGTTGGCCGACCCTCTTGCTCTCCAGGTCCCCAACAATGCTGCCAGTCATACCCAGGAAGCAGAGACCGAAGTGTCTAAGTATTTCCATACCGGGAAAAACAGTCGCTCTACCTTATTAAGGAGAGTTCTTAGATACAGGGAAATTGCTTCGCAATTGAAGGTTCATAGGCATGTCGTTCGTTTATCAACAGGTAATAGGCAGGTCTTAGCTATGGTGCAGCTCACCGCCCCGCCTGACAGTATTTCTGCCACCTCGCTTAGCCAGCACTACCGCCAGAAACTCCCAAAAGACTCTGCAACAAAAAATTCCTCATCCACAACAAAAGCAAAAAAGGAAGAAGCTCTCTGATTCAGAGAACCTCGGGAATTGAGCCCGAGGTGGGGCTCGAACCCACGACCTTGAGGTGTCCAGATGATGTATATTCATAAGAGCCACACGCTCTACCGATTGAGCTACCCGGGCAGGGTAGTTGTTTTGATGCAGAGATTATGCTTATGCAAATATATATAGTACTCTAAATTTTGATAGAGGCTGTGTGGGACGCTGACAGGGTTTCTTCGGATGCGAGTGGTAGCGGGACTAACTTAGTGTATATATTTCGAACAGGTACCTGCAACTTCCCCTCCAGATGCCGCAGAAGCGAAGTAGCGATTCACAATGATATTTTCATTTCCTGGCTCCCTTTAGCTACGCCTGGAAGCTCGATAGATCCATCTTTTCAGTCTGCCGTGAGACTCTCATTCAATTATTAGCATGCACATCCCCACCTCAACAGCACGCTATGATCTGAGCCACCTCACTCCACTAAGACTGTACTTCGCCAGGCTAGGTATGTCTGGACCAAGTGGTAAAGAATCTCCACACTATGATGAAAATATCCCTCCCAAGCTCTGCGAATTCTGCCAAGATACCATAGACCATTGTCCCGAAATTGGCGGCTACCTTGAGAAACTGAAGTTCAAACACTACCCCACTAGCCATGCCCTGGCAGCTTCAGCCACTGCGGGTTGCATCTTGTGTATCCATCTCATCCAGAGTGAGCGAGATGGGGATGAATGGGACGACACCACAGAATTACAAGCTGGCACAGCGATTCTAGAAACAACCCGCGGTGCAAGACCATCTGGTGACGATGATTTTGGTGATAGTCGCATCATTTTGAGCATCCTGCGACCTGGAAAACATGCCATCATCAGCATGCTCCCTACTCTCCTCTCTCGTAAGTCTTGTCATCGTATCTAGAGAGCCGGCTAACGCGAAGCATAGCGGCAATCCACAATCATCCACCGCTCAAAATTGCCAGCACGGAATCCAACTTGCCACTGTGTAAAACATGGCTAAATCGTTGTCAAATGCTTCATGAAGGATGCCACAGCTCTCAAAGTCATCGAACACCGATACGACTCTTGGTCCTCGGTAATAGAAACACACGACTATGTTTTTCAAATGAACTTGAAGTGACCCCGAATACGCTACTTTGTGTCATTGCTGAGGTTCTTTCTCCTTTCTCACACTGAATACAAGCAACATTGCCGAGGTTCAAGAGAGCGTTCCCGTCCAAGCTCTCACCAAGACGTTCCAAGATGCGATACGTATCACGTCGTACCTTGGACTGGAAGATCTCTGGATTGACTCCTTATGTATCATCCAAGATGATATTAATGACTGGAATCGGCAGTTGTCCTTGATGAGTGACGTCTATGGTGGCTCAACGATAAATATCGCTGCTTCCAGCGCTCCAGATCGCAGTTATGGTTGCACTTCGACCGACATATATTTTGGGGGCATCCTATTCAAAGCCAGTACTATGGTCGTCAATTACCAGCTCGCAATTACCAATGTATTCCTGATGACTTTGAAGAATATCTCCTAGCCCAGCCTCTATTTAGAAGGGCGTGGGTGTTACAAGAGCGTCTACTGTCAAAGCGTATTTCACATTTTACCCGTAACCAGGTGTTCTGGGAGTGTGAAGGCACTTTCAGGTGTGAGACCTTTTCAGATCGAACTCCTTCTCGCTTTGTTGACGCCATGAGCCATCTGGAAATCCAGCAGATAAACTCTTCTTTGGGATGGTCGACATTTGTTAACGTGTATTCGACATGCAACTTAACTCTTGCTAGAGATAAACTTGCAGAAATTGTGCAACGTAATCGGAAAGACGAATACGTTGCTGGTTTGCAGAAAGATAACATACTCTCTCAAATTCGTTGAGATGTCGAGGCTGACAGGCCGAAGGATCACGCCATATGCCGCTCCAACTGTAGGTGGCTGCTGACCTTTTTTTGGGCGGGGGGGCTTGTTACCGACATAAACATCTATGATATCTACTGACTCGTACTTCATCCAGTGGTCATGGGCATCAATCACCGGAAAGATAGAGTTTCCTTCTCTAGATCACAACAAGCATCATCATGTGGAGATCGAAAATATTGACATCAAGCACGCTACTGACGATTGTTTTGGTCAAGTCACAGCTGCTATCCTCCGCCTTAAATGTAAATCGATCATAAGAGTAAAGGTTCAGCTACCTTTCGCAAAACCTCACGAGACAATTGAACAGCTCCAAACGGCCTATCCTCCTGTCAGACTCAACGCCAGACTCGATGTAGCAGGCGGTGCAGAAGTGGGAGATGGGCTGTTGTGCATTTTGACACTCCTCAACCGACCTCTCTCGCAAGTCACTGGCCTGATTTTGAAAGCTGTTGAGGCAAATAAAGGCCAGTACCAGCGCATCGGAACATTCTTCACTCTTGGTTATCAGCTTCCATTCGTGCAGCAAGCATTTGAAATCCCTGCAATCCTGGTATCAGAAGCAGACTGTATCAGTATTCAATTGCAGGAGGACGGCTCCAACAACTATGTTACTGACAGTGTGTGACGAGAATATGGAGAGAAACTCAAACAACACCGAAAAAGCTCACGTTTCGGTAGGGCAGAATTCTGTTTGGGCAATTGTTCAATTTTGGAGCCTTGTCAGTCGCCGGACGCAGCTGCCACAAAAGCTAACAATGCCGCCTCCCACCCGGTCACCTGTTTGGATTTGGACGCATCCGGCTCTGCCACTGAGGCCTTCTTAATATTAGCAAACGTCAAGACATAACATACCTACTTGATTCAGCTGATTAGTTCATCATTATCGAAGAGCTGACCAGAGAGATCATCGAGGTCATTACCTGGTGTTTCAAAGTCGACTCGCTCGTCTTCACATTTCATTTGGACAAGGCAAGAGCAAAGTGTGCGTATGACGAGAAATTAGCTTTATAAATGGGGGTTTGACTGAGCATTGGGATAGCCTTGACATGTCAACATAAGTTTCTGTTGGCCTTTGTTTTCTGTACCTTTTGCTTTGCTTATTTTATGATACATCGTGCCTATGTATGAATCTGAAGCGAATCAGTCTCACCAGGTAGTTTACAGGCGTCAGAATAGTGTAGCATAGAAGTACCCCAGTTCTTATCGATCAAAGTTATCCTTTCAATTTATCCTCCGTGTTTACCCAACCCCTTTTCCATTCTTCCAAGCGAGAACGCCAAAACCCAACCAGGAAATCCCAGCCGCAATGGTGAATTCCCGAGATTTTGTTGCACATCGTAATGCGAAGGTCAAAGCAAAGTACACGTCAAGAAAGTGTTGTAATGGCAAGGGTTCCTATATTCAATACGCCGACTTCATCTCGCAAGAGCCATGTCGTCTGCAACGTGCAGTCTTGATCTCTGAACACCTGGAGCTTTCAATACAAACGATATTTATGTTTTCCCACAGAACAACCAAGAGGCTTTATTGTGAGTAGCAGCGAATAGACATGCAGAATAAATGACTGGTTCATCTTCCTCCGGCCACCCGTATGAAGCAATTCATACCGTTAAGAATTTCTCATCCTTCAAGATCGGGATCGGTCTCCTGTCTCTATCTCGGCCATTGATAGGTTCCTCCAGTGGTAAACACACCTCGAAAAACCACAATGTCGCTTTCAAAGTTAAGAAAGATCCTCGTCATCCTTAGGCGGGAGTAAAGCCCCCCTTCCCATACGTTTCTCCATCTCTCTCACGAATGGATCATCGGTCTCTCCCTCCCATGGATACATATCAGCACCACTCGTCCTCTTCTTACCCTGCTTCGCCTCTGTCAAAAGTATCTCCCTCAAATTCCCCATCTCTCTGCGACCCTGGATCAAAACCAGCGTTGCTACTTCCTTCCAAGGGCCTTTGTCTCCATGTCCAAAGTCCTTATAATATTCCCCACCCATGTCCTCTATTTCTACTTCCATCTCCGCCGCCCTAGCAACAGTTTCCTTCCACTTCGCCGCCTCAATCGGATCGCGTCCAAACGGTATCATTGTACACGTATACTTCAGCAAAACCGTGTTAAGCACAATCCGAGATACGCGACTATTGCCGTCCAGGAAAGGATGAATAGTGAGCAGCTTGTGGGAAGTTTTCGAGGCAAGTTGGTATGGGTCAATGGCCATTGTGGATTCCGATCTCTGGATGGTGGTATTGAGCTCTGTGATTGTTGAGGCTACTCGGTAGGGGATTGATGATGGTGCTGCGAAGGAAGAGAATGGTGTCCAGCCAACGTCATCGGTGCGATATGTGCCGCCATATGCCGTCGATGGATCACTTTCTGAGTTCTCCGCGTTTATGCCATCGGTTAGGATACGGTGGGTTTGTTGTAAAAGTGCTTCTGATAAGAGCTTGTCCTGTACGATCATTTGCTCGATGATGTAGAAGACCGCGTAGACATGTTGGATAACTTGACGGAAGGCTTGTTGCACAGCGTGGTAGCTCGTGTCTGCTCTCTTTTGAGATAGGTGGTCCACTATGGCTTTGTACCTGGAATAGATGAGCTAGTATTCTATTGAACAAAACCCTCCACTCAGGACATCGAGGCTTACCGAGCATCGTCCTCCCCAATCTCTGCTGACATCTCCATTCCACTTAACATATCATCCACCAAACTGTTCGTAACGTCGAATCCTACCCCAGCATTCTCGAGGGCATTACTGGTATGCACCATCCTCACTAAAGCATCTCGTAAATACCTCTTGTATTGCTCAAAAAATTCCTGACTCCGTTCAGGCTGCTTTCTTATGCCGCGAAACTCGTTCACGACTTTGTCAAAATCCTGAGCCAGCTCGCTGAACGCTTCGTCTGGATCAGGCGTGAAACGATTGTAGTCATATCCTGGACTCATATGGAGAATCACCGAGGGCAGATATAGATTAAATTTGATGTGCTGTAAAATCCCTGGGACATTGGGAGGTTTAGGTGACATTGAGACTGCGGCCGCTGGTGTTGGCTCTGCTATCTGCCTATGAGCCTGGGCCTGTTCTGTAAAGTCAAGCATGGTTGTTGAAAGTGAGAAATTGAGTTGAGGACTTCGAAGCTGAAAGTGATGAATGCCTAGAAGTACTTGCTTTTTTTGTTGTTGAGAATTACAAGGCAAGGACGATGCAATGCGGACTGGATGAGTCGATACTAACAAAACCGAACCAACGTACTAAGCCATACACCCAACGTGAGAAGAAAACCTTCCCTAAAATTATATCCACATACTAGCAGTGGAAGCAAGAAACCAGCTGGGTTACACTTTTAGCCTTCAAGAGGCTAATCAAGAGGGTTTGGATTATGAGTATTACGGCAATAAGCCTGAGACGCATATGTTACATATCCGGTATGCTATGATTATAATGCCCACTCGTTCCTATCATCCGTATCGAGCACGAACGGCTCATCGATGCGTTTTATCGCAAAATCGCTGCAGAGAATACTGTTCACACACAAATTAGTCAGCGAGTGCCGTGCTTCCTTTGAATAGGATAAGAGAGCGACAAACAAGAGGTACCTACCAAGCACTAGCCACCAACCCATCTAATTCCGCAATACACCTGTCTCTCTTCGCACCTGTCACCATTCCCTTGCTGACCAAACCCTGCAACTCCCTGATCCGCTTGCTCTTCCCTATTCCAGCCTGCTCCATTACTTTCCGTCCCAGACAGTCGCTATGGAATGCGTGCTGGCAAGGAAACACGAAGAACTGCCGACTCAGCAGAGGTAGCCCACAATCGTAGCACTTCTCTCCCGGCTCAACAATAGCGTATCGATGGTCTAGAGCTGCAATATCAATCTTGATATTCGTAGCCGTCTGGGAAGATTCATCCATCTCTTTTTTCAGACTGTCGATATTACGACTGTAGTCTTCCAGAGCGGCACAGATCTCTTCTTTGAAATCATCGATTACGACAAAATCAGGGAAGAAGGGGATGAGGTCCTCGATCTTGAGCAGGTCGCAGCGTTTCAAAAACTCAATAGCGGTTTTGATGCCATTTGATTGCGATATAACTTTTTTGGCTACTGCTAGCCACAGCTTCTTTCGGAGGGCGGGATTGGAGACTGGTCTATCGGCCACGAGAGATGCAAGGTCGATTTCGGAATGCGCGAGGGCAAGCTCGACGGCTTGGAGGTACTGACCCATTGTGCTGTAGATGTGGACACATGACTGGACACGGGAATGTTCAATGCACAGTCGTAGGGCGAAGTCAGAATCGAAACTTGGTTCATCACCTTGAGATTCCAGGTATGAGAGCAGAGCTGACTCGTCCTTCGACGGGTGAGATGCGTAAATGGAGATGAGTGTGTTGTGGACAGCTGCATCTGTCGAGTTAAGCTGGTTGATGACGTGTAGGAGGTATCGCACCGCTTGATTCTGGGACAATGGTCCCTGGAAATTCCTATCGTAATTAAGTAACGCCGGGATCAAATTTCGGGGTTTCAGATCGGAGTGTCGCATGAGGATATCTACAAGGTCGACAGCGACATGTGTGATCAATCCACTGCTATATCGATAGAAGATCTCTGGCTCTGTTTGCTTCTTCAGAACGTCCAGAACTTCCATCCATCGTTCTCTCTGCATCCAGTACCCAAGAACATAGTTGTAGTCGTTAACAGCACTGGCAAAAAAGAGTAACTCGTCTTCTCTCCCATGGCTGCTGATAATGTCATATGTAGTCTTTCGATCCAAATCTGACTTGTACTTCTTCACGAAGTCTTGAAACTCGGTTCGAATGGTGTCCAGCTGATCTTTCGTCTGGGCAGGATTGAGCGTTTCCGACAGCTCAGCCTTGGTGATGATTGTGTCATCGAGCGAATTGAGCTTGGACATGTATATCTCTACCAGCCAACTCGCAATCATGATCCTTTGCATGACCGACGACTTCTTGTACGTTGTGATCTTTGTAAGTAAATACTTCCGTAACGCATCTTGCTGATCATTGTCGACAAATATGAGTGCCACTTGCTCAAATGGCTTGCTACTCTTGCCATAGACCCCAGCCGCCTCGAGGTAAGAGCCTTTGCTGACCAGATAATCACCTGAGGCAGTAGCCACAGCATCTTTCTGACTTGGTCCCCGAGCATATCTTAATGCAGCATCGAAATGCTCTGTCTTCAACATGACCTTCCAAACGTCCCTATCCTCGTCCGTGACAACGATCTCATATATCTCTTGGGTGGTGAACAGCCAGAAAGTGTTCTTCTGTTGATCTGCAAAAAGACCTAGAGCCTGCTGTCCCGGATCTAGAACTACTTGGTCAAATACCACTTCATCGTTGAGTCGATTGATGGCAATCAGTCGTCCGCCCACCAGGTGCACAATGTGCCATTGGGTCAATACAATCGAATCAATGGCATCCTGGACAGGTTTTTTCCGACCCTTGGCAAACTCCGCAGCTGGAAGCTGTGACTTAGGCAGCAGTTTTGACTCTGCAAACACTTTGGTGCCTAGCTCAGTCGTCGCTGGTGACGTGAGCAATCGACCATAGAAAGTTCCTTGAGAAGAAAGCCATGCAAATATCCTATCAGGAGCCAGACTTTCTAACGAATTTGAGTCTGGAGCGTCTGGAGATACCACTAGGGATGAAGGCGCAGTCGTGGACACCCTCGAGATCTCATGCACTACCGGTTGTTCTGTATCAAACAGCTTAGTGAAAATTGATGCTCCTCCTTCATGGCTTGTCCTCCCAATCTTTCCAACAAGATGTATGAGCCTGGAATGCGTAGCAATCAGGACTCTTCGAATATCCGGCTTTCGTGCATCCGTCACCCCGTCCACAAAGAGCCCAGTAATGGAACCATCTGGGTACTTCAACAGCGTCTTCAAGTACTTGTCTTCCTTTCTGTAGAATTCCGTAGACGTCTCGATATATGCTTCGTAGATATTGCCATCAGCCGCTCCAATGAGGATCTCCCTGGTCGAAGTGGTTGGTAACGCTGGATTCCATGCTATAGTCTCGATTGACACACCACGAAGTCGGGATAGAGGCCTGGGCTGTCGAGATTGTGTATGGAGGTAGTAATTCTCTCCCAGCGCCGTACATATAATCAAGTGGGACGCAGTAGGGTCAAGGAACATGCGCCGTATCACGCCAACCTCGGAGGTCTTCTTTGGTAAATCGATATCTGGCCAATATCAGCACCTGGCCCTCATATTATAAGAGAATATACCGTACCATCGATATCCGCCGGATTATCTAAATCTATGCGCAGGATCCTGCCATTTGAAAGCGCGAGTACCAGGACATTGTTTGCGACTTGCGCGGCAACGAAGTCGGAGGCTATCGAGAACTGGAGCTGCACCCGCTCGACATTGAAGATAGGCAGCGCAATCTCGTTCAGGTCTTGTAGGTTTCGTGCGGCTACGTAGCCGTTCGAGGGGTCGAGAGCCATCCGTTATGGTGAGTGAAGCTACCTCATGGTCCTTGGGGGGAAGCTCGAGGCTGCGATGAGGTCCAAGGCTGGATGTCATAGCTTGTTCGGCGGACTTTAGAGCCGCGTCGCGCATGTCACGTGTATCGGTGATGACAAACTGCCTTCAAGAAGTACTACTATTGCTATAATATAATGGCTTTATTAATTGCTTTAATCTCAAGGGTATTTCGTTCGAATTCTATCTTCTTCATTCATCGGAGTGCATGAATTATGCTTGATACCTTCTATGTTTTGATTCCGGCTCGCTTAGCCAGCCCTAAAGCCCGTTTCCATTTGCCTCATGGACTCCAATTCATAAAGAGAGCAACATGCATCCAGGCCGTAAAGGTAGGTATCCAAAAAGACACGGTAAGTCTCATGAGACAACTCCAACTGCATTTATATAACCAGCATCCGAGGGCATTGAGTTGACCGAGGTAGAGCCACTGTCTTCAATCTGCCCTCCGTTGGAGCGAGGCATACTCGAGTTGGCTGAAGACAAATAGCCTCTACCAATGGCAAATATCAGAGTTTCACAAGCCATTTGTCCCATGGTGATGATCAGTTGGACGACTCCTCACATCGTAGATAATCTGTTGGGCTGTTTTCCTCATTTAGTTGGCATGGTGGGTCTTTGCGCGACAAGATAGGCAGATAATGCAGAGCATCCCAACCAACCTTATAGACGATGCGAATCCAGTCATTCACCCATTACCCTTCATATATATCTTCGCTAACAATACTGGGCGGTTAATACTCCTCAAGCATTGATGAGCAGGAAGAGCGCTTCGGTAAAAGTAAGGTAGTCCAATAAACTTCTTGGGCGAGAGGCTGAGTGAGTATCGAACGATATGTCTATTTAAGAAGCTCCACAAGGGATACTGGCATTTGTGATAGCTCGTACTGTCAGGCCAGAACCAAAAACCATAACCACAACGGTATTGAAACGTCATGTGTGTGGTTGGCGAGGCATAACGAGAAAGCTTCAAGAAAGCCTCGGCCGATCCAGGTCTACTCTCACAACCTTCCACATCCCTGACTGCGCCACGCCCCTGACTTTCGAATACCGAACTGAAGACGAGAACTCAAGATTCAACACAGCAAGCGGGATTTCACGACAGCCAAAATTATATTCTAGCAAATCCATCAAAGCGTTAGGTCTAGACCAGCCATGCTATCATCACAAAGTTGACACTCCCTTCAAACCCAAGAAAAGGTTAATATATGAGCATCCCGAAGTCTCGCTCACTCGAAGGTTTGTAGCATTATGAGCTCATATTAACAACTTGAGCAGACTTTCTGTATCCTCAGCCGTCGACGCCTGAAACGATTGTTATTACTCAATCACGCACAGCTTCCAATTAACAAGGAAAGGGAGACGAGATACTCGGGAAGAAAAGTCAAGAAATGTCAATTGAGGAAGAGAGGATGTGAAGACTCGTGACAGGAAACCTCTTTCAGAAACCTTAAGTCAAAGTGCAAGGTTCTCTTCGCGAGCTCATTGTTCTGCTTCGCTGGCAACGTTCAATTCTGGCCGTGAACCACTTGGAGCCCAATCCAAAATTTGGCCTTGCACGTGATTGACCGTTTGGCATTTCTGATGGTTGCTCGAATTTTGGGGCAAAGGAAGCTCGCCTATGAGGAAGAAAGAAAGTATCCCAATTAAAAAGCACTGTACCAATGCGCTCCAGAAGCAATCAAGCCATGAGCCTATTTTTGGAATACACAGTAATGCTATTGCATGCTGTGAAACGCAATATGATTGGTTATTGGTACTGGCTGGCTCGTTTGCCCTCACGCTCCTATCTCAATCTCGGGAGCAGTGTGGGATTTTGTGCATGATACGGCACGGCACCGCACCAAAACTTGCCGACGAGTACATCTTCTGCAGCCACCCCGTCGGAGCACATCGCATCGCGCGGCCCAAACACGATCGATGGCATGTTGATGAGGGCATTCGCAAGATCATGGAATGTAAAATGATAGTGCAAGTAGACAGAGCTTGATTCTTCCGAGATAGAGTGAGCCAGCGGACCTGGTTTTTCTCAGCTTGGGCCCTCTGTGCAGGAAGGTTCTCCAGACTCTTTGACTATTTTGTCACTTTCCGTTCCTGCGTCTGAAAGAAGGAGTGGAAACTCTCTTGGTCTTTTTGCCTCTCACCGCTGCATCTCACGCACACGAGCGGAGTATCTTGGAAAAATATGCTTTCTTCTCCACGCTGGGCGGATCCGTGACTTGAGGCTAGAGCGGGGATATCCCATAGGAAAAGTGGGAAAGTTGCTGCTGGTGCCTTTTGTTTCGTTTCACCAGTTGAGTCCCGTTGACCGCTCTTGTATCCGTGCTCACTGGTAATGGAGAAACATGCTGGACGTGTGCGAAGTTGCGCGGCTTTTGTTCCCGCGTGAGGGTGTTGACGTATGTCTTGGTTTGAGGACACTTTTGGGTTCCTGGAATTGAGGTTGTTGGAGTTATTTCGAGATGTTACTCACATGGTTTGCCCCCCCTGAATCTCAACTTCTTTAGTTAAGCGATCAGCTTGAGATTGGCGAAACGGATGTCCTTCATCATGATCTAAAACAAGATCGTTGCAGCAACCTGCAATCTCCAGAACACGGATTTAGTCCGGAGAGCCTTGTGAATATAGCCCACAAGGACCAAATACAGCTCTGATAAGCACCCAGTTGTAAATCTGACTTATGTAGATTCGGACAGGGACGACAGGGTCAGAGGGTGGCATAATAGCTTGTTGCAGCGGAAATGAGGTTTCCACTATTTTCATTTTGTGGGAACATGTTCAGACGAACATTCGTGATCATGACCTCACGTAGAGTGGTGATCATGTCGCAGGCGGCGATCCAGGACCCAAGCCATATGCGAGGAATCTGTTGATTCCATCATCAGTCCACGAATCAAGTGGGATCAACTGCCACTCACAGCCTCATGGGAGTCATCCAGCCATCTGGATGCGCGGGCCCGGAGTCCGCAAGGAATTACAGGCCTTTTGGCCGATATGTTTCCCTTTTGAGCGGCTTCAAACCTCATCTGTTACAGATCGCGTCATGGGCATTTCTGATTGGACGATATGCCACGATGCAGATGTTTCGAGTTGATGGTGGCGTGGCGCTGATTGGCTTTCCCGACAAACAAGAAGCTTGGGAATTATCCCGGCCGCGGGGCTAAGTGGTTTGTCGAGGTCGCCTCCTTTGACGGCACGCACCGGCAGCATCGGCAGCCATGTGGTCAAATAATATGCCACCGGCCATGAAACAGCACAGGGAGTACAGTACGGTGCTGTACTCCTGTACCGTAACTGTTGGCAGTGCAGTACATTGGATACTGATTTATCCGGAATGATAGTGGTTGAGCCTCTTAACTTCAGGCTTGGGACAGCTCTATTGGTACGTAGGCCGAAGGAGGTAAAGTAAAGTAAAGTAAAGTAAAGTAAAGTAAAGTAAAGTAAAGTAAAGTAAAGTAAAGTAAAGTAAAGTAAAGTAAAGTAAAGTAAAGTAAAGTAAAGTAAAGTAAAGCAAAGCCGCTGTTGCACACACACTGTACCTATGGATAGATAGGTAATAATGTCTTGCACGCTGCCCATCCATGTCTTTACCTCTGGCCTGTTCCGGCGCTCTGTCTCTTCCAGTGCCGGTGCCCTCCGCCTTCCCTCCGCCATGCCCTCCGCCAAGTAAGCGTATCATGGCCCGGAATACAGCCAAGAGCCGCAAACACGCTCGCGGTCAAATCCGTACAGTAGCCAAATCATCCAGTCACTGTATCTACCCTACCATACACGGTGACCAGCCAGCTGCACTCGGGATACGAAAATTACCTAGGTCCCTCAGTTACTCGTAAACTACCTGAACATCAGCTGCTCTCACCCCGTCCTCCTGCTTTCTCCCTTCCCCGGGCCCCTCCCTCTCGCCTTCCGCCCTCGCATTTCCTCACTACGAGTACCTACCTACACCTACCTACCTTGAGGTGCCTCTCGCTCCTCTAAGTACTACTGTACCTTACTCTACTCGCAGCTGGTCCAAAACATTCAAGCTCTTGTTTCTCGACCGTCGTCCACCTTCGGCTCCAATAAATAATGCACCATTCGCATGGTGTCTGGCGGGTCACTACCACACTACTGTACCAGTGGTTCTTGCTTTTGAGTCTTGAATCTTGACCTGACCTGACCTGTCCTGTCCTGTCCTCGGCGAGGACGGCGAGGACTGTCCATCCCTCTAACCCAGTCAAGCTACCTCTTTGATACAGGGGTCTGCCCTGGCTGCTGGTCCTAGGCCCCATCCCTAAATGCTCGTGCACCCGCTGTCGTTTCAGACCAGCCTGTTGATCCATCCAGATCCACCAGAGCGCGAGCAGCCAGCCCAATCATTGCCCACCAGTATCCAGCGAGGAGCTCCCGAGCCCACCCAGAGCCCACCCAGAGCAGCACCAGCACCAGCACCACCACCACCACCAGAGGCAAAAAGATCCATCCTCCTTCTCCCTCACCTCACGCGCTTTTTCGTTGACAATTGATAATCCACCATAGACGCCGTCATCGCCGCCCTTAATATCCCCTCGTCCTTCGTCCTTTGTTGTTTTCCTGCACAGCGAGTTGATTCGACTGCTCGACTGGCCTATGCATCTGAAGCAGTTGCGTGAAAGGACGGGAGAAAGGACAGGGCTTCATTAATCGGCAGATTGTCTTTCATGCTCCGGTAAGCACGAGCGAGCGACCCTTCAACCTCGAAAAAGCAACCGATCCACCACTACCACCACCCTGCCCTGTCTCGCTCAACTGAAACACCGCGTCTCCGTATCGAAAGGGACTCACCTCACTTACCATTCGAAACCACAGACATCGCACCTCTCTCCACACAGTTCTAAAGAAAACACCTTCGGACGTGACGATCCTGGAAGATCTGCCCCTACGCAGCCCGATCTCCCAACGCCCCGGGACAGCTTCGATTGTATAATATCAAAGAGCCTCCCACTCTGTAGTACCTACCAAGTTTGACATTCATCCCATCCTGCGATACCCATCGACTATTATACGCCCTCGACCTTACCCCAGCCTCATGCGTAGAGAGCATTCCTCACGATGGCCATGTTAGCTTCCAAATCGCCGTTTCCGGCGACCTTAGGCTCGACCTCCTCCAACCTCTCCGCCTCCTCCGCCCAAACAACTGTGCAATCGAGTCGGAGGACACCAGCCATGATTTCCTCAAATCAATCGTTCGCTAGCCCCACAGAGTCCGAGTTCTCCGATATCGAAGGGCCAGAGTCAGCAAAGAATTGGGATGAGGAACGTGTATGTGATTGGCTGGTCACGGTGAACTGCGGAGAGTATGAGAAGATATTTCGAAAGAACAACATCAATGGAGAGAACTTGTTGGAGATGGATAAGGCAGTGCTACAGGAGATGGGTATTGACAAAATAGGGGATCGTGTGAGACTGTTTCTCAATATCAAGAAATTGAGGACGAAAGCATATGCCAATCAAAAGAAGAGGAACAGAGTGAGTTTATAGACAATCCGCGTCCAAGTGCACTGTACTGATGGTTTAGGACTCCTTTGCCGGTCTCGAAACATTTACCCCGTCGTCAACTGGCTCGCCGAAGCCTCTCAACTCCGCAAGAGCGATACCGACTCCGTCCGCAAACAAGAGATACTCGAGGCAGTTCGACGGATTTACCCCAGCCACCGCCATCCCAGAGAATATTAGCAAACCACCTTCAAGACCTAGTTCACCCCTCGCCGGATCAGAAGCTCGAGTTGCCAGACAGGCAAGATATGGTGTACTGAGCCCAGCAGAAGTCTCAAGGCGAGAGAACGCTCAAGGATACTTCAATGGTTCGAGCAATCCTTCGAGTGCCGCGACGATAAGTGGAAGACGGCCTGGTACACCCGGAGACGGACAACCGCAGACTGCACGACTAATTCACAACCATACCCGTGGCAATGGTAGCATCGATGGCTCTCTAATGGCTCAACTTCCACAAAACCAAGACATCATCAGGGTTATCTCATCCGGAGGACTCACCAAGGTTGTGCGGATTGTAGATTGCCAATCGTGCGATGAGGTCATGAGGTTAACGTTAAGGAAGTTCGGGTATCGAGAGGATCACGACAGAAATTATTGTTTCTACGTACTCAACGGGGTCGATCCTGACCCAAGCCAATGTCGAAGATTACCTGAGGCCGACTTGTGGAGGATCATCAAAGATACGAGAAGGCCGGAACGCAATCGACTCATTTTACGGAAGATCCACCAAGGTGAACCTGGAGAGGCTGAGCTACAACGAGCCGCGAGTATTGCCATGGAAGAGACTGCCACCAATCGAAGCCGCCTACCAGAGGGTATGGACAAACGAAGCCAACTCAAGGTGCAACAAGTCTTGGGCGAGACTTTCAACGATGGACCACAACATCCACTTTCGCCTGCATCCTTCCAATCCGGAACTTCAGCTGTTTCCGCTGGTGAACGAGAACGTAATGTTCATAATGCAGCAAAGGACTTGGAGAGACCACCATCGATGGAACAACCAAGAGACACTGCGAGACCTCGACCAAGCGGCAAGAAGGGTGTGCTGCGACAATTTTTTGGTCAAAGACCTCCCAGCGAGTTGATCACTTCGGATTTGACAACTTACTTTCCAGATCATCCTCGCGAGGAGATTGATCGAACCGCCAGACTTTCGCTACGAAGATCAACACGTCTGAGCAAGGTCAACAGCCGCTTGAGTGTTGCTAGTAATTTAAGCTTCGCCTCAAGTATTGCCGATGCGCCTCCCATGCCAACTATTGCCGATACCTGGCTTAGCGGTAACAGCCAGCTCGCGAAAGTTAAACCTTTAGATCTGTCAAGGGGCAACAGCGGACGCTACAGAGATTCCGTGGCTTCATCAATGCTCGAACGTGTCCAAGAAGAATCACCAACCGAACCCAACCGCAAATCGTATGTCTCATTCGACAGTGGATCGGATACCACTAATGTGAATGTCACCGACCCTGATGGAAATGTCATTCAAAATAGCTATTTCGAAGATGGAAGTACAGAAGCTGGCGGATCACTGCGAGAGATCAGTCAAGCTCTGAACGATGACGGAGAGGATGAGGACGAGGAACTACAAAGTTTCTTGGCTGGCGACTCTTGGGATGACAGCAAATGGATGAAGGGTGCTCTCATTGGCCAAGGTTCGTTCGGTAGTGTGTACCTTGCTCTTCATGCTGTTACTGGAGAACTTCTTGCTGTTAAGCAAGTTGAGGCACCATCACCTGGTGCAAACAGCCAAAGTGATGCAAGGAAGAAGAGTATGATTGATGCTTTGAAACGCGAGATCAGCCTCTTGAGAGATCTTCAACATCCCAACATTGTGCAGTATCTTGGTGCCAGTTCATCTGCCGAACATCTCAACATTTTCTTGGAATACGTTCCTGGTGGATCAGTACAAACAATGCTGAACTCCTATGGAGCTCTTCGGGAGCCTCTCATCCGCAACTTTGTCCGACAGATCGTCACTGGACTTGCGTATCTTCACGGCCGAGAGATCATCCACAGAGATATTAAGGGCGCCAACATTCTTGTCGACAACAAAGGTGGCATCAAAATTTCCGATTTCGGTATCTCGAAGAAGATCGAGGCCTCCAACATCCTCGGTGGTGCTGGCAACAATAAAAACAGACCGTCATTACAAGGATCAGTCTTCTGGATGGCTCCTGAGGTTGTCAAACAGACTTCATACACTCGCAAGGCCGATATTTGGTCTCTTGGATGCCTTGTCGTCGAGATGATGACCGGGACTCATCCTTTCCCGGATTGCTCCCAACTACAAGCCATCTTCAAGATCGGCGGTGCGAAGATTAGCCCAGCGATCCCAGAGAACGCCAGCGAGGAAGCTCAGACATTCCTCAAGTCTGCCTTCGAGGTCGACCACACCAAACGACCAAGTGCTGAAGAGCTACTCTTCAGCCCGTTCCTCAACCCCATGACATAAGTCTGGAATGGAACGAAATTGAAGATGTTTCTCACATAGTGGGTATGTCATTACAGCACTTTTATCTGCATTGCAAGCGCTGGTCATTACATAGCATAGCGTGGCGGGCAGGGAACATTTCTTTTTTTCCATCTTTACGAACAACCTAACTTTCTTGTATACACACACCTTTTTTCCTTCCTCTATGATGTTTTTATGACGAATGAAAGAAAGTTTTCAATATATGGTGAGCGGGGGAAGGATGGAGACTCGCATGTATAGAGCATTTTTCTGGTTGGAGTCGATTGGCTGGATGGAAAGGTGTTGGCCGGTTGGAAGGATTGATTCATATTGACCATTCCAAGGTGCTGAAGAAGAGTGGATATCTTGATTGATCGATCGGTCTCTCATAGATCGACGGTGTAGATTATAGAGTGGTTGAGAAATATGAAAGAACATATATTCCAAACCTTGACACCCCTTCAAGTTGCACCGTCTTACAGTTGAACACCACGTCGTCACGTGTGGGACTACTGTTGGTACCCTTTGACTTCAGCCATCCAAAACACCCTCCTATCTCAGTCAACCGCAACAATGAACGAAGTAATTTGAGACGATGATTATTCTTGCGCATAGACCTGCTAAGCCGTCAAAGTACAACTGCATCGTAGTTGGGATCAATACAAGTTCGGGAGGCAGAGGCTCGGTCACCTAACAACTCACAGCGATTTCTTTGACAGCACTCTTGGTATCAACACCTCCAAGGGCCTGGCATTTCTTGATCGCACTACGCTTACTGCGCATTTCATCCCTCACCATCGTGTATCTCTCAGGCCAACGGACTAAAGAAACAATTAGACTCGCAACAGTCAAACACAACCAACGCATCTCTGTCCCAGCGTCCAGGTGCTTCCAAACCACCTCTCTGCCACAAACTAAGACGGCATCCCGAACAACCAATCAGTAATCAAGTATTCAAAACACCATGGCCACCCAAACTGAACCACGTCTCTACTTTGCCTACGGCTCCAACCTCTCACTCACGCAAATGGCTCGTCGCTGTCCCTCTTCCACTTACCATTCCCTGGCTGTGCTGAGAGGTTGGAAATGGGTCATTGGGCCGAGAGGGTACGCTAATGTTGTCAAGGGTTCATCTGAGTCCAAGTCTAGCAATAAGACTCTGGGAGAAGGGCAAGGGGATGAGGTGTATGGCTTGTTGTATGTCCTTGATCAAGTGGATGAGGACGCTTTGGATGTAGCTGAGGGTGTGCCGGATTGCTATGTTAAGATGATGTTGGGTGTCGAGATACTAGGTGATGGTCGGGGAGTGGATGGGAAGGGATCTGGAGAGGGTGGGGCGGGAAATACAGAGGTCGAGGTATTGATTTACGTTGATGTTGTGAGGACGGGGGTAGGGGTTTGTAAGGAGGAGTAAGTCTAGGGTCTCCATACCCAGTCCCATCCTCTCATGCCCGCTTATCCTACTTTAAATTTTATCCCATCCACGATCTCTTATCTTGGAGCATGGGTAGGTACATAACGCAACCCGATACTGATTGGGCGCAGATACGTTGCACGGATGAATAGAGGAATCAAAGATGCTGTTGAGAGAGGCATGCCGTGGACATATGTAAAAGACGTCTTGAGGAAATGGGTCAGGGAAGAAGACGTGCCGAGGGATGGAGATGTGAAAGATCCTTTCTTCCCCGGTGGTACATGAAATGAAGTCCGTGTTGGAGGGGACACATGAATGGAGAAGAAGATTGCCTAGGTAATTGAGACTCTCTAATTGATTGCTTGCGGTGGTCAATGAATTTTGATTTTTTATCCAAATGACTCATGTCTTCAAATGAAAATGTTCTTCCAACATGTTCTCGATCAAAGCGCACGACATATCATATTGCCTTTCTCCATATATTGAGCAGAAGCGAGTGCCAAGGGGGCAAGCCAATGTCAGAACTTCACGCAAAACTTCCTGTGATCTGTCATTCATCAGAGAATTGCACGATCTGGCCTCAGATTCCAAGATGACACCGATACAAACAGACTGGCTTTCGGGAGTGATTTAGGATTGTGTATACAGATTTGGAATTAGTCATGGATACTACAACGCTGTCGGCTTTCTCGGTTGGGAGAGGTGTTCGACAATAAACTAGACTCTTTCCCCCCAGGCCCTGCGCTCGTACATGATTCCGTCTACCTTATCAATAATATGACCCATCTCCAACAAACTACCATTGGAGCCGCATCAGGCGGGAGGTGTGGCAGTGGCCATGATTTCCTCGTCTCTCTCAACATGCGCTTGACCACCAAACCACACAACCCTCCTTGGACGGCCTAAAATCGTTCTGAGTATGATCTAAGTCCTCGGCGAGCTTCCCAGAAATACTCATAAGCAGGTTGGCAACTTTTGATTTCCCACTTCCAATTTAAGCGAGAAAAACAACCAAAGCAAACAAGCCTAAGCCCAAGACCGCAACAAGCGCATATATATATCGCTCGCCCCTAGGCAATGGAAGCAGCTCTGTTCAACGAACTTAGCTGCGTAAAAATTCCTGGTGGTCTTTACTGCAGCAAGTGCAGTGCCTTCTGGCGGAATCTTGCTAGGGGCCAAAGTTACCTTTGGGACTGACACGTTTATTCTTATTAGAAGTAGCGTACCTCTCCATATTAGATATGGAGTCAGCGTGACTGAAAATTAGGGTAGGCAGTGAGGTAGATTTGTTTTCGGCCCAGGCGTGATTTGAGATTAACCTAGAGCGTCAATGAAGCCGATTGGTGACTTTGAGAAATTTGGTAGCCCGAGTCTAAAACTTGGGAACTGGACGATCAAATCATACACAATTAGTGGGTGGACGCTGCTACTGACGGTATGAACTTGCGCGCAGAGCGGTTGGTACAACTGCTAGTCTTTTATTTACCATACAATGACCAAGCTAGATTTTAAACGACTTCAGAGGTTCGCCATAATTCCAAGACTCTCTATGACTTTATGCCACAGCTGAAGCGGTTCTAAAGTCATTTGCAAAATTCGGTGGCAAGCGACTCAGCTTCGATCCACAACAACTTTAGATGTGTCTGTCCAGTCTTTAAAATATGTTTCATCCGTATGCCCTGAAGCTTTTCTGGGCGATGGCTCTAGTGTGCCTTGAGAGACCGGTGAATGCGAGATATGCTGACATTTTCAAGCTCTAAAGTTGCTGGCAATCCCAAAGACAGCAGATTTTGGCTGGATTGCTGCTCCTGGGAGCCCGCCTAACGTTGCCAAGAACAACTTGTCTTCGTTCAACAGAAAAACCATGCCATTTTCGCCCAGAACGAAATTGGCTGCACCTCCGGACACAAGGATCTTACCCAGTAGTTTTCCCTGTGGGTTCCCTGTATGAAAATAGTCAGTAGCTGGCTATACGTTTTGCAAAATAAAACAGGTCTACTATATCAGAGAGGTGTTGGTGGTTGCAAGCTTGGTCAACTTACAGATACTGACACCATCCCCACATCCAACATACACATTACCTGCCTTATCTGTCTTGATTCCATTAGGAATTCCTACAGAGGGCATGGTAAATGTGCGCTTATTTGACAGCAAAGGTCCAGAGCCAGCAGTGATCACATCGTAAGCGTATATAGTCTTTGCTGCCGTTGGGGCTGTGGAGCTTTGAGCCGTATCAGTTATATAGGCAATTTTTTCATCCGGAGAAAAGCCTATGCCATTAGGAGCTGCAAGTCCATCTGCGACGACGCGGAGATCTGTTGTGCCTGGTACCCAGCGGTAGACTTGGGCTGGGAGTTGAGGAGCGGGTCGAATGTTCTGAATGAACCCGAATTGGGGATCTGTGAACCAAAGAGCGCCATCTGAAGTCCGTACCACATCCTTCGGAGAGTTGAAGGGTATGCCAAGGTAGTTGTTGATCAGACTTGTCGTGGCGAACGGCGACGTTGGGTTGAGCCTCAAGAGCCCGCTAGGATGAGCAAGGTCTCCTTGTGCACAGAAAATCAAGTTTCCGTCAGGTGAGAGTGTTCCGCCATTTGCAAGGTGGATTTCTCTCCCTGTTGGAGTGATGGTTTCCGAAGACCAGATTTGGGTTGTAGGATCTTGGGTGATTCGTGAAATAACAACGGCTTTCTGATTTGTATTGGGAGAGTTCATTCCAGAGAAGTTATACTGGTTAGAAGAAACAAAAAGGACCGGTGGATTGCTACTAGCAAGTATAGCAGCTTCATGGAATTGAGGGAAGCTGGTATTTGCAGAGTTAAGAATTAAAGAGAGCGTTGGGAGCGTCGCCCAAGATTGGTAGAAAAGCATCGTCGTAAACTTGAAACTGGACTCCTGAGCTGACCGAAGCATTGCTAAAGGTATCTATGTCGGCAAAATTTTCCGGTGTGATACGCTGCTCAATGTCAGCTGGAAAGAACTAGAACCGCTGAATATCATATTGTCTGTTCGGCAGCCTGTGATAGGATGCTCATTGGCTTTTTAGTAGTGCAGAATGAGTTTCTAAGTAGAATAAGGACTTACGAGGACGTTGTTGGGAAGCCCAGTGACACTATTCAGAAGAGCTATGAGAAGTATCAGTCCGATCGAAGGAAAAGCCATTATAGACACGGAATATCCTTCCGAGAGGGTTAATCTACAAGAATACAAGGAAAAAGTGAGGAAAGATCACAGAGGTCTAATGCTTCTATAATGCTGATGACTTTTTGCCTTCATCAAGGTTTACCTTTGTGGAACTTGAATGGATTAGCCAAGCAACGAAAGGGGCGACCAAGACTCGCGGATATACTTCAGCGTGGTTCCTACAAGGAAGGACATGGCATGTTACATACCAGGAAGATGTGAAAATATCAGGTCAAACATGGCACCGTCACTACCGGTCTCGTAGCCCTGCTGTCAATTGAGACCATACCTAGATAGTTCATCATGCAAAATGCCTTGGCGGCGGATGAAGACAACAAGATAAAAAGCTGCGCACTCTTCTACCAACAAACGATAAATAACGAGGAGTATTCTCATTGCAATTTTCGGTCAAAGTGGACAGTGGAAGTAGACTTAGCCACCACATGGCAAAGAAATGTGTTAAGAGTAGCGAGAATGCAGCAGGGCAGAGGAGAGCAGCTGATGAGCCAGAGTTCGGCATAAGAGATCTTGAGATTGCGTTGAAGGTAGAATTTAATTCAATTTCCCGGGCAATAAAGCAGTGGTAAAACAGCTCGAAGATGATTCTCGTTCCCACCTGGAGCACCAGAGTCAAGTGCACGTCTTGGCAGTAATGTGGAAGAAGAACCACGCATCATTGTTTCCTGATGGACATCCTCAGTATCTCCCTCCAGAGCTTAAAATGTGTGGATATAACGCGAGAGAGCTTCTGAATAAGGCAGGTGACAACTTGCCTCCAAACAAGTCATTGCCAGGGAAATCTTGGACAAGGCGAAGTTGAATCATGACTCAGACCTGACTCGAGGTGACCCAGCTGAAGAATCCAAGTTGCAAGATAAGTAACGACTGACTGTCAAGTACTCATTTTTGACTCTCTGTCTATTTGCTGGGTCACAAATGACAAGTATTCGTAGTAATTGTTGTGGTGATTGTCTCATCATGACCATCGAAGTGTAAAGCTTCACGGCTCAAGTGAAGGAGATACACGCTAGTGCACGTGCCTCGAAGCTTTTGAAAGACCCTAAATATCGCCTCGCTCTTGCACCCACAATTCCCACGTCACACCCGCACAACTCCCCAAAGATCGATCTTGACACTGTGTATTGCAGAGTTCGAGTTTCTGTCTACCAAGAACTTCTCGAGAACTCGAGCGCTCACTGCGCCATCAACCGCCGAGATGAGCGACGCCCAAGCAAATGAGGCCGAGAAGAACATCGAGATTTGGAAGGTGAAGAAACTTATCAAACGACTGGAAGCCGCCCGAGGAAATGGAACCTCCATGATTTCCCTTATCATTCGTGAGTCCCACATGTCAGCGTGCAACAAGCTAGCTCTGACTGTGAAATAGCGCCGAAAGACCAAGTTTCTCGAGCTGCGAAGATGTTGGCTGAAGAATACGTGCGCATTTCCCCCAGTTCCTGGTTATGTTATGTTGCGCTAATATTTGCATAGGGAACCGCATCAAATATTAAATCACGAGTCAATCGTCAATCTGTCTTGTCTGCCATCACATCTACACAGCAGAGACTGAAGCTGTACAATAAAGTTCCTCCGAATGGATTAGTTGTTTATTGTGGTGAAATCTTGACATCCGAGGGCAAGGAGAGAAAGGTCAACATCGATTTCGAGCCTTTCAAGCCTATCAATACTTCTTTATATCTTTGTGACAACAAATTCCATACCGAGGCTCTCGCAGAACTTTTGGAGTCAGATCAGAAGTTTGGTTTCATTATCATGGATGGTAATGGAGCCCTTTTTGGAACCCTGAGTGGTAACACCCGCGACGTTGTTCACAAGTTTTCCGTCGATTTGCCAAAGAAGCACGGCCGTGGTGGACAATCTGCGCTGCGTTTTGCCCGTCTTAGAGAAGAGAAGCGTCACAACTACGTCCGTAAGGTTGCTGAATTGGCTGTCCAAAACTTCATCACAGCCGACAAAGTCAACGTGGCTGGCATTATCTTGGCTGGATCTGCTGACTTCAAGAACGACCTTAATCAATCCGATCTGTTCGACAATCGTCTTCAAACCAAGGTTATCAAGGTCGTGGATGTTTCTTATGGGGGTGAGAACGGTTTCAACCAGGCTATTGAACTCTCAGCCGAGACCCTCAGCAACGTCAAATTCATTCAGGAGAAGAAGCTCATTGGAAAGTACTTCGAGGAGATCAGTCAAGACTCTGGTCGGGTTTGCTATGGTGTCGAGGACACTTTGAAGGCCTTAGAACTTGGAGCTGTCGAAATTCTCATTGTATTCGAGAATCTCGAGATCAATCGTTGGACCCTCAAGGATGTCAACGGAACTTTGACCATTCTCCACACCACCAAGCAACAAGAGGCTGCCAACAGAGATCAATTCATGGACAGAGAAACCGGACAGGAAATGGAAGTCGTTTCACAAGAGTCCTTCCTTGAATGGATCGCCGAGAAATACAAGGACTTCGGAGCAACTCTGGAATTCGTTTCCGACCGCTCCAGTGAGGGCAACCAATTCGTCAAAGGATTTGGTGGAATTGGTGGCCTTCTCCGCTACAAGGTCAACTTTGAGCAGTTGGCCGAAGTTGACGATGACGATGACTACTACGACGGTACGTGTGATATAACCCAGTCTCCTTTTCAGAACTTCACTAAGATGAGAGTAGATTGACAATCTGATGCCCTCGCATTGGGCGAGGATCCAACTCTTGTCCCGTCAGGTCAGAATCTGTCACCTCGCACAAGTGCCGTGCAGCAGATCAGACATCAGCCGACCCAGGTTGGCTCTCGCCAGAGAAGTGCTGTGTCAAGGCCCAGCCCTCTCCGGTCCGTCACGACGATTACTTGAGTTGATCGAATGGATATCAGAGGTATGCAAGTCTTCCGCAAACTGCCTCTAGCTGATTCGCTCACAATTCACTATAGGATAAACACCTCGCCTGTTGAGGACACTCTGGTATTGCATAGAAAGTGTGGAGATTTGCGGGAGACAGATTGCTTATTTTCAGCGACCATGTTTGTATTTTGAGATTTGCTACGCAAGGTTCAAAGTAGGCTCGATCCCCGTTCGATGGGTCGAGTCAGCTTGGAGCAATTCGAGACTTACCTGGACCACATGTTTCTGAGTGAAAGTGATCGGTTATGTCTGAAGTGCCGGTGCATGCAAACGACTTACATGTTTAAGTTTTGGAGGTGCGTCAGTAAGCAGTGATTACAAGTATGTTATAGAAGCCAACGGTCTCGGCAATGCTACGGTTTTGGCAACGGACGTTCTCGAAGCGTGCTTTGGTATATCGGTAAAAGTAGCCCAATAGAACCGAAAGGTGGGGTGGGGTGGAGGGGCAAGTCTGTCCGATACGCAGGGCAAAATTATGTCGGAGCTTCCATCATTCTTTGAATCAGAGCCGATAACCTCAATCGCAGTCGACAATGACAAGCGAGTCGAAATAGAAGGGATAATGCGGCTACCAACAGCAGTTCTTTGATGCCTTAAATAAAACTATCTTTTTGCATTTACGAGATCGAAAAAGCGACTTCACCCTAAATTGCTTCTGCTCAAAACCGCGACATCACACATCATGGCCTCGCAGAACGACGGCCATGATCGGCCTGTTCCTATTGTTTCTTTCCTTGGCCCTATTTCTTCATACACTCATCAGGTACATACTCTTGCAGATGATGAACGCCCTCCTTGGTCCTTTGGGCTGACAGATTTCGACCTTACTCAGGCGGCGCTCAGTACATTCGAGTCCGATCGATACGACTACCAACCAGCGATCACCATAACAGGTACCGCCAACATACTTAGATTTCTGGGCCATCTAATTGTGGGGGATAGACGTTTTTGATGCAGTTCAGTCTGGCGAGGCGGCTTTGGGCGTTGTTCCATTCGAGAATTCTACAAACGGAGCGGTCGTATACACCTTCGAGCTTCTCGCAGATCGACATGACCGGTTTCCAGATGTCACTGTCTGCGCTGAAGCCTACCTCGATGTCAGTCACTGCCTCTTAGGCAAGAAGTGCGGAAATATCGATTCTCCCAGCCTGTCTGGCGCGTGCACTCCTACGATGTCGAGTCCGAATCCTCTCAAGCCAAGAGTCTCCCCCCTCCACAGCGTGAAACATGTCAAGCGACTTCTGAGCCATCCACAAGCCTTCGGACAATGCGAAACGTTTTTAGGTGTCTACTTGAAGGGCGTTGAGCGAGTCGATGTCAGTTCTACAAGCAGGGCTGCCGAGATGGTGAAGGAGGATACAACGGGTACAAGTGCTGCCATTGCGAGTATCCTTGCCGCAGAAGTCCATGGCCTTGATGTACTTGCGAAAGGGATCGAGGATCGGGAAGACAATACCACAAGATTCTTGATCATTAAGAAAGGCGTTGACAAGAAGGCAGGATCAGCACACAAGACCAAGTCCCTCATCTCATTCAAAGTTGATCACGGCACGCCGGGTGCACTGGCATCAGTGCTTCATTGCTTCCAGATCTATGGTATTAATCTTACCAGCATCAACAGCAGGCCGACTAAGGTCATCCCATTTCAGTACATTTTTTTCGTAGAGTTTGAGGGAAGCAAGTTGCATGATCCAACAGGCATGGTAAAGAAGACTTTGGATGCTTTGGAGACCTATGTGCAGAGTTGGAGATGGTTGGGCAGCTGGGATGATAAGTTGAAGAAGAGGATATGAAAATGGATATCGTTGGCGGATTTGATGTGTCTGGAAGGAAAGGAAAGGAGCAGGCAGACCTCTAATGGGAAACTGGAGGAGCTTGGAATAGCATAGCCTCCGAGGCCGGCATCTTATCGATAAGATCAATATCCCCTGTCGTTGCGGGTAATTCCCGTAGCTTAATGAAATAGCTTAGTACCGACGTGAAGTGTCTCGAGAATAAACAACGAAATGACATGAAGTCAACCGCATTCTCTGTTCTGCGGCGCAATGGTGCTACTTCCTTTCAAAATGTAATACGACCTCAATATGCAGCGATTCGATATTTGTCCACGAAAGCAGACATTCCTGCCGAATCACCATCTTTACAAACCACCCTCCATGCCGAGCTCACATCCCGTCCCAGAAACACATCAATCGACTACATCTCCCCCATTCCTTGGAACCTCCTCAACATATCCCTCGCTGACTTCCTACCGTCATCATGCCAACCACGTAATTTCAATCCAGCAGGAGATCCAACAGATGCAGCTGTTGATGTCACTTCTACAGCTCTTCCCCAGGGCCACCATCTAGTCTATTTCCCACCACCAGTTCCCGACAGCAGTCTCCTACGTGATGGCACTGACTCCCTCCACTCCCCTGGCGCGCCATTTGTCAAACGCCTATGGGGAGGCGGCTCTATCGTCTTCAGCCAGGAAGAGAAGTTCCAAATCGTACCCAAGAAACTTGCCGTCTGCGGTGAGGAAATCACAGACGTGAACGTCAAGGGTGTGGAAGGACAGGAGAAAGTTTTTGTGACAGTAACCCGACGGATACTCTCCATTTTGGGGGGATATTCTAGGGCAGGCAAACGGCATAAACGGCAGAGGCGAAAGGAGATGTTTTTGAACATGGATACGAAGTCGTTGGAGCAAAGGTATGGGATGGAGGGTATACGGCCATGGGCGGTGATTGAAGAGAGGAATCTTGTTTTTATGAGGGAGAAGTCGACGGAAGAGGCGAGGGATGATCTGGAGAAGGTGGGGAAGATCGTGAAGCGTATGTGTTGAATCGGCCAATTGGCTTCTGGATAAATATTGTCTGGGAGAGGTTACTGATAGAATGTTTGCAGCTCCTCATACCCCCGACTTCAGTGTCTCCTTGAGACCTAATGCTGCGCTCCTCTTCCGCTTCTCGGCCCTGTCCTTCAACGCACATCGCATTCATCTCGACCCTCAATATACACGGGAAGTTGAAGGCCACCGGAATCTCCTCGTACACGGCCCTCTGACTATAGTCCTTATGCTGTCGGTACTGAGGTCTCAAATCACGGGAGGGAAGATGGTAGTGCGTTTTGATTACAGGAATTTAGCGCCGCTGTATGTGGATGAGGAGATGAGAATTTGTGTCAGGCGGGATCCCGAGAGAGAGAATAAGTTGGATGTTTGGGTTGAAGGGAGGGACGGTGGATTGGCAGTCAAGGGGACTGCAATTATTGGGGATGCGGAGTTCGATAACAGACGGTGATGAAGAGGATACAGCTCAGTCCATGAGGCTGTCATTGGCAGTGCGATGTAAGTTACGTGACATTGTGATTAATGATGTCAGGGGTTGAAGCTCGCTGATATCTCGACTATGATAGCAAAGAGTATGGACACTTGAAGTTGCTAGCCGAGTTCAAAGGCTGCCACTTTTGCTTCTCCATTGCTGCGGACTGCGGACTAACCCTAAAATATCATACACCTCGAATCTACTTCGCTGACTCGCTTCCCGGCGCCGCATGCTTCAAGGCTTTGCTAGCAATTATATGGGGTCGAACCCTTTACGTATGGCGACGACTGATCCCCGAAACGATTACTTGATGAACCTACGGACAGCGAGGTCCAATGCTGGGTGCTGATTTGCTACTCCTGTGGTACTTGACGCAGAGAGTAGAAGCATCAAGACATGGGCTTTATGATACAGGGAAACAACAAAACAACAGACTCATTCCATGGACGAGGTGTGTAGCGCTTTCCAGCTCGGCATTTGCTTCACATATCTCAAGAGACTACTGTAACAGCTCTGCTTCTAAATAACGTTGGGAAGAATGCTTCCTCTCGCTAGCCCACCTCGATGCTGAAAAATGTCAAATCTCGTTAAGCACAGCATCAGAGTGGCTTTAAGCTATTCGCAGGAACAAAGCACTCGACCCCAAGATCTCGTTTCAAGTATATTGTGTTATCGAAAGACAAGGACACGAAGGTCCGTCGAGCCGCAAGAACCGTGGCAACCATGGACCTCTGCTGGGATTTCTAACTATACAAAGCCTTTGCTCAAATGCTTGAGGCTCGGCGACCTGAGGACAACTCTGAATTAGTGATTCGCCAGATCGAGTAGAGAGTAGATCAAGTAATCAAAATAATCAAAATGTAACTGATGACAAGGACAGGACCTCGAGCATAGAAACGACGCTGCGACCAGGTGTAGCCCCAAGCTCCAACAAGGGATGTGACTGAAACTGTGTAATCATGTACCTGGAGCTTGACTACTGCTGGCCTGCACGTCCTCCAATCCGAGCTCCATTCCTTCACATGACAAGCCAATACGAGAATGACTCCGGGCTGAGCATCCCTTTTGGGACATTTCTGAAGCTATCTAGAAGTATCGTTCGTATTCGAGAGAGGCTTGTCATCCGGATGGCGCGTCAAAAGCTACCTGGTAACCTTTACTCGTTTGTGCTGTATCTGTTTCTGGTATTAGCCCACCGCTAGCAACGCGCACGTCGTTCGCACTGTGAGGTCCCTCAAGCAGGGATTCCAAGGATTGCAGCGACCCCTCATCCAATGGATCGTCAGGGTGAGCCCTGGTGGTGCGTCACTTCTTGGAACAATGCAAGCCCACCCCCACCAGTGCAGCGCAGGCTTGAGAAAATCCCGGCACCAAGAGCGGTTTGGTGTTGTTATTGGAATGGGATGGATGGGATGGGATGAGATGGGCCAGCGGCACGACCCTGGGATGGAGAGGAGACCTAGGATACCTTTAGATAATTCCCACGCCATGAAAATTCCTGCCCAGCTCGCTTTACAAACACCTTCATCTCTGCCTGTACTCCTTGTAAATTTCATTCTTATACGCATTTGCCCCCAGCAGTCTCCAGACAATCCCCTGCATTAGTCCCTCCATTTGCCTGCCTCACCTACAGTACAGTACCTACCTAAGGTACCTACCTACTCACTCACCTCACCTGCCCATGTATACTGGCTTGCTTGTTTCCCAGGCCATGCTCCCCAACTAGCTCCGCGACATCACAGCTTTAGATCAGCCAATTGTGCGGCAGGCGATTGAACTCGACTGATTCCCAGCCATCTTGTCTTTCCTCTCTTGATTCTTCTCTCTGCAGCCCGTTGACTTGAGGTTCGCCAGTCAGTCAGTGAATTACACTTCCGGAACTGTGGCAACCGAACACGGCCATCGAGATCCTCGAACCTCGCACTTACTTGCCCACGAGCACACCGCATTTCCTCGCTCAGCCTCCAGCGACCTGATCATCATTTGCCCGAGTGCCTTCGCCGTCACCTCTCCTAATCCCGGCCGTAGTCTGAGATTCTGCCACTGACAGAAGACTATCCGCATAGTAACTACTAGAACTCCAGCTGCTGCAGAACATCCTACCCAATGTCCTCCCCACGAAATTGAAAGCCTCTGTTACGCAGACACGGCCTGCAGACATAAACACACGCCTCGTGGAATGCAATGGCGCCTTCAGCAAAGGAGAATGGAGATATCAAGGGAGACAGACGGAAAAGCATAAATATCTTTTCGAAGGGATCCTTGGGTCTCACCCAAATCAACACCGATGTCTCCTCTAGCGATAGTCTCGACAATGGGGACAAGAAGGAGAAGAAGAAAATGGGGAAGCGCAGCTCGCTGTTTGGTCTGGGTCCAGGATCAAACGCTGACCTGTCACAAGACGGATCAATGAGTCCTGTGAAGAGCAATGACAGACTGGATTCGCCCAACATGCGCCCAAAACTTCTCCAGAAAAACCGCCCATCCTCGATCTTTGGATCCTTGGGCAGGAAATCTCTCACGCACGTGGAAGGAGAGTCAGACAGTCTACCGGCCGGCACACCAGAATCGCCAGAACCAGAAGGAATGCATTTACAAGTTGGGCAGACAAGTAGTAGGACGGTACTATACCATGGGGAGATCCAGACAACAAGTGGCATGTTCAGGAAGAAGAAGGAATATTTGGTCTTGACGGATTCACACTTGCTGCGCTTCAAGAGCCAGGCCAGAGCATCAGAGGCATTCTCCTCGATTCCAATGCCCTACGGACGGAATAGCACAACACGTCACCCTTCCACAACTTCTATTGGGTCCTTGCAGGAGGTTCAATCGAATAACTCCCATACTTCAGCAGAGCATGAAAATCAGATCCCCCTCAGACAGATCGTCACCGTTTACCGGCTCGAGGATGGTCGACCTTTTTTTACAACAGAAGTGGTATATCTGGATGAGGAATCGTATGGTGTCGGGTCCATACAGCTTATGCTTCATGATCCCAAAGATGCTGACCTCTGGCACTCTTCAATTCGAGGAGCTGCTCAGAAAGCAAGGCTGCTCATGACAGAGCCATTCCCGGAGAAAATTGTCCGGCATCTGGTCGCAGCGGTGGACGGCGTAGATGACTATGACGCTGATCACTTCCAAATATTTCGCGTTGTTCGACGAACTACCACAAAAGCTGGACGTTCGGCGGATGATTTGCAGAAGATGGGCTCTTCAGTCTTTTACTTAGTTGTTGGCATCAACAAAGTTCATCTCGTACCACTTCCTGATTTCACTTTGCCGTCTGCCCGTATGTCCAACACCAAAATCGGCCGAGCGTCTTGGGGGATTGTGTCTTTAGTCGATCTGCGAGTAACGTACGACGATGACAGATTTGAATTAGCATTTCGACAGCCAGTTCGGCCAGCAGAGGTAATTGAATTGGCCGCTTCAGCGAGTCCGGACATCGCATATGCCCTTCTGCGAGCTTGGCGACATTTGAAACCACTTTTGGATGACCATAACTTCAATTATTCTGGACCAAGGCGAATAGTCGACACTTGTGAGGCAGGGCTCACAGTTGGTGACGACGAGCTCGATGGCTTTGACAGAACACTTGCAGCATACTGCATAGCTTACAATACCAACCCCTTCAACGTTCAGTATGCGGTTGACTGGGAGGTAGAGGATGCGCCAGAATTCTGGCTGTGGCCCCCAAAGTACACCAAGAAGTATGCATTGCCAGAACTGTTGGCTATATTGCGAAGTCTTCGATGCAATGAAAGATTTAAGTCCATTTCTTTCCGGGATATCGATCTACATTCCTTACACAGCACGATTGATGGGAACGGCATTGAACATGCCGCATGTGCGACTCGTAGTGGAATACCAATTGACGTGTACTTTAATCTCAATCCCAAGAACAAATCACTGCTCTACCAAGAGGTGCAAGCTCTTGCGTTGAAGTCGACTAGGCTAAAAAGAATGGACTTTACCAATTGTCTTCCAAGGAGACGGCCAAGGGATAACTTCGATTTCGATGGACGCGAAGTTGACAAAGATCCTGGATGTGAGATTGTTGCGGCTTTGTTACCTCTCTGCCAGTCCCAACTTACCAATGTCGATTGGATCATATTGAACGGCATAGAGCTGGGAGAGACGGATCTTGATTCCCTAATACCTGCCATGCAGAAATCACAGGCCAAGTTGAGAGCTATTGAGTGTTCTCACTGCGGTTTGAATGACAGAGGCATTATGCAATTGATTACCCATCTTGACCGTCAAAACGCTACGTTGGAATATATCAATCTGTCCGATAATCCTGGACGGATCAACTTAGAGCAATTTCAAGCTTCGATGAGCCGATTCACAAGATTGCGGAAACTCAACCTTTCGAGGACTACTTGGACGACTGGGGATCAGCCTCTGGTACTTCCTGAGATATTGATGACTTGGAAGCTCCAGGAGCTGATCTTGGACGGTGTTGCTGTATGTATCGCCGTTCCATCAAAGTGCCTTCCAGACTAATTTGAGCCAGATTAACTCGAAAACACTCGAATCCATATCAACGTACTTGGCAAGTACAATGTCAGATGACCTTTACATGCTCAACCTAGACCAGTGCAGCTTGAATGGCAATGATGTTGCTCTCTTGATGCACTCCATGGTTAGAGTACCTGGCGAAATTCGTAGTTTGGAGCTTCATGTCAGTGCCAATCGGTTTGAGAAAGGCGTCAGTGAAATCGTGAATGCAATTCGGGCTAATCATGCTCCAACTCACTTATTTCTGCGAATGATTGAATTTGCCAAGGAAGATCACTTTAGGGAGTTGTTGCAAGCCCTTCGGACCAACACCACCATTCGCTCTTTGGATATCTCGAAAGCCTCCCTTCCTTATGATGCAGGAGAAGAAACCTGCGAAGCTATGAGACTTGTGTTTGAGGACAACAAAACCTTGGAAGACTTGGATATTTCAGGAGAGCAAGCTCACCTAGAGGTCACCCGATTTGGAATAGGACTCAATAGTGCGTTGCAAGGCCTCAAGAACAACAAAACGCTCAAAACGCTACGTATCATGTATCAGAATTTGGGTTTGGAAGGTGCCAATACTCTCTCGTCTGTCATCGAGGCGGATACGGGTCTCACCCACATCTACTGCGAGCACAATGACATCAACCTCCAAGGATTCACTACCTTGGTCAACGCTCTTGCCAAGAATTACAAGATTGTGCTACTACCGTTCTTACAAGATGACCAAACAACATCGATGAAGAGAATGAACGCCAATATGAGAGAGACCCGTCGCTCTGCCACCTCCGCAAAGAATGATCATCATTTGAAGACTTCTGTTCGGCGGACACTCACAACCTTCGGTGTAGGGCACGCAAAACCAAAAAAACCCGAGCTGACCCCTCAAGATGTAGATGAGGTCGTGAGACTCTTGAATGAGCGTTGGCAGCAACAGACGAACCGGCTGGCACAGTTTCTTGAGCGAAACATGAACATAGCCGCTGGTACTCCCGGCTTCGGCGTTGACGGAGAGAGTATACTCAGCGAAGAAACGATGCGACCCACAACGGCGCTGAGCGACCAGGGCATTCTAGAGCAAGTATTGAGTAACACTACGCCCAAGGTCGAGCTCAACAACCCTGTGGAGTCTCATGTATACAGCCAGACACAGGCTATGAACATTGGTAACGATAGTACGCATGCGAAAGAAAACAAAGGAAACAAAAGAATGTCGAGTGTGGCAGAGTCAGATGACGAGGAAGAACGACCTGTCACTGCTCAGACTAGGAATGGGAAGGAGAAAGTGTTTGACTTGAGAGAGACGGAGGGTGGGATGTTTAGGATGGATTCATGACTTCTACAATCAGACAAGGATTTGACTTGGGGGACCTCCTTGAGGAACGATACCCTCGATTTGGCGAGCGAGCATTACTGGTTCGCTGATCAGGATGCAATACACGTATGAAGCAGTGTTATGTTGGATTCTTTCTCTTCTGACATTTAATCATTCGTCCATTCAGTCATTCTTTCTAGGGAGTTGGTCAGTTGCATTTGCATATGGGGAGCAAAGTTAACCGCACTTTATGTCTTTCACCTTTGGAGTACGTACTACATGCATAGCAATGGCGCTCGGGGAAATGCTTTCGATCACTCGATCGTATGTTTGCTTTATCTGAAGGTTCGGTAAAGGAAAGGGGGGCAGGGCGAGGAAGGCGGGTGGAGAATACCATTATGAATAAAATGCGTTGTTTTGGTTGTTGGGTTGTGGAGTATGAATGATAGAAGGATGGCACTCACTGCCTGCAGATAGTATAGTGTAATACTTTGTACTGCTCCTTGATTGATTGTTGTAAGGCTGATATGTTTCAAACATCCGTATTTTGTCGCCATCCAAGTAGAGGCCATGATAGTGAAGGGTTCTGCATTCTGCTACCTGTTGACCCCTTCTGGACCACGAAAAATTCTTATGTTCTGCAAGAGGTCGCTGTTCACTTTGCCAGCTATCCACAAATAGACATTCGGGTGCCTTGATGTTGCAGAGCAGGGACAGAAATCGTGTAACTTGATTTCTACGCTTGAGATTTCGAATCACTAGATCGCCTATCCCAAATGCCCATAGGTGTACACAGATAATGTAGAAATCGGAATATTTTACCTTCTTTGTGGAATACGTTGAAGTTCATAGGCCAAGTGTTGCAAGGCAAAGTACGAGAAGAACATCTTATGACATGGAAAGAGGAAGAGTAACAATTCAGCATTTCTAATCATGCTTATCTCATGGCATGTCTTTATTCCAACTTCAAATCTAAGCTCTATGATGCCAGCACCCCAGTAACTCGCCGCTCCAGACGCGCCGTCGTCCAAGGAAAGTCCTCCATGATTTCTTGCTCAGGAGGCTCCCTGTATCCGATGACAATATCCACGACTCGTATCAGCCAGTGTATGACTATGCACAGGACCAGGACGATGACGAACGTGGCGCCTAGGATGGCGAAGAATTGGTTGATGAGCAGGAGGAGGGACATTTTGGTTTGAATTGTGAGGAGTCTCGAGCCGGATTGCGTCGATTTGCACTGTTTTGTTTTAATGTGGTTACGGGTGGGTGGACAAGCGAGATAATAGTGGTGATTAGAGGCGTGGAGGAAACGGTGGTTAATTAAAGTCTGGGCTTCTCGGTTTACGATGTCATATTTATGAAAAAGCTTTCTATAGTGTCATGGATTATGATGTAACTCTTTGTACTGAATTACCAAGCAGAGTCTATGGATGAATGCATCATTGCTTGTTCATTGAAATGACTCCGATACAACACTCGTGAAACCCTCCTCACCTTCCATAGATCCAGCGCAATCACTCTACGTCCACCGAACCAACAACAAATCAAAGCAAATAATACTTCAGAATTCCCACGAAGCCAAACAAAGGCTCAGAACTCATGACAGTGTGTCAAGAGCTTCTCTAGCGAGTCCTACAACAAGTCAGTATCATCGAGGCGCTCCACTCCCAGACAAAGTCAATGCCGGCTTACTTCAACAGCCGTGCCCTGCCATGCTTTCAATCCATATTTGCTGCTCCATTTCCCACCTTTTCCTTGTCGGCAGCTTCTCATCCAGGGTTTCTGCACTGTCGGGAAGACGATCTCCTTAAAGTACTTTACGCGGACAGACATACACAGTGCAATGAGTGCAAGGCGAAGGCAGCTTCTTATTACAGCTATGGATTACATATCTTTCATTGCGGGTGGAGGTCTAGGATGTACAGAAGGACACCGAAATCTGTGTTGTTCCAGCCAGTGTCTTTGTGCTGCAGCGAAATCCCCAGGGTTTGCGATTCGGTTGGAAGGCACAATGAGACACAGATTTGCTATCTAACTTACCCGCAAAGATGTAGGACCAGATCAGGGCATTAAGGGAAGTGACACATGAATGTTTCTGGCAAAAGAGTTGAAGCTAGAACAACAAAACATGCAGTCATCTAGCGAGGCGAGAGTACTTGTCTAAGCGCAGATTTCAAGTGCCTGTTATGATCACATTCTTCGAAATTTGCATCTTGCCTACCTTCTCCCTTCTTATGTGATACTAATGGGTGCTGGCTGGTCGTCGAGCTTGTTGTGGAGTATGGATATTGTTCGATTGCCTCACCATCGACTGACTAACCTGTTGACGGATTGTTTCCAAGTTGACATGCCGAGAAACGAACCTAGTCGATACGCAAAAGAATAGATCTCTTCGCCGAGGATTCTTGAAGGCTCTTCCATACTTTTTTTGTGATTGAAAGTTGCATGCTATTAGGATGAGTACCAAGTTAAGTAATTAGCTTTATCATCGTGTTTTCTTTATTTCCAAGTACCATACTCATCCAACATACGTCCTGTACGCCGCCCTTTGGTGTAAGGCTAGGACTGTGGAAAGCATGCCGGAGGATTGAGAAATCACGACTGACTTATTTAATAGCTTCCCTAAGGATATCGATCATTCGACATGTTGGGTAGCTTAAATTATGCAGACCAGGTTCGAGCCAGGCAGAAGCTTGAGAAGACAGGGCTTGATCTTCAAAGATCATCAAAGCTTGGGATTATTGGCCCCACAGTCCATTTTCAAGAGAGAATTTCGCACAGAGAACGAATATAAACATCCTTCCTACGACATGCCCTTGGCCATGCTGAAGTATCCAACCGAGGAGCCCTGGTTCAAAAAAGCAACTTCTCATGCATTGATCTGTCTTGGGATATGGCCATCGTGATAAAGCCATGGATACTTAAATAAATTTGCTCATGCGAAAGAAGAAAATTGATATATGAGAAGGGGAGAGTGGGAGAAATAGGAGATTGTGGGTGTGGAAATCCTTCAATCGGCGAGAGTGCCAGTACTCGCTTTAATTCTAATCTCCCTCGGTCTGTGACAAACCAACAAAGGAAAACCGAAATTTGGACACATGAATGGAGAACGGCAAAGCAATATGATTTCCAGGTAAAAATGTCTATACATTGGATTGGGTAATGTTTATGGAGACCAAACTGACTTTCTGCGATGCATATGGCTTGCTATGGACAAGGTAAAAAGATTCTTTGCAGAGAGGTGTAAAACAAAGGATCAAATTGCAGCAAATTACAAGCATGGTCAGCTGTAAAATGAACCAGACTTGGAGGGCTGTGGCTTCAAGGACCTGTCCCTGCATTGATGGCAATCCAGCACATCGAATATCCCATCTTCCCTCCCCAACAAACCTGACTCAAGCAATAATTGATCGGATGTTTGAGCTATTTTCACATCGGAAGACGGTAACAGACGGCAAACTTGAAAACAGCTCATCCCTTCAGCCATCCCATGACCGGAAGCTGAGTGACCAGCATGCTTGAGGCCGCAAATCAGAATGGTAAAGACGTCTCATACGGCGACCTGACTGAGTCAGTCTTCTCTCGGATAGGAGATATCGTAATTTTTCTGGGAGCGGAAAGTTGATGATCAGCATGGAGGCGATCACTCCGAGTGGATGAGACAACCCCTTCAAAGCGGGGGAGAGGAAAGTCAAAAAGTCAATAATGTCATGAGAGAGGCTTGACTTCAGACATCAGACCTCCCAAAACGAAACGAGACGCGCGTGAGGTCGAGCTCTTGTCTTTCTTGACAAGTTCATAGGAAGTGAAGAATGCACGCTAAGGCATGAGAAAGGGATGAAAACGTGGACGAGTCCCGTGCGAGGACTTATCCGGCCGTTGTGAGGCAAGAATAGATGCAACATGGATTTGGGAGCCATGAAGACTAGCTGACGACCAAGCGTCGATAGACTTTTGAACTCTCGAGCACCTGCGTCATGAAGCACATGCGGGCTCAGGGAGGTCGGCAACCAGGTCCCGTGAAGGTTGATGCTTGTTTGCACTCTTGCTGCGTGCTTCACGATGAACTGTTGGAGGAAGTGTCACCACCCACCAAACTTCCCCCCCCCCCGAATTGGAATCTATCATGCCTCCTAGCCTGCCCTGTCATTCCTGTGAGACCAGTAGAGAAACAGAGACCGTGTGAGCCTTTACGTCAACGTTGTATTTGGTCCAAACAAAGTATCGTGTGTGTTGTGACCAAACTCAAAAGGATCACTGCTTCCTTTCCCTTTCCCTTTCCCTGTGGCCACCGGCCATCGTGGAGTTAGCAGATGCCGTGCCGCACGATATCTCATGTTTCTGCCTTTTGCATCTTCATGTCTCTTCTCTGTCTGTGCTTTGGTTCCAGGGACCTGATCTGACGATAGTCTAGACTGTACTACTGTAATTGACTCTGGGCAGTCTGAGGCTGCTTTGGGTTGGGTTAATGCTGGGGGGCGTCACGATCGGTACGGTAGGCGAGGGTAGGCTCGTCAGGGTAGCCTGGACTTGGAGTAGCGACCTCGGTTCGCGGGGACTATCCGGGTGAAGCACCACGCCAAACTCTCGTCTGCAATAATCTGCGTATGATTCAGCTGATCAGGAGAGGCGGGAACGAATGAAATGCAACTCGGGCAGGAAATAACGCGGCTTTGACGAAAGCCAGAAAGTTTAAATCATTTCCCTCCTTCTCGTCTCGACCTGCTCAAAGGGGATCGGGATCTCCATACAGTATTGGAGAACTCAAGGAGCTTCTGGGCCCAGGCTTCTCCCAGAAGCTACTGTGATAGGCTGGCACTTGTGGCCTTTGGGATTCTTGACGCCATGCCATGCCATGGAATCATAGATCATCACGACTTGGTCTTCTAGCGTCACCAGATCGTTTCGGTGCTTCGGTGCCGATGGGGTGGTGTGGTGTGGTGTGGTGTCTGGTGTCTACAGTAGTTGCAGTACTGTAGCAGTAGGGTTGCACAGACCGGTTCGTCATACCTGATACTCTTACGCTCCTAATAATGTGCATCCGGTAGAGGGGGGGCAACGTGATCTAAAGACTACCAGTTGCCTGGAACATGGAATACTGTATCTCTAGTAGTGCGAGAGAAGCAAAGGCATCAAACAAACCCCCTGCAAACTGCAAGGTAAATATACTCCGTACATCCTCGGTGGCGGAGGATCTTGTCTTGAGAGGGCAAATACAGTTACAGATAAGAGGCGAGAGCGGGAAGTCTCCGTGAATTCCCACTGAGCCTGCTGGGATTATGGAATACATGCCCCGAATCAGCAATGTTCGTTATCTTGCGCTGCCATAGGCGCACGACTGGTAGGTTCAGAAATTCTGGAGTACAGTAGGGCACATGCTCCCGTCCAGCTAAAGTCAATTTACATTTAAATTCAAAGGCACTGGCACTGGCACTGGCACTGGCGCTGGCGCTGGCGCTGGTGCCCTCAAGATGGAGATGGAGATGGGGATGGAGCCTGAGCTTGAGCTTGAGCTTGAGCTTGAGCTTGAGCTTAAGCTTGAGGGATGATGGCTGGAGGAGCACATGCGGGGATACCTCCGCGTCTATTGGTTTCCTCGCTAACTTTGCCATTACCCTCGGCAGTCGTGCTGTGCCTGGGCTAAGAAGGAACGAGAGAATGCGCGACATCGTTAGGGCAAAGATATTTCCGTGGCCAGAAGAATGGAATGGTTAGCTGTAGATCATCGCAGCGCAGCGCAGGCTGTCCCAGGACTCCTTGGAATAATAATAAGACTGAGGAAAGCTTGGCAATAGTAAAGCAGTGCAGCGCACGAAACTGTGTTTAAATTTATGTACAGCTCGAGCAAGGCAGCCTCTCGAAGAAGAGTCAAAGACGGTGGCTTTATGCGATGCACCTCGATGCACATCTATCACTGCAACCTCTATGCAGGCCGGTTCTATCTGATGAGGAGAAGCCAGTCCGTTTAGCTGTCTGTACCGCTTCTCGAGATGCTTGCTCTCGCTGCCTCGCACCGAAGGATGGGAGATGGAACAGAGAGGCCAAGTCGAGGATGGCAAGCCACTCCAGGCTCTCTTGTCTTCCTGGAAACCATTCAGGATCCGGAGCCACACAATCCGACGAGTGCCTCCTGGCCCACACCAATCCCACATTCCAATCCAATCCAATCCAATCCCCCAAGACATCCTCGTCGCTCGTTCACGTGAGAGTGACACCAGGCAAGGTAGGAGGAGGACAGGTCCAGACGACGGAACCGGCGAAACCATATTTTAAAGTTTAGTAGAGACAAGGGATCCATGTCCACCGATATGAATTCAGTGCTAGGATCTAACTGGCGCTGTGCTTGGCGATGACCTAGCGATGGAGTTGCATGCGGATGTGCTGTTCATTTATGTGTCTTAGCCCGACCTCACATGGACCGCACTTTGCCCTAATGAAGTAGCTCTTTGCGGGGGGGCGTCCACCTGCAGGGGGCTGGTGGCCAGTTGACCTCAAACCATTTGTTTCTCTCCTCTCTTCTCCTCTCTTCTCCTCTTTTCTTGTCCAATTGGCTTCACCCCCCCAATTCCTACTCGCTTCTTCCAGCTTCCAGCTCGCCGAGGTGGACAGTGGACTCCACCCGCAAATGAAACTAATCAATGTGTGAAATTCTCAATCCAAGAACGGCAAGTCCTATTGTTTTCGAAGCTCGAGATTCATGCCTCCCAACTCCTTGTGGGAAACCGAGTTTCGCCAGTGTCTTTACGTACTTTTGCTTGGTTTGGCGAATAGTGGCGCTGTGGTTGTCGGCCCGTCTTTTTCTTCCCCCCTGCGAAGATCAAGATGAGAAGCTCGAAAATTTGGTCTCAGAAAGCTGGGGCACCGCACAAAATGCACTTTTGGGGGCCGCTGATTGGCACTCTCGGTCAGATGAATCAAGGATATGAGCTGAGGCTGGTGCTGGGCAGGGAGGAACTCGTTGGTTGAGGATACGAGAATCAAGAGAACAACCGGAATACCTCGGCGGCCAGGGCAGTTGCCGTCGAGCAATCATGACTTTGGTCGTGGTCGTACTGGGTGTGAATTTGCTGCCTTCATGCTCCCCTCGCTGTGTCCCATATCCAGCTGCATCCATCTGCACAACTCGTCGCTTGCTCGCTCTTGCTCGCTCGATCTTTGATCGCCACTAAAAGTTGCCCTAATACAATCCCCTGCTTCTTGCAGCCTTTTTTCATATCATGTCGCATGGCATTTCGATCAATCTCAGATGGGATTGTTTTAGCAAGTCTTGGCCCCCGAGAAAGGGCCACTCAAACCACCTGGAGCATGCAACTTAGCAGGGCTCTGCTATCGTGCTGAATCCCATAACCGTTTCTGCGGGATCGGGTAGTCGATTTAGCTAGCATAACTGCCACGACCGAGATCTGATCTGATCCAACTAGCTAAACATAGACTGGACTGCACTTGTACGCCAGCACGAGCTTCCAAGATACGGAGATGTACCGATACCAAGTCATCAAAAGTTAATTGGCCGCGAAGTATAGCAACGAGAGCAACATCACCATTGCTGCCAATCCTCGTCGGATAAGGACCATTTCTGAACAGCGGAACTGTGCTGCCGCCGAGTAAAAAGTCGAAAGCATTCCCCTCCTTATCCTTGCGCGCAATATCTCCCGCTTTCGTAATTTCAAGAAAAAAAAAATTCTGCCCGCCTTCCCGATCGCTGCATGCAGGATGTGCCGAGTGACATGCGGTCAACAGCCCCAATCAAGTGAACGATGCGACTGATTGATCAGCGCAAGAGGTTTGTGCTGACATGAACCCTCATCAGCTGTCAAGCGACTCAAGCCTGACCTGGCTCATCGGCTGTTGCGGATCAATTAGAAGGCTTAAGGACATCGTCTAACGCCAGGTTCTTTTGATATATTCTGCCCTGGCTAGGGGTGGAGAACCCTTCAAGGATTGTGAAGGTTTTGTGGACAACCCAAGACTTCTGCCATTTTCTTCTCATCGATTGAAGGAAGGGGATTTTGGGGGCCCGGAATCAATTTGGAGGAGCTGTTGGGAGTATTGTACCAATAGATTTGACCCTGCCTCAAGAATTCTTTCCGCACCAGCCACACCACATCAACTCGGGTCGCTAAACTTGATCCCCTTTGAGCGTCCGTCACAAGCTCTGGGTCTGCAAAGAGTAAAAACAACCATAACATGCTTCTGATTAGTTCGAAGCACAAGAAGTACTATCCTTGGAATCTTGGACCATGGTTGTTTGAGGAAATTTGATCTCAGTGAAGAAGCATTGTCCGGCTCGCCAATTCGGCGCCTGTAGTGGTTCGGTACTCGTACGAACTAGACAAACACATCAGTTCATATCAGTTCACGTCGCTTCACAACCATCAACCCACTGTTGTTCAAGATGTTACCGCAACATCGAGAGAGCGGTCTGCAGCCTGACTGCATTTTCGGAGACTCGGCAACACGGGCCAGAGATTCTATTCGTGCATATTCATTCAACGTCACCACGGTGAACTGGCTTAGATCTTCAAGTACCAAGGACTTCTCCGTCGCTTCTTTCTCCCTTCACTCGCCTGACAAGTTATCTTAACCCGGCCCTTTCTCATGCACCAGAAGCCGCGAAGAGCGTTCCCTGTTGGCGTTCTCGACCAAGCCAAATTCGGTGAACACGCCTTTCATGGCAGGTTGCAGATGCAGGCGTGCAGGCTGGAGAGATGGACCTCGTCATGACTTTTGATAGGACGACAGATATGTTCGCTGGGGTGGTAGAGGAGGATATCGGAACGACCAAATGATTCATCACACATTTCTATTACTGTGCCCTTTCCCTTCTCTGACCTATAGATGAAAGCGAGTCGTGATTGTACAGCCCAACAGAAGTCGGACGGCAATAAATTCTCAGGGGGCCAATCCGATGGGTTATCTAAACCCCGAAGAAAAGATATTATTATTGATCGTGAACACCCCTTCACACGACTCGGTGTGCCCATACAATCCCCTGTTTGTAAGATGCAAAGCAGCTGCAATGGGTGGTCTCAACGTGGCCCCCCTGACTGATTTTGATGTGGTTGCACATCATCTGCTTCGAGGCCTCAAGCCACGCTGCACTGCTGGCATTACTCGCCAAATTTCAGAGTGCTTTTGTTTCCATAATGGGCCTCGATCGTATTGCTTGAAGCTGGTTATCTGTCGGCAGCGAAATGATGACTGTTGTCCAAATAGCCTCGCCAGCTGCCCCTCTATTAGCTCTTCATTAGTCGCCGCCGCCTATTTCACGCTTGTCACTAATCACGATCCTAGATTCCACTACCCCACGATGTTGTATCGAAGTTGACTTACATCTTTCCGACATCCGGCAAGAAGCTGAGGACGAGTCGAAAAGCTAGCAAAAAGCCCATGGTTCAAAGATAATCACAAGGAAAAGGTTCCGTCTCTTCAAGAAGTTTACAGTTGCCCACACCCTCAAACCATGCCTCCCAAAGAGGTGATAGTCTCTCCCATGCATCTGGGTCGGCTACGCAAGCGTCCCCCCAAGTCCAACATCCATCCACTGATTTCACTCCACCTCCATCACCAGCATCACTAGCTGGTATCTAATAATTGCTTTGTTCGGGGAATATAAGCTGCCGTGGTTAACAGCCCACTCACAGTTTGTCCCAGAATTCTCGTAGTGTTCTAGTAGGTCTTCCATATGCCAGATTCGCAGATCCAAGACTCCCCAATCGCCGGCATCAGTGACGCTGGCCATCGGCAGTGAGGTTTGGTCATGGCTTTGGTCCTTTTGAGGCTTGCGAAGCAAATTTCCCGTAATCCCAGCCATCTCACAACTGTGCCCTGTGCCCTCTGCCCTACTCCTTGCCCTGCCTCGTCTGCCTTGGACGCTAGTCATAGAAAAGCTAGGCCACTCTCCATCGTCCGTCCCAGTAAATCGAGTCAAGTCAAGTCAACTTCGACCCTTCAGCCCAGCGCTGCGTTGACGAGCTTTCATCCGGCTTGCCTTCCCCCGCACACACTACAAACTTCTCATCACAGACGATAGTGCATGAAATCCACATCTGTCCCATCACCCGAGCCCTCACAGAGTCACGGTCCAGCCACTTCATTGCGTGTAATTTTCGGCGTCAGCCAAAAAAGCAATTCCCACTCCACTGCCACCCAGGGAAGAAAAAAAGACACCGCAATCTTCTTGCCAACAGCAACAACAATCGAAAGAGAAAGGTAAATTACTATCAAACACGCGATGCTACCAATGACACAAGCCAGTTCGAGGATACCTTGAATCTGCACCTGTCTATATCCTCGTACTAGCGCCTGGGCTTATTATTAGTTCTCAGATCTGTTCCTAGCTCTTCCGTCTCCCCCTCCCTCGGCCAGAAGTCAAACGGACGCCAGCCCTCACTATCGTCAAGCATCACGCTAGACCTCGAGACAAACAGAGCAGACGATCCAGCACCATACCGAGCATACCCACGCCAAATCTGCCCCCACGGACACCATCCAGCTGTCGACACCAGCAACCGCGACCAAGTCCTCGACCGTGCATCCGCTGGAGATTCTCCCTAAGATAAACATTGGACGGCGGACAAAGAATAGGTTAAGGAGCCGCACGCTTGCGCAGGACCAAAAGGAAACATCGGACGCAGTAGTTTCGAGACCATCCGCGGCCTCCAAAGTTCGCGCGACAACAACGCTCCTCTCGACTCTGCGAGACCAACCCCTTACGCGGCAACGTTCTCTAGAGGAACGAAGACAGAAGATCTGTGGCAGACCTGCTCGCACATTTTGCGCGGAATTCTTTCCTTCCCCTTCCCTCGCCACAGGTCACCTCGGATTTGAAATTGCAAAGATTTAGACTTTCGACTATCCCAAAACATCTTGTTCTCGACCTTCTGTTACCTCATCATCGGTTTCTCGAGCTGAAGGAAATTTCCCTCCCGGATTGGCATATATTTTACTGAAGCAGACTAAGTAATAATTCTCCGATCACCCTCATCAGGAAAAGAAGTTGAAGAAGCCCTAGCTCTGGGCAGAATCCTCTGAAGCTAAACGCAACATCGACACCTGAGTGGCTCTGCTGCTCGGCCCAAAAGACTCCAGATTGAAGGCCACCACGCAGTTGGCTGGCTGGATAGAGACTAGGAGACTAGCTGAACCGCCTACTGCTGCGCCTGGGCCGTATCTGGTTTGGCACCAACCATCTTGACGCGGATCTACATCTGGACTGTGAGTACTCCCTGTTAGAGTTTTGTTGGCTGCGCACTACTGGGAGATCCAGACATTACTGGATCGGCACTTTCAGAAGAATCACTCCTGCAGAAGGGTCAAGCAGCAGGCAAAGCAAAAGTGCAATGCACCCTTCTGCTGCTTGGGATATCCCCGGAGAGAGCGCCTAGATAGTCATTACCATTATGGAGAACCCCTGGCTGACCGTTCAATTGAAACTTACAGTGGTCACTACAGGACCATCGTTACTGTCCTGCTCCCTGGACCCAGAGCCGTCAGAGCCCTGAGCGGACAACAAGCAGCCCGGTGAACCCTGAATTTTGGACTCGCGCCAGCGCTGACAACCACAATTACCACTCACTGCCACTCACTACTAGGGGATACCCGTCCACCTGGTGCCTGCGTGTTGTGCTTGTTTTCGCCGACCACCTCCCCCTCCCTCCTCACCAACCTGGTCCAGCCCAGCCAAGCCCAAACACACGCTCGTCGGCTTTCCACCCTCCCCCCCACCCCGGGGCCCACCTACCAAGCACATCCTAAGACACCCTGCTTGCGGAATCCCTGCACTGTCTCCCTGTTCCCTGCTCTCTGCTCCCTGCAGCTGCACATCTTCGTCGTCCTCATCCCCTCCCCGTCCTCGCCCTCATCATCCTGCGAGCCTGCCACCCACGACCCACGCTCACTCCGCACCACTACCACCCACGTCAAGATCCATCCATCTCCCATCTCCCATCTCACGTTCTCATCGTCCTGGACTTGCCGCTTTGCCGCTTACGGACGCCTTTCTAGTGCCACCGCAGTGGAGACCCATTACGCTGTTCTTGCATCATCCATACGCCATACGCCACCCTAGGGCTCCATCGAGGCAAGCGCTGGAGGAAGACTGACCTAAAATTTTACACGGCCCCTCGAGTTAATCCTCTCTCGGCCACAAGTCTCCTGCTTCTCGTCCAACACTTTTGACTTTGTGGATTCGTGACCGAGTGTTGTACGGTTGCTGCTACTGCTTGTTGGGCATCTTGTGCTGTGGTTGTGTGTGCTCGTCGCAGTCATAAATCCGCACAATTGCAATTGTGGTTGTGGTTGTGGGTGTGGTTCTGGTCCAACAAAGCCGAGAAGGCATTGTGTCATTCATTCACACACTTCCTGCAGAAGAAACCCTTTCGCCGAGTTCACCTCTAGACGCGACCAACCCGCAGAAGTGACGAGGTTCACTTTGCCATTATTGCCCTTAGTCCGATTTTAAGTCGCCTGCCTGCCTTCGTCTTGTCGACTACTTTCTCCTCGTCGCACTTTCCTCCCTCCATCATTCAAAACCCACGCCGCGCCCCCTCGATCTTCACCTGCCGCCAGCTAAGACATCGCATCCTTGCAACTCCAAAAGCCCACACTCACTGGTGGCTGTTGCATCCCTTTCCGTCGACTTTAAGAACGCGACTATCCTATTCCTCTGCAAGCTTCAAGCTACGATCGCCTCGCAGCACGAGCATCCAGCAAGTGTCGACGACAAGCTGATCTCCCAAGGCCGCGGCAGCACGATCACCCGTTGCAGTAGTGAGCATCAAATCCTGAGCGCATCGGTACCTGTCGCCGAAGATACATTATCTTTTGGCCCGCCCGCTTCCGACCTCGTCCCTGCACTACAGTATTCTTGCTACCCTTCGTCGTTCGTTCGTTGCTTCCCTTCCTCGAAAGAGCCAACCCCAACCCACCCACGCACCTTCGAGCCGACCACCGACTAGCGACGACCCCCTCAAAACCGCGCAGCTGTAGTATGTCCTTGGTTTCCCAGCATCTTTCAGACAACAACACCAACTCATTACTTTCAAGCACAGAACTCGAAGACAGCCACGAGGACGAGTCCAGCAACCCCTTCACCGAAGCAGCATTGAGCAAGCTTCTTGGGGTCTCCGCCAATTCGTCCCGCCGTTCTATGGACAGAGGTGCAACACAGTACTCGCAGTCAGGTTTGCACTCACCGTTCCAACACGCGTTCAACGACGCTCAGTCTGAAGAAGAATCCGCAGATCACGCGTCTGCTGCGCATTACACGCCCGAAGTTCGATCCAACCAATTCTCGACTTCCGCGACCCCTACTTCCGAGTACGGTATTTACCCTACTTCGGCGCGCTCAGGTTCTTTTCCAGAACACATACAACGCCAGTATCATCCATCCAGCAACCACAGCGGTAGCAACGGAGGAGGTATGGCTCAACCAACAAGTCCGTCACTGCCTTTGCAAGATGGTCGCAACCATCACAACACTCAAATCAAGTCTGACCAGGATGTTCCTATAGATCCATCCATTGCTGCGTCCAGCCCAACCTACCCCCAACACAACGGCCAATATAGCCCATACCCTCAACAAGGTGATATGTCGCACGGCTATCCTCAACACCCCGCCGGCGGCGCTATGTATACGCAACCTCGACCTGACTGGGCTGGTTACGCCGGAGGACAACACCCCATGCACGGCGGATATCCGGTCAGTGGAGCCCAGACACCTACCTCTGCAGCCCCAGCTGGAGCGCGTCCTGGTCAAGTAAGCCTTTTTGATTCGTCTCAACCCTCAACTGCAAGGCCATTAGGAGTGAGCGGGTGTTCTTGGTCGCGTTGTAATGCGCGTCGAAGTTCAGACGAGCGATTTTCAACCAGTATTTGATGCTCTCCAATGCGCTCGAGAAGTCTCGACGCGTTGAGTCCAGAACGACGTACCTCTTAAATATTTTGAAGAACAGCTAATTTAACAGCAGCTTGCGCAGGTCTACTCGTTCGTCCCCATTCCCGGTGCTCAGCAACACAAGCGTCCCCGCAGAAGATATGAGGAAATCGAGCGCATGTACAAGTGCGGCTGGAATGGGTGTGAAAAGGCCTACGGCACATTGAACCACCTAAACGCCCATGTAACCATGCAATCACATGGCCAAAAGCGCACTCCTGAAGGTATGTTTGGCTTGTTTTCCTTGCCTCCTGGTTTGTGGTTAGCTTTGTCGATTTATTGTCGGATGCGCATGCGCGCGGCGCAGGTGTTGCGATGCGGCTCTTTCAAATGCAGTTGCGCCACGATGCATATGTTGGTTTTCAATTGCGCTTGTAAATAGCCCGATATCCTAGTCGGTTCTCCATGATACGCGGGATGATTTTCGTTGGCGTTGGAGCTAGGTCGGACTGGGATTGGGGATAGCCTCACTTGATCGGAAGCTAGCATGGGTCGACCAAAGCTTCGGGATTCATTGTGTAACATGATTACGCTAACACACCACGCTTAATAGAGTTCAAGGAAATCCGCAAGGAATGGAAGGCCCGCAAGAAGGAGGAGGAGAACCAACGCAAGGCTGAGGATGAGCGTGCTAGAGCCACTGTTGTGCCTGCTGATGGTCAGAACTCGTCCGACAACCCCCCTGCTGGTTACCAACAACCAGGACGATCTGTTCAACTCCCACCCATTGGTTACCAACCCGGTGCTCAGGTTCCAGGACAGTACCAGGCTCCATCCGGCGGCGTTCAACAGCTTCAAGGCTATGGTGGCGAGAATCATCTTCAGTACTCTGGCTACCCAGCATCTCCATACGGTGCACCAAACCAGATGTATAACCAACGTCATTACACCCTCATTTCTGATCCTGCTATAGAATGATGCTAACATGATCCACAGATAATGGTGGCCCCGCGCCCAAGTATGAACACTAAATTTGGTATCTTCCTTACCTCGTCCATCAGCAGTGTCACAGAAAAGCTCACGGCTTTTTTGGTCAACCCTGGGACTTATGGATGATGCCCTGGTTGCTTCATAATTCTTTCCCCACGCGTGTATCATATGGGTTGCTGCCCACCTGCATTTGATTGAGTCGCTTGTCGTGTATCCTCCTCGATCCTTAGACGTCATTCGATCCGGTTCGGCAACGAAAACGATTTGCATGGCTTGATGAACTTTCCATTCTCGTCAACGGTCAATTGGGAGGTGGTCGGTTGCATTTTGTGGATCTTATGCGGCGTCGTTCGGATCTTCACTCGGGGTCATGATGTTGACGAGCTGGGACTCTTTTTGACTTTGTTTGGGGGAGGTTTCGGGCCACGGCTAATGATTCCCTTCTACAATGATTCCCTTCTACTCGATGTCTGGGTCTTTCGGCTACCCGACTTTTCCTTAATCGTCTTTCCGTGGTTTTGATTTCGTTTTTTGCAAAAATTCACCTGGCTGCATACACTGGGGTCACATTACTCATGGAGGGGTGTTGGTTGATCGTGGGGAACTTGCTATAGCTTTCATGCATGCACGGTTCACGCACCAGAAGGAGTAAGCAGCAGCAGAGTACATGCAAACTAATACGAGCATTAAACTTATGGCCTGTGTGTATATGTGCGTATAGCTTGTGACATTGGACTTTGAGAACGTTGAGGCTAAGTTGCTATGGCGCTGGTCTGGTTGAAGGGACTGGTGTTAAGACCGCTGTTTAGGGAGAATTAGCTTGCCTCTGCAACTAAACAAGGCTGGTTCACCAGACCAGCACCAAGACCAGGAGAATCCACCCGCCTCCGCGTTGACTTAAAGCCTAGCATATGAGTTAAGCAACGCAAAATGCGTGCTATCTCAAGCGCAATACTATCCTGAGACCGCGCCCTTCGTAGGCTGCGAGCGATGTTTGGAATGGATAGTCAGTCGCTTGAGAGTTGACGTGAGGCCGGGAGGACGGTAGCTACGACGAGCTAGGTGATACTGTGGACCGGCAATTATCTGTCTGTTGGTGTTTAGTATTTAGTGCTGATGGTGTCTGGGCTTGTGCTTCTGTTGGTTTGTGTCTGTGGTCGCTGGTATTTTGCGAAACATTGATGAGGATTATGGTTACTGCTAGGCGCCGCGACACCCCGTGCTATTGATGTCGAGAGGCATATTTCAGGACTTCTTTCTTGAAGATTTTGTACGTGTCTCTGTTGTGTTTGCAGCTTTGGGGGATACGAAGCTTTGAAGGTATGAGTGGGTAGATGTCGGTAGTCATGGCGCGCCACGTGCTTGTTAGACCGAACACACTGGGGAGACAGAGGCAGAAGGCAAGATTCTAAAATCTGTTTTATCTGGTTCGCCATCGAGCTATGTCTTGTACGGAAGACGAAGAGCCGGAAATCATAAGAGTCATCTGCATCAACTAATGGAGCCTTCTCTCTTCCACCGGACGAGGACCGGGTATTCTCTGCAACACCTTGGTATGATAAAATCGTTGGTTAGCTTATTTTGTCACTTCATGTTTTTCTCTCTGTTCTTACTCTTCATTCCAGATTACCAGGATAAAAATGCGAGAAGTTCAATGCGGGAATACATGAGTCACAAATTCAAGCATGTTTTACGGAAAAATTCTGCCCTTGACAAAAGCGGGACTCTTGGTACAAGTGCCTGGGGATTGTTACTGGGCTTGCGGATCCAGGATTTGGCACACAGGTGAAGAGTCTTGAAGTTGCTTCTCCAACTACGTCTGTGGATCAGTCGGTTAAGATCGGAGAGATGCGAGTCGGAGTGAAAGTGGCTGCTCGTCAAGATCTGGGAGTGGACTCTCACGCGTCCAGTGGGTAGCGAGCATTGAATTATACTTGCAGCCCTTATTGTTTCTTGAGAAGATGACGATGCATGTATTTTGTCCACAATGTGATGTGTGGGTGAGTGAGTTTATCCATGCTGTGCCCATATGGCACATTTCAATACCCAGCTTGTCCAGTGGTCGAAGCCAACAAGTGTAGTTCTCACTTTTTCCTATCACGGTTCCTCCATTCTTCCGCGACTTACATTCGGCCTCGGCTCTAAAAGTCATTCTTCGGAGAAAGGAGCACTGCATTGTTTCTTCATCTCTTGTACCGCAGACCGAAGTCCTGCCCAAATTTGTCCCAACATGTCACACTTGCCAGTACGCTCGCGGTCTTCAACTGCGCCTTCTCAGCTCTACCTACTTGCCTCTTGTTTTATATCATCCCTAATCCTTATTCCATGCTTTTGCCACCTTCGAGGACGCGTGCTCCAGCCTCACGTGTGTGTTCCGCGAAGTCATTGCGAGCACAACCAGAAAGGGAAGGAACAACAAGAGCAACCAGCCAGAAGGGGTGCTAGCGTGAGTATAAGCCCCCCCCCCCCTCGGATCACAAATGTCGCTCATCTTGGATTTCTTTCTCCTGTGTCCATCTCAAAGTCAACGTGTGGTGAAAGTATCTGGCAATTTTCAGGCTTGATGTTGGTCACAGCGGGGCGAATGGTCTACATGAGGGAACGAGTGAATTTGAAGACAATCTCGTATCTACTCCGACCACCTGGTATCGCGCAAAAACTTTAACTCCTTGGTGTTCTTGTAATCTGTATTGGGATGTGGAACTTGGCAGATGTCTTCGCCCAGGCAGGAGTGAGGCTCACCTGGCCAGTCACGCGTCGTCACTTGAAGCCCAGGGAACGACACCACGATCGACATAGCTCTGATTTTGGTATCAAACTCAGCTGTTGAATAGTTTAACAATACCGCCTCATCAATGGGCATTTGATCAACATTGCCGCAATGGTATCTCGTGTTGGTGGCAATCTGAAGCAGCCTCGCTTAAGGTATTTGTTTGGCATCTCACTTCGTGCTCTCTGTCTTTCGCGTCTCACAGCAGAGCTCCTTGGGATCCTGAGAATATAGGAATGGTAATCTAGTAATAGAAGTCTGGTCGAGTTACCTTAAACTATTTTACAACTTTAGTGCAGGCTGAAGTCTTAAGGAACGGGCAAGGACATTTCTATGAGTGCCAGCACCTGCTTGACCCTCACTAGAAATTCTTTCTGCCACCCAGGGCCGACGTCTCAATCTAGGAAGGTTTGTAACAGAAAATAAGGTGAAGACACCAGAAGAGTACCAACGACCCCCGATACGCCCTTTTCATTTCGCTACATCAAGCCTTGGCTTGAAGAGAGAAAAGTTGAAGGTATATTGAAGTTAGGCCTGGGTAAAGATATTTAAGCCTATTGCTTCTAGATGCCTTTAGTGTCGTGAAGCTGAAGCTAGGTACCTAGTTGGTTGCGCGCCGCTGTACCTACGTAATCCGGAACTTGACATGGACCCATTGACATCCACGACATCCTCCTCACCTCGACGTCGCAAAATATTGCGCATGACACGATCTCTCTTGCTTTACGAATCTACGAATCTCCAAGCTGAACTCATAACTACTCGTGCAGATCGTACCATCGTCTAACTTGAACACACCCCCGACTGTATTTCGCAATGGCAATTTTCCTTCGTCGTTTCGTCCACGATCTCAAAGTGGCCCTTGGTCCTCATGTAAGTCACCCTATGATAGAGAGGATCCTCGATTGCAACTGTACTTTACCTCTTGCTTATAGGTCTTTTGTGCTAACCTTGGATTTAGGTCCCTGCTCCTAACACACTGAATCCCGTTCTGCTTGCGATCGGCATCAGAGGTTACTGGATCCAATCTCGCATCTTGCGCATACCCGATCGTTATGGTTTCTTCTCACCCGGACCGGCCCGTTGGCAGGTACATGATGCATCACTTTGTGTCGCTATATTGATGGTCCTTGCGGTCGTCGCTCCTGCCGTGGTTCTTTTACATGTCTGCCTGACGCTGAAGGATGGTCACAGACCGCTCTGGGAAGATGCACTGATCGGGCTCGCACCTTCTGGGTTGGTTCTTGGTGGGATATGGGTTTGGCAATGTCATAGTAAGCAGCGCGCGCTAGATTATGAGTGGGAGGATTGGAAAACGAGGAAAGACTGATTCGGGATCTCGGGCGGATCGTACTAACCGATCATCATGGAGACGTCTCTGAAAGAACTTAAGCGGCAGGTGAAGCAATTGAGACAGGAAGCGAGGCACACGAGATCTCTATCCTATCCTCAGTACGGATTCCCTGTGTGAGCTTGTGAATTGTTTTCGCTGTGACTGCACGTATGAACATCCGCTAACGGTAAGTAGATAGGTAATATGGCGAGGTAGGTGCATACTCAGGTCCGATCGCTTCTTCGCTTGTACCATTCTTTCTATATAATATCGTTCTGTTGGCAAAGTGCAAGGTTCTGAGGGCAATTAACATCCTCCGTTCCTCCCACTGTGCTCGTTGACATACTGTGGATTCGCTGACATACTGTGGGCTCGTTGGCTGCTTGTGGATTTTGACAAGCCTTCCGCCATAGAAATATATCTTGCACTCTCCCTATTCCTCAAGGAGTAGGTTCACCAGAGGCCGATCAACCAATTTCTTTCTTCAAGTACGTATCACAAGCTTGTTTGACAGTCAACCAATAAGACCGTGGTACCATGATTGTATTGATATGAAAAAACAGGCAAGTAAGAAAAATCCCCCTTCCCGCCCCCAACACCCACGAAGCTCTCGTGGCCTTCATCGCACCAAGCTCTGTCCCTAAATCACCAGTGTTATCATTACCTGCAATCTCCTGCTCATCTCATTCAAATCAAAGAAAACGTTCTCAAGTTGACACCCCTACTCCTCAAAACCTCCGGCTCCATCCTCGGATCCGAGTTGACGATTTCTCCAGTCTTCTTATTACGGAAACACCTGAATATACGTGGATCTTCCGAGGTCCTCTCCCCGCGATCAACAACCTCCCATTCTTCTGGCAACGGACCAAGTCTGGGATCTTCATCAGACGTAATCTTTGTCTCGGAATTGTAGAAACGGAGGATAGTAAAGAGGCCAGCCGAGTCATTAAAGACATTAGCCATCCAGGGCGAGGGCAGGGGTCCTAGGAAGGCATTCGCATCATTGAGACCAAAGATGAAGCATTCGCCGAGAACTCGGAATGTATCCTCGGGTTGTGGGCGGATGAGGATAGGTGCTTCGCAGCCGAGGAAGACGACGATGATATCACCTATGAAGTTGGAATCAGCTTAGTTTAATTAAAATCACGGTTTTATTACCTGTAGATGCAGCAGGTGGCGCTAGACCGAAGTAACCGTCGGAGGTTGTCACCCATGCACGACCTGGTAACAGAGAAAGAGCCAATTTCTCAATCGGTGTCGGTTTAGAGTCGGCTGAAAGAGGCGTCTTTGCCTGAGCACCAAATAGAGCGGTCGGCGAGTCTTGTGCAATCCAATCATCGAATGATTCAGCGTAGTCACGATCTGGAAACCTGTCTTTCAGAGCATTTCCAGTGAGTGTCCTGGCGTGCGCATCACGTACACTTCCTCCAGTGACGTATCTTCCTGAATCCAGATTCTCAGGCTCCCATTGCCGGACCACCCGCAAACATTCAAGTAAGTCTGCACCTGCTTGTAGAGTTTCATGGATGTGCGTGATTGTCGCGCACTGAATACCTGTGGCATTCAGTGTTTTTGGCATTTCGAAGCGTACTTCTGCACGAGAGTGTCCAGCTGCGAACTGCCAATCCATTCTTCGAGAGATCTTCAGCTTGGAAGCTAGATTCGGAACCCAGGAAGAGCTGGCCAATGTTTCAGCAGGCTCTGTTGTAATGCAAAGTCGCAGCATTTCCAGACGTTTGGAGTATCTAATGTGAGCTATAGTCGCATCTCTGTAAACTTCGTTCACTGACAATGAATAATTTGGACGTATAAGCTCCTGGAAACTCCGTGGGAAAAGTCCGTGGATGCCGTACACTCGATCCCGAGAATCCGTACAAGATCTACCATACACTTGGTAGAATAAGTCCGAAATTGGGTGTTTGTCCGGAAGCAGTTCCACTAGATTTCCTATCAACCTCATCACTGATGGTAAGCTCCATGATGCTGCCTTGTTGTACCAGAGAGCGAGGATAGCGTAGCGGAAGGTTATCCAGTCGAGTTGATCCTCACTGCATAAGAATAACCCTTTGCGAGCCAGGTGCGCCTCTTGAACAACCCATAGACGTCCGAACCAAGCGCGCTGAAGTAAGCTACTGATAGCCGCCCAGGTGCTGTTGTCAAATGGCAACTGGACAGAAGACTGAAACCATGCATTTTCCACAGCATTTGGAGCAGGTACACGACGCCGATCAGTCGTTGACACCACTTGTTTGCCGAGGTTATCAAGCGTTTGCAGTGCAAGCTTGCTATCTTCTGTCGAAGGCCCTACCCACACTATGACACGCTCCGCCACCTTGAATATATCTCCCATGCGAGATACTTGAGCGTTTCGCTCCACAACATCCGCCTGATTGATACAGATGGCGTCAATCCAGAGTACTCTTTTCTTATCCTTGTACCTCAAATGTCTTAAGGAGCCTGCGAGATTTTGACTTAACAAGAGCCTAGCGTAATGCAAAGGGTTTGTTGAGACCACAACCAATATCTCTACTACATCGTCGTCCGAGTTCTTGGAAGCAAGGTCGATGAGGACTTCCAAAGGATCATCTTCTACTCCCCATATGTATGATAAAGCTTCATAAGCAGTACCTTGACCTGGAACTTCCTCCCCCCTTGGATTTTCGACCGTATTGATTGTCTGGATAAATTTGGTGTTGGGGTGCTGCCAGGAGGTGGATGCAGTCCCAGCCGCATCTTTCTGGATATACAGGATTCGTCCTTCAAAAGTTTCGCACGCTTCCCAATCCTTTGGAAGACTTGCTTGAGCATCTTTCAAATGTTGGCCATTTCTACTTGGGTCTGCGGATCTCTCCACAGAAACCTGAGTGAATCTGAGCTTGATTTTCTCGTCGACGTCACCTGGAAAAAGTGTAACAAGTCGAATGTCCTTTGACGGATCCGCAAGTTTCTTATAGATGTAGATGTTTTGCGACATGGTGATTCTGATACGAAGAAATTCGGATTATCAGAGATCAGGCGATGTCCTGGTGGATGAGGACATGGCGGAGAACAAAGGACATGGTAGAGTACAAAGCAAGACTGGCCATGTTATTTACAACCCCGCGCCAGTTGGGCGCTAGTCCTAAACAGTATAGATGACTGTAATAAACCGCTCTCCCATGGCTGTCAGTGAATGATTTTCTATTATATGGATGAGTCCTATCACAGATTTGGGTACGATGAGCTGGTAATGGCATGAGTCTGCAATGTAGGAATTAGGTTTTTATGCTCGCTGTCTGACAGGACAGGACCCTTGCAGCGCTAATCAGTCAGGTAACTTTCTACAGTATAGCACGGTACTTACCTAGCCTAACGTACCTTACTACCTAGCTGCGGGGCGGACATTTAGGGATATGGTCGATCGAGGCACCCTTAGAGCACCAAATCCAACTTCTTTACATGATCATCTCTGTATCTACAAGTCTTGAAATGAAACTTTGTCTTTGCATATTGACCAAAAATAGCCAATACACACTCGCATATTATGATATCATATTGTTGTAATTTTCTTTGTATTAAGTTTTGAGCAGTTATCACAAAAGAGTGACCTCCCTTTAATAGTCGGTTCCCCTCTGTAAAGCTGCGGGCACTCATAAGCGAAAGCGCCAACAGGAAGGGAACAGAGTATTACTTCGTTATCTCCGCTCTACAGGTCCTGTTCCCGACTCCCCGACCCCCTGCACCCCCAAGCCTCAAATTCAACAATAAACCACAACGCTACTCACAGAGCCTTGGACCTGAAAAGCTATGTGATCTTTGTGCGTCGTTATCTCGGGAATGTGAGTATTCTAGCATCTTACAACAGTTAGAGATCACAGGTCCCCTTCAAAAAGCCTTGAATAGACTTCCGAATGGTTTCACACAGCCATCGGTATCTTGTATAACATTTTTCTGAGTGAGTGATCGGATCCAACGTCTCGTTCCTAGAATCTGGCCAGACGATAACAACTATGTGAGTTGTTATAGTAGGTTCTCAGTACCGAGAAGACTATTCAATGGATGGTGAATAGAAGAAAAGGGTTTGCCCAAGTCTCTTCAGTCTATGGCTGCATGTGGCAGTCAGCTGCTTGCATGGATACCTATCACGTTCAAGAAAGGCTTTCTGGTATTGTATCGCCTCTGACGGCACTAGGGTTTAAGTCAGAGCTGTGGAAGGTGGGAGAAGAGGAGAGATTGCTACAAGGAGTAGGTTTGGTAGTACTGCCTGCTTGCATACTTCTAAGTCGACTTGCAAGAGCAGATGTCCAAGATCGATTGACAGATTCGAGCAAGCACTCAATAGCTCATATGACTGAAAAAAGCAGGCATTTGTAGTACTACTTGCAGAACAGAAGCTTAGACAAGTTGAAATGCAGCTCAACAGATTTCATACAAATCCCATTCGTACGCATTAAATTCTTGGCAGGTATACCGAAGAGGAATACAGCATAAATAGACAGGACCACAACTTCAAACCCCTTTAACCAATCAACAAGAATGGAATTATTGAAGATAGAATCTGTTTGATTTTGAGATCGATTGGCTCCTTCAATTCCTTCACTGCTGACAAAATTCTTCTCGGTCGTCAATCGCCCACAAGGAATGTGGATTTCAGCCACGAAATTAGAGCAACAGTCGAACTTCCAAGCAGAAAGCAGAAGAGCAGAGAAGGCTGATGTCTTAGAATTCTGGTAGGCAAGGCAGGGAAACAAAAGCAATGAAGAGCACAATTAATGAAAGTGACAAAATTGACGATAGAGATCCTCGGGAACAAACACGTATCTTGACCGAAGATAGTCTTGGCCACAAGGAACCAGAAATAACTCGGAATTCGCACATTCCAGAGCACTGGTTGGAACATTCTCAAGAATGTATTCCAACCTCGCCTCGCTCCCACCCGCATCTTCTACAATTCAACCGGGTAACGGGATTTCTGAACCACGAAATATGGCGACACTCACATGCGGTTCCTGTCTATCACATGCTTTTCTGCTTGCATCTAAGACTTGTACTCAACGAGCTAGTCGTGAGACTTTGTTGCGCCACACAGCCTGTCATTTTCTCTTAAACACACGCCGTTCATGACAAGCTCGACGCCTAGATCTCCAAACACCTCACAAGTGGGGGACTAGCAACTTAATGACGGTTGTGGGGTGTGGCGGTGCCAACTTCTTCTCTTGCGACCCATTCTCGTCTGGAAATCGAGACTACTGCATGTCATTCGTGACGCAATGGAATCGATCGCAATGGATCGAATTGCTAATGCGTATCTGAAAAGAAGGAACCTAACGACGTAATGGGTTTCGCCCGTGTATATTTTGATTTCCATTTCCAGTATTTTTGTGGGAAAGATCCCATTAGATACCACCATTCTCAAAACAACTATTCAAAAACTTCGTTTTAGAATCCCAAATTATTCAAAATGGATAACGCAGCAGCAGCAGTAACGAAGCTCTTCGGCAAGGGCAGCACAACAAATGACGCTGAGCAGCCATCCTCCTCCGCCTCTACTACCGCCACCAAATCCGTCTCACAAGATGTTGATGCCGATACCACTGTTGAGGCCGAAGTCAAACCCGCGGTCGAGCACACACACGTCAAGAAAGCACACGAGACTCGCGAGCAGACCTTCATTGAGAGAGAGAAACACCAAGACCACTACCACACTACCATCCAACCCCTGAAAGACTCCGAGGTTCTCCCAGAGAAGCACGATTACCAGCAGGAGAAGAAGGAGAAGAACATCAACCGTGATGATGGCACTGCTCGCCAGAAGGCGGAAAATGATACTGCGGGGTATCAGAGCACGATTGACGAGAAGAAGTTTGAGAGCCAGACGAAGGAGCCAACGATTGTTGACGAGCATGTGCATCACCACTTGCACGAGACCGTGCAACCTGTCATTGAAAAGGGTAAGCTGTCCTCACCGTCCAACTCTCAGTAGATTCTTGTTGGCTTTACTGATACTTCGTACAGAGGTTCTCGACCCATCCGTCACGCACAAGAAAATCGAAGTCAAGGAGAACATCAAGGAGCAGTCAAAGCACCACGGCGTTACGACCAACTCTGCTATGTCGGTCGATGAGTTCCAGAAGAAGCTTAATCAAGAGACAAAGTAGATGGGTAGAATTGGCAAAGTATATTACGAATGTATGTAATTGTATAATAATGATATGAACTCGCCTATGTCCATGTCAGACATGTTATTACTCGCTTAAATTTCCATGACAAGTCCCTTTTATGCAACCATTGACTGCCCGGAGCAGAACCTCCACCTCCTCTGTGGCTCATATTTATCTGTGTTCTTCAGATCGGTCAAGACCACTGCCACTACTACGTGTAACGGTGCTTACAGGAGTGAAGACAAACACCAAAAATCAGTGCACACAACAATATCATATCTATTGCTTTATATCTCATTTGGCTTTATATCTGTCCTTTTGGTTGCCTTCGCCCAAACATAAAACACACACAGTTATATTCAATTCCGATGCCGTGCCTTTCATGCCATGCATGTCACGCTGTGTTATGCCAACACCGTATCGGCATGGTTCCCTTCACAACCATCCACCGGCTTTATTACCAAACCAACCAAAAACCAAGACCAAGTCCCGTTTCCAAGCCACCCCACCAAATTTTTGTGCTTCGCACCGCGCAAGACTGTACCGTACCGCACCCATGACAAGAACAATAACTCCGGCAAATCAACGCGCCGCATCGCTGCATCCATCCAAGTATTAAGTTCAAATCAATCCAGCCAGCAATATAAGCCCACACAAAAGACAAGCACGAATGAAAAAGAGGTGTCGACCGTTGCCCGATCCTAGCCGCAATGCGATTGTAATGCCCGCCGCAGAGACAGAGAAATGTCTTAAAACGCATAGAAGCGGATAAAATGAGCCTAGCCCTCTCATCTTTGAAGGAGGAAGGAAGAAGAAGAAGGTTCAATGTCCATATCCATACCCACTCATCCATACAAGCCCAAAAGATAAAGCTTCTCGGGCAAAATACTAAACACAGCGCAGCACAAACACACAACTGATTATAAACATCCTCTCCAACACCAACAAATCGCCGTATACATATAGGGAAGGTTATTTGTGCAGACCAGAAAAGAGGGGCAAGCCATTAGCTCCAATATTTACTTTTGAAAATCCGTCCTGTTCCATTCATACCGAAGCCCAGACAGTATGACCAACCCAACCGACGCGCCTGATATAATTCCATGATGAATTTGGTTGATCTCGACATAAAATAAGAGGGCGAGTTGAGCGAGGAGCTCACAACCCGTGGATGACGACTTCTGGACAGAGCTTCTCCTCGGATTTGCCGGCTACGTCGGTAGGATCCTCAATGGTGCTGGCATTTGTGCTGGGAAGACTGCTGCTTTGTGGACTATTTTGTCCGTTCGTGAGCATGGGAGTTGGTGCACTGGAGTCGATTTCGATGGGCATCGTCGGTGGAACGATTGATGTTGGAGAGTGATGTGACTGAGACTGGCGTTCTTGAATCACCTTTTCAATGGCGATAATCTGCTTTCCGTAGTTGTACTTCTTCAATAATGCTAATTGGGGTTTCAAGTCCTCCACAAATCTGTCACGATCAACGCCTTTGAGCTGAGACAGAAGTTTCTCTGGCGCGTGGTTAGCAGCTAGTATTGAAGCCGGGAAAGCAGGACTTACGAATCACATAATTTCCATACTGATCTTTCATCATGAGTTGCAAAGGACTGGTACCGTCGCTGTGCATCAAGGTGACTTGGGCCACGATTGCACGTCTCTGCTCATCTGTTCCGTATTGAATGCTCTTCTCTACGACATTGGAAGCAAACTTGTGCTTCGAAAGTGTCAACAGCTGTGCGGTTACAATCTTGATGACCTTTGCTCGATCATCCGGCCTTCCGTGTTGAATGACGTGCTGAGTAACATAGTTACCGTATTGATCAGTAATGAGCATTGCCGAGCATTGGTGAAGTTCCTGAAGAATTGCAACTTGATCGTGCGGCTTGCAGTACTCCAAAATCCGCTGAATGACTCGGCAGCCGTAAGGGTGGGCTGACAAGGTGTGTACGTGACCACGGAAAGCTTCGATGACAAATTGTATGTGCTCCGTGGGTACACGTTCAATGGCTTTCTGTACAACATGATTACCATTCTGATCCTTGACGCACTTGAGGATATCGGCGTTCAACTCCCGGGCAAGCTCAGCTTGCTGGTCGGCGAGGACATGTTCGAGCGCCTACTAAGATTAGCCTGTGCTTGACATGTTGACAATGAGACAAATTTACCTTTTGGACGACTCGGCAACCATACATCTGCATTGACAGTTCCATTACATGATTCTTCATCTGCTCAGCCAGTACCCGCTTCTGCACCTGGTTGCCATGCTCGAAAAGCTTCTGGATGACATAGTTGCCAAAAACATCTGTCATGAGCTGAAGGGCATTCGGTTGTATCTCACGGAAAACTTGTTCCTTCTCATCACTGTTTGCAGTTTCCAGCTTCTGCTGAATGAAACGTGAGCCATGTTGGTCTCCACTGAACTCCACGATATGGTTGTAGATATCCTGGTCCTTATTAGCATGTATATTCATCCGTAGACCATTGAACTTACCCTCAGCTCGTATTTCTTATTGGATTTAGTGTTGGAGCGGAATTCCTCTAGCAAAACACTCCTCACACCTGCGCCAACATCCTGGTCCTTTGCTGGGCGGGTGGGAATGACAGGGGCTGGTGGATAGGGAACGGGCATAGCGTAGCCATATGGAACATTTCCTGGTCTGAAGTTGGCTTGCATATATTCGTACGGATGTGGTGGGTATTGGCCTTGGAACTGGGCCCCATACATGTATGCCTGTGCTTGCTGTTGGAAATGAATGTTTTGGAGTCTCTGGTTCAGGTCGCCGGGTCCTTGAGGGGCCCGAGGGCCTCTCGAGGTTGGTCGATAGATCTGCTCTTGTCCAGACGGGGGTGTTCCATTTGCTGAGTAGTATTTGGGGCTGTTGAGACCTCGACGGTGATCGCTTCCTGCTGGTGAAACAGATCCTCTTTCCGCAAAGCGAGCCCCCTTTGTGAAGTATTCTTGGTTTGCGAATGGTTGATTTGAGTAGGGGTCAAAGTTGTTCATCGCCTTGGGTCCATGTCCATCACCCCACATAGCCGAGCCATTGAGCGACTGGGCTTGCTGCGTAAAACCCGGATGGTTTGGTGAGTAAGAATTGCCAACGTTGTTGTTAGCTTGAGACGAACTCGGCTGCTCAGCATCACGACCAAGCGAAAACCCGGCCAGCCTCTCGCTCAATTCCGTTTCATTTTGTCCTAGATCATACCTCAAACCATTGTTCTGCATGGTGTACGAGGCCGAGGGTCCAGAGATTGAGGGGCGTTGAGAATGAATAGAGCTACTTGGTGTGTGATGGCCACCAATGGAGCCGAAAGGCTGAGTACCATTAGAAAAGGATATGCTTCCGCCATTGCGCCCAGATTCGGAAGTCCTGGATGGTGGCATACTTCCATCCCTGGAAGCGCTGCCAATTGCGAGGTACCGAGCAGGAATGTCGACATCATAAGCGTCATTGCTACCATACTGGCCCGAGTTCTCCTTGTCATCGTTGAAGGAAAATGACTGCGCCTTCTTTTGCACAAACTTGAAGCTTCCAGAAGATGGATCCAGATTGCTCTTTGGCTGTGATCTGAAGCTCGATACTTGCCCAATAGAGGGGCGGGATTGGTGGTATGGGTTTTGAATCTCGGAGAGAGTTTGAGAGGGGACGTTGGGAATGCTATTTCGTGTATGGGAAGGGGATGTACTTCCACTGTGGGATTGCAAGGTAGGAGACGTATTGTCTGGGGCGTTCCAGGGTCCATTTTGGTGTGTGCTCCAGGTATCCGCCTCGGATTCAGCGGCCAAAGCCTTTGAACCACTAGGACCATCAGGGAATTCCTTGTTTTCCCCTGTACTGTCATCAGTGACTGCTAGAGTCGCTTCACCCACTGCAGACCTACCACTGGGTCTTGTGTTTTCTCGCCTAGTATTCGCATATCCACTTCCGATTGTATTATTGCCCCATATTGTTCCCGACGGCTGCCAAGTCGCTCCGTTCCCAAAAGGCTGTCCAAGATTAGAAGACTGAGAAGAGTCGCTGTTGTGTCTGCCAGGAGCTGCGCCGAACTCGGGAAATCGTGGTTGTCGTGTCTTTGTAGCAAAGTCAGCAGATGCAGCTGGGGAAGTTGTTTACAAGGGGGCCTAAAAACTCACAGCAGTGGGCATGGCGCCTGATGGCCGGTTGGCAGTCGCAGAAGACATGAGGGTGGCCGGAGAGATGTTTGGTATATGTGCGCGGTTCCCAAAATATCGAGATATGGTGGAGGTATGTGCGATGAGGGAGTATTGTTGAAGACGACGAAATGATACTTCTACTACTTATTTGACAGGTTGTAGATCTACAGGAACTGAAGTAATTCACAGTTGTCAGCATTGTGCGCCGTAAGGCTGATCTCACAGATCAGAGCAGGCTGAGCTGGGAAGGCAGCATACAGCTGAAAGTGCTGCTCTCACTCACCAGTGTTGGACGACGAAGTATGTAACTGCAGCTCGACAACGCTGAGAGGCTGATTCATGTACAAAAAAGGATTCGAGAAAAGGTTGGCAGGCTCAAGAAGAAGTGCTCATCGAGGAGGGAGGGAGGGCGAGGTAGATGAAGGGTTGCAGGTATGGCAAAGACCAGAGGATAGGTCGCACACGACACCCCTTCGTTTGTCATATGCAACGGGGGGTGGAGTAGGCGTGCTTTTCTGTTGTGTAGGCACCCGGAGGTAGACACCGGCTGCAGATAGGAAAAGTAGTTCCGTGGTAGTTTGACTATTGTCTTGCTGGCGATGTTGATCGAGAGGGTCTTGGTCCTCTTTGGGAGAGTGAGTCGTCTGAAAAATGCGGCTGCGAAGCAAGGGCGAGTCGGCGGCCAGGATAGAATGAAGTGGGAATGGGATCTTTGACTTAGGGGCGGGGTCGCAAGGTAAGGTAGATAGATCTGAGAGCGCAAAAAATCCCCAAGAAACGAGTGGAGAGACGTTGTACAACGCTAATTTGTCCACGAAAGGGAAGGCCGTTTGTCGGTTGGTGATGTTGAAGATGAACGTTTGGCCTTGAGGGATAGAGTCGCAGCCGTGGTAGTGGCTTGAGATAAATCGGGGTCCGTTGCTGGTCTGGTCTGGTCTGGTCTGGTCTTGTCTACTCTAGGTATCCGTCTGTCTTGCTTGTCTCCCTGGGCTGGGCTGGGGGAATCTAGTTTTGATCAGGAGTAGCCAGAGCCTCTTAGAGTCTTAGGGTGTCCCAGGGTGCATTGGACGATTTGACAGGGCACGCACGGAGACTTCCCAGATCAACAAGGGGCCTCGGGGGGCTTGAGGGCTGGCTCGGCTTTGCTTTGCTTTGCTATGGGTATGCTGCACTACAGTACTGCTGCTCTGGTTTTGCTAGGACATGGGGCTCGTAAGGGGACGGGCATGCAGAGGAGGCAGAGTAGAGGAGAGCAGAGCAGAGCAGAGCAGAGGAGAGGATGATGGATGGGCAATGGGCAATGGGCATAAGCATAGGTGAGCATGAACATGAGCTGACGGGAGTTGGTTTTGCGGAATGTGCCTTGTGGTTGGTGCTGACAAGACGGGGGGCTATTCAGACAGCAGGCCAGTTGGGCCAGTCACAATGATAATAATTGACCCAAGTTTGTGGGAAAATGGCAATGCCAGAGCAGGGCAGGGCAGGGCAGGGCAGGGCAGGGCAGGCCGGCATTCAATTCAAGGGGGAGGGGGAGGAAAAGCAATGACTTTGACTTTAACTGCTGTGTAACGTCTATCCTGAGACAAGATGAACACAGTACTTCCGCAGGTTCGCAGCGTGAGGACCAGAAGCAAGACCTTTCCTTTTATCTATCAGACTTTTCTTCTCAACTCTTCAAGACCTGCCTGCTCCGCTCCGCTCCGCTCTGGCTGCCTCCATGTAAATTATCTGCGGAAGCCAATCCTCGCTCTCCCTTCCTCAGAGGCGACAGCCGAACCTCCTACGGAGATCCCTGGCCAGCAGGAGCTTTAAAACCACGACAGAGGGCAGTTGTGTCAACTAGAACCGAACCAGACTGGTCTGCAGGGCAATAATGGACACGCGAAAGGGCCACCATTTTGGTGCCCGGTGTTCCTGAAATAAGTGTGCGCAAGGCTGTACTGTAGGGCGGCAGGGCGGATGGCCAGGAGGCTTCTGAGGTAGGCAGGCTCGGCAGGTGGCAAATCTAGTTAAGGTATAGATAGGTACGAAAGGTACCTTACCTTAGGTATCGAGACGATTTGTGCATGCACAGGAGGCAGACACAGAAACAAGGACTGTACGAAGGTATTAAGAGCTGAAGTGGAAGCTTTTACTCGAATAACAGCGAGCGCCCGCCCGCCCAAATCATGTAGCGGCATCCTTTCCATTAATCAATAATTGCACACCTCTCCCATAGATACTTGTATGCATCACCTCCAAGGACTAAATTTGCTTCGGCAAGGTAGCTAAGCCTTATGGTTGGTGGGGGGCCTGGGGGACTGACTGACATTGCTCTCCCGCCCTTCCACCTCATGCATCGAATGCCCCGAAAGGCAGAAGCAGGGCAGGGCAGGGCAGGGCAGGTATCCCAGGAATTTGACCATGCAGCTCAAATTCTTCAGATTCCTCCACAAACCACCACGGTCTAAGGAAGTATCGTATCGCAACGAACAAGTCTTGGAATGCATTTTAATCCGAAGCCATCGCTTCGCTCCCCTTCTCATGCAAGTCCATACCTAGGTCTCGTGGCCCTGGCCCCTTTCTGCCCTAGCCCTTAGGGCATGTCATCGAATCTGGTTTAATTCCATTTACTTCCCTTCTGCTCTCCTCCCTGCCTCCCAAGCCCAACCCGATAAACAGCCTTATCTTCGTACCGGTACCATCAACCTGACATACTGTAGACCCGAGAGCACTGCACTGGCCAGGTCCAGCTTCAACCAGGACGGACAGCAAGGCTTATTACAGATTCTCCTGCTGTTTACTCACGAGAGAGAAAAGCAACACCGACGTCTGCTGCGCCCTCCCTGCCGTTCAAGTGCCTCAACTCGGCACTCCGAAGTAGAGACACCAGACTGTGGCCGGCCCTCGATGACCCAGCGAGCCCTCTCTTCACTCCCATGCAGCTGCAACTACCAAGTGTTTCATCCGGGGAACACGCCTGAATGTAACCCACCATCAACTAACTCCCTGACGCCATCGCTCGTCTCCACAATTATGATCGCCACTTCTTTAAGGTAAGAAATTCGAAGATGCTGTACACCAAATTCGGCCACCTCGACTTGATGTAGGAACGCCATACAAGGCAGCTTGCTCGTTTGCTAGGAATGTATGCCACTGTCACTCCGACAAACAAGCAATTTGGAGGGTTACAACATTACTGCTGTCCCTCCCATCCCAAATTCTCCTACTAGATCTATCGGAATCGCGATCAGCAGATGGGTTACTCGTACAGCACTTTGGATACATCCATCAATTTTCACCCGCCAGTGCTTCTCGAGGTCATCGTTGACGGGAGGCAACATTTGCATGAGACACGTTGACCAATGTTCTATTAAAGTCCACATAACAATTAACAGTATTCACAAATGCCGAACGAGGCTTCTCCAAGTCAGGTGGCATCTGTAGAACAGCCAGCAAAGACCTCACTGCGGGCCTCAGCCTTCTTTCTCACGCCCGATTTCACGCCTCCAGCGTGGTCCAGATCCGAAAGCCTCACACCACCGATCCAATTCGCCAGCACAGCAGTAGGCCCCGCAAAAATAATAGCCCCGAAGGAGACACATAAATGGATGATCTTGAAGTACCTCGCCTACCTGCATAAGTCGACACAGAGAGAGGAAACTCTCACTCCACTGGGTCGAGACATTACCATAATGACAACCACCAGCACCACGTTCCACTTGATTCTTGCTCTGCATCTTCGTGCGCCATGAACAGAAATCTTGTTCCACTATTTTGGTCGCAGCGTCTCATCCGCTCTTCGCCTCTGCCGTGGTGCGATGTTTCCTATCAGAATTGATACTTCACCTACCTGCACCACCAAAGGGATCTTTCCGCTCGCTTATGTAGTGGAGGAAAAGCAAAGACAAGTTGACGGTACAAGCGGGGATCAGACCATCTTGTACACGCCAGAATAAAAGGTTGAGATGCTAACAAATGTGAGAAGTGACAGCAATCCTCAAGCCTTAGGGATGAGCATCACAGCTCGCTGCACATCACTTGAAGGTGGGGTCAGCTTTTCCGCTTTTTCCTACGACTTTCCCCCTCACCGCTGTTTGTAACATGAGAAAAGCATTGATCGAGAGAGGTGTCGGGGCGGGGTAAGAAGTCTGCCCAGTGAAAGATATCTGCAGCTGAAGCCTAGTCAGGTTACACAGCAGATTATTCTCGATACTCTTGGGCCGTCGAATGAACTTCGTCTCTCCACGTGATACATATTTGATTTAAGAGAAGCTACAGGTCGCCCGAGAACTGGATAACATACGATTACGAGCAGCACTTACCGGGCGTTAAATGGCGCAGGGAGCGTTGGATTCTAATCGACTCCCAAAGGTGTCCAAGTGGATATCGAAGTCAGTTCTCAACAGCGCACCCCCAGATTCCCGTTATTCCGTGATCTGCAACTGGGCCCTCTCTACTACATTGGATTTTGACAAACCAATCAATCATCTCTTCCTCGGAGTGGATACAATCATCTGCATACCATCGAAAACATGGAGTCTGACGTTGTTCCTTCGCCTTTCCATTTTATGACAAACTTAGCCGAACTTTTCTTTTCTTCCCACTATTGCAGATCCATCACATCCAATATTAAAGATGGTTTTGCAAAGATAGGTAGTTGCATGTCATTTGTAAACAAAGTCACAATGCTATCAGGAAACAATACGTACATAGGGAGATCCCGTTCCACAAGAGGTCAATGCGAAACGATCTTCTAGAAGACATATGACATCCCAGGTCTTAGACGTTATTTATGACATGGTCGCCGGGTTCTAGTACGATGATGCTCGGATCGTAGACAGACAAAAGAAAATATGGCCTCAGAATGAGAAGAGGTCTGGGCTGAACGAGATCTGGGAAACTCTATCATATTTCGACCCCAGCTAGCCTCTATTTCACCTTTTCTAGAAAGACAACTCACAGACAAGATTCTCCAACAGTTAGAAGATAAAGAATCCAAGGAAATGAAGATACTTGGCTGCACGCTCTACATTACCATACAACGACAGCTCCTTGACCATTTACGAGTATCCGTCCCAGCTCATTAGCCTTATCTAAGACCCTCATCGCGATGTGAAATTCCCTCAGCAGAGCTATAAGATAGGCGCATCCACTACCAAGACCTGTCACCTTGGTTGTAGACACGATACAAAGATCCGGGGCAGAAGCAGATTGGTTGTGATCCTTCAAGTCTCGTGCTGATCACAGTCCCCAAACCAGAGACATAACAAGACTTTCTCTTGTTTATTTCTTTTTTCTTGCCCTCTGCCTTCCTGGCCGTACCAGACAAATCATGCAAAACGCTGACAGTTCTAACTCTGCTCCGAAGGACCCATGATTTTTCCAGTATTATAACTCTGCCCAGTCTTCGATGCAAACCATTGGTACAGAAGGTAGCCTGCTACACTGACAGAAGGAACGAACTTATCTACAACATCAACTACAGTACCTCTCCTCGGCCAATGGACTATCATATATTCTCCAGGCAACTTTATCCACATGGAAAGAAGTTCTATGTGTCAGTCACCATCGTTTCACAAATCAAGAAAGGCGGAGAAAGTTGACATCCTGCATATCGTAACAAAAAAAAACAATCAACCTGTCGTCTGAACTGCACCAACTAACCCGGGATCAGATCGTCATCTCAAGTTCCCAGAATTTCAACCGTCTGAAGTCTCAACATGCTTAATGCATTCATCCAGATCCTTCAGCCTCACAGTCTCTAGAATAATCCAAAACGCATTCTCGAAAAGCTGCCCCTGCTTTAAGCTGTGACATCAGATAAGGGTGAGTTTATGCCTTGAGCTTGTTCGGATGAAGCTCAGAGCTCAGGCCAGACCAAAGGGAAAGCGTGTGAGCCGAGGTCCGGATGATCTGATCCATTTGATTTATGCAGAGACATGAACTCAACTCTTCTATTATCGAACAATGAACAATGAGAAGCATTGAAAACAAAACCCAGAAATGCTAATGAAGGTGTCGATGTTGAAGCATGCATGTGCAACCCCTCAAATGCAATGAGAGAAAAGCCCGAAATAAAGTTGATTCTAGCCAGGGGTAAATCGATGGCGAGGATGGGGTCCAATTTGCAAGGTCCTGATTTGGAAGGCTGTGCAAATCATTGGATGGATCATTGGTTCTGCGGAGAATTTCCAACTGTCATTCATGCAGAGAAACTTTTGGCTGTGAACTGTTTCCTCGGCATTCAATTGGCATAGTGATGTTTTTGCCTTGGATTATGAGAGGCTGTGAACACAACAGCCATCGACCTTTTCGCCAGATAGAGGAGAGAGATGTCGATCGTCACGCAGGCCTCCGTATCTCTCCTGATCTTATCACATCCTCCAGCGCTCGAGCAGCACCGTACTGCTGTGTACTACTCTCCTCTTTCGCCCCAGCGCTTCCATCCATCCCATCCACAGATCCGCTCAAAATTCGAATCTTTAATCTCGGCAGCCACCCAGAGCCCACATCAGGCCCAAAAGAGCATGGTCAGCGCCGTGGCTGCGGGACCTCCAGGCTATCAATTGGACGGCCGCGAGGGCCCTTTGATTAGCAGCTCGCTTGCGTACCTGCATTGGCTCAAGGGCGTTTATTCCCCAGTTATTTCGAGCTAGAACGGCCGCTTAGCTGGGGGCGCCAGGGGGACGGGGCCTGCACCAGAGCAACGAACTGCTGTGCTTCCCTTTCCCTTTCCCTCAAAGGAAGCCCGTCGTCGTCAACTTTCTCTTCTGACCTTCGACGTCCGTCCTTACCTCCTCAACGACCACCGTTCGATCCGCCCCCTCCACAACCTCACTTCTCTCTCTCTCACTCCTTCCTTCGGGACACTTACATTCCTTCCCAGGTATCGGCTTCACTCTCTTAGCTCGATCACCGTCCGTTCCTTGCACATCTACGCCCTCTTCACGACCTGACTTACTTGCTTTGGTCTCCTTGCGTAAGTGCATATTTCTCCCTCTCCTGCCGAGCCGGACTCGATACGATACGATACGATACGATACGACTCACTTCGACTCAAATCAATTCACCCTGCGATACTCGACACTACGGCTATGTGCAACCGAAGATGAAAACAAAACAAAGCAATACATGGCAGCTAGACAGTGTCAGCAAACAAAAATGGAATATCGCTGGCGACTGAGATGTCAGCGTACGGACAATGGCTAACAGGACAATAGCCTCCATATCTTGTTCTAGGATACTTTTGGAGCCATATTCGTTCAACATCAATCCCACCAACGATACTCAAGCATTGACGAATTTCTCTACCTTCTACTCCCCCCACCAACACCCAAAACAACAAACAAAATGGACTCAATCTCCAGCATCATGGCCCGCGGCACCAGCTTCATCCACGCCCGAGACAACGACACCGCCATGTCAGGAACCATGCTCAACCTCCTGATCGCCCTCATGGTTTTAGTCTTCATCTCCCTCCTCCTAGCAGGTGCCCTCTTCGCTGTCCGCAAGATCCGCCGTTCCCGCGCCATCGCCCGCCAACAACTCCCCTCATATAACGAGGCCAACAGCCGCCCAATCTCCAATCACCGCCGTTTGACAATTACCGCTGCACCATACGGCCGCGCCTCCAGCGTCTATGTCTACGATGAGAAGGCATCCATGATCGATAGCCCAACGACCCCGACCTCTCCCGTACCTGAGATCCGCATCACCTTCCCAGACGAGCATGACGAGTCCGGCCGCCCTAAGAGCGGACGCGTGGTCATTGTTCGAGTTGGCGAGAACGGCGTAGGACTTGAGCCCGTCCAGGACGAGCAACTCCCTGCCTATGAGAAGGAGACTGGTGGCCGTTTCCACTCGATCGATATGGAGCGTATTGGAGGACTGAAAGAGAAGGTCGTCAAGGATCAATACTCATAGTCGCGACAACATACTTTCAACTTCCCAGCTTTCTCGGAGCGCTGTTCATTTGCTCTCGAGAGCTGGCTTTGCACATACCGTTCACCCACATGAGCTGTACATGACACGACACCCACGATCTGGACTTTCTCGGCCCCCGTCTTGAAGACAAGACCCGGCACGGCATTTGCACATTCTGTTCTCTTTTACTGTCTGACTAGCGCATTTGATTCTTTTCATCCATCACATCATTCACGGAGTTCAATTTTTTGGGAGGAAGGGAGAAGGAAAGACAGGCCGGCGAGCAAGCGATGATCGACAGACATACGGTACCTTGCTCATTTATCTTGAGTACGGTGCTGTTCACAGAGCACCCATTGAGCTGAGCTGAGAAATGGAACGGGGAACATTATGAAGGAAGCCAATCAATCAATCAACCACCAATACCGATACCGACAAAACAGACAAGACAGACTACCTGTAATTAATGTATTCTACGTAATTTCCAAGCAAGACAAAAGCTTTGTGTATAGACAAACAAGTCCTGGCTGTTCTTGATCATGATATGCGATGTGACGATGTGATATCCTGGATTTACGTACCTCCCTCAAACAGAGCAAATTTCGTACATAAATGTGTGGTGCACTAAAGCAGTACATGAAGCAACGGATCTGCCTGACCAAGAGCTGCGTAGAAATTTCCAGTTTCAACATCCAACTCCAGCCAAGTCAAGTAAACATGAATCAAAATCTGGCCTAACCATGTATTGTGCCAATCAACATAAAATCCTTCCGATGTGATTGTCTATCATATTTTCAGCACATTGCTATACGGATATTTTGAACTGCTACCTCACAACAACACATCCGATAAGAAAGCCAGCTTTTTGACCGCACATTTCCACTTAGTCCATAGAAATCTCACAACTTTTCAACACTCTTTGAGACCATCACTTATATCCTTGCACAGCAACGCTAGACACTTAAACAAGAAGGGAGTCCATATCCACATCTCCTCCATAAATAAAACGCTCAGCTTTGTAGCTCTCTCTCTCTGATATACACCCAAAGACTTCATCGTTTGTGAATATATAAAACATGCATGTATGGAGGGAGATGGGTGAAGTAGACCGGAGTAGATATCCTCGAAACAGGAAGATCTAGATCCGAACAGAGATTCTTGACGTCGCAGGGACAAGAGTCTCGGCATTCTTTGACAAGAACATGAGATTACCTGTAATCAAGATATCCATTATCATCGATTTGGATTCTTACAGATGGAGGAAGTAACAGAGGGAATATAGGTGACTTGGCCAAGGGGAATAGACAAAGAGAATGAATGGGGGTCGTCGATGGAAGGAATTGCCAGTTCAGCTCAAAGCTGATGGTGTAACAGAAAGATTGCCGTACATCGTACAAGTTTCGTAGTAAAACACGAGCTTCACCCAGCTGACTGGTGTCTCTTCTGTCCGGAAACCGGCAAGCGAGACAGACTTCACAAAAGAAGCAAAGAGTCATATAATCGAGATAATTTCTCATTTAGTCTATCATACTAGCAGCTACCCAGCTACAACGCAGCCTCAATTGGCAATCTATGATCCGAGTCAAGTAAGTCAGCTAGCCAGTCCCTCCTATAAAGAGATGACAGCCTCCACTTATAATAATCTAATCCTTGACTACAAAAGCCGCAATTTTTGTCCGAGAGAAAAAGGGAAATAGAGATTACAAGAGCGCAAAAAGAATCATGTATGAATGCAGTAGAAAAGAGGTGCAAATCAAGGCATTCTACCCTCTCTCCTGAACCCCCTGATACCAAACAACGCCAAAACGACCTATGAAATGCAGTGGTGGTCACTTCCGAGCAGGTGACGAATATCCGATGAATCGGGAATCTATGTTGCGTTCGACGATGTCGGGGGAAGACGGATCGAATCACTCGAATGATACGGCTCTTACCAACGCCTGCCCGAGCCAAGAGGGGCCGCGTTTGAAGAGGTGAAACCTCCTACCAACGACCTTTGTTAGTTCCATCAGCGATGGAACGGGGAGAAAAGGGTAACTTGAACTCACCTCCACCTCGGCCACCTCCGCGGCCGTAACCTCCTCTTCCTCCACCACCTCCCCATCTTCCTCCACCACCTCCTCCCCCATACCGGGTCATCTCGGCAAGACGGGGATCGATCTGCTGCTTAGCCTCAGTGAGAACATTGACTAGATCACGAGCCTGCTTCTGGTCTTTCCAAAATGTTAGCATGGATAAAGACACGGACATAGGAGTACTTACTGTCAGTGGTGAAGAAGGTAATTGCAGTTCCCTTTGCACCGGCACGACCAGTACGACCAATACGATGGATATAATCCTCCGAATTGTTAGGGTAATCATAGTTCAACACATGAGTAATGTTGCGGACATCTTCATTGAAGGGTTAGCAAGAACAAGAAAAGTGTATAGCAACGTTCCAGGGCGGCTAGTGAAGAAGCTGAGCTGCATTTGAATGCATCCAATACTCTCTCTGCATCTGACATGGACAGTCCATTGCGGGTTTTAATGCCAGGGATGGTAATCCACACATCCAGGTCCTCTTGGGTTGGGAGTCTTGGAGACAGCTTGAGCGAATCAAGAGATGCCAATTCCACATCTCGTACCAGGGAAAGTACTTGTGAATTTGGAATTACTAGTGTTGCATGAGACATGCCACACCGCAGATCCAAGACGCCCGATTAGAGAGAACCAAAAGACACGAAAGAACCCGGGCATAATAGCGCAATCTAGAAAGCGCCGGAGCGTTGAGAGTAAAGCACTACTGTGTAGGCGACTGGGCGTTGCAATGTTTGGGGAGGGGGTTTCAATCATACCAATACCACGGGAAGCCACGTCAGTGGCAACCATGATGGGACTCTTTCCGGTCTTGAACTCGTTCAAAACCCAATCACGCTCATTCTGTTGCTTGTCTCCGTGAATAGCTGATAGAAGTTAGAAACGTTCATGAAGGTTGTGGGAGAAACTTACAAAGCGCGGGCCATCCGTCTTGTCTAAGGAATCGTGTGATATCGTCGGCAACACGCTTGGTACCTGTGAAGATCAAGATCTTGTTGTCTTTGTCCTCCATGATCTTCTCAAGATGCTTGGTCATCTTGTCACGCTTCTCAAATTCAGAAACGACTTCAACGATTTGGGTAATTCTGTGGTTAGCAGAGAGCTCAAGGGATCCAATGTTGACCTGGATGAAGTTGTTCAAGTAATCAGAAGCAAGAGCGCGGACCTCCTTCGGCCATGTAGCAGACCACATGCAGGTTTGTCTGTCAGGGCGAATCTGTCCAAGGATCTTGCGGATTTGTGGTTCGAAACCCATGTCAAGCATACGATCAGCCTCATCAAGGACGAGGTAAGTAACACGACGAAGGTTAGTCTTTCCGGACTCGAGCATGTCAATGAGACGACCTGGAGTGGCAATGCAAACCTCGACACCCTTGGCAAGGTCGCGGATTTGGCCACCCTTTGGAACACCACCGTAGACACAGGTGTTGCGGATGCGGGAGGATTTCCCAAACTTCGTAATCTCCTGTTGAATTTGGACGGCCAACTCACGAGTTGGGGCGAGAACCAGAACGATGGGCCCATCGCCTGGGGCGAGAAGGGGCTGTGCATTGATGTGGACAATAGCTGGGAGACAGTAGGTCAAAGTCTTTCCAGAACCAGTCTCGGCTATACCGACAACGTCACGTCCAGAGAGAGCCATAGGCCAACCTTGAGATTGAATGGCGGTAGGTGCTGGGAATCCCTGGGCCTTGACTTCACTCATGACATATGCGGGGAAGCCAGCCTCGTCGAAATTCTCAACTGGTCTGGGGACATCGGATCCTTGTACTGCGATGCCGTGGAGGGCTCTGAACTTTTGGACATCGGCCTCTGAACGGGCTGTGACTTGAGGATCTTCTTTGTAGAACGATTTCTCGAACTTTGGCATGGTGTTCAAGTCTAGGGTCATGTCAGCTTTCAACCCGCGATGAAGACATTTGGCACAACTTACCCCAGCTTTGCTTTTGAAGACCAGCACCAAGATTGGACATTCGGTCTCCACCACCTTGTCCTCCACCATATCCACCTCCACCGCCACCTTGGTAGCCGTTGGAGTTTCCGTTATAGCCTCCTCCTCCTCCTCCGCCATATCCGCCGCCACTAGAGCACAGTTAGTACATCTCTTTCCTCGCGAAGGAACAGACAAAGGAGACAGGTTACCTGCTCTTGCGATGGGAGGGAAAGGCTGTGCTCAAAGGTGAGCTGGAGCCTTATCGCCTCGCAAAGCAAGGGTGCAGGATCGCCTGGAACTTCACAACCAAATCAAGCCCGTAAGGTTTTTATACCTGTTGGAGTATCCATTGGAGTAGTTGCTGGAATAGTTGTTGCGACTGTAAGAATTTCGCTCTTCATACCCTCCTCCTCCTCCTCTGCCACCGCCGCCATATCCGCCGCCTCCTCCGTATCCGTTGCCTCCTCCGTAAGACATGATGTGCTACTTGAAGAAGTGTACTGTGGCGAGAGAGCCTGAAATTGCGACCGCGAAACGGTGAGGCTGCGTTCCTACTTGAAAAGAGTGTAGAAAGCTGAGTGAAATCGTGATTTTGATATCGAGAGTATTATTCTGCTGTCAAAGTTCTCAGGTCGATGCGAAAACGTGTTGCAGATGAAGAGGTGATGATAAAGAAAGTCCGGAAGAAAGAATCAGGGAGGAAGATTTTGTTCTGCTCCCGAGCACTTTTTTCGTCACTAGCCTGATACGTACTAGCGCTGATAAGCGAGTTGGAAGTTTGCCTCCAATCTACAAAACGGAAGCGACAACGAGTCAGGACAACAACAGGCAATCACAAAGGGAGTAAGTCTCGAAGAACAGGTCTCAAATAGTCAATTTCTAAGCTTTCGAATATCAACGAGACTTGTGAGCTGATAATAGCTGCTCTTTGTGATTTAGACTGGCTCGGCACCCTGCCAACTTCTATCATCTCACATTTTTGGTGCTCTGGGAGGAATCGAGAGGAACGATTAGGCACCCCGTGTACATCTGTACATTTCACCACAAGCAACCATATTCTTGGCTTACAACACTTAATTACTTCGTCAGGACACTTATCTAAATCAAGGCCAAGGGGCCTTGTGGTGTGAGTTTCAAGCCAATGGCTAGAATTCTTAGACATTATTTACTCTAAGACTTCTTGCGATACCTAGTTGAGACTTTACTTCGTCAAGAATATTTCTCATCAGGTCAGCTTTCAAAACCACCTTCTCAAAATCTCTTCTGAGGACAGCGAACCTGATGCCCGCTAATTGGCAGTGTTAGCTCTTTGGCAGTATCTAATAGTATTGCTTCGCAGTTGAAACATGCAATTCTACATTTCGGGAAAGCGTCTTGTTGGTGCTTGTCAAACTTTTTTCTTGCCTGCTCCCATATCCCAGAAGCCAGTCTCCATCTGTGAATATCAGCCTCAGTGTTCAGCTCTCATCAGATAGAAGTCTCTCACCTTGGTTGCGTGGATGAATATCTTGACTAGCTCTTCGATACGATGGGGCGACTGGAGTACTGCATTTCTTTCAAGTAATGCTTCGCTGGTTAGCGCCGACACCGCAATTAGCCTCGAGAACCTCACCAGATCCAACTTTTACTGCTTCCACATAATCGTCTGCAACGTAGTTCTCAATCCATTTCCCATAAATGTTGCCATCCCGCTTTGTTCCTGGATCCGCATGGAGACGTTTGGCAATCTCTCCATATCCGATCAAGCATGGCGCCAAAGCTACCTGAAGTGCAAACCAATCTTGAGATTGGCCAATATCAAGGACGTATCTAGTGTACGCGGTACAAGCTATCATGTCTTAGCTAGTTCTATCGTGGTGAGAAGGAAGTTGTACCATGGCTTTCCTCTGAAGCTTCAATCTCCTCCTTACTTACCCCAAACTCTTGGCAGTAGCTTATATGCAGTTCCATCTCATGATGAATATGTCCGACTATCTTAGCAGCCTTTGAAAGGTCAATTCTGAATTTCAAAAGACAATTTAGGGCTTACTGCTGCAATGTCTGTGATCGTTTTCGCCTTGTAGGCTGCTAAAGAGTTCGCACGGGCAAACTGTACCTGAGAATCATTAGGCGTGGCCTCAAAGAACACTAGCAACGAACCAAAAATAGATAGTCTTGTATCAAGTAGTACTTGAAAGACTCAACCGGCAGTGTACCATCCGCAAGTCCAGCTACAAAAGCATGTTCAGTATGCTCTTTCCAGGGGGTTTGAACATCTCTGCGTTCAAGCACGTATTCCAAGAAGCGACCACTGAATTACAACATCAGCCAAGCCATGCTTTGACGTAGATCATCTCACTTACGGTGGGAAGGGAAGCGTATAAGTCGAATGAAAATGGTTGATTGGCCCATTTCCTCGTCCAAGGTCCGTAGCCGTCTTGATGCCAGCTTCAACATATCTACAAGCCCTCTCCACAGCCTGCACCATGGGGAGGCCGTTTGCAAGATTCGATGCAATTGCCGCTGCAATAGTCAGATTAGTTCTTAGTCTCAAGTGCTCGCGACTTACAAGCCAACGAACATCCCGTGCCATGGGTGTTCTTTGATGGCTGATACAGAGTATGTATCTTTGTCACTGTACCATCACCATAGAGAATGTCGACCATTAGCTCCTTTTCTTTGACTGTCTCGGCCACATTGCCATCCATTCTGAACGGCAGGTGGCCTCCTTTCACCAGGACATACTTGGGCCCCAAGGACTGCACAGCTTTGGCGATCTCTATGAGGCCTTCTACGTTCTTGGCTACAGCAGCAGGTTTTCCACTGTCGGAAAGTAGCAACATTGCCTCTGGAACATTAGGTGTAATGATTGTTGCAATCGGCAGCAGCTTCTCTCGGAGGTCTCGGACTGCGTGAGCAGGTAACAACTGATGACCGCTTGTTGAAACCATTACCTGTAGATTTCAGAATTAGTTTTTAACGATCAATTTGGTACTGGGAATTGCATACAGGGTCAATGACAGTGGCAGGTACATGATGCGCTCGAAGTGCCTCAGCCACAACTTGGATTGTTTCAGCCGAAGCAAGCATACCTTTCAATGTCAGTATGAATCTAGAATGCCTTTTCTTGTCTGATTGTATTAGAAGATAGGAGCCATACCAGTTTTCACAACATCTACGCCGATATCGCTGATGCATGTATCAATCAATTTCCGGACAAATCCTGGCGGAGTGTAGTGTATATCAACCACACCGAGAGTATTCTGGGCAGTAAGAGCCGTGGTAGCAGTCATAGCATAGCATCCATGAGCTACAATGACTTTCTGATCTGCCTCCAGTCCACTGTTGAACACACCATCTTGTCAGCAAGGTATGCAGTTTTACCATGTCATTTTTGGGGAGACTTACGCTCCGCCAGAACTGTCAGAGCCAGCTATAATAAGAACCCGTCTTTTGGCCATATTTATGATTGCTTCGGAGATTCCTAGCGGCATAAAGTCTTGGTGTTGACGTTGAAAGATAGAGCTTAGATTAGTCAGCAGTCATTCTACCCGAAAAGGCTTTCTCCATCTCTCTTTATGGGTTATCATTCAACGCAGACCACTCGCAGTGATCGATAGGTGATTACAAAATGACAGAATTCACCAAGGCTGTATTCATACAGTTCTCCAACGGCTTGATATTCCAAACCTGTCCTTCTCTGATCGCATCTCTCCCGGTATGGCAACATCCGGGACCATCACCTCAGTCAGCCTTGAACCTATCTCACGACATGCGGAGCAGCTTCTAGACGGATCTGACCATTGACTCATCCTGTCGACTACCAAGGCAGACAAAATCCCCACTGAAATTTGGCTTGGATTTGGGGACATCATCGACCAGAATGGCCTTCCCGCAATAAGTCCTACAGCACACAGACTGCGCATCCTCGTTGAACTCTCTGCTCAAAGAACTGCTAGATCCTCGATGCGAAATTTGCGTTCAAATGGATCCCTGAGCAGTTTCGACCAGAATGCTAGGTCATGATGCAGAACAGCCGTGACTAAACGCATTTGATTATCCGTCTTGTCCTGCATCGGCCTCATCTCGCCCCACATGTGAAGAGCCTCCTTTCAAATCTTACTGTGAGTTTGTCCCGAAATGGTGGTGATTGTATTTTATTCTGGGTCCAAGACTGTTTCCCTACCAAGTTGTTTCGTTAGAGCAGAGAATACTTCTGCCTTGTCTTTTGTCGACGATCTCAACCTCGCTCCACGATATGAGTTGAGAAGGAGGCTTGAGAACAGACAGGTGCGGTGTTTGAACAGTTTTGCCACTCTCCCGCCTATCTCAGATCAGATCTGTGGATACTTGACTATCAATAAGTCTTCCATTTTTGATGTTCTGTTTTTCCAAGATACTCGTTCGATGATAATTGTTGTGATATCTGTTTTGAGATGTGAGCGTCTGTAGCCCCAGCCATAAAATATATCGTCATGCATCGCACTTTCCTCCTAGCTCCGTTGCAAACTGATTGTTGATCAACGTGTCAAAAATCATGAGATTCTCGTTTGACAGCGGGATATTAGCCAGAAATTGGATTGTGCATTTATCCAGATTTGTCTGGTCTGACTCGAGGCTTACTTCAGATGTCACCGCGTTTGAATGTCCAAATGCCGCTCCCGCGTTGTTTCTATTCCATAACTTCTTAGATATACACCTGCTGGCTTCAACAAAAAAGCACATGATCCATAGCTTCTTCACCATTCTATTCCTACCCTGTCCAGGTACGCAGCCACAGTTCCGAATCTCGTGCAGATTCTCCGGAACCCGCCACAACGACCTGATCACCAGCAGAGTTATGACACCAGAACAAAGCACTCTCGCATGGATAATCTCCGATCAGTGTTCTTCTGCTGCTCATCACGACACTCCTAGTACTCCACTGGGGATGATTGGTTACTATTAGCAAAGAAATCATAGCAAACAGGGTTTGGGAATGAGAGAGGAGATTGGAGCGGCAGTCCTGGTCGAGTGTTTGACCGATAATGCCCTGGGGGCAGGAAATTGGCTGCTAGCAGTGGGACATGTACTCCATGCCAAATCAAGTTGCGATCAGGATCACGAAGAGCTAATTTACAACGCACAATAGCACAGCGGAGAGGTGTACTGCAACTCTTCGTATGCACTACACAAGCCCGAGCGTGAGGCTATCGCTTCCACCGCTTTCCACCCCACTGCGAAGGAATGAATGTCCTCAAAATGCCATGCTATATGGACTGTCCCACCACCGCCTCGCACTCCTTCAAGCCTGACACCAGTCATCTAAGCTATGCCATCCTCTCACTTCCTACCCAAGCTCATCATAGATAACGTTGCTCATGCGCTCATCATCAAAGGTGCGCTCCTCCTCGTCATCGTCACCATAGCTGTGATAATCTTAGTGGGGTATCGGATTGGAGCGGTTGGATTGATGAAGTCTAAGGGAAAGTTTTACGCCTGGCAAGCCTTCTGCGAATATTGATCTTCTTGATAGAGTGATTTTGAAGCTGGCTCGTCTTGTTGGCATTTCCAGAAAGAAGAGGTGAATATGTCAAAAATTGTGTCGTCCGGGAATTTCTCGGGCCAAAGTCGTAGTGATAATTGATGAATGAATATAGCGGGCTGCGCTATTGTTGATATTGGTCTCCACTTGGGGGGACACAGGACAGGCTGCGGTTTCGATGAAAGTCCACAGTGAACAGCGACCTGGAATCATGTGCTTAGCTACCTTGAATTTCGAGCAAGATATTGTTGTACTTTGCACGAAGCATTTCCCAGGCCAGTCAGAGCTCCAAGACTTCTTTTCCAAGGCGTCCGTGACATGCATTAGTCGAATGCTGACATGCTTGTCGACGAACCCGTTCTATTGCCAGGGCAAAGCGTTTCAGTCCCCAAGCTAGGCTGCCACCCTTTGAGTTGGGCGAAATGTTACTGAGTTGAAGAGCCCTTAAATCCTCGGTCGGTCGGAAGTGGCTCAACTTGAACCAATGTCTCCGTCCGCCTCAAGCATAAATCCAGGACTCCAATACTCCCACTCCTCACACTGTTGATCCACCCATAGCATACCTTCCGACACAAGGTCATCAATAGCAGTCTTCGCTCTGGCTCTTGGCCAGCGTAAATTCAACATCAACATCGAAATACTGACATAGCCCAGTACCTGTGCTGCTTCAAGGACAGCACTTTGGTCCGTGTTGAGCTCCTTAGGCACAGAACGAATGTAGACTTTGTGACCAACTTTGACTGTAGAATACGAAGATCCAAGAGGCTTGAGAGTATCCACAGCGCGTAGGACGTCATCACTAGATTCCGTCAGAGAAGGCTTGTGGACGCATCCCAGGAGCACTTACTCCGTAATTTCTGTACTTCCCTCGGCCCTGGTTCTCATGATACGGTCCCTTACTTCCTTGACTCCAATAAGTCCGCCATTCTCTTCTCTAGTTGCTCCACAGACCTCTACAACTCTCACAGCCAGTTCGAAGTAAAAGTCATTTACACTTCCACCGAGCAATTGTGACCAAAAGCTCCCACCTCCATCTTTGCCTCCAGCTCCGCTACTACTTGCTAGTGGATCTACCCCGATCGCAGCACACATGCGCGCAAATTCTGCGCGAAAGCTGGGGTTTGACCGGATGTCCTTTGCATGAGTCTGCGCGAACTGCTGGAGGAGAGAGCGAAAGACTGAGAGTTGAGTGGCTATAGAGGTCGAATGGGAGCTCCGTAGGTTATTTCCGTGAGACGCATACTGGGCAGAAGTTATTCGGGAGCGATCAAAGGCCGCGAGGCCTACTCCTTTGCGGGACATTGTTACTGTACGATATCGTGAGGCGTGGTTCAGCAATCCAGGAGCCAGGTTCATATCAGATAGCGCGCAGCCGATGGGACGACCAACACTAATGCCATTTACAGTTTAGACTGCAGCCAACCTCGCTTGCGGCTGGACACCCTCCACCAAAGCAATTTTGGAATTTGAAGCAAGACGCCCTAACGACAATTCCTTTCGACAAACACGCAAACATGGCCACCTCCCAGAGCGTTCAATGCTTCGGCAAGAAGAAGACAGGTAGGTTCGGAACGCGAATCTGCGATAGAAAGAAGTGCTGACAAAATCTTCAACAGCCACCGCCGTCGCCCACTGCAAGGTACGAATCAACGAGACGATGCGATTACCACGAAATCCACACGCACAATGTACACATACTGACAGAACTGGCGAAATAGGCAGGAAAAGGACTCGTCAAGGTTAACGGCAAGCCCCTTAACCTCGTCCAACCAGAGATCTTGCGATTCAAGGTCTACGAGCCCCTCCTCATCGTTGGCCTAGAGAAGTTCGCAAATGTCGACATCCGAGTCCGCGTTACCGGTGGTGGACACACTTCCCAGGTCTACGCCATCCGTCAAGCCATCAGCAAGTCCATTGTTGCATACTACCAGAAGTTCGTCGATGAGCACTCCAAGAACGCCATAAAGCAACAACTTGTCGCATATGACCGCACGCTGTTGGTTGCGGATAACAGACGTTGCGAGCCAAAGAAGTTCGGAGGTGGGTTCTGCAAGTGTGGAGAGGAATGGATGGTTTCTAACGTGTGTGACAGGTCCCGGAGCCAGAGCCAGATACCAAAAGTCTTACCGTTAAAGGATGGGGAGGTTTGGGGTCTGGGATTGGAGAATGGTTTCTACTGCATTTGCAAAGGATGGGCTCTGCTTTTTTTTGCTGGCTGTAGGATTTTGAGCAAATAAACAAGATTCTACCGGGCAATACAGAGAATTATAAACAAGGTTATTGTGTTTCGGGCAGAGTGACGTGTGTGGACAGCGGACAGCATCTTTGAGAGGTTCTTGATTTATGCAGGCACGAGATGCATGGGCTGGCTATTGTGGGCTCTACGTTTTTGCAGGTCAAGCTGCAGGCTCGTCTGGAAACATGACCAGAAGTCTGGTTGTACCTCCTTGCCACCAGTTTCTAATGCCTAATATCCATCGAAACGTTGCAATTGCATCAAGCTCCAATATTATGAGAGTGTCAGAGCACCAGGATGTCGTTCTGCACGAACAAGTTTAACAACGCCCGTCATCCATCCATCAATCCTACGCTCATACTTATTTCTTCGTATTCTCAAGAATAGTCTTGATCATCTCATTTCCAACCTTGGTTGCGTCCGCAAATCTGGGCTCAAAGAACTTCTGTGTACTTTGGAAACGATCTTTGTAGCCCTCAAAGTCGCCAAAAGCAACACACTCACTCCACCCTCGTGCAGCAAATGTAAATTCTAGATCATCTGATCGAAATGTGTTGTCTTCAATAGCCACACGAATGACATCGTTGAGAAGAGCAGGCTTGCGGAAAAGATATTCTGTGACGCCAAGCCACAGACGGAACAAGGGTGTAGAGCAGATCATGTGGTCGTACGGTACGATGTCCATTTGTGACCAGCAGTCTACCATGGCGAGTAGACTGAGATGGTTGTTTGGCAGAGGGGTTTCAGGTTTCTTGCCTAGGGAGAAACGGTCAAGTACTTCGTCCTTGAGAAGGAGATCTTCATCCCAGCTCTGTGAAGGGAAGACCTTAGCGCCAGCCTTAACGATTCTATCTTCTAACTCCTTTCTATGTCCACCAAGCATCAACTTGTAAAGATCTGTGACAGACTGAGCATATTGCTTGATTTGCTCTTTAGCATAAGGATTCAGGATAGCCAGGCCGGCATAAACATGCCATTTCTGAGAATAAATTCGGAGTGTGATATTGATCTTGACGTTTTCGATACCACCAACGTAACGAGCTATCTCCCAAGGGAATTGCTCATTGGCGTGCCACGCTTTGCCCATGCTTAGAAAGGCTGCATGTGTAACTGCTTGGGTATCGGCAGTAATGCGATCATGCTTGCTGGCGGAAAGATAGACATGTTTGGATCCTAGGCAGGAGAGAACATGCTCGACTTTTTCGAAGTTTTCCTGGGATGCACGGTGTTTGATTAGAACCTGAAAAGTCGATCAGCTCTGGAAGATAGCAAGAGACTTGGGTAGCTGACGAGCGGCTGGCCTCTTGGGTCAACATTCGGACCATGGAGGGAGTGGCAGGAGACGATATCCACATCCCCCGGAAGATGTTTCTCAAACGCTGCGATCTCGGGAGCCTTGCAAGAAGTTTGACCTCCAACAATAGCACCTTGCTTCGTAGCTACGATGGATTAGTATGATGTACTGGGCGGGGCAAAGGTGCATACAGGGGCCATATTGCGCAACGACTTTGTCAATCGACGCGGCTTCAACGTTGTAGATTATGAAATCGCTTGCTCTGGAGACGAGATGACCATTGGGAAAGATTTTGATTTGTTTCTATGAACGTCTCAGCACTTGTTGAGAAGGATGCTATATACGTGCGAGGTATTTACTTGGCCGGCAAATTCCTCATGAAGGCCATCATATTTCTCTTCCCTGTCGCAAGCATTCACCCTGTCCACCATTAGTCACTACATAACGTATATCGCGAACCTGATTAGCATTCTGTTAGCTTGTGTATTCCAAGTAATCCCAGGAGAAGCTGTGTGAGAAACGATTTTCAGACAAATAAAATTAAGGTAGCTGAGATTTTTCATCAGTGAAAGCCAGCTGCCAACTTGGTACCAGAATGGTATTCAAGCCGGCTGAAGACAATACTCGAGCCAAATGCACTCAAGTCATCATGAAAGGACGGGAAGGGAAGGAAGGGGAAGCTTACCATGAGAGTGTCTAGCTCAACGATATCGGATGAACAGAAATTTTACCTCCATCCTGCAGCGCTGAGCCTCCGAGCATACATCTTGCCCATGTCTCCTAGGCCAATGATGCCGATGGTGAAGTCGGATGAGACCATCTTTTCGCTTGCCATCACTGAGTTTGTAGCGGCCATTGCGTCCAAGGTCCTCTCTGTAGACAGCTATCACATGGTACAATGACCAGATGCCCCCAACTGAAAAAACAGAAGTTGAGTTGCAAAGAAGAAGCTGTTGTGAGTGGTGAAGGAAGCTCAACGGAGAAAAGTTTTGAATGAAGAACTCAGCCGCGCTAACAATTTAGCGCACCCCACCTCATCACGTGGAGAGGCTGGATCGCTTAGCTCATCCACATCACAAATAATCGAAATATTTTGACGGTTTGAAGATCACGATATCGACCATTCAATCCCACATCGACCAAAATGGCACCAAAGAAGGCAGCAAGACCCGCTCAGGAGAACATCTCCCTCGGCCCCCAAGTCAGAGATGGTGCGTACACCTCGATTTCAGAAGGCCGCCTTCTCCAGCAAACCCCGCCGCGATATCTCACTTTTCGCAAACTTTGAACTAACTTCTTCTCCAGGAGAGCTCGTTTTCGGCGTAGCCCGTATCTTTGCCTCGTTCAACGACACTTTCGTCCACGTTACTGATCTCAGGTATGTCGAAATTCCTTGAGAAAATGGTCTGCGAAGATATTTGGTGGAGATATACCTACAGACATGATTGTGGAATGGTTCATAGGCTGACTTTCTGGGTGATTCCAGTGGCCGCGAAACCATCACTCGTGTTACCGGTGGAATGAAGGTCAAGGCAGACCGTGACGAGTCCTCCCCATACGCTGCTATGTTGGCTGCTCAAGACGTCGCTACTCGCTGCAAGGAGTTGGGCATCAACGCTCTTCACATCAAGATCCGCGCCACTGGAGGTAAGGCTACTGGTCTCTTTCGAAGATACAATTGTTAATCTATTGCTGCAGGTAATGGTACCAAGACCCCAGGCCCAGGTGCGCAGTCCGCTCTCCGAGCACTCGCTCGTTCCGGCATGAAGATTGGCAGAATCGAGGATGTTACCCCAACCCCATCCGACTCCACTCGCCGCAAGGGTGGTCGCCGTGGTCGTCGTCTCTGAGCATCAGATATGCTGGTATGGTGGTACAAGGCTTGGTTTTCGCTGTGGGATTGACACCAACGCGAAGGACGGCATTCTTTGCCTGGCCTTCAATTTGCTCTCTGTGTCACATAGTCACTTAGTGCAGCAGTAGAAACTCCATGACGCTATAGAAAGTTCTCAATGCGGTCTCAAGTGACTTGTATAATTGTGTGACAAGCTGCCAGATCGTTATCTATGATATTCAGTCCTGTTAGACAGGCAATATCCTCAGTCTCTCTCAATTTAACGCCATGTCGCCATGCTCAGCAGATGCGTACGAAACAAGAAGAACCCGCGTCCTAGCAACGCCATTGGAATGCACACCGCCCGAACACCAATTAATGAAGCCAGTAATACACACCTCCGATCATTATGATCCTGCCTCGTGAACGTCGTAAGATGCGTAACCCAATGGAGTGCCCATAATCGAAAGAAAGGAGAAGCCGTAGGCGTCATGCTTGCCAACTCGATCAGCTGGATGTTGAAGGATGTCAGTCTAGAATGCCCAACTGACAGAGGAGCGGGACTTGTGTCGACGACGCTTCTCCTTTCCGTGATCTACGAGCACACATCAGGTCAGAACTTTACACCTAAAAGCGCACGAGACCGATCTCGCGGCCTTCATCGTCTAGTTGCACTACCATAGGTGCAAACTCTAGGTAATCGGGGAACGGATCAGCTCTTGGTCTACAGGATTTGAGAGGAGACATGTTTGAAATTTGGAGATGGATTTAAGTTTGGACGAAGGAATGACTTACCGCCTCGCTCGTCTTCAGCTTCAAAATCTTTCAGTTCTGCATCTACGTATTCGCCATCTTCAAGCTGGACTTGACCGGACCGAACGTAGTTCCCACGGAGGTCCCAACCACCTCGCCATTTCCACAAGAAGGATTCGAGTTCGGCAAAAGCGTCGCCAACAGACTTCTGCTCAGGAGTGAGACGAGTCTGTGCTTGAAGCAGTTGCTCATCAAGACGAGATTTGAAGACCGTAAGGATATTCTTCAACTCATCCTCCAAACCTCCATCTGCATCCAAGATGCTACCTTCGATACCAACACCATCATAAAGGAACTGCGCATGAACGGCCTGAATAAACTTTCGGAAAAGAGCCGGCATGTCCATAACGAGTCGAAAGGCACGGAACATTACCTTGACAATATGAGCCCAATGTTCAATACAAGCGATATTACCAAGCATCATTCCTGTGAGGTAGCAGAACTGTAGCTCTCCGACGATCTCGTCAGAATCCTCGTGAGTGCAGTGGCCCGTGATGATTGCGTGGATGTGAGCACTGGTATCCAGTGCTTGTTCAGTACGCTCTCGTCCAACCGAAGTATTAGAGAAAGTGCGACCGTCCTTGGGAAAGACAAAGTCCAGAATTTCGTCCTTGTCGTATTCTCGGGTATTGGCTCCATGGACACCATTGCTGATCTTGTAATCATGATTAGACGATACCTGCCAATGGTTCCACTCCTTCTGACCAGTAACCCTGTTGAGGAGCGCTGCTTTCATTGACGATGTCAATCTTGTCCAGATGGTTGGATCGTTAATGCCATTAATGTTGTGTATAACATGATAGTCTTGTAGATTATTGGCAAACTCGGGTAGGCTCTTCTCTTGAATTCGAATCTCAGCAACACTGACCTCACTTAATATAGTCAGTCTCTGGGATTTGGTGCGCAGACGGGGTCTCATTCAAAAGCAAGATTCGGGTGGGTTAACTTACTCGACCAGAACCTCATTGTATTTGTCCCATGTCTTGACAATGACCTCACCATATTCGTCGGATGCTAGCTTGGAGGACATGAGCCAGAAACCAGTCCGAAGAGATCCATCACGAGTTCCAGCCCAGACGAAATGAGCACCAGGGTCAAGGTTTTTAACACCCTCAAAGACTCCTTGTTTCTTTATGGTGAGACTGATAGTGTCGTATCCAAAGACAACGCCAACAGGGATGTCTCTAACAACGACAACATCGCCTGATTTGAGAAACTCAAGTCCCTTGATATTGGGAGCACGAGTTGGTGATGGAGAGTGAACGCGAAGAGTGCCAAAGGAGTGCGTACCGATAGCCTGCATGGATCGAACTGATTTGTTTGATCGTTCGGAGGATGATTTCGAGAGAGTGCATTTGTTGGTTGAGTCAACAATGCTTGCATCAGAGTCTCCTCGCTCAGTTTGTTCACGTCCACGAGTCTCCTGGTAAACATCTCGCTGGGTGGCTTCTGGTGTAGAAATCAGCAGAGCAGAAATGGCCGGCTGCGGATTTTCATGACTACCATTGGATTTGACAGAAAGGGCACTATATCAGAGATGAGCCATACTAGCTTTGATAGGAGACCAAAAAAAATAAGTTCGATCTGGGAAGCATGCAGAGGAAGCTCGAGATCTTTAATGCGGAAACAAAGAGCACTTACCGGGAAAGAGCAGAGGCATGATCCTTGACGGTGGATGGACTGCGTTGAACGGAGATCTGGTTCTGAATGAAAGTTGTGTTTGTCTTCGAAGGTGATGCTTCACTTTGGTCAGTGGTGGAACACGTCGTCGGTGGCCCAACCAAAGGTGTCGCCGTGAAAGCAGAATCGGTCTCCATTGAGAAGAGAGTGTTGAAGTGAGCACGGTTTGTCTCAACAAAGGGATCTTCTATGTACTGCACCATTGTTGTAAGCAATTTGAAGTGACGTGAGGGTAGAAAGGAGTGAAGAGTTCTTGGAGGTAAGATGGGTTGGGCTCTTGGCTGTGGGAGATATTTACTTTCTTGGTTAACGACTTCACCTTCGAATTACTCTCCAGCCCCTGAGACTTTCCGCTGGGCGGATATGACTCTGAGCCGAGTGTAACTCTTTTGAAGTTCCGGGTAGAAGACCTTCTGTATTGAACAGAAGAAAATAAATGTCACAGGAAGTTGCTGCCACTTGAAATTCCGAGAATAACTATGTTGCCGCCAAAAAGGTGGAGATGTAGAGGTCCTTCTTCAAATATAACGAACGTATGGTTTGCGTCTCTTCATACGATACCTCATACGATACCTTGCAAAATTGGCTGATTGCGATATCGTAAAGTTGGCATGTTGAAGCTCAGCAAGGTTTCGCGGGTTGGAAATATATTTATATGTTGACTAACAGGGCTAGCGATGCAGGGCTGTGCCGAAAAGGAGCATGACGCCACAGAGTTCCAGCGGCCCGCACTGTCCACCTCAGGCTTGTCCAAGATCATCCGAGCTCTCATTTAGCGCCTGCGGTACAACGATCCATTGTGATCTAACTTTACATACTTAGGTACGGTATCTCTCTCGTGTATTGATTGTTAAAGGCGGTGTCCTGTCTCCTGCGCACTCACAACTCCAGTCCCCAATGGCGTCCAGCCAGCCCGGAAATCTCCAGCAGCCAGCAAACTCGAGCAACTGTGAGGATGGCCAACCAGAAGCTGTAGAAGGAGAAGTATGGGATGAAGAGCGCCTTGAGAAAGCCATGAAGACTATGAAGGAAATGCATATTCAAGTCAGTAATCCGAAGCTCTGACATTCTCGCACTGACGAAAGTATAGCTTCGAGATTTGAGAACGACACTGCCCAGGCTGATCGCCCCGTTAACCAAGAAACAACCTTCACGTATGCTTGACATCATCCCAACAGCGCATCTCAATGCAGGCTCCTTCTTCGCTGTTTCAGTAACTTCCACTGACGGATCACAGCCGAAACATTGTTCCGCGAATTTTCAGCGTCTGCGAATTCTGCGATCCAAGAGGTACAGGAATTCCGTCGCTTGGTGACGTCCGACGACAGCAAGAAGGTTATGGAGCAAGCAAGGAAGAGTCGTGCGGAGAATCCAAAGGGCATCAAACCTTGGAAAGCATCAGATCACCCAGATTGGCTAAGAAGAGAAACATAATGGGAGGCGCTTACTGTCCTTGGCCTCCATCCAGGTGAATAAGTGCCAGCTATTCGGGAACTTAGCAATGGGGATCGAGGCTTGGATATTGGGAAGACAATCTGCCCTGCCTACTCAAGCATAGGTGTGTGTCTGGAAATTGTGGAGTTATGGAGCATGGACGGCGTTTATGGAAGAACATGTCATCGGTCATATCTTTGAATATTTCGGGATACCCAGGGAAATGAATGTCGTTTACTAGACTGGCAAATTCAAACAAGTCCCTGTCACTCTTGAATACTCAGCTGGGATTACTATGCTTGACTCGGCATGAAGTCGACTCTCCGTGTTAGATGTAGTAGGAGAATACCACTCCATGGTAGCTTTCGTTCTTGCAAGGAAATCGGAAGTTGTTCGGAATCAATACAAGAATCATCTACATTCCCTTCCATTAGTCGCTGGGATCTCATTGGCGTTCATTACGAGCTTTGTACATGCTCGCCCATGCCACTTTCTCTTCATTGGATTTGATGTTGGTTGTATAGTTTTGTAATCGTGACACGGAGCTGCCCCCGCCATTGCTAATGACTCACCGCAATTGAGGCACAGAATCTGCACCTTTCAGTAAAAGCATTCGATGTTCGGAATCAGAGTCATTTTCTACAGATTGCTCGTTGCACAGCCCTTCTTTTGGTGAATCTTTGCCTCAAAACTTTTAGGGCTGGACCGAACTCTCGCTTAATTTTTCACCCCTCCACCAGCGTCGCGCGCAAAGAATCTGGCAATTAAATTCAACGACTCCCCCGCGTCGACGACTACCCTTACCTCTCCACCCAAACTCGATCACCATGGCGTCCCGATTCTTTCACGGCGACAGTTCGAGCGAGAGCAGTTCTTCCGACGAAGAGGAGCTCTATTCTGATAAGGAAGAGGAGGAAGAAGCATCCGAAGCAGAAGATTCCGACGAAGATTCCGACGAAGCTGAGGATGAGTCCTCCAGCAGCGATGATGACGGCGGAAAGAAGAGCGGTGTCAGCAAGTTCTTGCGAGACGCAGATTCTGAGAGCGAAAGCGACAGCGATGAGGACGTGGCCAAGGTCGTGAAGAGTGCCAAGGATAAACGTTTTGAGGAGTTGGAGGGTACTGTTAAGGCTATCGAAAATGGAGAGAAGATCAATGACTGGCATGTCATCTCTGCCGGTAGGTCCTTGTTAGCGACTTATAGACAGATTCCGGGCTAATATACTTGACCAGAATTCGATAAGCTCAACAGACAAGTGGTGAAGCTCGTCCAGGCTGGCAACACGCCAAAGCTGTATGTTAGGGCTATTGCAGAGTTGGAAGATTTCATGAACGAGACAATCGCCAAGCAGAAGGTCTCGACGAAGAAGATGAATGCGACCAACGCCCGTGGCCTGAATGCTGTGAAGCAACGTATTAAGAAGAATAACAAGGACTACCAGAAGGATATCGATGCATACAGAGCCGACAAGGATGCGTTTATGGAGTCTGATGAGGAGGAGGAGCCAGCTCCAAAGCCCAAAAAGCCAAAGGTAGTGTCAGGTGTACCCCAGGCTACACTCGAGGACGATGATGAGGGCTTCTCGACAGTTGGAAAGGGTGGACGGACGTTACAATTCACACCTGAGAGCATTCTCAAGCACCTGCGCACGATTATGGAGTCTCGAGGAAAGAAGAACACGGACCGTACCGAGCAGATTAAGATTATGGAGAAGCTCTATGAGGTTGCCACAACCCCTTACCAGCGCGTTCGCGTTCTCTTGACCCTCATTTCCACCAGATTCGATTTGACCACCGGTGTCCAAACCTTCATGTCTCAAGAGCAATGGAAGGCAGCCGAGCAAGAATTCGGTAACCTTCTCAAGGTTCTGGAGGCCAACAGAGAGTTGGTGGTGGTTGAGAATGCCGAGGAATGGGAAGATGATGACAAGCAACCGACCATTGCACCTGGCGAGAACTTCAAAATCCCTGGCAGCATTGTGTCATATGTGGAACGACTTGACGATGAACTCACCAGATCCCTTCAGCACATCGACCCACACACCGCTGAATACATCGACCGACTGTCGGACGAAGGTGCTCTCTACAACAACATTACCCGCGTTCTGCTGTACACGGAAAATCTCCGCCAGGATGAGAAGCTTCAAGTGTCTCAGGAGAGTATAAACCGTATCGTCATGAGAAGACTTGAGCATGTGTACTTCAAGGTTAGTCCTTCCGACAAACTTTGGTAACTATTTCAACTAACTCGCGTGTTTAGCCATCGGCTGTTGTCAAGATCCTCGAAGAGAACTGCTGGAAGTCGATCCCCGAGAATCTTGAATCTGCCATCACCCCTCGGAATCAAGTTGCGGATGCTGCCGCCCTCGTCAATGTTCTGTGCAACTACCTCTTCATCAATAGTGAAGGTATCATCCGCGCAAGAGCCATGCTGTGCCAGATTTACTTCCTTGCGCTGCACGACAATTACTACAAGGCTCGAGATATGATGCTGATGTCCCATTTGCAAGAGACAATCAACGCGTTCGATGTCCACAGCCAAATTCTGTTCAACCGAACCCTTGTTCAGGTTGGTCTATGCGCTTTCCGAGCTGGTCTTGTTTATGAAGCCCAAACCACTCTGCAGGAGATCTGTGGTAGCGGTCGTCAAAAGGAGTTGCTCGCTCAAGGTGTTATGATTCAGAGATACAACCAAGTATCACCAGAACAAGAGAGACTTGAGCGCCAAAGACAACTCCCCTTCCACATGCACATCAACCTTGAACTCCTCGAGTGCGTTTACCTTACCTGCAGTATGCTTCTCGAAATCCCACTTCTCGCACAGACTGGCTCGTCACCCGATATCAAGAAGCGAGTCATCAGCAAGACTTACCGCCGTATGCTCGAATACCACGAGCGACAGATTTTTACCGGTCCTCCCGAGAATACCAGAGATCACGTTATGCAAGCATCGAAAGCTTTGGCAGCCGGAGAATGGAAGAAGGCAACCGAATTCATCCACTCAATTAAGATCTGGGAGCTCATGGCTAAGCCAGACTCCATCAAGGAGATGCTCTCCGCTCAAATCCAAGAGGAGGGTCTCCGGACATATCTCTTCACATACGCCCCATACTATGACACTCTCGCCGTCGGCACTCTGTCGTCGATGTTCGAACTCTCTGACCGCAAGGTTGCTGCTATTGTCAGCAAAATGATCAGTCACGAGGAACTTGCCGCCGCTCTTGACCAAGTCAATTCATCGATTATCTTCAGAAAGGGTGTAGAGTTGAGTAGACTGCAGAGCTTAGCACTTACCCTCAGTGACAAGGCAAGCGGTTTGATCGAGAGTAACGAGCGGACCCTGGAGACAAGAACACAAGGAACAGCCAACGCATTCGAGAGACAGGGCGGCCGAGGGGGACGCGGAGGACGCGGTGGTCGCGGCGGTGGTAGAGGAGGTGGCGGAAGAGGAGGTGGTGGTGGTGGCGGAAACAGTGCTCCTAGACAATCGGGTGGCACACAATTTACGGGTGGAGCTCTTGGTGCTGCGATTCGTGCTTAGTTGATGGGTTTCATTGCATTGGGAATTGGGTTTGGGCTGTATGATCCCTCAAGGCGTTCTCATAGAGCTTACGAAAAAGCCCCTCACTTGTGAGTTGTTTATCATGCGCTCATGCATGATGATATGTAGTCAGGTTCTTTTAATGCAAATGCTTGTGAAAGTCTGCTAGACTGTTTCTGAGTGCATAATGATAAGTTGTTGATATGCCTGTCCCCGCCAGATACAAAGAGTTAGAAGTATTTGCTGCCCTCCCCAATCAGGTGAAAGTCCCAAGAGCATAAACGAGATTGGGCCCAACGTCAGCAAACTTGGAGTTCTTACTAACATCATTCCAGCCAAACCAGGCATCCTGCTGCAGGTCTCTGTTCACTACAGTCATCTATATACAACGACCGAGTCAGCAACTATCTCAACCTTCCCAGAAGGCTCGGAGGTCCATAAGTAGTCAAGAAGTAACAGGCGCTCAAGCCTCAAAGGATTAAGACCGAAACAACGTCAACGTACCACAGCAAAATCATAAACCGAGTTATACCCCCAAGATATAACCCATCCGCCATCCACGCCCGTATGTGCATTACACCCGATCGAGTAGAATGAATTGTACACTGGACTAGATGGGAGAGGTGCAGCTGAAATGCCTGTATCGGAAATGCGGCATGCGAAGTCGGGTTTCAATGGTGATGAGGAGATCGTGAATTGGTAATCGCAGATTAAGATGCCATTATTGTAGGGTGTGCCACAGACTGGAAAGATTAGCTGATATTGTTGAGGTGGGAGCTGGCGTACTTCTTGTGAATGATTTGACAGTCCATGTCACTCCTGGGATCACTCGAGGCTCCAGAGCTGCTGGAGCTGAAGTGACGATACCTGAAAAGGCTGTGATTGTAAGAAGAAGAGTAAGAAGCATGTTGAGGTTTGTGATTAGGTTGCTTTGGAAATACGGGTTTGGAATCTTAATGTAAGCAAGTACTTGGAGTAATTAGGACTCCAGCCCGAAGAGTGAGGTGGGGTTTTTATACCATCCTTCCACACTCTGATTAATGAAAATCTAATTTCAGCTCTGAATCTGTAGGATCTCGATAACCTATCAACAAGGTGAGGGTTGGACACGAGACCAGAACCATTTCAGCTATCAGCCAAGAACACTCAGTTTTGTGTGACTCCGTATTCCACTTAGGCGAACCCTCGTGACAACAGTGTAAGAAACATGCCTATTTATCGATAGCATGAAGATGTTCGTATTGATAGTCGTTCTTCAGGATGCCGGAAATAGTTTATCGAACATATGATGAACAGTTCAAATCATGGCTCGCTTGGACAAACCTTGAACTCAACAACCATTCCGCCACATCCTGCCGGCACCACAAACTTGGAAAGAGTTCCTTCTAGAGAACGTGATATCGTTCGTCGTCATGATTGCATCCGGCAGATTTGTTATTTCCTCGCTAAAAGGTATCTTCGGATCCTACTTCCTGGATAACCACTCCCCACGAGATAACCACAAGTAGTGGGCTTAATGGCTCGATATGAATTGTGCTGATTGTCTTCCTGTTCTGTTACTGGGTTGCTGGCGATCACCCATGTGAGTGATTAGCTCACCTAGATTGATTTCTCATAAAGTTGGGATTTGGGACATTTATGCTGGTTTATTTGGTGACTGTGAGAGACTTTGTCAGCCTGGTTAGGGAGATCAGATATCTTGGGTCGTGGCCGGTGGGTGTTGCCTTTCGACTGCTTCAGTCTGATCCCTATACAGATAATACTTGGTGGCTTGCATAGTTCACAGTATTAAAGCCAAAATTTACCAAAGAGATATCAAATTTGACTAGACAGTGCTCAATCCATACGTAACACAAGTTATACAGAGCCAACGAGCGTTAACAACACATTCTGCAAATAATTCAACAAGAAGAAAGTAGATAGAACTATGAATAACCGAGTACACATTCTTGTCCTTCGTCAAGTTTCATGTGTAAGGTAACAGTCGTGAGGCGACCAGATTTTACGCAGGAGTTGACGATTTACGCCAATCCAAACAACAACTTTGTAAATCGGCAGGGTACCGTCAGCGATAAGGAGTTGCATGTACGCCCGAACTGACCTGGGACTCTTGTGCTATTGAATAATTGAAGGTGCCCAAGATAGACGCCTAGAATGCCTTCGTTGGCGTGGGTACGAGCACTGAAAGAACAAGTGTGTCCGGGCTTGGTTCTTTCACTCCGAGTCTGTGAACCAAGCCAGTATCAATAGAACTTATTGGGCTCTATTTGAATTGTCATAATTTGCTCTTGAATATGTCTTCCGCGCCGCCCTTATTGAGTCGTCGTGATTGTAATGTAGCTGTGACCGTGCCGATGTCTAGGCTCTAGCTGAACGCTGATAGACTCGATAAGTCGACGAAATAAATAATCTGACCAACTTCTGAGCGAGAACTTCTCGGGATCTAAATTGCATGAGTCGTAGTTTTAGTTGCGAATACATTGTGTCGTATGAGTTCAGTGTCCGAACTGCTCAATATGGACTTCTCGACCTATGTCTGGTTTACTCCTTGCTCTTATCCTAAATGATCAGGCGAACTTGGGCCGTGCATCCACCCATCGCCGCCCAGCTCAGAGCATGAAGTAGCTGAAGACCATGCTTGAAACAGGATGATGTAGGTTCCGGAAAACGTGTCGCATACACCAGATTACGGCCACCAAACTTCTTCACATCCTTCGCACTCTTTTGACAAAAATTGCGCCTCGAAACAGATAATCTGACCCATCATCAGCGCCAATATCACGGGCTCTGGCAGTACATTAGCTAGGTAGCTGCCTATCAATCGCCCACTATTCCCCGAACCGCTCTTCCCATTCCACAACGAGACGAGCCCCTCCAACGAGCCGAACCTTGAGTCGAATGCGCCCAGGACCGCTATACAGTCAGGCTGGATGAATCCGACATCCATCCGATAACCTTCACTACACATGCCACCCTCAGCCGAAGCTCGTTGACCTTCCCCTGTCGATGGCCAGATGGTTGGACCACCGAGCATTCTGAGTACGTCCGCGACGCCGACTCAGAAGTCACTGTACACCCAGGCGTCGTATCCTTCAAAGACGAGCCTCGATGCAAACCGGGATGGATTACAACCAACGGCTGGGGCCAATGGACCCCGCGGCCTGGGCAATTCCGCCATGTCCTTCGCCCCTCGTGGATCTTCCCTCGCGGCATCTCCTGCACCAGGCAGCTTCAGTTCAAATATGCGGAGTCAGATGGCACCCTCGAGGCAGGCTTCCGGGCAGGACATAAATGCGTCAATGGTCAATCTGGAGAGACTGGATGAAGCAGATGCAATGGGAACTGGGCAGGCTTTGACCTCCCTCCGCGAAGCTCTGAACAGAGAAATGAAGATCAAGGAGGGCAGTGAGAATATGCTGGAGGCTCTGAATACGAAGAAGGCAAAGCAGACCAAGGAGCAACGCCAAAGGGTCGAGGCAGAACTCAATTCCTCAAATCAGAGAATCAAGGACCTGCGAGTGCAAATAACAGAGTTGCAGAGGCCGAAGCCCCCAACAACGCCAACCAGGACTCGAATGGATGTTACATTCCAAAGTACCAATGGACTACGGTCTCCTCCAAGTGTAACCAGAAGTACTGGAGGATCAGAGTACGACGAGCCTACGGAGTCGCCCACATATGCTTTGGCAGAGATCCTGCAAGCACTGGAGGTTGAAGGGCTCACGCCAGACTACTACGTAGGACACGCCAACAATCTGGTAGAGCTGTTCAAACGACATCCGACACTTAAACATGACTTGGTCTGGTCAATATTTGGCCTTCGCATGCAAGTGATGCTTCTAAGTGAGAGTAGAGAGGTCGTGGCAGCAGGATATCGAATGACGAGATATGCTATATCTGACATAACATCACTGCATAAAATCAGGTCTTTAAACACCGATCATCTTGTCGTCCTGTATGTGCTCAAAGAATGCGTTCTGAAAATTTCTTACTAACCTTGTTAGATCACTCATCAAGGAAAGAAAGGCTGATGTTGAACGAGAACAAGCCTTGAAATTCATCAGAGCATTTCTAGACGTTAAAAACGGCGTGAAAGAAATATCGAGAGCTGTCGTGAGGACAATATCATCAGTTGCGGAGCATACAGAAGACAGGCTCAAGTCAATCTGCATAGAAACGCTTGCTGAAATCATGGTTCGAGATCCAGCTTTAGTTGTTTCCTCGGGCGGGTTGAGGCCTCTGGCAGATGCACTTGGTGAAGGCACATATGAAGGCTCTGAGAGTTTAACTGGAGCGTTTCTGTTCCTCCTGGACGCTCCGCAGAGACGAAAATACTTACGATCTGGCTATGAGCTTGAGGTTCTTTTCACCGCCTTTACCGACTCTCTGTTTGCAAAGGAGAGCATTTTAAAGCAAAATTCAAAAGCAATAGGCTATGCTTTGAAGTCCTGGCCAGGCCTTATGACTTTGTCCATGTACAACTTCAGGGCTATTAAATCGCTGGTTTCCTGCTTAATCTTACCAAATCCGACCATCCGGGAAACAGTAATTGACCTACTCTACTCCCTCCTTCGAATCAAATCGCCATTCTGGGCAACGTCTTTCCTGGCAGGTAGACGGCTCACAACCTATGGAAGACTGGCTACGCTGAAAGCAGCGCCTCAAAAAACAGCACAGCCAGTGGAGGAGGAGCCGGGTGATAAGAGCTTCGTTGATCACTACACGGCACTTCTGCTTGCAGTTTTGATATCCTCGGATCTTCTTACAGGCCTCTTGCAGGTTACTCGAGATGCGGACAATTCAATGTTGAAGCGAAAGACTACTCTTCTCATTGGAGAAGTCCTCAAGCTTGCTAGCAATCTGCTTCCCCAATCCTGGAGCAGCGACTTGCAGCTCCTCCCAGAACTATTTGCAGCTGCCTCGCATTTTGGAGATAACGAACGTTTCGATGCTACTGGGACCGTCTACCAAATAAGCAGTGTTTCCAGGACGCTGTATCGATCAAATCCCTCTGCCACAAACGCATTGACCAGCGTCGTCAATAACAGCAATGACAACCTTGCAAATCTTGAAGATACTCCAAAGCTGAATCCAAATGTCACATTGGATGAGACAACTTTTCGCCAGCTACTCGTTGAAACCCAGGTATTGTCGAGTACGAATCCTGTGAAATGGAAGTGGGAGATTATTTTGAAGATCATTGAGGGCCCTCTACTGAACGGGAAGCGCCTTGACGAGGCAATCAAGGCCTCGAAATTCATCAAGAGAATTATGAGCTTCTACCGGCCCTTCAAATACAAGTTCGCCGAAGTCAGGAATACGCGAATCACCCAGAAATACGTCCGAGTTGGCTGTGCACTAATGAACACGCTTTTGCAGACACAGGAAGGCGTTCGGTATCTGTCGGATAACAAATTACTCAGGCAAGTCGCTGAATGCTTAGCACAATGTGATCCAGTAAGTCTCCAGCTCTAGTTTCTCGTACAACAGCTAATAAGGCGCAGACCAGCGGCTTGACAGCCCAGTCTCCCATGTTCTCTAAGGATCGACTTTCCGAAACACTTTGCTGCGGGTACTTTGCAATGCTTGGCACGTTGAGCGGCGATGTTAAAGGGCTGGCAATGCTTGACAGGTGGCGAATGATCAATATGATGTACCACATTATAGATCTTAAACAGCGCCCTGACTTGATCAGGCTCTTGCTCTCTAATTTTGACTACAGTCTGCAAGGGCATCCTCGAGTATTACTCTCTAAGGCGTTGACAGCGGGATCGAAAGAGATCCGAATTTACGCGACCAACGTCCTCAGAAAGTACTCCAGCCGATCTCGACCCAATGGACCTGCCAGCCAAGGCGTCCGTGATTCGAAATGGGCAATTCAGCTACTCGTTACACAATTGTATGACCCGGAAGTCGAAGTCTGTGCTACCGCGATCAAAATTCTTGAGGAGGCCTGCAACAGAAAGAATTACCTCGAATACATCGTGGAGTGCCGTCCAGCTCTTGACCATCTTGGTGAAATTGGTGCTCCACTGCTCTTACGGTTCCTTTCTACTTCTATTGGTTACCACTATCTGGATGGTTTGGACTACATCAGCAACGAAATGGATGACTGGTTTTTGGGACGGAATGATACCTATGTCGGCGTTATCGAAGCAAGCTTGGCGAGATCATTTGTTGAGCTTCAGGAGGAGTCTTCAGGTCGGATGAGCATAGACGAGGACAGCTTTGAGATGGATGGTGACAACGATGCTCACGTACCACCGCATTTCTACAGAGAATTAACAAGGACGAAGGAGGGATGCAAGCTTTTACGAGACAAGGGCCATTTTGAAGAATTTGCTTCCACAATTCGCGATTATGGTATGCTCTGTGATGATCCAGAGTTAATTCTGAAGGTCAAGGGATCGCTTTGGGCTGTGGGAAATGTTGGTTCAATGGAGCTCGGTGCACCATTCCTGGAAGAATGCGATGTTGTTGAGAACATCGTGAAGATCGCAGAGTCTCATGAGATTATGAGCTTGCGCGGAACTGCATTCTTCGTACTGGGTCTGATTTCTAGGAGCGTTCATGGCCTCGAGATTCTTTCTGAGTATGGTTGGGACAGCAACACGACAAACATGGGTGTCTCATTGGGACTCTGTATCCCCAACGATCTCAGCAAATTTCTTTCATATCAGCCCTGGAAGCACGAGAGGGTGATGGACATCATTATGGATAAGGACCAAATAGATGCCGTTACAGCAGCAAACAAGGATGATGATCCTGCCAATCAGCGCATCCTTGAACTTATCGTCGATCTGGGCAACACCGTACTGCAAAAGCGAGCCATGACTGAACTCATGCACATCAAAGCAAAGAGGGTTCCAGGATTTCGATCGCCAGCATTATTCAAGAAAATCATGACACTTTTAGAATCGCATCATTTCCGTCTCGGTGTACGGCATTTCGTCGCCGAGCTATTCGACCGCAGCGTCCTACGGTGCATAGTGTTTGAAGAAGATATCAGCGACGAGGAAATGGACAGTGAAGAAGACGATAGCACAAGCGAAGGCCGGACCGAACGACAACGAAGTGTCAGCGATGCATCAGCCATGGCACCCTCGACTAAATCTGGTGTTTAAGGCGTTCCCGTTGTGTGTCTATGTGGAGTAGTATATGTACGAGTACCAACGAGGCTGGCGTATCTAGGTATTTAACTTTGGCATAGGAAGGCAGATCTAGCGGCGTTCTCTATTTCACTTTCTCTTCTGGGTCTCTTTCTTCTTTCTCTGCTGTATAACACTGGGGATGATGGCGTATAAGACATGGGCAATGGATATTCTGTAGATTTTATCCGAGGGATGCTTGAACGACGACAATGATTGCCAATAAAAAGCGTTTGCGTGTTGATGGCTTGATGACCAGTTGCTTGTTGTGTCTTTGAGCTCAATAAGATGAGGAGGGCCAACCCATGACCATGTCTCTGCCTCTCTGACTCGGTGGGATTTTAGTCAGGTCACTAAATAAGCTGCTGTTGATTTACAATGCTCCAAGCCATGATTATCTCCTCAGATATTAGCACAAGCTGAAACTTCTTTCCAAAACGCTCGATTGGTGCCAGTGTCGTTGCCGAGGGTTCCGTTCCTGTAATGCTTCATATAACAGCATTTACGAAGCGACTATAATATCAAGTTCCTGTCGTAAGACGCAAGAATCTTACAGCTCGTTCTCGTGAAGAACATTTTGTCATCCACTTCTTCTGCATGAAGCGCCCAGCAGCTGCTCGTCAGGGCTACTCGGGGTCATGATGTGCTGAAAGTCGGCCACTTGTCTGGTACGACCATGTGGTTTCCAGGGGCGGGATCTTGCTTTATTTACTTCTGACTATTGCTTACATTTCGCGATCTCTTGCTTTTGAGATGTTTTTACATGTTGTTGAGCCTTTCACAGTGTTTTCATCACCTTGGACGTTATTCTCACGTCTTGCACAATGAGGGAATATATTGAAAACAAGCATTTTGCACTCACTTCCAGAAAACTGGAAACTTGTACCAAGATCACCACCTGTTTCACGCGATTTCAAAACGTTGCACAGCATCAATACAATCTCAGATTAGCTTTGCATCTCGCACAAATTGGCCAATACATTTCTTCTTTCAACCGACCATCCCATCTCTATGCATCCTCACATATCACAGGCCGTCGGTCCCATCCAATCATGTCTCATCTTCAAGTCCTAAAAATGATCGTCTGCCGTGGTGAAAGGGGTACTTTGACACGATCTACACGTTCACATGCTGTGTATTCCAGTCAAGAGAACAGACCCAAAACTAAATTACAAGTCAGTTTTGAGGTTTGTCAGGTGGGTCGAAGACCTATGTTACTGAACATGAGGGATATGATTAAAACTTTGCCATCAGGATAACTTCGCATCGTCTGTTCCTGTATCTTGACTTAAAGTTTCTGCGGTTTTATCAATAAACTCTGCCTTTGAAATGGGCTTCTCTAATACAATCAAAGTTATTAGCAATTCTCTTGGTGCTGATTCAGTAAGCCCCTCTTTCAGACGCTGTTTCCGAGTGCCCAAATAATGCTCCTGAAACTCCTCCGTTGCAAACTTACAGAGACCAATGGCTTACTTTCTCTGCTCCCACAGGTATGGTCCTCCAGCCCAGATCTCAAACTCCTGATACTCTCTCGTATGATTCGAATGTTTGCCTACGGTGGCACGACACTCATTCTCGTACTCTATCTTGCAGCTCTTGGGATATCAGACACGCGAATAGGACTCTTCATGACGTTGACCCTGGCGGGTGATATTGGCGTTAGTACGATCTTGACTGTTATAGGTGACGGTATGGGAGTCAGGATGACAATGGCCGTGGGCAGCATTTTGATGATGGGGAGTGGAGTTGCTTTTGCGGTGCTGGAGGATTATTGGTCCTTGCTGGCAGCGAGTATCTTAGGGGTGATCAACCCGAGGTATGTTCATCTTTGACGAATTCCAGCCGACTCTCCAGAAGATAAAGCCCCAAAGCTCAATCCTAACCCAAGCCGAACTTGAAGAAAGCTGATGTCTGATACACAGCGCAAACGAAGTTGACCCGTTCAAAGCCATTGAAGAATCCGCCATAGCGCGTCTAAGCACATCCTCGAACTGCAATGACTTCTTCGCCTGGTGGACACTTCTGGGTATGGTGGGCATGGCAGCCAGCACACTCCTCACCGGTTTATTGATCGATTACCTCCAAGCAGAGCATGCTCTCCTGTCTCTGGATGTCTACCGCTTGATATTCTTATGCTATGCAGCGGTTGGCGCCCTGAAGCTCGTGTGCACTCTGTGTACTAGTTCACAGGTGGAGCTACATACTCCATCAGCGTTGCTGACAGATGCCGATATCATGGCACCAGAGGAAGAGACTCGTGCACTTCTATACGAGAATAGACATCAACACGAGACGTACAACACAATATCTGTACAGCCACTCATTGAACCCAATATCGATGAGGACGACGAAGAAGAGAAAGAAGAGACCCCAATGTTCACCCCGGAATCTCGCTCCTTCATCTGGAAAGTGAGTCTCGCCATAACACCAGATTACATTGGATCCGGACTCGCCCAAATAACTTGGATGACTTATTTCTTCAAGCGCGAATACAACATTGCTGAAGGTCCCCTTGGTCTCGCTATATTCATCGCATCAATTATATCATCCTTCCTAAACTTGCTCTCCTCGCCTCTCTCTAGAGCGTTAGGTCAAGTTCCCACGATGGTGCTGTGTCATACAGTTACATCTGTCTCGCTTCTTATGATCTCAGCGCCGAATAATCGGACGCTGGCGCTGGGTTTATTCATGGTGCGAATTGTGCTAAGAGAAATTGATAGTGCGCCGAGACAGGCGTTCATTGCGGGCGGAGTTCTGAATGAGGAGAGAACGAGTGTGATGGGATTAGTCACTGTGGTTAAGACTGTGGGATGTTGTGCGGGATTGTTTTTGACGGGGGAGTTTGCTGGATCCGGACTGTTTTGGGTGGCGTTCGTTGTGGCAGGAACGTTGAAGCTGTTACACAATATTATCGTTGTGGCATTCTTTTGGAATCATAGAGGGAGGTATGAGGCGTGATGTGGAGGTAGTAATGGTATGGTGCGAAAAATACTTTCATTTTGATGGATAGAGTCTGTCTCGCTTAAGTTTGTTTACACTGCCATAAAATGCAATCAGAAGACAAGATTCACGAAAGAGACAGCACACGCTCCAGAGCTTCGATATCCTTATCAAATCTCGAATTCACCTTCGCAATAGCAGCAGCTTTTGCACCTTTGAGCTCTTGCAATTTTGCAACCCATGGAAGCTTACTGGCGGTGAGCGAAGGAGTTCTTCGCTGCAACCCTTCTACACTCACACCAAGAACGATCTCATCTGTCACTGATATACCAGCTTCTCGAATATCTCCTTCACTGTCCGGTGTCTGACTCTCCGGTGAGTCTGAAGTCGGTGGAACGTCTTGAGAATGTACCCGTTTCAAGTGCTCATCTCTATTATCCTTCCTTCCAAAACCTCTTGCATGCCGTTTGCAGGAAGAAATTGGGCAGAAGAACGCGCCCTTTGAGTGAACGGTACGTTGATGTCTCTTGAGATCACCCGGATTTGTGAACTCTCTTGCCTTACAATTTGATGTAGTGCATTTATAGGGTCTTTCGTGTTTATTCATATGCCTTCTTGGGGAAGAGATCAGCATGCTGGCAAGTATCTAGGGCTTTGAAGCTTACCGAAAAGCAGATTCTTGCCGAAAGACTCTTTTGTCGGGACAGCCAGCCCACTGACAGGTTCTGGGTGTCGCCGGTGACATGTCGTTGCTCGATTGGGGATGTAGGGTAGTCGTCGAGAGCTGCTCCGTCCTGTTATGAGTCAGCCAAATTCGACCCGGCCATTTGTTCCCTGACAGATCCCAGAAATGCGCTATATGGCCGTAGGCAACGTTTTTGGAGGTCCAGGAGACATTTATACCAATGCTCAGCGAGGCTTTGTGTACCGTCGCTTGTTCCAAGCAAAGCCCATAGATCTCCAACAGGCTCGTTTGTTGCATCTCCATCGGTCCAAAAAGTTTGCAGGCCTATCTCGTGGGGGTCGAGATTTTCGCCTAGCAAATTTGGCGCATATTCGATTCCAAAAGATGTCATTTCTTGGGATTACCAAGCTTGTCAGCGATTAGTATGCAGTCATTGGTAATGGATTGCTTACCTGGAAACTTGTTCTTTGATACCCATGGCGATTCACTAACCACCCAAACACGTTAGTATTCAGTCCCGAATGCAAGTCACCGCGATTACAGAATGAGAGGTTGTTTGTGAGATCCATGTCTCCGTCCAATGCGATTCGAATAGCATGATTTCGTCATAATGACTTCCAGATTTGGATATCAGACGCCACATCAGTGGCAGTATTGTACGTTGTAGATATCCGATTGGAACGCCGACCAATAAACAGTCTTAGGTAAACTGTTCACTCATGTCTGAAAAGGAATATTCCAAAAATCATGGCCTGAATATCAAAATGACGTGATACATACTTGGTTTTGCTTGAAAGCACCGAAGTAGACCAGCCTCGAGGACTCAAGGTGCGGTGATCTTCGACCGCGGAGTAATGGTCAATATATATTGAATCGGAATCATTGATCCAAGTTCGACTTCCAAGATTTGGAATTGGCGCCTGGTGACGCGAATATCGGGTCGTCAAGGGACCCACCAAAGCCTATAGACCGGTTATTGGCCAGCGATAGTAGCTCGATATCATCCAAGAACGCCTGGAATGGAAGTGAGGATTTGTCGAAATTGATTTGTGCTTAACCAGAGATCCAGAACTCGACAGTTTGGTACCAGGAAAATGCGTTGATAAGTTGGGCCGGAAGTTACTTACTCTTTCCGGATGTCGTTGGAGCAACTCGTCCTTCCAGACGATCCAGCGTTCGTTTCAAATCTATCCGGCTGAAGCATTAGCAATCGATCTTCTGTCGTTCAAGGTGACACACTGACTGCAACGCCGCTTGATCCATGGCTGAGAGATCTATACTAGCCTGGAGATCTACCGATTCGAGGAGTAGGGAAAAGATTAGGTAGAACGGTGGACAGAGACGCAGCAGTTGACGGCTGTAAGAAGGGAATGTGCTTATTATATCCTCAAAACGAGCGTGTGATGTCGTTGATTGCCTTGCAGCCCTGCTCTACGCCCGACCCCTGGGGCTACAAGAAACCTGCAAGCGACACCAATGAAGGATCTCCAAGAACGCCATAAGGCATACTACCCTTCAGGAAACCGCAGGTCAGGCATCAAAAAGACTTGAACGTGGGCAAGATACTCGTCATCTGTACGCAGGTGCATGGTGGGAAAAAGCAGAATTAGGGTTAAGATCAGACAGACGTGCAAGGCTGGCGCTGCAATGACTATCTATACGCCTCGCCCGACACGCTGTGTACAGTCTGGACGGACTGGGACCTGTTTATAGGATATCTTCAGATGAGGCTTGCAGACAGGGCAAAAGAAGCGATGCGCCTGTTAATAGGCTCAATGACTACTTCACTTGACGCAGCTCCGATCAAAACAAATCTAGCAAGGCAGATTGGCAAGGGCAATGATCGACTACTCTTACTCGGCAGGTGGACACTTATCGGGCTACCAGGGTGGGGATCGATATGCAAATCAGACTGATGAGAATAAATGACCGGAAGACGCCATATTGGAATATGGCATTTCCAGCCTTCCGGCCTTCTCTCACAATTCCGGTCTTTGCCAATGTGGTTCGGAAACCAACTGAATCGTACAAGTCCCATTGTTTCCCATGCTTCCCAAGTATCTTCTCAAGTCTCCATCATGATGTACACCGAGCAATGCACTTTCCCGTATAATATACATTTCCATTTCATCTGCTCCTTATAACCTGACCTCTGTACTCTTCTCCTCCGCCCCGCTAGGCCATTCCGCAATCATGCTTTTCCCTTTGAATTTGACAATATTCTCCTTGTACGGATGCGCCTCCCCCTCAAAAGCCTTTAGTCTCGCCAACCGATCATCCCTCAACCGATTCTTCGGCAGCATTCCGCTGACGGCCTTCCTCAGCACCTCGGCACCACCCAGTTTTGCCATCAGCTCATCCATCGACACGCTCTTCAGACTACCAGGCCGCGTGTTATGTCTGTAGTAAAGTTTCTGCCACCGCTTCTTGCCTGTCGTGTGTAGCTCTGAGCAGTTCGTTACTACAACGTAATCGCCGCAGTCTGTTGATGGGTCCCAGATTGGTTTGTGCTTGCCCATGAGCAGGATGGCGATCCGGGAGGCGAGACGACCTAGGGAGGGGGGTTGTAGTTCATTTGATTGTGCGGAGGGAAGAGGTCGAATCGTAGAGAGGGCATGGTGAGGTGTTGTGGCTGAGATGTGATGCCATGTTCTTGAGTAGGCAAGTTTGGTCTAAAGTTGCTGTTAGTTATGCATCTCGTTGTGACAGAGACTTCGTACCAATCCATTTGTTTGTGACATCTTGACAAGTAGCCCGTGGTCTGATTGACTAGTTGTGGAGGTCGTGGAAGGAGAAAGTGGAAATCGTGAACTGTGCTTTGATTCAGCTCCTGTGTACTTGCGATAGTAAGAGTACACTTTTGAACGCTAGGTCTATTTCGGCTCCGGTCTGCTCGGTGAGGAACGGCAGAATAGCAATGAGCACTGAAGCGAGCTCGGCCCAGATTTGAAATCATCAGTTCTACCACACAACTTATAACTTCTGCGACTTCTCTACACTGTTTTAAAAGCTTCGCTCAGACTATTGAATAAACCAGAAGAAATCAGTCCACTCTTTAACATTTTTGAAGAACACAACGTTCAAAATGGTGATCACTACTCCTTTCCAGGTCAGTGAACCCATTACATGACTTGGCCCTCGTGTGCAGATATTGACCATCCTCAGACTTTATTTGCGGTACCCATGACCTGCGAAAGCTGTATTAAAGACATCTCAGGTTCATTGCACAAACTCAGCGGAATCCACAAAGTTGAGGCAAACCTTAAAGATCAGCTCGTGACCATCGAGGGCACAGGTTCGTCCCAATCTGAACAACACTGGCCGGCATGAACGCCAGGTACTAACACCTCATTCGAAGCGGCTCCTTCCGCCATTGTTGCAGCCATACAGTCTACTGGACGAGATGCAATTCTACGGGGCACGGGCGGCTCAAACAGTCAGTAACACAGACTTAAGGTCATTTTGCTCTTAACTGAAGGATTTGATTAGGTGCGGCGGTGTGCATTCTTGAGACACATTCAACAACCGTATCAGATAAAGTGAAGGGACTGGCACGGATGGTTCAGGTTTCTCCAGATCTGACTCTCATCGATCTTACAATCAGAGGCTTGTCACCAGGTAGCTACTGGGCTACGGTAAGAGAGACGGGAGACATCTCAAATGGTGCAATCTCAACTAGGGGGATCTGGACTGATCCGAAGGAAGGTGCTCTCAAGCCAAGAGGATTCTTAGGGACTGTGCAGGTAGGTAAGGATGGCGTTGGAAGTGTGTTCCTTGATAAGCCAATCCAGATCTGGGAGATGATTGGAAGGGGGATGGTAGTATCGAAACAGCATGAGGGCGATTGCAAGTTTGAGAAGAACGATGCGGATACGCTCGTCGGTGTGATTGCTCGAAGCGCAGGCGTCTGGGATAACGACAAAACGGTGTGCTCGTGCTCCGGCAAGACGTTGTGGGAAGAAAGAAAGGACGAAGTGAAGAAGGGCATGTTGTGATTTTTATATATCGGACGAGAAGTGGCCTGCCAGACTTCTTGGATGCTCAAAAAGTGGCCTGATAATAGTTCGACAGAACGATTGCAAATGCTTGTACAATCTGATGAACAAACGCATTTAACCTTGGATGACAGGACTAATCTCCTAAAGGCAACTGTCAAACGTCAAGCTTTAATGCGTTTTCAGGTGATGTCTCGAGTCCTGGTGAGCGGGGGTCCTCTTCGAAATCCTTGAATTGCTTGTTCGTCGTCCCGTCCTGCCTTGATGAAGATCAATTCGCGTTCCAAACGAACCTTAACTTTTCTTGTTCCCTTCTTGCAAGACAGGGTCGCAGGATGCCCAGACCGGCAACATGGGATGGGGGCTTGGTCCGTTAAAGTTGAGACGGACTCGGGAGGCTCCTGTTTTGGCGATCTGCCCAGCGTCATGCGATGGCAGTGCCGCGAGGCTGAATATCGAGGAATGGAGGTCGATCTGCCAGGCAGGGGAGAAAGTGTCCGACCCGGGCCTTGGTTGAAGGGATTCACGACAATCTCAAACAGCCTTCGAGGATAAGCGAGTTTCGGCTGTTCCCCTGAGACCAGTATGCCTGCGCTCAAGGGAGGGGTCGAAACAGTGCTCGATGATTTAACGACACGAGCTTATTTGATGGGGCTGGGCAGGACAGACGACGCATCTCTAGGGATCGCAAACGAGCCTTGACATATTATTGAGGAAGTATTGACGGGGGTTACGTTGATGTTCGCAGTGGAAGTGAGGACAAGTGACGTGGAAGAGCTCGAGCCCCTGAATGCCCGCTCGCTTGTGATAAGCGGCCACAGGCAGGTTTGCTGCAGTGTGATATTGTTGCTATTTTGCAAGCACCTATGGCACAGCACAGCAGAACAAATGTACTGTACTGTACGGGAAATGTGGTCAAAGACGGCGACTATCGCGTATTCGTTATCTTGCTGATTGTGCAAGTCATCCTGTCGCCTGTCTTCAAGCTTAAAATGGAAGCAGCCAATACTTCGCCTACTGAACTCCACTGTGATTAGGCACGCATCGAGCCGAGGGGCACAGGCTACGCGCCCATGGAACGCCTTGCGTGCCAGAAGCGCCCACTGTCGAACCAATGGCTGGGACTTCACGATCTTGGAACACTCGCTGCTTTGAAGCTTACGATGTTCTGTGGCCTCTTCGAGATCTTCGACATCGGACCAATACGGGGATTTGCTTGTGGTCTCTGGGAATGTTGCGACCAAACAACGTGGGCTTTGCAGGTGAGGTTATTCGTAAATGTTGGTGGCGTGACTGCTGGTGGTGATCCTCCGTTGCAGACCGCAGGCTGGACTCAAGGCCGTGGCTATTCCCATGCAAGAGCCAAACACTATCCAGCCTACTCCGTACAGGGCGATGAACCCCATTCTCGGGACTGGTTCATTACTTATTAGATTTGATCATTGTCACCATCAATCATATCCTCAGCACCACGCTCCAATCAGCCCGAGATCGTACGGAGCAGAGCGTGACTGATCCGCATCGTATCGTCCATTCAGTCATTATCTCGTCTCCTTCTTGAAGCAGCGAATGCCCGGGACTTTTGTTGATACTCTTAGCGAATCCATTTTTGTAGTCCAGCCAGTCCAAACCATCTGGTAGCACATCGCTTGCAAGAACACATGCATCACTTCACTTGATTTAATACTGACCTTACTCGATCTCAATCACCTCAGACTAGCAATCCACATCTCATCCACAATCACCGCACTACTGTCTTGATCTTTGAACATCACACAATAGCTACGAGTAGCTGCACCGTGGCTCCGCTCCCTCGCTCCCGGGACTCAGGCTCGTCACATCGCCGGCCCAGCCCTGACGTGCCAATCGACGCAGGCTCCCGCGTGCATAACAAGTCCCCACAGGCCTTCGACAGGGCCTCGACAGGGCCCAAGGACAAGGACCCCCTCTCCCAATTCAATCGTGTTACGCGCTGCGCTAGCCCGTCGCCCACTCATCTCTTCATCCCACACTCCAATCCAATCCATCTGACCTGACCTGACTTCGACCTCATCCAACTGCTAGCCAGCGAGATCGTACCTTGCCTTGCCTTTGCCAACATCACTTCGGTGGAACTTCCAATCTTTTACAACTCACCGACTCTCCATGAATCTGTTCGGATCACCAGTACGCTCTCTATCAACAATCAACCATACCCACAAGCCAGAACAAACAGCAGTCGGCGACTCATCAACGAGGCCTCTCGAATTAAAGTAATATACCACCGCTTCCCACGATACGCCAGTCGATCAGCCACCCGCCTGAAGACATTGAGGCTCGAGAACATCGCACTTTGGAGGACAAGCAGCGCAGGGAAGAAAGAAGGACGCATCGCAAGTCGGAACCACACAGCACCATATCATTTCTTCTGGAGGAATCTCGGTCCACGACTCGTGCCCAACCTCGTGTTCCCCACCGACGAACGGCTGGTCGCTTTTCGAGCGACCAGCGACTTGAAAACTGCAAGACTGAGTCTGCAAGTACCATATTTTAATAATGTCCTTGAAGCAGGTAGGTTCTGGTCCAGTACGGACCTCGGCTGGGATGCTGATCCAAAACAGGAAATCGAGACATGGGTGGCAGCCCTCGGCCACTACGATAATAATGAGTTCGACGAGGCGTTGAAGGAGTTCGATGGCATTTCAGATACTTCAAAAATTCTGTTCAATTGTGGCGTTATTCATGCGACGCTCGGAGAGCACGAGAAGGCGGTTCGTAGCATACTACGCTCTCGTCCGAAGTTTGCAAGCTAACATTGCCCAGGTTGAGTGCTATCAAAGAGCAGTCCGTCTGGATCAATACCTCGCCGTGGCATATTTCCAGCAAGGTGTATCGAATTTCTTGGTTGGTGACTTCGAGGAGGCTTTGGCGAATTTCAACGACACATTGCTGTATCTGAGAGGAAACAACATGATCGACTATGCACAACTGGGACTCATGTTCAAGCTATATTCTTGCGAGGTGCTGTTCAACCGAGGCTTATGCTACATATATCTACAGCAGAAGGAAGCTGGAATGCAGGATTTCTCATTCGCGGTCAAGGAGAAGGTTGTCGAAGACCACAATGTTATTGATGAGGCTATTCGTGAGGAAGCAGAGGTACGTCTCCAGAGAAATGCTGATCCAACATTTTTTTAACAAAAGATAGGGTTACACGGTTTTCTCAATTCCCGTCGGTGTTGTCTACCGACCGAATCAGGCGAAAGTCAAGAATTTGAAGACGAAGGATTATCTAGGAAAGGCTCGCTTGGTTGCAGCATCAGATCGCGCAAATGCTTTCACTGGCTTCGCAGGATCAGAGATCAAGAACGTACGTACTCCCCGTGGTGTTTACAGCACTATTACTCACACTTTTAGCAACAGGCTGGTAAACTTGATGTGAAGGACGACAGGCCACCTGAGAACCTTTCTTTCGCTGCCACGAATCTCGTAAAGCCTGGGCTCCAAAGCAAACGTCAACAATCAGAGCCTCCACTCGGCCGAAATGTCTTTCCACCAACACCACCTCCCGAGTCGGAAAAGTCTCAAGGTTCAAGTCAGATGAGCCGGGGAGCTTCTGTGCGAAATGGACCCAAGCCAATGCCTGCCAAGCTCAACATCGAGAAGGCCAGACCTAATGAGAGGTACGAGGTCCGAGAAGAAAGAATGAGTCCACAGGCACAACGTATAGGTACACAGCGCGCAGCTTCAGAAGCCAGACCTCCTCCAGCACGACAATTCTCAACTAGAGATTCTTCACGCTCGCGACCACAGCAACCTCGGAGACGGTCACAGGAAGAGGAGGAAGACGAATACCCAGGAGAACTCTACGACATGTACTCGAGCGGAGCAAGAAATTCTCGAGGAAGCCGACCAGCTGGAAACGCACGAAGGCCACAACCCAAGTATATCGAAGAGGAGGAAGAATTTGCTAGCGATTACGACGATGGCTCATTTGACGAGAACGACTTTGAGATGGTATCTGGTAGTCGAGCACCTCCGAGGGCACGTGCTCCGTCATCATCTGGACGTGGCCAATCAAGGAGACCAGACATTCGCAAGATTAGGATCAAGGTTCATTCTGAAGATGTTCGCTACATCATGATCGGAGTAGCAGTCGAGTTCCCCGATTTGGTTGACAAGATCCGTGAGAAATTCGGGTTACGAAAACGTTTCAAGATCAAGGTCCGTGACGACGATATGCCAAACGGGGACATGATTACCATGGGCGATCAAGATGATTTGGATATGGTAATTATGAGCGTGAAATCAAATGCGAAGAAGGAGCGACTGGACATGGGCAAAATGGAGGTGAGTCTGCTAATTTCTTCCCGCCATCTCCTACTTTCGCTAACTGAAACTCTCCAGGTTTGGGTACAGGAAATCTGAAGAAATCAATATTACGACGACATTATGACGACCATTTTATTTTTCTGGACTTGCGAAAAAATCTCGACTCGATATCCTATCCTGTTGCATCACCATATATACCACCGAGCGGAGTTCTCTTGCATGCATGCATAACATCTAGATGGGGCGAGGAGTATCTTCTGGGGGCTGTTTGGCCAATAAATATATGTAATATCTGTGTGTCTGGGTGGTTACACGTCTGGGACGTACGGATAGCGGCCTTTTGCATAGCCCAGTCTGAATTTTGATGTAACTAAGTTATGCAAGTACATCTTGATCTGTTCCATCTCTTCTATCTTTCCCGGCCACATAAAGGGCCTAAGATTGCTACATGTGTATCTCCTTATCTATGTGATCTACCCCAATGGCATCCTACCTGAACTTCTACATTGGCATCCTCCTCATCTCCTCAACTGTCCAATATTTCCTCATATTCTCCGCTCCTAGCGTCTTAACTTCCTGCTCCAAATGTGTCCAAAGAACTTTCCCCCAACTATCCATCTTCTCTCTCAATACGCTCAACTGTAACTCCGTCTCTCCACTCCTACACCTCTCCAAATACTCCTCAAACGCATCCATACCCTTATGTATCTCTTTATGCTGTCTCAGCAGCTCCGCCGCATTCTTCCCATTCTTGAATTCCGGCATTTTCTGTGCTAGGACGGGAAAGATATGTTGTTCTTCTATGGCGTGGTGTGTGGATAGGTGGGAGCAGAATTGGATACCCGTGGAAAGGAATTGTTTGAGGGACATGTTTGAAGGGCGTTTGTTGTTTTCGCAGGCTGTGTAGAGGAGGGTCCAAGATTGGCGGAAGTGGTTGTGCTGTTTTACTGTTAGTACATTGTCCTACTACAACTTCTTATACTTCTTAGAGACAGATTTCGTTACGGAGCAGCTCCGAAAGGAGGAAGAATACTTACGAAGTATTCCATATGCTCAGCCATAGAATTGTAAGCTCTGAACTCCGCAGCACTCAACTTCGGCAGTTTTTCCTCCACTTTCTTCTGCTCCTGCGCAACTTTCCCCTCGGGCTTCACAACCGGCCCTTTCTCACCATTCAATATCTCTGCCTCGCTCTCGGCAGGCTTTGCGAGTCGCTCTACCTCCTCACATATCTCTTCCTGTCTCAACTCCGCCATTATACCCTGGAAGTTCTGCTGTGATGGGGGAGAACAGGTGAATGCGCGGCGGCAGATGAGATAGCAGGGCGCGGGGATCCGTGGAAAGATGTGTATGTTGGAGGGGTTGTTGATTGCGGCGAGGCGGGAGGCTTGGAGGAGGAGGGGCAAAAGAGAGGTGCGCATTTACTTGATATGGATGTTGGAATTGCAATTATCTGTCCGTCAAGACAATATGCCTTGAAAGGAGAGAGAAAGTAAGTAAATGAAGTAACTAGTAAAACAAGAAGGAGAAAACTAGGTAGTAAGGTGGAGGAGCGCATAACATATTTTGATGCAAAGAAATCCAGGCCGCATCGTAAGAACTGGAATCCTGAGATGCTGATTGGATGAACGAGAAATGCATGTGGATTTAGAACGGGTTTTTGCTGCTTATCGATCCCGATAACATTTTCTGCCAGCATCGCTAGCGTGCCGAGGTGGAGTTGGGCCAAGGGTTGTATTTACTGTCCGAGGTCCGATGGGAAACATCTTCTTTTGATATATGCGGAGTTCGTACTTCGCTCTTTATGAATCGATTGGAAATATCGTAATGTTTGAGAGGACGGAGCGGAAACTTGGTGACTAGCCTTCTCCTTGTTCTCTGTTCATGATTTGAGAATTCCTGCTCTTACTTAGTCTTTTCACTGCTGGTTGTTTGAAATCCGGATGGGCTTTTTGCTCTGTTGAAAGCCTGTTGGGTTATTATGCTACTACCTTGAGGATGTTTTAGCTGCTCCATCTTGCTTCGTCCTTTCTTATCTCTTGGGTTATTCTTTGGTTTTTGCCTTTGCTCTTGATACCACTTGCTTGAAAAATGACGTTCTTTTCAAAACCACAATGCCAGTCTGTGCCTAGAATGCTGCCGAGTCTAGTGGTGAGGAGAGATATCGGATATGATATATATGGCCCCGTTCTATTTTGGATGCTCTTTTCCACGCTGAAGTATTGGCTACTGAGGTTTTAAGGATGACAAATACGAGTGAGCTGTAGTGGTTGATCAGGGTCAGAGCTAGAAGAGAGGTGATGCGATGGGCATTTAGGCACACGCAGGCATGGCTTGCAATAGCAGGAAATCCATCTCTAATATGTTTTTAATTCATGAATGACTACTTGATTCCTTCTCCGAGGGCAGTCAGTCACTTTCACGGCGCTCTTCCGTGGTATAACAGGATTCTGGTATTGACGAACAGCCATGACAGCTCAGCTTCGCCACCTGGGCTTCCTACAGCAAATAATCAAGAGTCGCTGAATCACTTCTAATCCACACTTATTGGTCAAAGCTGACCTGCTCTTAAGTCATCAACTATGATTCAACTTCGCAGAATTAGAATGCTTACGTGTGAAGCTGCCAACCACTGTGATCACTTTGCCGAGCAGTAGCAGCCTTGGCAACAAGCTTGTCTAAACGACGACAGCAGTACAACGTTCCAGATAAAAATGAGAAGACAGAAAGCCTGTGATGATTAAACCCCTTATATTTCTTTTAAATGGAAAAAAGTGGCAAAATCCGCTTGACTGATGACGAGAAACCATTTTGGGCCCATTGGCCTGAAGGGACCTACTAGGTATCAGACTGAGAAAGACAAGAGCAACCAGGACGACTTCTCCACCCACATGAAGAGGATCTCTGTCTCATGCCCACTCGATAGCAGATCAGAAAAGTACACAATCACACCAACAACGAAAGATAGGACAAGTTTGTAAAGATCTTAAATTCTGTACCCCCCATCCCAACCCATGACCATTCGAGCCAACCACTACATCTCTTATCAATACAGAAAAGTCGTCCATCCAGGGTATAAAATCAATCCCGCGCCGTAATGAAAAAGTTCGCGGTGCGTTTAGCAGCAGCATTCGAGACATTCAAAGCAGGCAAGACCGGCACACCTGAATCAGACAGACAGTCAGCATGCGGTGCGCCAACAGATCACACGAGAAGTGCAGATGACTTACAGCCCGCAGCAGATATCACCACCTCCACCTCCACGCATGCTCACTGACTCAGCTGTCATTTGCTCTGTTGGACGCTGTGATGCTGTTAGTAGGTGTTCTTTCGAATGTCGAAAGGCTGGGCTGGGAAACGTACTGGCTGTTCGGCATGGACTTGTGCGGTAGTTGGGAGCTCCATTTGCTGAGCTTGAGGCTGTTGAGTTTCTTGTGCAGGCATTGTGAGAGTTGCGAAATTGTAAGTGCAAGCTAGACTTGTATTTGCGGTGATGATGCGTAAGGCTGGAGAGATGTGAAGGGTATTTACAGATGGAAGTGAGGCAGACAGACTCAGACCACGATGGGGAGATCCTCAGGTTTTAAACTCAAGCCGTCAAGCCGTCCTCTGCTGTCAGCCCTGCCATTGCCGTAATGCTTGCGATACGACATGGATTGGACCCATTCAGCTTCGCCGAATCTGACGCGTGGTCAGCTTCGCACCCACAGCAGCTCATTGTCTTACCGGCAAAGCCATGCCGAATTCAAAATTGGCTGGCTTTTTAGGCCGGCATAGCCTTTCCGAGTACGTGCGAGATACGTCAAAAGTCCCTCAGTAGAAGCTGTTATCGTGTCACTTACATAATCTGTTTGCATGACAGTTTGCTGTAGTAAGATTGCCCTTGTGCTGTATTGCGTCGCCTCAAGAGACTACTCTAAAGACCGTCTTGATGAAGAGGCCTGTGGCTTGGCTGAGGAGGGGATGGCTGGATGGCTCAGCCCTCGCCCGCCATGCGAGATGCTTGTTCTGAACTAAGACCTCGTTTCAGGCTTGGCGATCTAATCTCTAAGTCATCCTTCAGTGATGCACCAGGGCTTACCTATGTATCTGCTTTGAGGATGATGAACAGAACAGGACAAGCTGAGCGACTTTGCTTGTCTCAGGGTCATCAAATACACTGAGCCTGTACTCAAGCGCCATGTTCCAGAATGAACAGGGTATTGAATTCTCCTTTTTCGACTTCTGGCTGACTAGCTGACGCAGAGAACATCGGAACCTCGGGTTGTCCTCGGAGAGAGAAGCTAAGTTCATTACAGTAATATTTGATATGATGAGAAGGTTATTTTTAGTGCAATAGAAGAAAAATTGAGCTGACAAGGTGCGGAATACACAAGGTGCATTCATCTTTGCATGGCGTGGCAGCACTGGCACGTACTTTGATTTGGGAAAACGCGAAGACCGGTGCCCTTTCCTCTCTACTTGAGTCAAATGCGTCGAAAATATCCCCAATGGAATGCTGGCTACTCTCAGCGACGTCTCACCGGTGTGTATTTGTCGAATAGACCTTACAGACAATTTGCCACAAGCTCAAGAGGATTATAATAAAGAATTCCGTGGCCTTGACAGATATCCGTGACATAACTTTACTTTCTTCGTCCAAAGGAAACTTTGGGGAACTCCAGAGGTAACTTCAACTTCGCGACCTTTCGTTGAGCAGCCACTGCCTTCTCCAACCCCAGTTTTTTCCTCTCTACTTCTCCCAGAACCGCAATCTTTGCTCCAATCTCCATGAATAACTGCGACATTTCCTTTGTCTCCAGCTTCAAGTCCGCCTGCAGGTCATAGGTGTTGACTTCGTAGTTGTCGACTATACATGCCAATGCGCAGAGATGCGTTTTAATCAAATCCGCACCAAAAGTCGTGATCATAGGCCCATCAGCGAATTTGCGCTTGATGCTCTCCAAAACCGTCTCTGGTATATCATCGAGATAAGTCTTCAGCTCGTCTCTTCTTGGTAAGGTCCTGACGCCCCTCATCATTTTGCAATTGTTCAAGACCTGCATCAGGAGAACCATGTAACGACAGATCTTGAGCTTCTCAATATTCGAACCATGTTTTCTGAAACGATAGGCGACAAATTGGGAGCTGAGTTTGAGTTCCTTGTTGGCTTTGATCGCATCTTGCCAGGCCTTGACCGGAATAGCCTTCATGATCTCCTTGCCGATTAGATCATTGGCAGTATAGACATCTTGAATGTGCGTAGCATCTCTGTTGGCTTTCGGTCTTGGTTTTGCATCCTCGACTCTCTTAGCCAATTCCTCTCTGGTGGCCATGCCCTTGGTGGTTTCAGACATGTTCGAAAGAATGGCTGCCGTGGTAGCATAGAACTTTGCAGGCTTGTCTTTGTTCCTAGCAGACTTGTCGGGGGATATGGCGTTCTCTGTAACGGAAGCAATAGCTTTGCGGGCCTTCTTAGTACCGAATGTTTGCCCAAGAATGTTCCGACGTTCTCGCATATCCTAAAATAATAATCAACATCTTTCCTTGACATCTCTGAACCTTGCAACTTACTCGAGATAGCTCATCCTCTGCAACGGCTTGCTGGGCCCTCACACTGCCACGAACGACCAGCTTCCTGGCTTCCATAACCTCCATCTTGCCAGTCTCCGGGTCGTAGACTCCCACATAGTGCTTCAGCAGAGTATCTACACCACCAGATTCTTCCTCCTGCGCAGTATAGTCTAGCTTTGGGTGTTCGGAGGAGTGTAAAATCAGTTCCTTAGCTGCGATGCTTCCCGACTTGGAGGATACGTTTCTGCGAGCTTTTGTGTATGGTTTTAAGCGGATTGAAGTCGGAAGTGCCAGCCCAGGTGTAGAAGCTATTATTCGTGTAAGCCATGAAATGATAAATCATGAAGATCACGCTCAAGATTCTGCCCTTGAGAGTGTACATACCTATAACTGGTGCGCTGCCCGTATCCGTTATGGAAATTCTGATCTCCTTATCATCTTCGATAGCTACTCTTTTGCTCGGTTTCAAAGACCCATCCGGATTCCTCTTTCTCTTCTTTACCTTTTCCACAGAATCTGACATGATTTCGTGCGTTTGTGGTAAGACTGAAGCCTTGTCGAACTTTTGTGACGAATTCCAAAATTTCTCAAAAGTCGGGCAACCAGAAAATAATTCTCCGACATGTACTGTGCCTCAATTTTAAGGCCTGAAGCAATGCGGGGGAAAGGTAGAACGACAGCCGCACAATTGAACAGGATTCGAGGCCAGGCAAGGCATATACTGTTGCCATTTAACTGCTGCTCTCAATGGCTGGCGCTTGGGGATATGTAGCAAGAGTAGACGCAGATATTCTGGCTGTTGCTCTGCCACATATTAACATCAACATGCTCCGGGCACAGATTTTCTCTCATGACTTCACGTTTCATCACATCAATAACATTACTCAGGGATCAATTGTATCATGTCAAAGTGAGACATTTTTGAAGGCAAACTTCTTTTCGTAATCTGCAATGGAAACCAATGGTATCAAGCATCTGCGGCAGCTATCCTCCCATCGCTCCCCGGTTGATAAACCCTCAATTTACATTCCGACGTAGTGTTTGACCGGTCCTGCTTCCTAGCAAATCGATCCACCAAAGGCCACCGAGAACGCGTCATCAAGCTGCTCTATCCTTGAACATCCCAGCTGTCATTGTACTGAGTGGTAGTCCCAAACTGTGTGTTTGATCTGGAGTGTTGAAAAAGGCGTAGAAGTTGATGCGGGGGATGGCGTAATCGTGGATGTTATGTTGTCATGGTGTTCATTCAAGAAGTAAGGTGACCGAGATCGGGATGTGGTGAGTTGTTTACTTGCTGGAGGGGAGTTAGGAACTGCTTCATTTGTTGAAGTACAGATCTAGCATCAACTTACGATCTCGCGCGCGTCTTGCGGCGCTTTCTCTTGAGTCTTCGGACTCGCTTCTTGCGCCACTTAGCTCTCACTGAATCAACAGTCAGTAAAGGTCAGGACATTGTTTGGGAAGTGCAGCATACTTTTTGATTTGAGTGATGTGATGAAAGCTGGTTGAGAAGGTTAAGTTGAGCTCCTCCAGCGGGATATGTGCAGTTTCAACGACGCTAAATTAGGCGAGACGCTAGTCCAAAGCGGACCTCAGCTTAGGGCTTATCACGTGATAAAATGAACTCGTGAACTGGGATAAATCTTGGCGGTCTTGAGAGAGTGTGAACTTCCTCAAGTCCTCCGGCATCATCCTCATTGTCCACACTTGATCAGGATATTGAACATCAATCAAGTTTCACGGGTGTCCAGTACCCACCGGACATGCATTGCTATACTGTTTTAATTAAAGACTAACTATTCTCATATTAATGCTCTCCTCTGTCAATATGCCCCGACCTTTTCAAAGTGATGTTTCAAAGGACGATGAGGATCTCAACAATGCGCAGAAACCTGTAGGATTACTCAGATGGGAGAACTTACAAGGCCAAGTTACAGATGGTAGGCATTTTGCGTACTAAATAATCGACATTTAGCTGATTTTCTTCTATAGAAGTACCCATAATCTACGGCACGGAATTGGTTGCTGGGAGAGATCCAGGTCCAAGTCCAGGCTCAGATCCAGCTTCAATCCAGAAGTATGCGGCAAACCAATCTAGAAGTGCGAAACTGACGGCCATAGATTCTTCATCCCAGATGATACGAGTCGCCCATTTGTCTCCAAGAGACATTTCCGCATCTACTCTATCATATTCGACAAAAATGAGCGGTCCGTACAACCTCTGATCTATTGCGAAGATCTTGAGTCTACAAATGGTACGTATGTAAATGAATTATGTATTGGAATGATCGGTCGCGAAAGAATTGCACATCTTCTATGCCATGGCGATGTAATCGAAGTGCGTCCACACTGGCGATTCCGACTGTATCAGCCTTCCTGGTACCCGACGAGTGATAACAAAGGGCAACCTGAAGATCTGGAGGTATGCCGAAATATCCAATGGGTGAAGCTCGCTCATGACCGCAGTACTTTCGAGACCGGTACATCGTATCAAATCGCATGTTAGGCAGTGGCCAATATGGTGCTGTTTTCCTGGCGACCGAGAAGGCAACGTTCAAGCAGACCGCATGCAAGGTCATAGATTTCAGGAGCTCTGCAGATCAGAGACTACAAATAGCCAATAAGTCACTCGATGAAACTGACACCAGAGAGTTATCTGCGAATGAAAAAGCTACTGTCAAGCGCGAGATAAGCATTCTCTCCCAACTCAGCCATGTAGGATTCCTTGAACACTCGCCTTGAGCATGTCCTTACAGACTTTAGCCCCATGTTGTCAACCTCAGAAAAGCGTTCTGCTCCGATACGACCATGTAGGTGCACTGGAAATCAAACAGAATATTCCAGCTGACCAAGTGAGGTACGTATTCACGGATCTTGCCCCAGGAGGCGATCTCTTCTCTTACATCGATGCCAACGGAGGCCCACTCACTGATTGTCATACTCGAATTGTCCTTAGACAGCTCGTCATGGCCGTGCAGTACCTACATTCGGAAGGCATTGTTCACCGGGACATCAAGCCAGAAAACGTACTCATTATGCATACTGATCTCGGAGGTCGTGTTGTCTTGACCGACTTTGGCTTTGCAATAGACGCCCGTCAAAATCGTGGAAGGATGATGTCCAAGCTAGGCACACCAGGATATTGCGCACCGTATGTTCTGCTGCTGAAGCATCCTTGGGGTCTTCGCTATGTATACGAGAGTCTGACATAAAACAGTGAGGTAGATACCATCGAGCCTTCTAATGTTGGCTACACTTCAGCTGTTGACATGTGGTCGCTCGGTGTGGTGACTGCGGTCTTGTTGACGAATGATGCTATATTGCCGCGGGACAGCACATCAGTCAGCCAGCTAGAGCTTGTGAAGCTCTTCCATGGATTGGAAGATGGAACCAAACAAGAGATCTGGGAGAATTTATCCTTACGGGCATTGAGGTTTCTTCAGAAACTGCTTGTCATCAATGCAGCTGATCGACTCACAGCCACAGAAGCACTGGAACACTCATGGTTCACCAAACCTCCCTCGGAAGCAGCGGCCATCAAAGATTGTTGTGCGAAGATAATCCGGTTCTGGAAGCAACGCGACAATGATGAAGTAATTGAAAGTCTTCCCCATTCCCGCCAAAGCCAGCAGGACGAGCATTATCGCCAGGCATCAAGGTCCAAGAAAAAGTTTCCTGACACTTCGTCTGTATATTTTTCTCTGGACCGGCACCTTCGTCCTCCAAAAGCGTCCCAGAGGCGGACTTTGCTACAAGGTCTCAGCAAAACGGGATCACCTTTCGTGGCCACTTTGAATTATCCAAGGGCTTTTCAGCCTCAGATCATGTCGACCTACGGAAACGATATCTTTGGCAAAAGTCCAGATACCCAACGTGAACACAAGCCGCCAAGTGACTTCAATTCGGTGTCACACATGTCAACAACTCCTACCATACCGCTATCCGAGAGGAATGTTCTACCCAATCTGGCTGAGTGTGAGGCTACCGATTTAACTCTCGACTCTGTATCGAGGATAGACGCGGAAAGCGTAGATCTGAAGAGTGATTTCAAAAACGTTAACCGGAAGCGTGTGAGGTGGGAGTCGGAAGATCCCGAAGAAAATAATCTTCGGGACGAGGTTGCGAACATTGGACCCAAATGGCAGAGTGCAAGAGATTTCGGAATCGCTGTTAGGAAAAAGAAGATGGAAATCGAACAATTTCGCGATAAGGGAGAGCCAACTCACCCGAGTCTTACCATCAGAACTTCATCACGATCTGTTTAATGATCAATATGGGTCGTCGCTTGCTAGTTCCTGCGGCTAACAATGCCCGATAGACAACACGAGCCAGGTTTGCTTTTTGGGGATACCCATTTGCTGCAAGGTTGCGGGTCAGTGCGAGAGTGCTAAGGTTTACACACGGGTCGTCTAATTTTACGGCGTACTTACCATTTAAAAAGTGGGGAGGGAGCTAGTGGATATAGAGAAAGTTGTAAGGCACATTATTCGTGGAGCGATGTGCGTTATTGTTTATTCTTGTTCAAAATACCAGTGCTTCTCCATTTTATACAGTAGTTTTATGAAAGCATTGGGACGTTGACGTTACCATGGATCTGGCATGCGGAACTACTTTGGTTCCCTATGCGGCTCCATGTGCAATATGCAAGAAGGCCCTTCTTTATTTACCTGCCGACTGGCACGACATGCAGGATCATTTGGATAGGACTACCAACCGGCAATGCGTTCCTCGTCGCCAAGCAACCAACACGCCTCGCATAATTTCACAGTCACCCAGCGTCTCATAATCAAATAGCCTTCAACAACCGGTATCGCATTCATTAAAGGTTGATTACAGATGTCCAGTAAGTGCAATGTCTTGTGCAGGTATCGCTGAATTAGGATCCATACTTAATCACGGGCGGGAACGGGCATGCCACCTCATGCATGAGTCCATACAGTTCTTAGTGGCGTTGGCTGGGGCCAGCCTGCAATTCTTCGAAACCAATTGACAGGAAGTATTCCACCACCTTTCCCCTCATAGCAGTGGCCTCGTGCTCGTCTATTTTCTTCGCTGGCTCCTGTGTCCAGTATTCCACCAATTAACTCGCCCCAACACAACCAACCGATCCTTTGGGGTCTGGTAACCTTCGGGCCGTCAGTTCCAGTGATTGGAAGGAAAGATATGCCTTGTGGCGAGACCTTGACGGATCCCTGAGCCGCGCGCCTGCGCCCGCGCGTGCAAGATGGGGGGATTATTGAGGGGGCTTTCCGGTGGCTGCATGTGGCATGTGGAGAGATTTTGAGGGCAAGGCGAGAGAGGCGTGGGAGGGGTGAGGTGAGGCTGGAATTCTGTCGCTTGACGGTTTGACGAACCGTTATGCCGAACGCTAACAAAGCCCGGGAGCGGGTCCCCAGCGGGCAGAGACGAGCGTTTTCACTCCCCATTTTCCTCCCCATTAATATTATTTCCCCCATTTCCCCTTTCTTTCTCACGACATGCATCTGCGACTAGGTTAGGTAGGGTATCTCGGCAAGGGCACCATGGGGGCGTGGGCGTGGGCGTGGGCGTGGGCGTGGACGTGTCTGGTGTTCTGCTCGCTTACTGTCCTGGGGTAGACCGGCCGACCAAGCGAATCGTATGCAACGAGATTTGAAGATCTCCAGAGCACGCTCGGCCCGAAAGGGACAGACGAGCAACTCTTACTCCACATGGGAAGTCAGTCCCTCTCGCGAACTCTTCATGTCCATACAACTCGCAGCTTGCTGGGACCCCAGCCCCGTACTGAACCGTACTGCACTGCACGTCAGGCCCTGCCAGCGTGCCAACTTGACTTCGATTCAATCAATCAATCAATCAATCAATCCGTCTGTCTGTCAGTTGCTCAGTCAGTCAGTCAGTCAGTTGGGCGGTTCAGACGAGCGAGACTATCGAAAGGGTCAGCTCCTGCCTGCCTCTTGGTCATGCAAGTTACCGCAAAAGTATAGTATATCCACATTCAGGTACAAACAAAAGACCCCAAGCTCGGGTGGCGTTACTCGCCATCCTGCTGGGATTCTGGGAATCTTGCAGTCTCGATTCGCGAAAGCCACTCAGGATACCTTACCTTGGGGATGCCGGTGCAACGCAGAGGCTCCAGACTGGAGCAGACAGCTCTTATCCTAAAGCGGACGGCGGAAGGAGTTCCTCCGCAACCTCCACCTCCAAACAACATTCCATCCTTACTGCCATCCCCAGGTTTTCACCCCGGGAAAGTACTCCGTTCTCCGAAACGTTGGTGAGCTACTTCTCCAATGATCCAATCAACTCGTTGCAACACTTTTTTTCAGACCCCGTTCCCCTCGTGTGTTCTTCATCTGGAAACTCCTCTAGTGAAATGGCCTGTCCCAGGCAGTCTGCTCCCTTGGCGTGAACATGCAACCCTCCATCTTCATGGATAGATAAGTAGCTGGAGTCTCCCCCCAGTTTCGTTCTCTCTCCAGTACTCCAGTCACTCAAGACACACTTGAGCCCCTCTCGACAGCATCAGCATATCCTCCCCATCATCTGGACACGATGGCAGACATCTCGGAGAAGCACGTCGACTCTCATGTTGCCGAACATGAGGACCATGACCACTCGCTCGACAAGAACAAGGTTGTGGCAACCAAGGTCCTCATCGGTGATGAGACCTTCAACCAGGCCATGCTCAAGGAGCCACCGAATCCTCGCAACATGATTGCTATCCAACTTTACCTCATCTCAATTGTTGGATTCTGCTGCTCTACCTCCAACGGATTCGATTCCTCTCTCTTCGGTAACCTTCTCGCCCAGGACAATTTTAAGAAGTTCTTCAGTGTCAGCAATGTGGGAATTGAAGCTGGTATCGTCAGCTCCATGACACAAATTGGTGGTGTTGCAGCTCTTCCTTTCATCGGACCCGCCATCGATACCTTCGGCCGTAGAGTTGGTATGTTCATTGGAGCTACCATAATCATCATGGGTGTCATCATTCAGGGAACCGTCATTAACACCAATAACACCGGTCAATTCATGGGTGGCCGATTCTTCATGGGCATGGGTGTTTCCATCATTGCTTCAGCTGGTCCTTGCTACGTCGTTGAGATTTCTCACCCAGCCTATCGCGGAATTGTCACTGGTTTCTACAACGTCTTCTGGTATGTCATCATAAGTTTCGACATTTCATGTTTTCCACACTAACAATCACGCAGGCCCGTTGGTGCACTAGTTGCTTCCAGCGCATGCCGAGGCTGTATCAACCTGTCCGGCAACGCATCTTGGATTGTCCCCATCTGGCTTCAAGCAATGTTCCCAGGTGTCGTTTTCCTCGCTGCCTGGTTCCTTCCAGAATCCCCACGTGTGAGTAGTTAAGCAGTACTGTGCACATTATGTGACTTTGATGTACTGATCAAATCTTAGTGGCTCTACACCAACGGTAAGCAGGAGCAAGCAAAGGCATTCCTCACCAAGTATCACGGCAATGGCAACCCCGACAGCGAATGGGTTAGACTTCAAATGTGGGAATACGAGGCTCACTTGGAGCTCGATGGTGCCGACAAGAGATGGTGGGATTACCGCGCGCTCTTCAAGAACAGAACCTCCCGATACCGTCTTGCATGCAACTGCTGTGTTTCTCTCTTCGGTCAATGGGCTGGTAACGGTATGCACAATTTTCACCATTTGGAGAATATAAGAGGCTGATCATTTCCCAGGTGTTGTCTCATACTTCCTCAGCGGTGTCTTGGACACAGCTGGTATCAGCGATAAGACCATGCAGAGCAACCTTTTCGTCGCCATGAACACCGTCCAGTGCGTTGTCTCCTTCATCGGCTCTATGTTCGTCGACAAGATTGGTCGCCGCCCCCTCTTGATTTGGGTCAACGTTGGCTGCTCAATTTGCTGGATCGGAGTTACTGCCGCATCCTCTATTATTGCACCAGAAGTTGCTCAGAGAAAGAAGATTGAAGATGCTGGTGGCGTCTGGGATACTGCTCTCGGAAACAAGGCGGCAAGTGGAGCCACTGTTGCTATGATCTACATTTTCCAGGCTGTTTACTCTTTCGGATGGACCCCACTTCAAGCTCTCTACCCCGTCGAGGTCCTCTCCTTCGAAATGCGTGCCAAGGGAATGGCTTTCTCCAATTTGTTCGTCACCTGCGGTACTCTCGTCAACCAATTCGGATTCCCCGTTGCTCTTGACAACATCCAGTGGAAGACCTACATCGTCTTCCTGGTCTGGTGTCTCATTCAAGCTGCCATCATCTGGTACTTCATTCCTGAGACCAAGAACCGCACTGTAAGTTTAAATTCCTCATTATCAATTTGGTATCCACTGACCATTCGCTATAGCTTGAGGAACTTGATGAAATCTTCAGCGCCAAGAACCCAAGAAAGGCATCCACCGCCAAGAAGGCCCTCAACCTTGATGAACACAACAACGTTGTCGGTGTTGAGGATATCAACAAGGGAAATGCTTAAATGTTTTGGCCCACTTTTTGACCAATGGTCACCAAAATTTTGAATGAGTTTGCTGTGGAAGGGGACGACGCTGAGAAGCCGACAGCTTCCAAGCATGAATTTGTCAATAAAGCTAGGATCTCGTATAGCACTTTTAATTTATATTTGACTAAGGACTACGGTCTTCTTCCTACTTGTGACTGATCCATTCACTGCTCATCAATTGTCAGCTGCACCGTCTGTTCCTTAATTTAGAATTGCTTCTTCTGTCTTCTTCCTTGCAGAAATGTCGAAGCACAGGAAAAGGGCACGATCTTCGTAGGAAGGGTAAATACACGATGCGGTGCTCATTTCGTACTTGCGAACTCTGTAGAGGTTTGTGCAAAATCTTCGAAAACCCGATGTTGGGAGTTCGGGCATGTTTCAATTGTATGACCACGATCACCTCGACCTTGCAGCTTCCTCAGCTTCTACACAATTGACCAACTTATTCCTGCAGTAGACCGTAGTCCTCGCTCGTGATACAGAGCAGGTACAATCACTTATACATTTTCAAAGGTCTTACTTTTCCTTCGTCAACACCATTCAGCAACCATTGTATTCTGAGGTGTACTGTTTCCAGTACCTTTCCACCGATGTCACTATGCTGGCCGACATCTCCAAAGTCCTTGGACTCTTACGCGTGATATCTCAGTAAGATAGGTCATAAGTCCAAACGTGGATGGCGCAGTACCCAGACATTTCACGGGTTTTAAATGTTTTTTTTGGCACGAGAAATCGCTTTTTCTTCTGCAAAGTGGTAGGAGGTTGTAGCAATGTCTTAGTACCACTTTGAACAAGCCGAATCGCTGTTCTATGGCTTTCAATGTGCCACGGCTCAGTGAGGTCAGCATTATTGATACATTAAGCGAGTCACAATCGTACGTGAAGGTTGTGCGGAAATATGCATCACACCTCTGCAGAGTGGAAGGGGCTCATCTACAAACAAAAACTGTCTCAGTTGTAAGGCACTCCATTATATCTCGGAAACGATCCGGCAGTGATTTAGACTGTGGTGATCATCATGGAACTCGGAGATGGTGATTGCCGAAGCATTCATAATTGGTTTATACGATGCCTCCGTATCCATCCTCGCAAGACTCGAACCAGTCAAATAAGTTCCAAGAGATAATTTCCAAACACATAGAAAAGGGCTCTTCCCACAACCAAGCTAGCATAATGCAGAATCAATTTTAGCTGTATTTCCCACCTTCCGAAATTTTCATTTTTGCCTCTTCTCATGATCAAACGTAATCTGTTCTCCCATTAGCAATCATCCCATAACAGAGGTATCTGTGGGAAAGCACTCACGTGTCTACAGAGTTCAGCCAATCTTGCGCAATTACGCAGGAGGATACCACCTGTCGTCGTTGCAGGTGATGACGGCCTTCTGCGAGTTGCCACAGAATCCATCGGTGCAAGTGCTAACCGTGATGCTCGCATGTTGACAAATCTTTCGCTGGCCGTTGAGATATAGGTCACCCCCAGTCGGGGTCTGACAGAATGCCCACACATTCCCATTACCGACATAATCGCCATACTTGCATCTGCCAAGCTCGCTGTGATCGAGACCTCCATTCGCAGAGGAGATCGCTTCGTTCTTTATGGTACCACAGCCACAGCCAGAGCAAGACGCAGGAGGTTGCGGAGATGACCAGATACGATAGATGACGGCGCCTGACGCGCAGCATTTCTCACCCCTGGGACCGCATTGGTAAGCGTGATAGTCATCCGACTTGGTGATGAAGAACACAGCTGAGATGTGCTATTTTGCGTGTTAGCGCTGCGTATCAGACCAGGGAGAGTCTGAAGAGATCTTGGGTATATATCTGACGTGACATGATTTCAAGATATCGAGAGTCTGGGAGAAAGTAGGAAGCGTACTAACCTGAGCAAAGAAGAGGGAAAGGAATCCAAGATACATGAAGCGCGTGAGGGGGTTCGAGGAACGCATGATGAGGAAGGTGGAATGGTAGATCTCAGTGGATCCTATGGTAGAGTGACTGGAAGCTGTTTGGATGCTGCTCTGGACGTTGAGGGAAAGGAGGGAGAGGAGTTGATACTTATAGTTTCCACCGCTCCTCTTTAGATTCCCCAATATCGAGTACCCTCATGTTCTCAGGTCTGATTCACGCGTCAACAGCCCACGACCCGTCAAGAACCCTTCCTGCCAATGATCATGTAAACATACAATATGTATGTCGGATGCCTCTTCCATCCCGCAAGCTACCCTCCGTGGTCTGAAGAGGAGGTGGATCTATCTCTCAGCGAACTGAAAGCTGAGAAAAATACCAACAAATGCACAATACTCTATTGCGGTTGTATCTCGCTCTTGGATGTTCGAAAAACCCACAGCGCAAAGGGAAATATCCTGTCACAAAGTCAGAAACCAACAGACCCCATTCCTTTACATCTTCGGTAATGGACCTCGATTTGGCTGCCTGTAAGCGAGGTCTAGGACGTCTTTGAACCCATCGTCACTTTCGTTTATCGTCGCACAGAGGAGGAAGAGAGGAGACAGTTGAAGGGATGAGCATATTGCTTAAATACGACTAAATTTTAGCTACCTAACTTCAGGGGACACAGTGGACAGCTAAGCTGAACTCCTTGCCAGCAACTTTTTAGAAGCTATATCCTCAAGTCCCCTAAATTTCTTCCTGGCGCGTAATACTTGGTCCATACACAGTAGCGCATGCAAGTCTCGCTTATTCGGGGAGGTGTGCGGATCTGGGAAGCTTCTTCCATATTAATAGGGCCGTCCCGAATCTTCAACGCTTGCATGCGGCGGAGTGCAGATCAACCCCAGTCAGATAGCTGCAATGGTGCTCTGCTTCGAGCCGAGAGACGCCATACTCAAGTCGTATCGTACGTTCGGAGATGACCATGAGTCTGGCTCATGTCTGATGAGATAAAAAGTTTGGAATCTATGTGACCTCTTTACACAATAAACAAATCGAGACGGCTGTCCCAAGAGATCAGGCTTGCGTGGCAGAGACAAATGGTTCATCTCTTTCCAACGCGAAAACCTCATTATGATCCGCGCACAGAGATCTTGCCAGCGCTGCCGGATAATCGCCAGAATGGTGGGAAGGATATTGGAGTGACTGCAGTGCAGTGGGTCAATGTATCGAGGGGGCGGGAACTAAACGAGGTACAGGGTCTGGCCAAGTCGTTATCAGAGGCATGTGGGCAGGGCCAGTGTTACGCAGGCCTGTTCAAATGTTTTGGAAAACCAGAAATCTTTTTCTGTCGCTTGGAGGCAGAGACAAGAGACTGCATGCAGCCTGTCTCATTTTGGACAACAAACATCTATCTGTTTAAAACCCGACTTCACCGTCTCTTATCATTGGGCAGAACGCTTGCCCAATATCTGCACTCTGCTGTTGTTTAATCTGGATAAAGCATAGCTTCTCTTTCTTCTCCTTCTGAATATGGCTTAACGCTATGCAGCGAGATGAACAGCTTAAATCCAGTCAGTTGCAACTGGCAATCTAGTTCGTCAGAACACTACGCATGGCCTCGCTTAAATTGAAATCTGAACCCCCCAACACATACCTAATTGGTAGACTTCCTTACAAGAAAGTCAGAAAAGTCCCCCCCTTCTCTCCAAAAAACAAGCTGGAGCAGTTCCAAGAGTCAAAAGGCACTAAAGGTAGGAAATTTGAACTGGAAAATCAATACTCGGGTGCGTGTGAGGAGCAAGTCTACAGACCTAACCCAGTAGGCCATTTCGATTTCGATCCATCAATGAATTTAGTGTTCGTACGACATTGACTCCGACACATACATTTCCGCACAGTTATAGAAAGAATTTGGTTGTTGTGCTAAATGTTGATGCAAGCGATTTGTTTTGAAGCGAGAGCGAAGCCTTACCATAGCCGTTGAAGCGCAGTTCCATTTCTACACAAGATGATCCATCTCGTTACCTTTAACAGAAGGCTGGATTTGCTGGGCTGCAATCTGAGCTTTTCATTTCTGATGACGGTTTTGTCGCAGGACCTTGACGTCCAACTTCCTCGAAGTTTCATACAGCGGTATCTTCGCCTTTGTCCATCTTTCCCGCACTCAAACGAAAGCGAAAGATTTCATTTCACCCTTTGTCCGCCAACAAAGACTTGGCACAATGTCTTTCAACCTGCTCGAACAATTCATCTTTCAGTGTGCAGATACGTTTGCCTCTGGAAGAAGTATATATCAAATGCGAGCACCTCAAAGCTACCAGTGATACTCTATTACATTTTTTACGTCTGGGATATTAACCATCCTCCCAGCCTCACTCGAATTTCTAACCATATCGCAGAGGAACCCACCACACAAAACCACACTTGATTTTAAAGTCGCCCGTAAGTTTCAGGATGAGCCAGATACAAACACCACCCACGTCACCTCCATCCTCTATACGTTCGACCTCCCCCTCATCCCCACGGACATCCTCACCAACAACCATCCGCGAATCCTGCCTACAATGCCATCTCCTCTCCTTACGTTGCTCCTTCATGGCGACAGCCACACCGAGGTCCCGATCTAGGCACATACGACCAAAGCCAGCTATATTATCAAAGACAGATACCGAGATAAGTAGAGCGATGACAAGCGCAGGTAAAGTTGCAGATGAGCAATACGCAGACCCGATGATAACATGTACCCGCTGCTTCAACTCCCGAGAAGACATCTGCGTACATCGCACCAAAATCCTTTCCCTTTGCCCTCCCTCCTCCACTAATACCTCTGTTCCTTCTACTTTTATCTTCACCCCACCCAGCTCTCCTCCCTCCTCCTCCAAATCATCACCCTCATCTCTAACCCACACCACAACCAACTCCCATGCCCAGATACCGCCCTTCCATAAGCCCACAGAATTCACCTACTACACCCCCCTCTCCTCCTCCCTCACAACAACAAGCACAAATATCCACCCCATCTCAACACTCCTCACTCACAAAATCTCCTCCCTCCTCACCTCACATGCCTCCCGCTCAAAAGCCTCTTTCGCACTCCCTCTCCCTGGTCCAGGGTATGGGAGAGAGAGTTTGAAGGCGCTGGAGGAGAGGTTGAAAAGGGAGAGGAAGAGAGAGTGGCAGGTGTTTGGGAGGGTTCGGAGATTGGTTGGAGAGGGTGGGAGGGAAGGGGCGGAAGGTCGAAGGCGACGAGAGGAGAAGCGGCTTGATAACTTGTGTGTTGGGGGGGATGAGGGGAAGGGGAAGTGTATTGAGAGCCAGGGATAGAAGGGGTGGGGGTAGGGAGTGTTTGTGGTTAACAAGTTGGATTAACAGGTACCTGATAATTAGGAAAGGAAAGAACGAGGACGGAGGTAGTCTGAACCGAACAGGGATTTGTTGATAAGGTAGGAAAGGAAAGAACGAGGACGGAGGTAGTCTGAACCGAACAGGGATTTGTTGATAAGGTGGGTACGTAGGTCTCCTATTCAATCCGATCCAATTTCATCGCATTTGATTCGGCTTTTCAGTCTGTATAAGACAGACAGCCATCCATTCTTGAAAGTTCAACGCAAAGCACCCTTGGATCGTCCTTCCCAGTAATAAAAGCAACCAATCTACTAATTCCATCCCATCCCATTACAGTCCTTTGATCCCACGCATTAACTTCGAAGCACGCAAGTGACCTGACGTCCGTGTGAAATGAACTTTTCCTTCCCTTCCCCCACCAGTGTGATTATTAAGTACTCGTACAGACCCAGCAATTTGTCAAGCCAGAACCCAGAATCCAGAAGAGTTTCGATGCCCTCAATCGCAAGGTGACATCCTCCACCCAAGTCAATAAACCACTCTCTAAAGATTTGCACGCAAAATGGTGTCTTTGGTCGGATCGTACATCCTCGCCTTGATCCACTCATCAAGCTCTCCATCACTCAAGCCCCGAATGCTTGGCTCGCGATCTAATCCTTGTCGCTGAGCTTCACGCATGACCTCACGGGCTACAACGACACTGACATCGCGGATGCGGTCGAGTTCAGGGTACAGGCGACCATCGGCGAGTTCAGAGGGGGTGATGGCGTTGCTGAGGGCTACGGCGGAGGCGTAGATCATTTCTTGGGTGATATGGACGGATTTGCAGAGGATGGAACCAAGTCCAATGCCTGGGAAGACGTACATGTTGCTAGGAAGGTCAGCACTTGTTTGTTGTTTGAGCTGCGGAGGATGGAACTTACTTTCCCTGACTTGGAATCATGACTTTGTCTTTGTACAGGTAAGGCTGGAAAGGACTACCGCTGGCGAAAATGGCTTTTCCGTCGGTGTGCTTGATTGCTTCTTCGAATGTACATTCGGAGTTGCTGGAGGGATTTGATAGTGGGAAGATGATAGGGTTGGGGTTCAATTTAGCCATAGTCTTGAGGATGCTTTCGTCGAAGATTCCGCGCATGGTGGACAGTCCCATAAGAATTGTGGGCTTCACAAAGTCGACAACCTCTGGGAGAGTCTTGAATTGCTGGCCTTTGTTGTCGTCACGGGAGAAATAGACTTTGTGTTGCGCGAGTCTGTCTCCTCTATCGTTTGTGATGAGACCCTGAGACCGTTAGCTAGGTTATACAAGGGCAAAAAGAAAAAGATACCTTGGTATCAACAAACCAGAAGCAATGTCTTGCCTCATCTTCGGTCAATCCCTCTTTGATGAAGTACTCTACGATCTGTTTGGCGACACCAACACCAGCACTTCCAGCACCCATGAACACAGCACGCTGGTCCTTGGCTGGAATGCCGCTCTTCTTCAAGGCATTGATGATGCCAGCGAGGATAACAGCACCTGTACCCTGGATATCGTCGTTGAACATAGAGTACTTGTGTTGATATCTTTCGAGAGCTGGGAATGGATTCTTGAAATCCTCGAATTGGACGACGATACTGTAACAAATCAGCAACCGTATTTCAAGTTTGATATGTCAGTACTCACCCAGGCCACATCTTGTTCAAAGCAACCATCAGCTCATCCAAGAAATCAGCCTCCTCCTGCTCAGAGACTTTTGGCATCTTGGCACCCATGTACAATGGACTGGCCAACAAATCCTTATTGCTGGTCCCCAGATCAAGACACAATGGTAGGGTCACCTCAGGTCGAATTCCAGCACATCCTGTGTAGAGTGCTAGCTTACCGACAGGAATTCCCATACCATTGATGCCGAGATCGCCGAGTCCAAGGATACGAGAGCCATCAGTGACGACGGTGATTTCAACATTGGGTTGAGGCCAATTTTGGAGAACTTCAAGAATATGACCGCGGTCTTTATAAGAGATGTATAGACCTGTGAAAATCAGCATGTGTGGTCTAAGTTTCAACGCTGGTGAAAGATTTGTTGCAAAGTCGAGTGGCGTCTCATGTCCCTCCACCACAACACAACATTCACTCCATAACAACAGCAACGTACCTTCAGGTTGCTGATAGATCTCCGACCACTTCAAACACGCTTCTCCCACTATTGGTGTGTAAATTATTGGTGCAATAGTCTGTTTTCCAGCAATCCCAAAGAAGAAATTAGTCACGTGCACACCCCACTTCGGATCGAAGAAAAAAAATGGGAAAATGGGATGGGGAGGCAATTGAACGCACCGTGAAATTTGTGAGGACGAGACGGTAGAAGAGATGAATATTGCTGTTTCGGAGGTTACTTAGGTAGATGTATTTCTCAATAGGCGTCGTCTTGGAAGCTAGTTGCTTGAGGCCTGGAAAGCTTGTTAGATGGATGTGGGAAAGGAGGCTAATGAGGATTGGCAGGGCTGGACTCACAACGAGTGAGTTGGAGGGCATGGCTCTCAACGTTTGGAGGCGTGAGACCGTGGACACCGAGCTTGTCTCTCACTTCGATGGGGTACGAAGTATCAGGGTGGACACTGAAAGTAAAGTCCCTTGATTAGAACTCGAAATAGGACTTTCATGGGGTATGATCGACTTACTTGGCTCTGCTGGGAGAAGTAGTATCTATCGGTCCAGGTGCCATATTGACTGCGGCAGCTGCGACGGAAGACGAGAGTCGTGTAGGGAGTGTAGGGATGTTTTTCGTTGCAGTGGTATGCCGGTAGAGTTGACGGCCCAGGGCACCCTTTATCCCTCCCATTGGAAATTGGAAATTGTCGAGTTGGGTCGGCTTTCCTTTCCTTTCCTCTGGTTGCTGGTGCCTCGGCTCGGGTTGTTGGGCTGAAGTGGATTTCACGAAGTCTTGTCCTGCTTGCTCTGGGTTCTAGGTTCGCCTTGATGACTGAACGGTTCTTGCAGGCGAGTTGAAAATCTAACTAAAGGTGGAAAAAAATAAGGTATGGGAGGGAAGTGCAAGTGACCAACGGATGAGCAAGAGCGGGTGACGTCGATAAGTTATCAATTGCTTCCTCGTCACCAACAAATTCCTTAGTTGTCTGTACAATTGCACAGGTGTATGTGGTTATGTGAGGGGAGCTGATGTAGCTTGCTGATACAGCTCTACCTTATCTTTTGTTGTTCATTCACCCTTCCCTTCCCCGCATTCTGTGACTCAGGGTCAACGGAGCAGTTGAGGAATTAAAGAAGGCAATTTAGGGATGTTCGGTCTGGTTTGTTGAGTGAAACAACGGACATGGTTCGGAGGCTTATTTTGGCTTTTCTGCTTGCTCAATTATCGTGAGGCCAGACCGCATTGGCAAGCGGTCAGCCAGAACCATGGCTCACATCCAGACATTGCACACTCAGCTCCGACTTCTTCCCTCTCTCTGGCGCGCTAGTGTGTATCAATCGGACGTATTGCTTTCACTATTGGCTGATTGACTTTCTACTTGAAGCCTTCCCGAACTTTACATGTGTTCTCACTGCGGGGAGAAATTGTCTAGTAAGTCGCCGAAATGCATGCAGGGTCAGACGCACAACTTTGGTTGAGGACAGATGAGATGTGCTGCTGTGTTTACGGTCCAGCAGGGAGGTCATCTCCCGTCGCTTTGTTAGCCAACCACATATCGCGCGGACTCTCCCGGGGAATGTCACGACCTGGTACCCACAGGTTTGCTTTGCATTTCATGTGTCTTTTATGGATCCAACACTTTTGATGTAGTGTACAATGCCGTCCAATGGCACCCAAGCAAGCCGTTCAGCCCTACAGGCCAAGAACATATTTCCCAGTCACCGCTGCTTGACTGCCGGTACTAGCAGGAGCTCCCAGAGGCTCTGGCTCTGGCTCTGGTACATGCTCAAGCTCAGAAGCAGGAGGAGGCAATGGATTGTCCATCGCCAGTTTGATCCTCCAGTTGATGAAATCGTCTGAAATAATATCACCGTGTCCAGCTTCCTCTATCCGGAATACGTCAATTGCAGGAGACCGCTCCTTCCTTCGAATCCGCCAAACGCCATCTCCTCTGATCGTAGCCTTCAGAACTACAAGGTCTCAGCATAAGGTCAACATCTCAAAGACCAGACAAACTTACAATCTAGCAGCCCCGCTGCGAAGTTGATGCACATATTCCCATCCCAAGTCCCCTTTCCACGCCTCTTCACCGTACTAGGTATTGACGCTGTATCCATCTCCTCAATTCTCTTTAGGAAACCGTCCTGCGTCCTGAAACCCACGATGATCTTTGGTACGCCAAGGAGAAAGGATTGGATCCAGAACTTCATGAGTTTGCGTTCTAGATTCATGAGATCGCCATCATGTCGAATCTCAGCTGAGGTCTTGAGCTCCACCCATTTGATAGGACCTCCGTCCTCGGGCTTAGAGTCCCATACTGCCATCAGTCAGTACTGGACGTAGATAGTAGAAGGATTTGTCCATACATGCGTCTACTTCACCACCAAGCACCATAGTTGTGCTGCCGATACCCGTCTTAACAACAGAGCAATACTGAGCGTGGTTATTCACAATCTCATTCTCTCTGTTCTCGATGTAATCTCTAGGCGTCTCATCCCATGGCTGTGGCAGCAGACATAATGTCTCAAATTTATAACCTTGACAAGTCAGCAAGTCACGAGCTATCTTTCAACTACCCAACTCACCCCAGAAGCTCATCATGTCCTGTGACGGTCTTCCTGGTTGAGAAAACTGCCGTGACTGCCTCGCCTGCGATTGCCGTTTATACTCATGGTTTTCTTCGATGAAGCTATGTGGTTTAGTAGCTTCCAGCAGGTGTGGACTTGGAAACACACATTGTACCCTTCACAAAAAGCTGTTAGCTAGGGAGGCAGAATGAGTTGGGATCAAGGACTGCACACTTGGAACAGCGTCGCATTCATTTCAAACCTTCACACCCGTCAGCACCATCCACCTCACAAGACCTGACTTCAAATACCCATCTCTATCACTAAAGATTGCACCCATAAACTGCACGCACCACCTGTTAGCTCGCCATTCCCCTTTCTCCTGGATTCCCAAGAACATACCTTCGTCATCATACCTCTCCACGTGATGAGGTCCGTCTCAGTGCGTTTGCCTGTCTCTTTCTCCAGTTCCATGACAGTCTTCAGCAGACTATCCAGATGATCGTCTGCGGCATCGTCGAGCTTCTCGAAGGTATCGAAGCCTCGAGAAAGGTCGGCACCGATGGTGGGCGGATAGTAGTATCTGATTGATGAGTCGTCTAGTCGGAACTGGTGCTTGTCGTCGTATGAGAAGCAGGCTATTTCCTAATGAAGAATCAGCAATATATTGGATCATTCGGGATGAGATGAGGTATGAAGGAATGGAGAGAGGGATGTCATAATGAGCCAGAACATAAGTTGTGGTGCAGTACGTGGAAAGAAAAGCTTCATATGCAACCCAAGAGCCATGACCTGGTTGTGAGATAAGACGTAAAAAGTCTTGTTGCTCATCAAGACTGCCTACTATCACACATTGCTTCTTCACTAGCACCACAAAGTAAACACGACCAACATACCTTCGGCCTCTTAATAGCGGCGCTCTGCCCGACGAACCGGCCAATAGGCTGGATGTCAAATATGTTACTCATGATTGATGATCTTACTGTACACCATGATGAGAGATTCGATGTTGCGGCTCTTTTAAGAATTTCTGACATGCAGTTGAAGAGGAATGTTTGAAGGACGCCTGCCTTAAGCTCGTCGAGCCAGACGGGATGGCCGTTTACCTCAGCGGATGCACCCACAATCGCCTAGTGGACAGGGGCTGAAGGGGGCTTCCTTTGTAGTTTGTTAAGGCTGCTTGATGCTTTCAAGAAAGTATACAACTAGAGGTTCTACTGTAGTAACTAAAAATTTAAACTTTCCTCGAATTGTAAACAAATCCGTTGTCCTGAACTCGCAAAGCATAAAAACGCCCAACTCACTTGCCCAGCTCTGCTTCTGAAACCCCCACCAGCAAACCCGAACAGCACCGCAAGGCCTGTCTAGCCTCGCCTCAAAGCCTCGTCAACACCAACAACAAACCACACACTCTTTCCAGCCTTCACTCAATCAACCTACCTCCCAAACATCCCTTACTCACCTCCACTTCCCAATAACTCCTCCAAGCAACAAACCCACACAATGCCCGACCGCCGACACGCTACATCCAGCAGCTCCAATTCGCGCAACCCGGCCGCAAACAGCACCACCTCCGTCCGGCGCAACCTCTTCCAACACCACCTCACGCGGCGCCCAACCACCAGCTCGACGTCGACTTCAATCTCACAATCCAACTCCGCAGAGACACTGCGTCTAGACGTCGATCCCGAGTCGGATTCCTCGGATATCGTGATTAGGGATAAGAATGGGGAGTTTGAGATTGAGGATTTGCCCGTGGAGCAGTTTGATGAGCAGGAGGATGGGGGAGGAGGAGGGGATACAGGGGAAGATGAGAGTGAGTGCCTGATTACATTATATACCTGTTCTGGGTGGAAAGTGCTGATTTGTGGTGTGCTAGAGGAACGACAGAGACTAGCTGATGCAGTCCGACATCATCAGAGAGACAGGAATCGTGCTCCTAGTGAGCCTGCTGGTATACCTCCCTCATCACACATACTTCACAATGGAAGCTGACTGTAGCAGAACTTCTCGAAGCAGTACGAGCCAGTCTTCGCGCGAAAGTCAATGCATTGGCAGAGGATAACTGGATGTACGAGGCTGAGGATGATGCGCCTCTTCGGTGATTTACCATGATCGGTCTTTTTTCTCTCTTTCCCTTTTAGTTCGGCATAGCATGGGATTGCGCTGCATGGCATGGAACGGCGTTATATACCCAAGGATTGCAGGATATTGCTTCAAGCGCTGTCTGTTCGAGTTCAAGATTGAACAAGGCTCTATTCCCTCAGTCTAAACCCTCAGCAGCAGGTGCAGAAGTTCCCACACGCTTTGTCTGTTGTTTCGCAGGCGCAGCGCCCAATCCTCCACCCCCAAACATACTGCCCATCATATCCATCAGTGGATTTCCCTGTCTCGGTCTCGAGATCCCGAAATACATCTCGGCAACGGTCGTCAATGCCTCGTCCCAAATCCCCGCCTCCTTGATATGCACCGCATACTTGCTCTTCAGCTGCGTGAACAACCCCGCACTCCCTTTCTGCACAGCCAGGAGTAATAAGCCGAGAAAGTTTAGCAATGGCAAGCTGGGGTAGATTCGCATGTCCGACGAATTGCTACTGACGTCCTGGACCGCAAGACCCTTATTCGCTTCCGTCAACCTGCTTGTGAATAGTCGGAGGGATTTCGTAGCATCGCGTACATTGCCTATGAGTAGATACGGGAATACAACCCTTGCGGCGTAAAGGGCGGCGGTGTGCGAATCGTCTTGTGTGTACCATTCGTATTCCATCTTTGCGAATACTTCTGGTGAGTCCTTTGTGCCGAGTGCGAGATGTCGTTCTGCTTCGTAGGCTTCATGTTCCTCGGCGTAGAGGCTGCCTGCTACATGGTGCAATTCTGGCTCGCCGGCTGGATACTCGCCGCATTTCGCAGACCATCTGTATCTCCAGTATCAGCTCAAGATCAAACTCCCTCCATGAATCTCTGGTATCCAACTCTTTCCCGTGCTGCAAATCGACCCTAATCCAATTTTGCATCCCAAGAAGCAAAGCAAAGCACTCACCCAATCATCTCCCCAATAAACTTCTTTCTCGTTGGCTCTTCACTATCAAACAGCCTCAACAGCGCCAATAGTTTGCCCTTACTCCCCGAATCCACCTTCAGCTCCGCCTGTCTATACACATCGACCAGAAACAAGCTCAGATCTCCACCGCTACCGCCTTGTCCGGCTTTCAGCAGCGACTGCGACACATTGAACAAGATATCGATTGCGGCATCCCAGCTGGCAGACTTGACGTAGCGCGCGGCAACTACACGGGTTTGTTGTTGCGCTTCGTAGTATTGGCCTTCAGTGATTCTACGATAGGTTAGTTGGATTTCTTTGTTCCTTTGCGGGGTTGGGAGGGGATGGGAACGGGAGAAACATACTTTCCCTGCAGGCGCACGATGATCTTCTCGATTTTGGCACTCATCTTGATGAGCTCCGCGGTTGCGGATTAAGATGAAGTTGGCGTTGGTGGGATGTTGTGGTTGAAGCGGGCAGGCTCACCAGATTTAAATGTGGGTGACGAGGCTGATGATGTTTCCAGGCGGGTGTTCCAGAGCTTCCCGTGCCATCCTAAGGGTATTCCAACACCAAAAAGAAGCTGAATCTGGAAAATGAGTACAATTTCGAATTAACCTAGAATTGAATTTAGGACATATAAATCTTTAAAATATTTATACCTTATGAAGTCTGCTACAAGAGCATAACAGCTGGTAAGGATAGTCCTTCGGCGGTGTAGCTCTAGTCTCTACCAAACCAGTTAATACTCCCACACCAGGTCAGTCAATGATCTGGAAAGGTTTCACCTTTCACCTTCCACAGTGTCTTCAGAGAGCTCCAATTCTCTTTAAAGCTTCATCCCCGACTCAATTTGTATCTATGCAAAAAATTCCGAATCTTGCCTTGTTCAATGTTTTCTCCCACAAAGCACACCAGTGCATCAGCCAGCTGTAAGCGTGTCTATATCAAGAAACCAAGCTGGATTTGCCAAGCATTTAGTGCCCATTTCAGCGGTAGTAATATCTATCGTAATAAGAAAGATTTGTCATCTGATGAACAAATCATACTGCACTCTTGGTTTAGTGGTAAAATCAGTGCTTCCCATCTTCATTTCAAAGGAGAATGCACTGGCCCCGGGTTCGATTCCCGGAGGGTGCATCAAAGATATATTCTTGGCGTAGAATCTCTTTTATTTTGATATCTTTGTTCTGACGTCCTTTGTACTTTTTTCTTTTCTTCTCTTTTTTTGTTTATTTAGACGGAGAGATATTTCCGGTAAATGGGGTGTGGCAAAGGTCCCACTTCATGAGGTAGCATCAGCGAGTGCGCATGAGAAGAATGAGGGGAGCGCTGATGAGCCTTCAAATCAGTGCTTCCCAACTTTTCTATCAATTTTGTTTCCCTTTGCTGTGGCGGGTATTTGCAAAGTATCTTAGGTAGTCTAAAGGAGTGCCCTACAAACAAGCGAGGAATGCCTGGAATACACCTGTGCTGTGCAGCACAGGCTTTTAGTGCCCTGCTTCAGCGATGGCCCCTGGAAAAATGTTGTTCGGTAGTTGAGGCAATAGATAGGAGATACAAGTCAGCAAGAACCTAGTTGCTTATTCCAGTGGACCCACCATTCCAATCAACGGCCTGTTCTACGGAAGAGCAAACAACTCTTCCGAAAGACCACCAGGACCAAAGATCAAAGCTTCCACTGCATGACTGTAGGTTAAACGTGCCTCACTCTTGGTGACTCTCTTATTGATCTGCTGGGGTGCAGTCAGTTTTCTTTCAGACCCTCGATCTTTTTGGCTGGCTTATTTTCCTCTTAGTGAGCCCAGCCAGGAGTCTAAGTGGTTTCTACTGACGCCGTGACTTTAATTCAATGATGTTGTAGACGCCTGAGAAAGGACTGGGAAGGTTGTGATTGAATGGTAGGAAACCACTGACAAGGAAATATGATTGCCTATGATTTGGCATGAACAACCACTGCTTTCCCTGTATATATCAATAGCAAGTCATTAATGCTGAATAAGGATTGGGTTCTCTCCAATACTTGCTGTTTATATGAGATTATTGGATGTTGTTGTTGAGGACTTGCTCCGGCTTAAGTAAGTCCAAGAACAAGCTGCTCAAAGAACCAAGTGAGGCAAAACGCAAAAATGTGAGGAGAGTACAATTTAGAGGAGTTAGGGTTTCAATTTTCAGAATGGAAACACCCAGTGTGGCATGACTTATCACTGTTACGTATTAGGAACAGCTTTTTAGAGACCAGCCAGGACAGAATTTCAGAAGTCTACCAATTCTTCTAAAATAGTAAGGCTTGCTCTTTCTCTTATTAATACATTAGACAATATATATCACGTTTAATATAATATAACAGTTCAATGTAGTTAATACTGATGCAAACAAACCTAGGAAGGCAACATGCCGTGGGTTCTTGCTCTCATTGGGACCACTTCACACATGATAGTAGCTGTTGCCCGGCTTCGTATGCAAGCCCCGTTACAATTGTTGATTACATCTAATACAAAGATTAATAGACATCTAGAGTGTAAATCTGTAATGACTGCATGTGTACAAATAAGTAGAAGCGAATGTGAGGTTGCTATTTGCAAAGAAAACTCAGTCTCCATCCCATCTACCATTGGGTATCATAATAAAACTTAGGATCCTTTGTGAAATATATATTAAAAAAAGTAGACTTCAAGACTGGAATATGACTATTGAGAACTGATAAAAGAAAACGCAGTAAGTAAAGGAACAGAAGTATAGTTCATCCATGCCCGTAATCTAGTTTTCGTACGACATACTTTCGGACAGCTCCTATAAAAGTGAGATAAAGATCGAGAAGCTTAGCGGATTTTGTAGTATTGAGAAACGATTCAGCAGCAACATACGCTCACGCTAGATGAACTTGAAAGACTGTGAATGCATAGCGATCCTGAATCTAACGAGCTTTGCCATCCTGCACCACACTTGGCGCACCTCTTACCTAAACTGTACAACTGCGCTGGCAATCAGGAATTATATTTTGGGCACTAGAGCTATTGACGACACGAAATAATTGAGAGTAGAAGGATTCCGCATAATGTAGCAGCAGCGGAGACAGCGATAGAGTTTGCACGACAAGCATTACGGTGTCCACAGAGCTAGAAACATTTGCTTGAATTTCACCAAAGCACATGGTATAGCAAGTCTCATAACAGGGTTCTCTCAGCCTCTGCCATTCTTTGACATTGGTCGTGTTCGTCTAAGAATGGTGTTTGCCTGGACTATACAAAGGAATATAAATAGAACATCCGCGAACGGAAAGCGCCCTAGTCTTTTTGAAATACATTATGTACTCCTTACCAAGAGAAAATCTCACAAACATATATTGTAGGCCAAGACCTAGGGTGTACAAGATCAGGATGCTCCGGAGCAGCATGTACCTAGTAGTCTGCGTGTCTTGCTGTAGCCAGAACCCGAGCCTTCACCCTACTATGTGCCGCAATCACAAGATTCTCACGCATCTGCAATATCTCGATTGAAAGACGGTAGAGGTTTGGATCGCCCGAAACCAGAGTGTGGTACAAAGTGAAGGTTGGGGCTGGTCCGCAACTACCTCACAATGGCTTGTGGAGGACTAATGGCCGAAAGAAACCGGTAAATACGAAGCTACAACTCGAGGCAGATACGAAAGTGACTTAATGGACTAGAGATTCATCAGTACGTCTCCCAGCTTGTACGCGAGTAAGAATGGATGGGTTCAGACTGTGCTGACTGCTGGTGCTGACCCCAGCGAGGATCCCAACCCTACCACACAATCCACGCTCTTTTTGAACTCTGTTCTGCGTAATTCTTGCATCCAAATACCTTTATCATGCTATATCCATCGGTAGGTCTACGCCAATGCGTGCCTTTGGCGTGGGTGATCTCTTTTGAGACTGCGCTGTCAGCATCTGGTCCTGCGACCGGCGCTGGGTATCACAAATCGATGCCACCATCGGCGCTAACGTTCGACCCTTGAATGAACACGAAAAGTGGTTGTGATTCTTACAGTCGATTGATTATTGGGGTTGGGTGTGACTGGAATGGTACCTTCAAGCTTTCGGGAATCTCCACGTGCGTTGACATGGGAATAGGCTGCAAGGACTTCAGCAGCTTTTTAGAATCATTACCACCGTCTAAAATGATCAGAAGATATTGGAACGACTATTGTTCACTTTTAACAAGAGCATACCCCCGGGATATGAGAATCTGGGCAGCCTGCACCTCCCGACATGCGCATTCTACACAACCCTATGCAACCACAACAACCACACTATCACGAAGGCGTCTTCCAGCACGATTGCATAGGCAGACTCTTTCTTTCAATGATATGTATCCACATCTGCCTCGTCTCTAATGCTATATACAATGTGCGGTGCATCATTTCCTTCATAGTAGTCGGAGCAGTCCTTGAACCTCCTCGCAACCTCCCAACAGCATCACTATCGCCATCACCAACACAAAATAGCGGCTTTCTTCTTCAAGACCCTGCATGAAGCAGACTTCTCAATGAAAAATTGTTTGCCACGACTCCTGGAGACAGTGTAATACCAGGTTCATGGACTTGGAGACAAAAAATTCAACCAAAATTCGCAGTTTTCACCCTTGCCGGATGATGAAGAAGAAGAGAAGAAAAGAGGAAGAGGCTGGATGAGAGAAGGGTTTTATAGGGAGCCTTGGAGCTAATGGCCCTAGTCCCTTTGCAGGTCAGGGCTATTGCTCGTGCTGTGTGAAGGAACGCCCATGCTCGTACACTGGGAAGGAGCGCCCACGACTCAGATCGAGACCGAGGTTAGCGCAAGACAACGAGAATGCGCAATGATTGACATGACACTTCTTCAAGTTACAAAGAGACATTCTCACGTCGTCGAACAGTACAATATCGTTCAGGATCTCGGCAGTCCTGAGTCTTCTTGTTATGTGTCCCGTTGTCGCGCCCCCTCTCTTTTGGAAGGGTCCTGCTTGAACGGCATCAGAACAACGATAGGAACTGCAATAACCAACCTGCACTTCTGCTGTACGGGGCCGAAGCATAAGGAGACAGCACTGCTGGGACGAGCAGCGCCAGGCGTCCGACGGGATTCAGCGCGACCCATGTTTGCATGATGTGACTGCTTTATATCTTGCGCAGTGTGTCTGAGAGGCAGTTAGAATTAAATCAGTGCCAGCAAGAGGGTGTTCAGCTTACAGGTATCTCAGACCTCGTTGAAATGGCAGGTAAGGTAGGTGCGCCGCCTCGCCGCGTGGGAAGAAGACGGTGCTGCATTAATAACGCGTTCTTGCCCGGACGTATATCGCACAGAGGGTGAAGTTGCGACCCCAGAGCCATGTCAGTGAGATAGGAGTGCCCTCTACTACCATTGGCATCGACGACAAGGAGGAAACTTGGATGGAGAATATGGAGAACTGGTAAACAGCGAATGTGAACTTGCTCAAATGGGGTTGCTATCTACCGCATGCTTTCAATTGTAAGACACAATACCACTGACGTTCATCAATCTACTCTTATCGTCCACACGAATCGACCAGCCTGAAAGTCTAACGCAACGAATTCTCAGATGATCAAACATCGCGTCGCGTTACCTTCGGCGTAGCATTGAGTTCCTAGATCGAAGCAGCGCAGGCAATTAGCGAAGTTTTTAAGGAGTAGTGACACGATGACGGAAATCATTCTGCTTCAAGTCATACATCCAAGGAAGCTTTGCGCACATGGTTACGTCTAAAGTGAGTTCGAGCGACGTTTCGCGTGGAAACTGCGAATGCGGGGTGTTTTAATCATATGAAGAAGGGCAGGAAAACGCGACAAGAAATAAGGAAGTCTTACTGAGAAGCCCTCAAATCACCATAGGGAGGATATCAAACTACATTTGATGTCGATATCGTCGTGGACATCGTGCTTGGCTTGGCTCTGCGAGATTCATGACCAGATATATGGAGTATGGAGAAGGACGACGGAGAAGAAGAAGCGAGGGAGCCACCAGGGTTGGGTTTACGTGTGTCGTTCTCTAGCGCAGAATCACGTGAGCAATATTTGGCTACCAGATCCAACGTCATCCAGGGCTACTTTCATACCTACATAGGTAAGCATGCAGATAGTAAGTGGTCTGGCCACTTGGCTACGTACCATGGTCCACATCTGGTTGATTTTGGGGCACATAAGACTGCCCTGAGACTGCCTAGCTGAAAGCGCCAGGCGACCGCGCTAATATATGTGCAGACCAGTATCTGACAAAGAACCGTTGAAAAGAATTATACATACATGCTATAGAGCTTTCGAGCAGGCTTAACAGATCTAGGCGGTGGATCAACACAAATGAAGACGCACTGTGCACCAATTTGGAAGTGTGATTCTCACTACCTTAAAGAACAAGAAATGGAGGAAGCCTTTGAGCACTATCTAGTTTCGGTCCATGAACCAACAACGGGGTTTCTATTAATTCCTCCACCCAGACTTGTTTCAACGTCGAACCCCTTCGATGGTAAATATGGGCCCCAGACTAGTAGTTTGGTTGGTGAAAACTTTTTTCAAAAAGCCACCAGAAAGGTGACAAGCTAGTAATAGCCAAACAAATTACTGCTCGTTATTGATCTGGGAATGTCCGTCGACTGGCCCACGTGACAGGCGCGTAATCATCGCAATCGATGAGTATTTGGGAAAGAGCTTGCAAGCGCCATGGCAGTTCACATTAGCTTACCAAAAGTAGCGATGAATGAAGCGTTTCTGACGTGCTTACGCGATAGCTACAGCGATGTACACCATGCAACCTTGTAAATGGGCAGCAGGATATACTTGTCTCAAAGAAAGCGATGCACGCCATTGATGATCCTCTGTTCGCACTGAGATTCCAAAATCCAGCCGCGACCAAGACATGCTTAAAAAGTACAAGTATCTATGTCGTGGAAGTAGTTTGAGAGACAGCTCAAGAGTAGTAGATGATTGAGCAGAAGAAGACTAGAGCACCCTTGTAGGCGATTCCTCGCTCGCGACAGAATTTTCTGGTGCCCGAAGTGGTTTTATGCTGGCAAGGGAGTCCCATGTTAAAGGGACCAGAGAAAAACGTTGATGCCACAATGCACTGGCAATAGCAACAGTGATGTAATAGTATTGTTGAGCGAGCATAGACATTTCGGCATGCTACCGGTCCTTGAAGCCAAAGGGGGCGAGACGAGCTTGACCAAAGCGAGATCTCAGCAAAACGGCTGTGCGAGTGGAGAGAGCCGTCATTGATATGACGAGGGTAGAGGGATGATTGTTATACACTTCTACAGAACCTATTACACAGTTTTCACACCTTTCTACAGATAATATAATAGTACAGCTTCCTCCTTCTCATATTATACATGGCGCCTTCTACTGCTGGCTGTCATCTTTCTCTTCCTCCTGTGCCCACAAACCCGTCTTGTTCTTCCCATCATTTACATTCAGCACTTTCACCGGCTGAGTCTTATCCAACTCACTCTGCTGCTCTCTCCACTTGCGACCACGCCGATTCATGTCCTTGATCCTCTGCAGATAGATATTGTTGAATGACTCCTTATTCAAATCAATAGTCTTGTTATGCGCGCGCTCACGACGACGAAGAGTCGCCTCGTAAAGCGAAGCAATCTCCTCGGGATCCTCGACCTCGGAAAGCGTGTGCTCGACTTCCCATGTGTCTTCGGACTTGAGTCTTTCGGGGCGAAGTTTATCTTTGCCGTTGACTTTGTTCCGGATTGTCAGGACCATAGCTATCATGTCCCTAGGCACAGCATTCTTGTTGGCTACAACTGGCTGCGAAACCTCAACATCAACACTCTCTTCAGGTTCAGCAGTCTCGTCAGGCTCAGCAGTCTCGTCAGGCTCCGCAGTCTCGTCAGGTTCAGCAGTCTCGTGGTTATCTGCATCTTCCAAACCAGTCTCTGAAGCATCTTCACTTCCTTCAACAGAAGACTGCTCCAAATCGACTTCTTTTGTATCGTCGGAAGACTCTTCGTCAACGGCTTCATCCACTTCATCTTCAACAACCTGACCTTCCGCCAACGTAGCGGAGACTACATCGGCCAGCTCTCTTGCATCCTCTGACAGGTCCTCTGCGTCCGAAACATCTTCGTCTTGGGCGAGGTCGCCGTTCTCATCTGCACGGTTACGACCAGATTTCAGTTCAGATGCATCACCGGTTGCCGGAAGAGCTTCGTTCCCAGCTTCACCACCCTCAACACCTGCTTCTACGTGGTCTTGGATCTTTGCCAGTTCCTTTTCCTGGTCCTCTTCACTGTACTCTTTGGTGACCAGGCCAAGAACCGCCTTTTCAAACTTTTCGATTTTGGCTTTGCCTGACTTTTGAATCTTCTCAATAAAATCTTCTGCGAAGGGTTCGGCGAAAATGTACGTCTGAGGTGTCACCGTCCGTTTAGTCTCGATGACGATGCGGAGAGATTGTTCTGGGTACTTGGCAGTAGCACGATCCAGAACTCGGTTGAGCAGATCCAGACTTAGCTTGAATTCCTGGTCTCCGAGTGTGGTATCAGTAGTCCCATGAAGGGCAAAGTCCATCTCGGGCAGACTAATGTATTGGAAACCGAAAATCCTCGCGGTGTTATGATAAGCAACGAAGATGCCGTCCATGCGACCCATTCTAACCTGCAAGGAGTACTTTAGAAAAGCGGACCGAATCATATCGTAGTATTCACGTTCGAATGACTCCCATGCACCATGTTGACCTCGAATCTCATAGCCTCTTCCATCCTCGTAGGCCTCTGTATCCATTCTGACTGAGATCACAGCTCTGGTTTTCAGATCAAACATTCCAGTCCCAGGCAGACGCGAATCATAAGCATCGAGTTGTGACCTCAGGAGGAAGTCGCCAATCCCGGTGTAATGAAATTCCTCAGATGCATTGCGCTCTTCTTCGGTTATCTGATCAGAGTTTGACCTTCTATACTTCTCAAAGTCTTCAGTGGGAAGAGTTAGAAGCTTCTCCATGGATTTCCCCAGGCTCATCAGAATATTTGCATTGTCGTATTGCTTGTCTGCGTCAATAGCGTACGCACCATCCCTCCAGCGTAGGAAGATTGAGACCGGGGCGCGCTGTATGGCTGTAAAAGTATCGTACTCGGCAGGAAACATCTTTGACAAGTTGCTGACCGTTATCTCTCGCCATTGAGAAAGAAGAAAGTGGAAATGGGCGAGGGCGGAAGTCATGCTCGAAGTAGACCCGGTGTATTTTTTCTTCTCTGCAATAGCTTTGGACAAAAGAACTTTGTCCCGAGACGAGGTAATATACTCTTTGAGCGCGTTGAAGTCGAATTCGCTGACAGGCATAATGGTCTGCAAATAAGGATCGAAGTTGTACACCCGTGATCGAGGGTCTTGTAGCTGGTATACACCTGGGTTGAAAAGAACTCTTTCCAAGCCATATGATAGCTGAGGTACTTGAAGTGGCCCAGTATCGAGTGGCACTAGTTGTAGATTGCTTGCATCAACAGTGTCGATTTCGTGAGCTGTAGTACCTCGCAGTGTCCTCCTAACAGAGACTGAGTCCTTTTTATCCACGCCTTGTTTAACGCGAAGTGAACGAGTCGTCTCAATCTTCCTATTGCTCAATGGTCTGCCTAGACGAGAACGAGGGCCAGGTGCTATTCTGCCAAGTATTCGAAGGGATATAAGTTTACGTAAGGCAGGCAATCTTTCCGCTTCTGACAACTGATCGCTTTGTAGCAGTTCCTTGAGACGATTTCGTAGGACTGTAGCATCAGCATTATGTGGTATGTCCTTCAGTTTTGCACGAATTGTTGGATGGTCAGCAAAGAATTTCGCCGTACTCTTGGTGCCTGCGATGTGCTCTGATCTGCTTTTCACCCTCTTGATCTTCAAACGGGTTGAATTTCCCAATGCCGCAGCCTCGACAGACGTAGTACCTTTCATCGACGTCTTGGGTTTTGACTTCAGTTCTTTCGCCATCGGCTTTGCGGATGCAGCCTTTCCTGTTGCCGACTGTCTTTTGTCACCCTCCTGGAGCTTGACAATAAACTTACGACCATCCTCGCCGATCACGGTCCACGACCTGGCATGTCCTCCCGGTGAAGCTTTGCTAGGCTCAGCTACTTCCTCTGAAGCTAAGTTTGCCTTAGGAGGATCATTTTGCAAAATGAGCTTCGAGGCACGCTTTTTGGCCTTCAGTGTCTTTGTTGTTTCATTCTTAGACGGCTTTCCCGGTCCAGTCTCAGCTGAAGAGTCCGCCGGCAGATCGATACCTACCGAGTCATGAGCTTCGTCTGCTGCTTCAGCCTTAGCTTCGGTGTTCTTGTTCGATTGTGCCTTCTTTCCCTTTTTCGACGGTTCTTTTCTCTGAGCCACTGTCGCATTCTTCTTCTTCTTCTTCTTCCGCGTTGTCCCTGAAGCATCGCCCTCATCGTTGTCTCCAACCTCACCCGCAGCTTGCTGTGCTGTCGGCGAATCTGCTGCGCCATTCGATGTCTCCGAGAGTTGGCTCTCGTCAGATGCTTGGGGTTTGGTCAGCTTCAGTGATTTCGCGCCTTTCACCCTCACGGAAGCTTTGGATGCTAGCGTCCTCGTTGCCAAAGACTTTCGCTGCGGCGGAGGTGGTGGTAGGGCCTCAGCAAGCAAAGACTCCCTCAGTGCTCTCAAGGTGCTTTTGGATCTCGAAAGTGGCGTTCGCGAAGAGCGTCTCTTCGAACCCCCCTGCTTTTCACTCAGGGTCTCTCCGCTCGAAGGCTCGGCTGTGCTGGACTCGCCATCGTCGGCTTTCGTCTGCTGTGGTGCAGAGGTGGAAAAGTCGTTCAACGTGGCCAGTGTTGCGCCATTACCTAGCAGATGGAGTTGCTGAGGGTTGGCGTGCGCGAGTATATTGCAGCGACATGCTGAACAGATGTATGTCTGTCTAACCCTCGAGCTCCCGCGGGATAGTGTCGAGAACATAGAAAGGAGTTGCGTTGAGAATTGGTGATGTCCTATCAGAGAGCTTTTAGTTCGCGTCACCAAAAATTATTTGGCTGCATCTTCAGCCTCCCCAAACAGGGATCGTTTGCCAAGCAAGAGGCGAGCCGGCTCAGGGGTTCCACGAGACTAGCCCCGAGCAAAAAACAGGAGGTGGACCGGCTAATAGTCCAAGTTGTTGCATAGGTATGTAAACATAAAACATAGATCTTGGAACATTCAACGTGCTACATTCATTTCACAATAGATATTTACGGAGAGGGTAAGTGCAATAGACATTTGTTCTGAGTTCTGATTGGGATTGACAAACACGGCGCCCATTGCAGTCCGCAAAGTCAAAATCGTCTCAATTCCTTGATAGTACACCTTGCTACGCCATGCACCACTTCAGAAGCGACAAGCAAGCAAATGGGTATAAATTGCGCCAAACATCCAGCCAGCCTGTCCGAATCCGCATCTCAGACCGCGATGCACCGAAAATGCAACCTTAACTATTGTACATATTTGACCCGGTTTCAAGACAAAGAAGTCGATGAAGATGGCGCTGCCTGCTGTGCGAAGAGTTGAGCCTGCGCTAGCGTTTCTTGCGCCAGCACATTCTTGCCCTGTACCTCGTAGCATTGGGCCAACATACCATCAGCTACGCTCCTCCAAAGAACATTTCCACTGTTCATTGCTTGCGTTGATGCGGCCATAGCACTCTTCTCGGCCTGGTCCCCCACAACGTTCGAGAAGAATCGACTGCACATCACATTTAACGTGATGCATAGAAATTGTGTATTGGCAGTAGCTGAGGCTCCTTGTAATGCAGCACGCAGATAACCTTTGACATCGTACATATGGGCCGGGGGGTTTGTTGGTACTGTTGCAACGACAAGGTTGAACGCTGTCCGAATGTCCTGGTTTGGATTGTTCTCACAAAAGGGCTTCAGCTTCTCTATCAATACCGTATTCCTGCTGGTATCCTGTCGAGGACGCTCTTGCAGAATCCAGAGAGTATTGAGTGCAGCGAGAAGACAGATGTCCCGATATAGTTGATCCACCGATGTGACGATAGAGTTTTTGGCCGCAGGCAAGGCAAATTTTGGGTCCTGGAAGAAATCCAGTGCTAGGTCAAGATTCCCGACACCTTGATGGTAAACTGCAGTCATGTACATCGCCAGAGTCTCGAGTGGCTCAGTTGATGACATGTTGAAATTTATGGACGTTGTCTTCAGTTCGTCGATGTATCGCTTGGTCTCGGACCAGTCTCCAACCCCAGCGGAACAGAATGCCATGTAAACGCGGAAGTAGCATAATATCTGCCCACGCCATTGTCGCTGAGATATCAGATCAGGCAACAGACCAGGCGGCTTCTTTACAACTTTAATATCCCCTGTAGAGTGTTACGTAGAGTTCTGTACATTGTAGCTTCTTGAGTTCTTACCTTCTAACAAGTCTAGGCCGGCTTTCAGGTATTTGAACCCTTTCTGGTCAGCAGAATTCTTGTGTAGCAGAACTATGCCAGACAGAAGGTAGCTACATGTGTTAGTCTCTAAGACTGAAGTAATTGCATGTGAGGACTAACGTGATGGAATAAGTGTCCTTTTTGTTTAAGAAACACATCATGAGGTTGTCACCGCCGTCTTCTCCAATTCCCAGTACCATCCGGGTGTCAGAGCTGACAATCTGTGAGCTCTTCGGGGTCCTCTTGATAGGGATTACAATGACATCGCTTGTGGTGCTCCATGCTGGGTTTTTGAGCGCAGCATCCATCATCAGTTGCATGTTCTTCAGGTCTGCAACCATGGTCTTTGAGTTCCCTTCTCTGATGCTGCATGCTACGGCGAGAATGTGCGTGAGGCCAACCAATTGGGGTATGTTGCAACTAGTCTCGGTTTGGTATCTCCACGCAGCAGCTATCGAAGCTTGAATATTCTCCATAGCCTCCGGGCCGGTCTTTTTCATGTGTGCGATTGCCTTCATGAGTGACGCGATGAGATGAATAGCATGGTCACCTTGTCGTTCAGCGAGATCAGTGACAGCTGTCAGGTTATGGATTGCCGCGTGGTTCTCAGACGCAATCCCGGAAACTAGTGAGTGGGAGGCTCTGAGAAGTCGAAATACGTACACCCAAGGATAGTGTTGGTAACTAAAATTGTCAGCCGTGCTTTTGGATCGGACCAAAGGCGCTCACGCTTCCGATTCCGAGACATGACCATCCAAAGCCTTCATAGAAGCCTTTGGGTTCTTCTTGGCCATGAACTGCGCAAGGAGGAATTGCATCGCATACTTAAGATCGTAGTAGTGGTTCTGGTCCATGTTAGTTTCAATAAGCATGTAGAGCAAAACTTCCATACTCTTTCACAAAGTGCAATGCCTTTGCTCAACGCCGTTTCTCCTTCCATATAGTTGTCCGTCTCTTCATACAGCACACCTGCATACCGTAACCGTATATTTGCTTCCAACCTGGGAGGCAGCTTGACGTTTTTCAGGGCTGTTTCCAAGCACCCGAGCCCAGTGGCAATCAATTTCGTGTATGTATTAATGTCGGCATCCGTCATTGAGAACATTACGGACGGCGCCAGGGTGTGAGCCGAGTCGAAGTACTCCTCCGCCAAGGAAATTAAAAGCATGGCCATATCGCGCGTGGGGTCGGAAAACGAGGAGGAGTTTCTGGCTGGGATACTATAAACTGGGTCCAGGATATTCCGGCCGTTGGAGAGGTCTGGTGCTCGCTGATATGGTTGTGGCATTCGAGGTTGAAGTGGTTGCTGTTGGAGAAGCTGGGCGGGGGAGATGTATTGGGGAGGAGCAGGAGCAGGAGCGGGTTGGTACTGTTGCGGAGGAGGCGCTGGCGCATAAGAAACATTATGATTCATCTGGTTTGGGTTCATATATTGCTGCTGTCCGTTCTGGTTCCAATGCTGTCCATTTCCACCAGTATGCCCGGGGTTGACTGGCGCTGCATAGTGAGGTTGCGCCCCATATGACCCTCCCTGCCGGGCTCGCGGATCATGTGCGTTATATGGATTCGGAGGGCCATGGCCATGGCTAGCCCAATAGCCATTGCCATTATCAGGCGCGGGGCCTCCTTGATATGACATAGCTTTCCTGCTCTGTTCTGTTGGAACTTGGCGGACGCGACTATTCAGAAGGTTTGTCGCGGCCGTCAAGTCCAAATAAGCTAACCTGACTAGAAGTTTTGCCGCAGTCCCACCGATCCAGCACGGTGGTCCTGACTTTTGATCCCTGGAGGTTTCCAGGGTTCCCATTTTTGGAATCTGCCCCATAACTTTGCCATACCGAGGCCCAGAGTTTGTGTAGAGAAGCTTCGTGTCCAAAATTTCACTTCTTTGTAAATACTACCCTTTACAGGCATCTAAAAATTTTCTTCCTGGTCCTCTTATTTCTTCTCCTTTTCATTGAAAGTCACCAAATCTTCTGCTTACATTGCTGGTTATCTCCCTCCAACTCGGGCCTTCACCACTTCGTCTCTGATTCAGTACTCCTCCTAGCGCCATCATCAGCAGCGTGGGATCATGGAGTGGCTCGGGCATGCATCGATTTCATTTACCAATTGTGCAACCCCCTTAGCACTCAGGAAAAAGGATGGCACGCCAACAGAATTGCTCTCTGTTTGTGAAGAGTCTACACCACCATGTCGCCTGAATCCATTGCTCTTCAATGGTCACGTGCAGACAATGTGGACAGCACTGAAGAATGATGGTCCCCCGATATTCTACAAGCGCAAGATTTTTGAGAATGAAGATCCAGCTTACCATGGCTCATTTGCTGTTGACTTTGTCGTCCCAACTAACACGGAAGTTGACGATACGCTACCCATCAGGACAACTTACTTTTCGGAAGAAGCATTTGAAGGCATTGGATCATTGGACAACCGTCCGATGCTGGTCGTGTTACATGGACTTTCCGGAGGATCTTATGAGATCTACTTGAAGCACGTATTAGCACCTCTTATCGCCGCTGAGGGAGATAGACAGTGGGAAGCGTGTGTGATCAATTCTCGAGGTTGTGCGAATCACAAGATCACAAGTAGTATATTGTACAATGCCAGAGCTACTTGGGATTGCCGGCAAACTGTGAAGTGGCTGAGAAAGAAGTTTCCGAACAGGCCGCTGTTCGGTGCTGGATTTTCTTTGGGGGCTAACATCCTGACAAACGTGAGTGGAAATGAACTGCACTTGGAACATCATGAGTTGCTAAAGTTTCTCAGTACATTGGCGAGGAAGGAGCAGCTTGTGAATTGAAGAGCGCTGTCATATGCTCAAATCCTTGGAACCTTGATGCAGGATCTTTGGCCCTCCAGAGAACATGGCTCGGAAGAGAGATCTATTCGAAGACCATGGGAGCAAACATGAAGAAGTTGATCGAGCGTCATCATGATGAGGTATCAAAGAATCCCGCACTGGATTTCGAAAAGATCCGTAGTGTGACATACCTCCACGAATTCGACAGAGAAGTACAAGGACCGACTTGGGGCTACCCGACAGAAGGAGCATATTATCGTGATGCATCGTCGACTGATTCGTTGTTCTCAATCCGTATCCCGCTTTTTGCAATAAACGCAAAAGATGATCCTGTAAATATAATAATCTCTCAGACCCATTACTCGCTGACGATTTCTAGATCGCAGTAGATGAAGCGCTGCCATACGAAGAAGTAAAACAAACACCCTACGCTGTACTATGTACCACCTCTCTTGGCGGACATCTCTCCTGGTTCGAGATTGGGGGCCATAGATGGCATGCTCGGCCGGTAAGAAACATCAGACTTGACAACCCGACATTTGGTTACTGACACTGAGCTAGGCTGTCAATTTCTTGAACAAGATGGCTTTCGAGATCGACGTCGAGAATGTTGTCGATTCCGCTAGACACATGCCGTCCAAAGACCACCTGAGTCATGCCCGGTTCCATCCAATGAATCGTAAATGGATTAATGAGTGATATGCGAACGAGTTCCCACTACATTTGTAACATGACTCTAGACTGTATATATCCATAGACGGCGATTTGCTAGACTTCCCCGAAAGCATGGCAGAACGGTAATCCGAGCCTGCAGTTTGGTTGTGTTTTGTACCATAGAGTAGAATTATCAAACTTCATCAGAAGTTGTGAAATACTAGTAACCAAATTAGAAAAATAAGAATGCCGAAAACTCCGAATCACTTTCAAAGGGGTTCAAAGCCATGTCTCCCACCAATCCAAATCGTCCATAAACCCGCCCACTGAACAAGCAAACGGCGCTAGCACCCTCGCTTCATGACTTCATCAAATCCCGCTCATCGATCAACCGCCATGTAAACTCAACCAAAACCTCACAAATGTAACAACCAACCAAAAAGGACCAAAACAATAGTGATGCATACCTCCGGAGGTTTAAGAAGTGAGGAAGCCAACGATGCTGCGTGGGAAGGCGGACGAGGGGCTGTGGCCGGTGCTGCGAAGGTAAGAATGAGTCGCGTGAGGGGTACGACGGGAGGATCTACTTTATGGATGAGATTGAAGCGAGATGATGGAAACTGATCAAAACGTAGTGGGGTTTCTTTGCTGCTATTCTTGGAGGGGCTGGATATACCATGTCGCCGATTTATAGGGGATTAACAATCCAGTTTAAAGTGTGAGTTTGGGTTGGCTTCTATTCAAGGAAACTCTGAGAATTCGGCTGATAAGATTCATATAGGTTCTTACAGATGTCTGGTATGTTTATCGGTGCTCCAGATCGTCGTTTCTTATTTCCAGGAGATTTAGAGTTATATTTGATGACAGAATAATTAATGTTTTTTAGGCATGATTCTTGGGGCTTGCTTAGAAGCTGATCACAGAGTGAGAGAATATGAAGCGAAAGTACGGATGCAGAGAAGATTGTTGAGGGATCGGGCTGTATGGGAGAGCTATGAGAAGGAGTTCGAAGATGAAGTTCCTCCGAAAAAAGAAAGATGAGATACACATATGTATCTTTTCAAAGGAATGAATGCATGGATACCCAGAGGGCACGTCATAGAATGTTCGTCATTGCAAGTATGGTGGCTTTATACTCCAGCCACATAACCCTAAACATAACTCATAAGACAACCCAAACGCCTCCCAATGCCTCCTTGCTTCCGGTTATATTACTTTGCAGCAATGAACTGCCTCGAATCCATATTCAGCTTCGCCAATCTAGCCACACATCCACTGAGCTGCAAAAGCGTCTGCACGCCCTCCAAAATCTTCATATGCGTAAACCCAATCTCCTTGATAAACTCCAGCTTCGAATGCTCGCTCAATGTCGGTATAGTCTTTGTAACTCGGAACATCGTACTGATGATATCGTGGCTTGAATATCCCAAATCCCATAGTTCCTTCAGTGTCTCTAACGCTGCATCAACTTTGCCCTCGTAGCAGGCTTTGAGCATGGCTTGAACTTTGATAGGATGTGGAGAGTCGACAACCTTGAAGACATTGTCTCCGCTCACAAACCCAAATCCAGCCCATGTAGACTGCAAGTTGTTGATAGCCTGTCGCATATCTCCCTCTGCACTGAAGACCAAAGCAGCCAATCCGTCCTCGCTATATTCCACCTTCTCAGCCTCGATAATCTGGAGCAGCCTCTTCACAACCTGCGCATCTGTCAGGCGAGAGTATCGTAGAATCGCGCAACGGGATTGTAGAGGTTCTATAATCTTGTTCGACTGATTGCAAGCGAATGCAAATCGGGTGGTCGAAGAGTATATTTCCATCGTTCTGCGGAGTGCTTGTTGTGCACCGGATGTCATGCTGTCTGCTTCGTCGAGAATAACGAGTTTTTGGCGGCCTTGAGGCAGAGTAACCTTTTTCTGCGCAAAGCCCTTGATTCGATTCCGTACTACATCGATACCTGGTCGCAGATGTGAGAAACTGTATGCGTCCTTGGAAACAAAGACCTAACCTCTTTCGTCACTGGCATTCAGTTCCAGAACAGCTTCTTTATACGAGTCTCCCAGAAGCTGTCTTGCCAGACAGAGCACTGAAGTTGTCTTCCCAATACCCGGCATACCAGAAATGATAACATGAGGCATATTTCCATCTTTCGCAATGATCTTCAGCCGTTCAATCGTCTCGGTATTGCCCACCACATCGTCGAGGAACACTGGTCGATATTTTTCAACCCTGGCAGTGTCAGATTTCCGTTTAGTGGAGGAAGTACTGGACTTACCATGGCAATTCGTAATTGGCGACTCCATTGGTATTGGCCTTGAGTACCTTTTTTGCTGCAGAGGTGGACGACTCGCCCTTTTCTTCGCCTTTCGTGATCGCCATGGCTGGATGAAGGTTGGACTGTTGTTGAAAAGAGATTCGTCGCGTCAAGACGCGGTATCCAAAACAGCTTTACGCGGTGCTGACACGTGACTGTGACCGGTACACCATCCTGGCCCGCCCTCACAGCCCTCACAGCAAGCCTTCCAATTACATGCTGCAGTCACCATGGAGTTGTCATTGTGACCAGGTTTCAATGCGAGATTCTTTGTTGGCTGTTTATTGATGTCGCCAATTCAAACCAAGACTCAAGACACCTCAGCTCCAACTTCTATAACATCAAACTCGAAACCCTAGGCCGGTGAAACTGACGTAGCCATCAGTCTTTAGTTGACAATATGCATCTCTCTTTCCTAACGAGCTTCTTAGCCATGGCTCCATTAGCCAATGCTAGATATATCATGTACTTGACTGGGTACGAGATCCTCTCCTCTTTTTGAGATGCCTCTAAAGCTTATCTAGTCAGCACAACGATGTTCCAGAGCCGGCTCTAGTGTCCCAAATAACTCATGTTGCAATTGCATTTATGCAATCGTCAACATTCAGTCAGGCTAGCCCCTCCGAATGGCCATTCTTCACAACCGTTGAAGAAGTACGATCGAAATTCGTTCAAGGAACTTCGATCATGGTTGCCATTGGTGGTTGGGGTGATACTGGCTTTCCAATTGCTGCGCAGACAAGTAGCAGCCGAAAGTTGTTTGCGAAGAATGTGAAAGCGATGGTTGATTACACAGGAGCGGATGGTCGGTCATTATATCCTGATCTAGCCATAGCTACTGATATCATCTAGGCGTTGATATTGATTGGGAGTATCCTGGGTCAGTTCCAGTCCTCGAGAATCCATATCTGGCTGACAATCAGCAGAGGGAACGGTGAGGACTACAAACAAGTTCCCAATTCAGAGAAAGAATGGGAGATCACAGCCTATCCCCTTCTCCTAGAGGAGATCCGGGCAGCCCTCGGTCCCCAAAAGGTTATCTCAGCTGCTGTACCAGGCTTACTCCGAGATATGCTTGCATTTACAAAATCAACAGTGCCATTAATCAGCAAATCAGTTGACTTCCTCAACATCATGACCTACGACCTCATGAATCGCCGAGACATTGTCACTAAGCACCATACAGGCGTCGAACTCTCTCTAGATGCCATCAACGCTTATCTGGAAAATGGCCTAGCTCCAGAGCAGGCCAATTTAGGCTTGGCTTTCTATGTCAAGTGGTTCAAGACAGATCCCGAGGGGAACTGCTCCGCGAACATTCCCGTCTGCAAAACTGTCTTGATGGAAGATCCGGAGACAGGAGCAGATCTGGGTCAGGCAGGAGCATTTTCTTGGATCGACAATGTTCCAAATGAACTTGAGCACTCATTCAACAGAGCCTTAAAGAAAGGACACTACGACGAAATACACGGAGGACATTACTATTGGGATGAGAGCCAAAACATCTGGTGGACATGGGACACGCCGAGAGCAATCTTGAAGAAGTTCCCACTTATCGTTGAGGAGAAAAAACTTGGTGGAGTATTTGCTTGGGGTCTTGGAGAGGACTCCAAGGATTGGAGTCATCTGAAAGCATTGACGGCTGGGGTCGAAAAATATCACCTGGGCTCCAACCAGGCAGAGAAACAAAAAGCCAGTTCTGATTCGATATACAAGGACGAGCTTTAAACTTTTTTGCCGTTACCAATCAGATTCGCCCTATCGTCGAGACAACTTTCCGCTACTCGGAAAGTAATTCAATCCTGGCTGCCAGATACACCACACCTTGGCAGCCGGCTGGCGGCTTAAGCCTCGCCCAGAGATGTATCCAATGAGCGTGAAATCTGACTATCGGAATTTCATGCACATGGACGGAGTTACTGAAATTGCCATCTTGGCTATCCAGCCTCATGGTGCGGCTGAAGCCCCTATATTTTTGCAATCGCTTCGCACATGTAAGTAATAAATGTCTCGCAATCTGAAAATCAATTGACAAAGTTGTTTACTTGTCAAATTTTGCGTGCATACCTCATGCCAACGACTGTCAACATGATTCTATCAAAGTCTTCGCACAGCATATGTGCTTATAACGCTCACCCTTGCTTACATGGGAAGTTGTGCAACAAGCGCATCAGGCCCGACAGCGTACGTTTCGCTCGCTGCCTCACCTCCCTATGCAACAATGCGTCCTTGTGCAGCCACATGTCTAGTATACCAAGGAGTATGGAGTTGCCCCTGGAACAGTGGTTATTATGATCTGGGGATCAAGCTGTCATGTGGTTGCGATCCTCAGAACTTTTGCTATTGCGACACCAAGGCTGCTGCTTCCGCTTCGTCGTACATCTCGTCCTGTGTAAGCTCGGGGTGCGGTGCAGACTTTTCTGGAGAGGTCACCAGTGCGATGGATCTCTACAACGCTTACTGTGCCACTGCAAATGTTGCCGCCGCTGTGCAGACGAGTGCGCCCAGTATAGCCGCCAGCAACTCGGCAAAAGTTACATCCACTGCCATTCTACCAAAGACACACCTCGATGCGAATGCGAACAACTCCTCGTCAGCCAGCAGCCCAATCACCACTGAGGACACAAAGTCGGGGACCTCAAGCGCCAATACCGGCAACAAGGGATTAGCTCAGTCAGATATTATTGCTTTGGCCGTGGGGCTAGGCGTGGGTGTGCCGAGTCTGTTGTTGGCATTGGCGACCTTCTGTGTAACGAAGAGGAGACGTGAAAGGCAAAGCACAGTGACGACGGAAATCCGTTATGTTAAGTAGCATGGAATTGAGGCTATTGGTTGGCTACCTGGTGGAACTGAGGCTGACGGCAATTGTCTTGGTAAGTCTTATCCGATGAGCATGGCTGTGGTGCTAATTGAGTATTTGGACAGATACGTGGAGGATATGAATTGCAGTACTGCGGAAATCATTGAGAACGTTAGTCCAAGTTTAGAGTCCGAAAATGAATTTCGCTGACATGGTCAGATGTTTGGGGTCAGAGATGCCAAGGCCGACATTACGTTCAGGACGCTTCGGTTTTGGCCATACAAAGCTGTCAGAAGATCACTTGCCAAATTTCTGGAGCGAACATTTATCAAGTCTAGGATTTGTACCCCAGTGATCTCCATATCGACACCCGAAGACGGGTTATGGAGTGTAGTGAAATCCCGAAGATGCAGTGGTACCAAGAGAGTTGCTTTTGCTCAATACAATGTATGAATTGCTCTCATGTACGCAAAAAAGACCGTCTTTTGGAAATGACCTGTCCTCACATCAGCACTTCCACGGATATCCGTGGTCCGCCACGTCAACCAAGTTATACGTATGGGCCGATCTTTGCGGTTGGATTTGGGACTATCTCAATCCTGGCCTTGACAGCTATTGGATTTGTGGTGGTGCGCAATGCGCTTACTTCAATAACCTGAAGTCTTGGGAGAACAACTGGGATGACAGCTCGCTCCTCGCAAAAGCCCGCGCCAGCTACGAGCACCTCATTCAAGACAGCTTACGTGGAAAGGAAACTAGAGGAGCAGCTATTGAATACATCTGGACGGAAGTAAGACATTCCGGCACGTATGAGCCACGCCTCAACACATGTGCGCAAAAGTGATCAGCTAATTCAGTTGCAGTCACTGGCATACAGCCCATGGACTTTTCACATTGCGGGAAAGCCATGCCCAAGACAAGCTTTTCACCTTGGCTGGATGTACTGGCGGCGGGGTAGGTAATCTTTCAATCCTACGAGTGCTGGCCTCCGGTGGCTCGCATTCAGAGGAACATCGCTCGAATCGGAGCACATAAGTATGGACTTCAATCTTGTAGAGTCATTGACCAATGATTTTGCTGACCTGAATTTGTATAGATTTTATTGATCACTCAAGTCCAGGGGCATTGCTATGATGATCAGACAACTTTACCAACCACTTCTCTTGTCAATTGGCTTCCCAGATTCACAGAAGTGTAAATTGTTCATTATTTTTCTCCCTACAAGTGTGAGGAGGTACAACAGTGTTGGTACATGCTTCCTCTCCGTATATGGCCAAACTCAGGGAACAGCATCCTGTTGCACCTGTTGTCACGCTCTCATCATTGTATTTGAGTTTCCGCCAAGTTGCTTTCCAGCCACGAGTAGCCGGAAGTGTCCAGATTCCGAGAAATCCAGCTCAGCCAAGGTGCTGAAGGATCTCTGGCTGTGCCAGGCCACGAGCGGCCGATCAGGTTGCAGTCTGCAGATGCCTGGGCTATCCGCGCTGTTGGAAGTTCTTTGATGGGAATGCGATATGTGCGGCACAGATTTCGAGAACAGCATTCAGATCGGAACCGTCATGAGCCGAAACAATGTTTCGAAGCCTTTCTACAGGGAGGTTGTGGCGTGCCACCCGATTTAGATGATTTGTTCAGGGGGCTGATTCGCTACAGTAAACCCCGCCACAACGTTTGGTCTGCTGATCCACAGTTCGTCGTTTGCGCGAATCAGAACAGCGCAGTGTATTTTCGGTCAGCCTTGCAGAAGGCATCCTGCACTCACTCAGCCCTCCCGCGAATCCTATCAGGCCGGATGCACGTCTGACAGAGCCTACTTGGGGCTTCCATTGCGCCAACGGCGTCTAATTTCTGACAGCGGCCGACATCTGGCTCCAAACTGACCATACCAACATCTTGCAATAGCCGCTGCCCATGAGGACTTGCTGAGCTTGGTAGGATAGTTATTGAAGTCATCAAGTAAGATGAAGTATATAAACATGCCACCCCATCATCCATTTCCGCTCTTCATCAAACAATCAAACCAACAAAAACATCATTTCCTAGAGTAATTTCCTTGAGTTTTTTCCTCATATAATCTTTGGATACTTCTCTTTCTTCCTCTCTGTTTCACTGTCCTCTTCAGACCTCACCAGATCAAATCTACCGAATAACCATTCATCATGCAACTCACTTCCGTCCTTGCTTCAGCCATTCTGGCCTCCGTCGCTCTCGCTGCCCCAACATCTAATGCTCCTCCAGCACCCACAACCACAATCACTCCGCCGGCACCAACAGGACTGAGCATCACCCAACAGCTTTTCCTTTCTGACACTGCTGCGGACCGCTTCGCACTCCTCTCCGATGACAAGATCAAGTTCTCTTTCACTGATCCGAAGAAGGGCAAGGGTGGTGACCTGGTGGCAGCGAACCGAAAGACATTCCCGGCGTTGGTCGGTACAGGATCTGGCATGGCCGTTGGCTTCCTTAAGGCTTGCGGCTTCAATACTCCTCACGTTCATCCTCGCGCCACCGAACTCCAGATTGTCACGCAAGGCACCTTACAGGTGGAGATGGTTCCTGAGAACGGGGTTTTCAACAAACCTGGCGACGCCACTTCTGGCCGCAGGGTCATAAAGAACACAGTCAACCAGTTCGAGATGATGCCTTTCTACCAGGGTTCTATCCACACACAATTCAACCCAACTTGTGACGATACCATCTTTGTTGCTTCATTCAACTCGGAGGATTTCGGCGCGGGACAAGTCGCCGATGAGCTCTTCTCCATGAGCCCCAACATCGTTACCTCCGCGTTCGGTGAGGCCATCGATGGTGCGGATGTTGATGCGTTCAAGAAGGCTATCCCAGTATCTATCGCTCAAGGTGTCGAGGAGTGCCTGAAGAAGTGCAACATCGCGAAACGCTAAATCGCCCATCGCAACCACGACCATCCTCAGGCATTATCTTGCAACATCATCCACGACAGGGTAGAATGGCACAAGTACATCCTAACGGACTCGGCAGCAATATTGAAGTATAATGAATGATCACGATTTGCAGCATTATAGATTTGCATTTGGTTAGCATAGCGTCTTTGAAGTTTTCAGCATAGCAGCGTCTTTTGTGTCATTTTGCAATATCTTCTGGCGTTTTGATTTTTCAGGAGGAGGAGGAGTGGAGTGGATTGGGGAAGTTCGGTCGTTACCTAATGTCTTTATCCTATTGTATTTTGGCATCAGTCTTTGGTGGATAGTGGAAGAAACATAACTCACTTCAGAAGCAGAGACAAATTCCAATCGAGCTTGCTTCTCTCAAAATGCCTTTCTCCTCTTGGTGTCTCCTCTTGGTGTCTCCTCTTGCGCGGGAATCTGGTGTTGTTCGACATATGGCTTCGCTTTCGCTACTTCTCTTACTCGTTGCTCGTAACCAAATGACCCGGAGTGATATATGTATGCCAATGGGATCCTGCTGAGCCTTGCCAAGACATCTCTGAAGCTTTCTATTATGCAGACGCAATCTCACGTACGCTGCGATATTAGTCGTATTGACAGTATCTATCATCCTTCTGGACCTCTCGCATTCCTGAACTCCTGTTTCTTGACACTGGCACCTCTCTTGGGTGGTAGGCATGCTTGAACATGTCGCCAATATAAGCAATGACCTCCGTTTTTGAGAGATTTTCAACATTTCTGTTTAAAATTCAGAAGTCTAGACGTCTTCGAAACGACTGAACTGAATCTATCGCTCACTACATCGTGCTTTTTTGACAACAGAATGGAGGTAGAAGAGTATTGGAACGAGTAATCACGTGTGGTAATTTCCCTAGCGCGTGTTAGTCAGCGAAAGTGTACCTCTTCAGAACTTCCAATTTACCATTTCCATTAAACTCGTGCTTGGTCAAAGACTGTAATGGAACCCGCCTAAGGCCGCTTCCAATACCTAGGTATGTATCGAGACGAAATAACGACCTGCCATGTCACAGCACCAGAGCCGCACACTCCCAACTTCCCTCGTCATCTCTCACTTTGTCTTCTTTGTTTCACTAGCCTCCTTCTTCGCCAGACATTCCTCCCTCCAAGCCCACATGCGGCCATAGCAGCTCCAGGGCCAGCGATTAGTGTTGTTCCAGCAAACGCGCCAACAATGCCTGGCCATCCCGTCCGTATCTTGTTCGCCGTCTTCAAATCCTTGAAGCTGAGCAAAACCCAAATCGCACCAGCTGTAGAGGCTGCAATTTGATTGTATCTGAACACCTTCGCGGCGCCAGTGATCAATGGAAGAGCCTCAGATGGGTTTGAAATACCCTTGAAAAACACCTCCATCAGCGACACCGGCGATTTCAATGTCACGTACAGGTAAGCAGCGGCAGCAGTCGCTGTTGCGAACCCATACGCGAGTCGAAGCCAGTTCATATCCGCTGTCACGTTCTCTATCCTGTCTACTTGGGTTGTGTCCTTGACAATCTTGACCAAGAGACGGTGGATGAGAGCTGCGTAAAGTGGAAATGGTTGGAAGAAGATGCCGTTGATCCATTGCCTGTTGGCTATTCCAGGAGCTGCAAGCATAGCGACTGATGGGAGGATAAATGATGTTGCGATGGTGGGGATGATGACCTTGGCAGAAGCCATGTTTGTGAGACGATTGTCTGGCGCAGCGTACATCGACAGCGGCGACTGAACGTAGTGAAGGAAATAGTAGATCGGAGCGATGAAACCAAGACCCTTGACTTGGTATGATGCAGAAAGTAGAGTGTGCAGCAGGTAAGATGTTGTAGTGAGATTACCACGTCGGATGGACTCAATGAGCCAGATGGTCTGAACGGGGACCATATCTGCAAGGAAGGCAATGGCTTGGAGCCTGCCTACGGGATCTAAGCCTGAGATGGCTGGGGTGAAGAGACCAACGAGTTTGGAAAGCACGCTGTCGAGAACGGAAATGCTGAAAAACTTGGAGACAAGTGTTGTCACAACACCTTGACCCAAATTCAGGCTTCCTGCATTTGCAGCCAACGGTGTGAGCTTGCTGATGCTCTGCCACATGGTTTTCTGGCAGGCATATGTTACACCTAACAGTGGCAATGCCCACAACGCTCTCGTCAAAACGCTCTCCTTCTTTCCAATGCCAGTCTCAGGATCCCATGCCATGGTTGATTCTTGCGATCGTGCTGGCAATGGCAGAGACTCGATACTCTCTGCTCCCATGATGGTCTCACAAGTCAGATCCCAAAGGGCATCCCCCAACTTTGGCACTACGTACAGTGCCATAATCTTGTCTCCAATAGTATCGAGTGTTTCGATCCGAGTCAGCTTATTCGCAACATCACACACCAAGTTGACACGGGAGTTTCGCTTGATGTAAAAGTCGTCGAGGACTTTGCGGATCGTAGCCTGGGAAGGATTCCGAGGTAGCTTAGCAATGTGATTTGCAAAAGCGGCTGCACTTTCGATCGCTGCGTTACCCCCTGCTCCCAAGTTGGGTGTCATCCGTGAGATATCAGCCGCTCCCCTTTGATCTCAGTGTTGTCCAGACTGACCTTGTGAGTAGAATCTCCGATACAGACCATGCGATCCGCGACCCAATTCTCGTTCTGGGACTCTTCAAGGCATGCCATATTTGCAAACGTTCGGGCCTCCCAGACCTTGCCAAACGTAAGTTCAGGAGTCATCGGCATGTTCGTGAATGGTTTGACTCCGTCAACCATATCTTCTGTGGAAAATTGAGGCATCTCCTTTCCATGATATCTCTTATCGAGCTTCGAAAACAAGAACCAGTAAAGTACATTGTCTTTTCCAACGAATGACAATGTTGAGTGGTCTTTACCATATGTTCTGTGGGAATCGCCAACAGTCAATGCGCTACCGTCAGGCCACTTTCCAAGCCCGAAGATGCAGGTATATTCGGCCGAGATACTGTTCCTATCTTTCTCAGCAGCTCCAGGTTGCAATAAATCAATATATTCTTGCATCATGCCACGCACAGCGCTATGAACGCCGTCTGCCCCGACAACAATATCGCCATCATAAGACGAGCCATCTTTGCATGTAACGACAACTCCGGACTTCGAGACCTGAGCATCGGTCACGCGCTTTGAGGTCAAGACTTTGCTCTTATCTTTGATATTGGAATACAGAACTTTCAACAGATTGCGACGAGTCAAAAAGGCCATAGCATATCCGGTCCTGCACATGGTTTTAGAGTATGTTCACAATTATACAACACGGCCGATATCTCACCTCTTCTTCATCAAAGCTGGCGCATCACTGCTAGCCAAGAGCTCGCCTTTCTCAGTCCAGGTCAGGGTCTGTACCAAAGACTCTTGAACTTCCAAAACATCGTCTAAAAGTCCCAATCTGGTGTAGATATCAGCGCCTTATTCTTACCTTAGGCCCCCTTCCACTCAGCACCTCATTCCCCAAAACCGCCTGACTCGGCTCCGTAACCTCACTCCTCTCCACCCCTCAGCTTCAAGGAATGGATTGGGTATTAAATCCAAGGCATCAGATCAGTTCAGGTTGCAAGGAAAGGAAGATACATACTGGTCGAGAATGCGCGAACCATTCGGGAGAATCACAATAGATGCGCCGACTTCTGGATGGATGTCATCCCTACCCTCCAGAAGAACGTACTCGACATTGGGATTGAGCTCGAGACAGTGAGCCAGTGTCAGCCCAGAAATCGAACCTCCAACAATTATCACACGAAGGCGATCCGCCGCTTTTTGCTGGGCCATCTCACAAATATGTCCTTGGAAATGGAAATGCAAATGACGATCAGTCTTAGCTTTGACGGAAACAATTAGATGGCAAGAAAGATCTAAGAGCGGTGTACTGACATATTATATTATGTTCAAAGGGCGAGTGATTTGTGGTGGAAACCCATATATCTTTCTACTGAGTGGCAAAGAGGGCCTTCCATCCCCTGTTGCAGCACAGTGGGCAGGTGGGCCAGCAATTTGTTTACGACCCCACGAAGCGATCCATTCAGCTGCATCGACTCCACTACCGGACGTCTGAATCTAGAACCCACCACAAGTGCACCGGGTGCACATTCCAGCCAAGTATCTAGGTAGTCCTGAATACCTGGTGCCGGTAAGTGGGAAGTGGGCTAGTGAATTTTCGTGCGCGAATTTTCAAGGATCGGCCCGCAGAGCGTTGTACTGAGCCAGCCTTTTGTGGACGATGCTGGCTGCATCTGGTATGCGGTCCGGCAAGTAGTTTCGAAGCCCACCATAAAGCCATGAGCAACCATGAGGATGGGCCTGTTGTTGCATCATAGGCTGTTTGATAAATTATGGGCACAAGAATACTCGTCCAAATGTGAAGAGATCTTCATGCCGATCGTCATGGCTGACCAGGAGAAGAGTTCTGTGGGCACTCGTCAGCTTCGGACTTAACGAATCTACTACTGATATGGATATGATATCCTGATGGAGATTTCGAATTTCTTCTCGTCGCTCTTTTCCGTACGAAAGTTTTCAAGATGCGTATTCAATCGATATCTACTGTGGTGTTCTGTTTGCCATTCGTTGTCCAGGTATTTGTTGGAAGTTCTCTCGAGAAGAAAGCGGCACCTACAGTTGATGCCCCCAACTGCGCTGTAAGTCTCCCACAGTCACAAATTCAAAGTTTTGCACTGATAGATCTCCACAGTTGACATGCCTTGGAACTCTAATTCCTCAGTACTGCGACTCTTTGACAGATACAACTTGTATCTGCACGAACACCGAACTTGCTGGCGCATTGCTGCCATGTGCATTATCAGCATGCAATGTAACGGACTCGCTGCAACTCGCAAGATATCAAGCCGAGGTCTGCGAGGTGCCTAATGATATGAGTCGGTACTGGCAACAGATACATACATACATTGTGTTGGTACCTTTGACGACTATTTTCGTTGCTCTGCGCATCTTTGCCAGACTAGGGCTTAATGTTGGACTTGGAGCGTATGTACACTCTTTATTAAGGAGATCTAGCAGGAGACGAAACAAAATGCTAAGCTTGTGAGAAGTGATGATTACGTTCTGCTCCTTGCGTTGGCCTTCTACTTGATCATGACCTCAACAGCAGTAAGTCATAATTCCACCCGGGTATTCTTCTTGGCGTAGACTTCGTTTCGCCATGGCAACTACTGACTCGATTCATCAAGTGGACAATCGCTGTAACAGGATTTGGACAGCACACCTTCTGGCTCCTGACGAGACAGGTGATGAGAGCATTAAAAGTAAGTTCTAGCCCTGGCGGAACACAAACCCTCCAGCTGACCAGAATTCCTGTTCTTCTGGATCAGTGAACTGCTCTATCTATCGGCAATTACATTCACCAAATTATCGCTTCTCCTTTCCAAGTACTGGCTTTAGGGCTGCAACGGTTTGGGCGGGTGTGTTCATCATCACCTCGAATATAGCCTTGTTCATGGCACTTGCATTTCAATGTGTAAGCTACTCCCCCGCCTATCTATCCATTGGTTCAGGATAGAGACACTGACCTCTGCTTCAAGATGCCAGTTCACGGTGTTTGGACAAACTGGATGTACAAAACGCCTCCTGTTCAGTGCATCAACGTCTTTGCAGCCGTCTATATTGCAGCAGGCATGAGCATCACCCACGACATTATGATTTTGTGCATGCCTATTCCCACTCTTTGGGGTCTCAAACTTGAGATGCGCAAGAAAGCCAACTTGATGGTCATGTTTGGTGTTGGATCTTTCGTCATCGTGGCTAGCGTTATCAGACTGCCGTCTCTCATGAAGATGGGTACCTCAAGCGATCCTTCGTGTAAGTGACTCTTCCAAAAATCCTAACGTGCGAAGGAAAATTTTTACTAAACTCGCCTACCACAGTTGATCAAGCCCCCGTCGCTTTCTGGACGAACCTCGAAGTCAGCGTTGGCATAATCTGTGCCTGCCTTCCAGCCTGTCGTTCCCTGATCGGCTACTACTTCCCTCGTCTACAGATGTCCCTAAACAACACTTCTAGTATGTCCTCTCTTCCCCTTGCCTCCCAAATGCTGGGGAAAATTCTCCTATCCGTACTATATCTTGCCACCCCTAATCCCGAACCCCAAACAGAACACTGCTAACCATTCCCACTCCTCACAGGCAACGGCCGCAAAACCCCTGGCTACACAAACCCCACTTCCTCGAAAACCACCAACGAATTCTTCAGCAAAAAGCGCGCCGCCCGCGACAGTTTTCTCGAGCTCGACGACCGCTCGGGAACAGGTTCTCAAGAAGAGCTGAAGAGCAGCTCCAAGCACAAGCCCAACCACAACATATCCATGCAATCCAAGAAATCCTTCGACCACTACCACAAGAACTCCATCGACGACGATGTCGATACAGATACGGACAGCATCATGCATATCCAAGGACACCATCAAGGCACGATCGAGGAACCTTTCTCGCCGATTGCGAGGAAGGGCTTTGGACATGTTGCTACCGTGGAGGTTGGGAGGGGCGGCCGGCTGGGCTCGGGACCGAGATCGCCGGCTGGGGAGAGGGAGAGGAAGGGCGGTGGAGATATTGTGATGACGAAGACCTTGAATCAGATCACCACTTTCAGGGAGTGAGGGGGAAGAGTCACCATGTGAGGGCTGGGTGGCTGCATGATGTCACGATGTGCGCTGTATGATTATAAGAGTTTTGTGGCGCCGGAGAGACGAGCAACGAAGTTACTTTATACGATGGGTACAAAGACTGGTCGGAATGTTATGACTTTGGGGAAATGACGTACGCCTTTCATGGTCTTCTTTAGTCTCTTTGAGGAATTCTGGAGCCCATAGAAGAATTCATTGGTCGCAGTGTATTATATTGTCTCTCTCCAGCACGGAATAAAAAGTTATTTTGCAATGACGGACTCACGACCAGTCGCATCAGTTTTACGGTTTTAGCAGACAAGACATGCTTTGGTGTTCACAAGAGTAGGCCACCAACGTTCATAAACTCTGAAGACACAGCAGGAGAGAACAAAATCTGCGAATTGAGTTTTCAATGTTTACTTTTGACATGCTCGCTTCTCAATTCCAGCACTCTACGACATACGACAGCTCTGCTACTCAACAAACCATTAGTGGCCACAATTCGGAAGCAAGAAGTCCAAAGCAAGAATCCACCACAGTCATCACATGTTTACTGCCTTGTCATATATACCTGTCTCACTTCACTTGCAAATGAATCCAGCCCGACCAACAGTGTACGAACCCTCCCGATCACCAGTCTTGAAGACCGAAGGGATGCGGTAAGTACTAGCATATGCATCACCGAAAGGATTGTTGACGAACGCTCCGATGTTGCGGTAGTTACCGTAGTCCCACTTGACTTCAGCTGGGCTGTCCTGGTTCCAGAGACGAGGGATATGGAGGACGAGACTGTTGGGCATGTCAGTAATATTCAGATAAGAAAAGGAGCGCAACTTACTACAATGGCAACTCTGACGACATACCCCATCCTTCTGACCTAGCCAAGGCGTCGCGTGTGACGGCGGTATTCTCCCCGATCTGGTTGCAGTGGTTGTCGTAGATATGGAGGACGGCGTGGGACTGCCAATTGCTGTGCTCGAAGAAGCTGAAAGTGCACCTGTGGCATGTGAGCATGTCGGCTGCCAAGCACAAAGAAGATATGTCCTTACATGTTATCCGCATTGGGGTTGGCGATACAATCTTGGAAGCACACACCGGTCTCGAGGTGAATGAGATGGTCTTTCAACTGCCTGGCTCGTGTGTGGACACGGTTCGAAGTAAATCCGTCGCTGGATGATGGATTGACGCGGTCGGTAGGAATGACTCTGTCAGTTGAGGTGGTAACGCGATCTAAGACTGGAATAACACGGTCCTCAGAAGGAATAACTCTACCAGTTGGTGGGTTGAGTCGTTCAGACGCTGGAATGACTCTATCCGAAGAAGGGTCAATATTGCGGTCAGAAGAAGGAACTTCTCGTTCAACAGAGATGACACGATCATCAGAAGGGATGATGCGATCTGTTGAAGGAGCTGCAGGACTTGAAGGGATGATTCGATCGTCAGAGGGACCAACTCGACCGGATGGTTTGACGCGATCATCAGAGGGGACAACACGACCCTCGGACGGAATGACGCGGTCTTCAGAAGGATTGGTTCGACCAAAAGGGATCACCCGATCATCAGAAAGAACGATGCGTGGGTGTATGCGGTCAATATTCTCGAGAGCTCCCTCTGAGGTGGGAGCACTGTTGCTGACCGCGATGAGGGCGAGAATGGTGGCCACGAAGCTGAGCATGTTCTTGATGAACGCCATAATTCTGGCACGATGATATATATCCTACAGACCACGGTGAGGAAGAAGCAAAGGTGCCTTGATTGAACTCACACAAAGCTGTGGTGTGACTGAAGAACAAAGGACGAGGTGTGTGAGATGGCAGATGAGTTGATGACCTGAATGGCAGAGATTAGCAATGCTCAGTCACCTATAATGATCGTGATGGTAGAAGGAAAATGAAGTTTGGACGTACGAGAGAGGTCTCTATTGAGTATACTCGGCAATTGAAAGAGGAGTTGGGGAGGAAGTGAAAAGGTGAAGATTCTGAGACGATGGAGAGAGTTATGTAGGTTCTGGCTTTCGCATGCTCTTCTTAAGCGAGCTCAACAGTTCACTCCCAACACCGGTGCTCGTGTCTTTGTGTCGTTTGGGGAAAGAGCAGTCACGGTCCCATACTGTTGACAATGGAATGCTTCCGTTGAGTCTTGGCAACCATGTTCGGCTCGAAATATGACTTCCAGGATAGGAAGGACTTGCCTCTACGACAAAAACTTGACGAGACGAGACGACGCCCCATGCAGGAGTAAACTCAGGCCCAGATTTGAGTTGTGAATGAATGGACTTCAGTGATGATTACTTAGTCCGGTATCGACGCTCTCCCAGCCCTGGCCCGGCGTTGAGTTGGAGTCCACCTCGCTTAATTCGGTTTGTACACAATTACGACGGGATACCTGTGTCCGCTGTTTGCTCAGTCCAACGCCCTAGGAAAAGGCAAGTTTCCTGCATATCAATCATGCGCACGCTCTTTTCCCTTCCGAGAAATACGCAGTCGTTGCATCAACTTCGTCACTTTAGATTCTTTCCTTGGAGTGCTTGACGCTGAAGCATTCATTGAGGCATTCATTAAAGCATCCGCTGAAGCATCCGCTGGTGCATTCATTGAAGCATACACTGAGCTCGATGCTTCTGACGTCTGAACATTTGCATCTGGCTCCATTAGGCGTGTGAGCTCTGCACCAAACTCCTCAATTGCTTCCTGCGTCAGTTTCTTGACGTTCTCAGCTTCAGCCTGAAACAGAGTGTCATCAACTGTGGTGTCCTTGGGGTAAGTATCGCTCCACAAGGCTTTTCCGAATGTTACAGGCATTTTGCCCATTTCCAAGCCCGTCATATCCAAGTAAGCAAATTGTCTACATCGACACCACTCTTGTTCAGTAAGCCTGCCTGTATTTGGATCGTCATTTGGGAGAACAGATCCCGATGCCCCAAGCTTTTCCTTCAGCTTTTCAAAAAACATGATCTCTAGAACACGACCAGGACTAATTTCTGGCTTCTCACGTTCGTCGCCTTGCCAGAGTCGACTGACTCTCAATCGTGCGTGTCGAAGTCCGAAGACACCAACACCACACCCTAGACAGAGTCGCTCAACCATAGTGCCGTATTCATTCTCAAAGTAGTCAAGGTATCTGGCTTGAAATTCCAAAGCTTTGACAGAATCCTCAGTCCAAGCCTGGTAAAGATATATGGCAAACTCGTACAGGTCCAAGATTGGATCTAGCCCAAAGTCCCAGCGCGACATCAAGGTGCGATCACAAGCAAGAAACTTCTCGAGCCAACGGACAATCACACGCTCCGCGTGATGCAACATGTCTCTTGCTCTCAAGCTGTGAATCCACGCATCGATCAGTTTGATCTTGAAGTAGTAGTTATCAGCAGTGATGGGAGTATCGAGTATCGCATAAACATCATCATCCGGAATCCAGGTTTGGGCAGGGTACCAATGTGTTCCATCCCACATGAGTAAGAAGAGACTTTCAGCGCCAAAGACTGACTCAGGACCTGCAAGGTTAACAAGACCCGCGACAGCCGCTCCAGACCACAGTCTAAGCAATGGCCACAGCGGACGCAGTTCGCCTGTGTCATTTTTCGACTGATATGCCTGTAGCACGAGCTGGTGGTGTGCAAACCTTGTAAAATCACAGAGCCTTTCTCTGTTCTCGTAAAGCATGGAGCGAAAATGCCGAATCCACTGCATGGATGCGAATCCAGGAACCCAAGCGCGATTATCGAGTACAAACTGAATGGCTTGGGTGACAGGGTCAATGTTGAAGTTTCCTCCCATCTCGAATACACTTTCTCGGACGTGATGTGTGTACTTCAGTGCTGTGTAAATATATTTTAGAAGTAGCTCTGGGGATACATAGTGACTAAATTCAGATCAACTTACCGATCAATCCCATCATCCCGGATGCTACGTCGAGAGTTTTGTTCTCAACAAGACTATCGCCAGGATCAGCCAACAGCGGCATGAGCGGTTTGAGATCAGCCACATCGACTTGACCATCGATATGTTCTACAGCATAAGACCACTCGTCACCTTCAGATGCATTGTCTCGTGAGTCAGGAAACCGAGCTAGAAGCGCCTCTCGAGCTTGCACCAGAGATCTTCCTGCGAAAGTAATATCCTGGACTCGGTATCCGGTAACAGGTCTCGCCGCACGCCACTCCTTGCATGTATGTTCAAAGAAAACATACACAGCGCGGAGGTAAAGTATCCCCGGATAATCTAACTGAACAATGATGTCCTTTACCGATTCCAAGAACGTGACGTCTTGCTCAAATGGATCGACAAGACTACCATTCGGCATGGGAATATCGGTACCAGGAATGTTGACGCGGACGCGTTGTTTCATCGGACGATGTTCGAGGGGTACTTCGGATGCCATTAAGAACAGCTCGGCCAACTGGAGCAGCAGCTCAACATTATTTACTAGGATCGCTTTGAGCTTGAGATACCGCTTTTGAACGTATTGGACATAAGGCATGTAGGTAAGTCTCAACATCTTGTGCCGATGGCTGATGCCATAGATACGCGAGAAATCTGGGTGAGGGAATCCATTGGAAAGTATTGCAAGCGCATCTCTGAATGGCTGAGGATCTTTAGCAGCATCTTGCTTCCATCTGAGCCAGAAGTGTGTGATCTGTTAATAGTCAGCATTTTTCCGACCCCCAAAAGTCCGGGAACCTACTGGGTGCAGAAAGTAGGACCGCTGATCGGCCCCAAGAAATATCAGAGAGTATTTCACCAGGGTTTTGAGTGTTTCCCTTATGCCACGACCATGAGCGGATGATGGAAGCTTTTCCAGCCATTCTGGCATTCCTGGGATAAGTGACATGACCGCGTTGCCATCTGGTCCCCATCTCTTGTGTGACTCCAGACTCCGCTCGAGTAGCGTCAGTGGGATATTGATCAACTCTAAGTTTGCCATCAAGGACAACAGAGCAGCAGCTTCCTCGCCTCCGGTTCCTTGCTGTAGATGGTCGAATGATATGTCAAAAGTACCCAGGAGAGCTTTGTTTTCATTAAGGCTGAATGTGTCCTTTTGAGACTCCTCTGGCAAGACCAATTCGGTCATGAGGTCGTCGAACTCTCTCATGTACGAAGATAGCTTTGTACCTTGAGCGCTGACCAGACTTCCACAATGTCGTATGGCGAGCGGCACACATCCAAGTAGCTTCACCAGCTTCAACGCGTTGACAACATCCTCAGTTTCACACAATCGGTTCTTGGCGTAAAGAAGCAGCACTTTGCTCGCACACTCGACATCAAGAGGTGGGATTGGAATGGCTTTTCCAATGTCCCCGAAATCTGTACGCCGACTTGTGATAATTATGTCCCCTTGCCCTTGCGGTATCATGGCTTGCGCGTTGAAGCATTTTGGGTCGTCGAGATTGTCAATAATCAATAGCCACTTTTTGCTTGAACACCAGTCTCGGAAACCTTGAGACGTCCGCCTCTTCATCTCTTCTTCAATCTTGGCATACTCTCGCTCAATCACATCACTACTTATGGCACTGATCCAGAAAATACCATCATAGATTTCTCCATGTTGAATAGAGTACTGCAGCGCAATAGTAGTTTTCCCAATACCCGGATACCCTTGTAAGATTGCCCTCCTCTGACTTCTGGCATATCTCGGCTGCGCTGTGAAGTTCTCGTGAATCTGTTTCAAATGTTCCTCACGGCCTCGGAAAGTAGTATTCTCAAGATATGGCACCAAGACGATTTGATTGGCTGCTAACTATCAGACCTGATACATATTAACCTCCTTAACCCGTGGGCAGTCACTCACCAGCTGGTGGGGCTGGGACCACTGCTGCAGCAGCCGACTCGATAGCATCTTCTGCAATCTCAGAAATTGACTCTTTCACCAAATCAAATGCCCTGCCGGAAGGGTCCCAAAACTTGCAGATATCAGTGTGATTTGCATCTGTAAGAATTCTCCTTTCCCTATCAAGCGGAAGTCCTAGGATAGAGTCTTCTTTGCGAACAATCTTTGACGCAAAAGTTAGCTGGGCTCCAAACAACACAAAAAAGGAACCTCGACGTACAGCTGCACCTTTGGTCTTCAGAGATTCGATGATCGACACGAATGCAAAGTCTCCCGAGCGTTGCAGAAAGTCGTCCCTGTTATTCTGAGAGCACAGACTGTTCTTCTTCAGAGCCTCCATGTATGCATTGTCTGGATTGTTTGTAATCGTCCGAAAAATAGACGCTGCGAGATTTCCGACCGAAACGTTCTGTCCTCCACCCTGTGGAGTTGCGAAGAAGATGATTCCTTTGGTGGATGTATAGATGATTTTATAACGATCCGAGTTGTAGGCCATGCATATTGACTGATTTGTGCTTCTGCGTCAGCAGCCCTACTGATGGCAGATCTATGGGCTAATTTCTTACCCTTTTGACTAACAGTCCACCAAGACTGTGACAAATGAACACGATCGGTCTTTTCGGACTTTCCTTTCCAGGTTTTAGAACCAGAGATCATCATGGTATCAGATCAAAACCTCGAAGCCGGCTGACTCACCCGCCTGCGTTTCTGTCTGAGCAGCTCGATCAGATTCAGGGCATGATCGCTAACTGTCCCCTCTGAAGCCGAAAAAACAGCATTTGAATTATACCCGAAGATCATGATACGAGCAGTCGGCACGAGAGCTGGAAGAAATTCGGGATGTATGAGCCAATTTCGCTCTTCTTTTCCCTGTGCTGCGGTCCAGGTCGAGAAGGCGTTGGAGCCGGATCCAAAAGGATGAAGCCCATGAACAGCAACGATACTACTCACAGTTAATTTATCTGTGGATTTTCAGGAACTTGTGAGGCAAACTCAAGCTCCGCGTTTGGAGGGTTAACAGCCACCTCGAGGAAATTCTTGGTGGTGTCTCCCATGATCCCAACGAGTGGTTGGTATCGCAAAGGGATATTCGATCAAGTTTGAATAGCGAATGCCCAGCCAATGAACGAGGGAATGCGACACACAAGTATGGATAAACTCAAGGACTGTTCTGCTCCGACAACCATGAAAACGATATGACAAGGTGCAGCAAGGCTGTAGGAAGTAAACGCGGGGCCTGTCAGGATTTATAAAAGCCTCTCCAGCTTTGTGCACAAACGTGCACTTTTGCCAGCTGAAGTTGAGACGCTGCGACGCTTTTGGTGGCGTCGAAAAACGAATATTGTTTAGTGCCACGTGCATCTGCATCAAATAGCCAAAGTGTCAGACCAATAGCAAGACAAGCCTTTGCCTCACCGAGGGCCCTGCATGAGGCTGTTTCACGACATGCAGAGCAGCCTTGAAGGTAACCATGCTTTTCACTATGATGAGTCGCAAACTCATGATTTCAGAGAGAAGGAAAGGGCAGCGCAAAAAAACTGCATACTGCAGCTTCCTCAAGCTTCTCAGTAAATTTTCACAGCACAAAAGAAAGATCGACAGTTTATGGGGCACTTTTGCAATATGGAATACCTGGATGCCTGGAGTTATTAAATTCCCAGACAAGTAAAAATCCCAGTGTTTGAGGACCGGCCCGCGTAAGGGCTCGGTATCACCAGGCCTCCGCACCCTTGCACTGTTGACCTCGCTTAAAGAGCCTTCCACAGCTGTTTCCTGTCATTGCTCTTCCGCCTTACAGTCCTGCTTGTTTAAATCGAAAGAGATCAGGACTCCAATTATTTCTAATTCCCATATTACTGTTCGGTGACAATCTCGCTAGATTTTATGCTTCGCTATATTTGAGCAGCGTCGGTGATAGAATGTGGTGTCGCGTGAGAGGCGTAAGCCTCAATAGGCACAGCCGCACAGCCACCACCGTCATCAAATCCACCTTCTGACCGAGTTGCGAGCATGACTCCCTCAACACCGGGTACCTAAACCGACAAAATGCCAAAAACAACAGAAGCGTTCCTGAGGATGTCCTGGTACACAGATAAACCTGTCCTGAAAAAGTCGTTCTCGGATCTGGCTGTTGAAGATCTACCCTGGGCTTCGGACTCAGCTCACGTGTATTTTCGAGACCTTTACCGTCAACAAAGTCGCATCTCATATAACTTGTTTTATTGTAAAGATGGGGACCAAAGAATCCCTTCAAGAGCATGAAACTGATAGATCGACCCTCATCCATCAGACTGAATTTATCAAGCCGTCTCTCGAGACTGAAACTTCACAGCTTCCGTTGCTACCTCTGGTGCCTGCATCAATCAGAATAGCGATTGTGAGCGATGTCGTCAGGTCCATTTCATGAGCCGATATCGCAGAACGCAGGGTGCTTTTTGATGTAGTAAGGTGCGTTGGATGGTTTAACTTAAGCATGTTCTAAGCTCTCCAACCCCTCACTCATGGCTGAGCCGGATAACTACAGCTCCGTGCAACTCAAAGAACGCGACTGTATCTGGAAGGGACTGCAGCAATACCCCAAAAAATCTTGGACAAGAGTTTGGACAATCCAACAGATTACTGTCACAAGAGACATTGTGATTTTCTCCCGGAAGCAGACGATTTTATCGCAGGTCTTCGCTCCTGACCCCAAGCTCCCACCTGACAAGTTCACAAATTCGGTCCCGGATCTTTGGAATCCTCTAAGATACAAGGATAATGAGCGAGAACTCTATGCCGAGCGTTATTGGTCGACTACTTGACCGCAGCACCATGTATCCACTCATACGTCCACAAAGGTCTCTCCAGGTTACATGGAAACAATCACAACCATCCGTACTCGCAACAAGAAAACTGAACCTGGGGACTGACAAGATAGATTATTTGCTTTTTAAAGAGTTCCGAAAGGGTGGTATCTGGTCGGGACTTTACTAATGATCACCAGAAAGATTTGAAAGACACATCGCTTGCAATTATGACTTGAGCGGGTGCAGGTACAGTTGTTTTGGATCGCCACCTTCAACTTGCCCATCTAAGCGCTTGGTGTCAGTGCTTCCCTTGAAATGATTACTTGGTGGAGTCTTAAAGCCTATATTCATCAAGCGGATACAGCAGCTACTCAAACTACTCTCGCTTCTTTGCACTTACCTTGGGACATGTACATTTGCACCATCTACTCAATTGCTGCTAAAGGTGAAGATCGACGAAAGACTTCGCCCCCAGAAAATGCGGCCGCTCACTTGTCGTGTGAGGATTTAGCATATTCTGGCGATGGTGGCTTTGAACTCTTTGGCTTCGAGACTGCCAGCATTATTCTCATATGCGAGTCTATTGAGGTTACATTGTTCACGGGACAGCGTTCTATCATTTTCGCGAACAAACAAGAGCCGCTCCAATTGTAGTCCCAGAATCTTCGAGACATTAAATGTCATCCGGGGAGTATACAACAACAAATATAGCTGCAGCATACAACTACAAATCTGCGCAGCTGATGGAAATCCTCCTTGACAAGCTTGATCCTAAACTTTGGCTCCGTCCAAGGAATGAACCGGTCCTTGGTATGGGCTAGGACCGTCTATACTAGTCAAAATGGAGGATAAACATCTCAAAGCGTAGCGTCGTGGGGTCACTATCCCTACGGGGTTTTTCATGCAGACAACGTCTGTAAATTGTCTGTATTTTGTCTGCATTCCTAGTAGTAGTAAAATATAGTAAAATACAGACAAAATTCAGATAATGTCTGCTACAATTTCATTAAAAAATACAGATAAATTAGCGTATTTCACAGGTAGGAAGAGTTTAAGTAACTCGGACTTTTTATGTTTCGATATAAAGTTAAACACAGACCTTTTACTACCTACCTCCGGAACACTCGGAAGGAAGACCTATCTTAGGAGGGAGACCTACCTTAGAAGAGAGGGAGACCTTAGGAGGAGACCTACCTTAGGAGGGAGGGAGACCTTCCTTAGGAGGGAGGGAGACCTTTCTTAGGAGGGAGGGAGACCTACCTTGGGAGGGAGGGAGACCTACCTTAGAAGGAGACTTACCTTGGAAGGAGACCTACCTTAGAAGGAGACCTACCTTAGAAGGAGACCTACCTTAGATTAGAGGGAGACTTACCTTAGAAGGAGACCTACCTTAGAAAGAGACCTACCTTAGATTAGAGGGAGACTTACCTTAGAGGGAGAGAGAGAGAGAGAGTAGAAGATAGGAAGGGAAGAAAAGGAAATAAGGGGGAGGAAATAGGAGAGGAGAAATTAGCTTTATTAGTCAGAAAACTCTTAAAATACAGATAATGTCTGTATTTTCACTCTAAATCTCTAAAAATCAATCAGAATCAGAGAATCTAGCTGAGAAAAATGCAGATAATTAACTAAAATACAGATAGAAAATCCGTCCAAAAGGCCTGTTTACAGACAATATCTGTAGGAAGTACAGACAGTGTCTGTAAAAAAACCCCCGTAGGGTATCACTTAAGCATGCAAAGCTGTCAACGAGGACCGACGAGAGAGCCAACCCAGATGAGGAACGCGAGCATGACTCGAGGAAGGCAGATTGCAAGAGGCTTGAAGTGGAATCTGAAACATTAGCAAAAGCGCGAGTACAGAGAATCTCACTTGAACGACTTTGGGTGCAGCTGGATAGCTCTCAATACTAAAAGGATCGCCAGGGATCATGTTTTCGAGCTTTTTTTTTTTACTTTTTGGGCGAGCGGCAACTTACTTTGGCAGACGCGAAGTTGTCAATACGGAAATTGATCGGCAATATCCGGTTACGGTCTCTGATTTGAATACCTGGGGAATTCGGTGATCCGCTGGTGATCTCCCGCCTACTTTCCTTTAAATGAGTGCTGGGTACCTCTGAACAGCGGCTTTCTGTTTGATGTCTATGTATAATGAGCTCGCTAAGTCTCAATGGATGGGAGATATGTGAACGACTAATGCCGCTGTCTATCCGCCCCAGTGCCGAGGCTTTGGTAAAGTCCTTGAAGCTGATCAGCTGCTGTCAGGAGATCTCCCGGCGCCACGTTGCCCTTGCCTCGAAAACGAGATGTTTACTTTGCTGATCCGGGGAACCATCCAAGTGAACATCCATCCGTGCCAACCAGACTCCGCATCTGGATATAAGGAACATGCAGTCTACAAATTTAAACTTGTCATCTCCGACGGATGTCTGCTACCTGAGGAGTTTCTACGCGCACCAACCAATTCGTGACGCTTCAATGACGATCGTGTGCATGTGGTCTAGAGGATTTGCCGCTTTCTTAGGAAGTACCGATAGCAAAATATTCGCGCACCAATCAGTACACGTCGCTTGAGAAATCACGAACGCTAGAAGGGCACCCTTCAAAGCTCGCCATGTTCCCACCAATACTAATTCTTCCTCTAAAATAGTGTTATGTGGAGAAGGCGGGGTATGGGGGTCTTGCGGGGTGACGAGGTGGAGAAATGCTTGAGAATGCTTGTCAATGCTTGAGGATGCTTGAGTATGCTTAACCAACCTTTCTTTCACGCCTTCTCAATCTGGCAACAGCCCTCGGGGTCCTGCTGTAGCATCGTCGCATCTCGCGAACACCAGTGCTGCTGGCGGCAATGGAACTAACTCACTTTCCACCTTTCATAGCGGTAAGTCCCAAAAGCAGACTTCGTGATCCAAAATGATGAAGATCTGCAAGAATGATCAAGGCATCTGAAGTATAAGTACCTGCGATTTTCCTCTCTTGAAATGCATCTTCTCCACGCCCTTCAAGTTCCTCATTACCTCAACGACATCTTTTCAGAAAAGTCCAAATATGTTCTCCAAACCAAGCCTCGAGGCTTTTGCCCTCAGCCTTCTTGTCAGTGGCTCACTTGTCCACGCTGGGCCATGTGATATCTATCAATCCGGCGGAACACCCTGCGTGGCTGCGCATGGCACCACACGTGCTTTGTACAATGCATATACCGGTCCCCTGTACCAGGTCAGTCTACTTCTCCAAATTATCACGCTGTCTTTTCTTTTTCTGTAATCAGCATCTCAGATTCTCAAGACCCTAGTATCCTTGACTTGTATCAAAAAGTGACGTCGTACAGGTAAAACGAGGTTCCGACAACGCCACAACTAATATCTCCCCCGTATCTGCCGGTGGTGTAGCCAACGCGGCGGCACAAGACTCTTTCTGTGCCAGCACAACCTGCCTCATCACCATCATTTACGACCAGTCTGGCCGCAACAATCACCTCACTCAAGCACCACGCGGAGCCTTCAGTGGACCAGATGTTGGTGGCAATGACAATCTGGCTAGCGCAGTCGGTGCCCCAGTGACCTTGAATGGCAAGAAAGCCTATGGTGTCTTCGTTTCCCCTGGCACTGGATACAGAAATAATGCTGTCTCTGGAACCGCTACTGGCAATCAGCCAGAGGGCATGTACGCTGTGCTTGATGGAACCCACTACAACGATGCTTGCTGCTTCGACTATGGTAATGCTGAGGTCAGCAGCACAGATACTGGAAATGGTCATATGGAAGCTATTTACTATGGCACCAGCACTTTTTGGGGATCTGGTGCAGGTCAGTGAACTCCCTCTTTTACAGCCGAAATTCAGAAAACTCGAACAATGCTGACAATACTCACAGGAAGCGGTCCATGGGTCATGGCTGATCTAGAGAATGGTCTCTTCTCCGGCCAAGGCACAAAGAACAATCCAGGCGACCCAACCATCACCTCCCGCTTCGTTACCGCCATCGTCAAAGGGTCACCCAATCAATGGGCCATTCGCGGCGGCAATGGAGCCTCAGGAGGCCTCTCCACTTACTGGACCGGCGCTCGTCCAACCGTAGGCGGCTACAACCCCATGAGCTTGGAAGGTGCCATCATCCTCGGTATTGGAGGTGACAACAGCAACGGTGCCCAGGGCACATTCTACGAAGGTGTCATGACCTCCGGATACCCCTCTGATGCCACTGAGAACTCCGTCCAAGCTAATATCGTCGCCGCCGGATACGCTACTACATCCCTCATCAGCGGCCCAGCTGTCACTGTCGGATCCACAATCTCCTTCCATCTCACCACCCCTGGCTTCACCGACCGCTCTCTCGCCCACAGCGGCGCAACAGTCAACACCCAAGTCGTCTCCTCCTCCAGCACCGCCGCCGTCAAGGCAAGCGCCAACTGGATCGTACGTACCGGTATCGCCAACAGCGGATGCTACTCCTTCGAGTCCTCCGATACTGCTGGTAGCTTCATTCGTCACTCCGGCTTCGCTCTCCAGGTCAACGCCAACGATGGCAGCAAGCTCTTTGGAGAGGATGCTACCTTCTGTCCCCAAGCTGGCCTCAATGGACAAGGAAGCTCAATCCGCTCGTTCAGCTTCCCAACGAGATACTTCAGACATTATTTCAACACTGGGTATATTGCAAGCAATGGCGGCGTTCATGATTGGGACAATCCAAATTCTTTCAACAATGATGCCAGTTTCATTATCAGTGCTGCATTCTAGACTCGCTTAGGTTGTTTAGCCCTTGGATGTTAAGAGGCGTGGATGAGGATTTGTCGTGCCGGGCAGACAAAAGCCAATTTTCTTTTCTTTGTATATAGCCACTTACAGACGAACATAGCACGATGAGATGAATATATTATGATATGACTTGAAGGATGCCTTTTCCTGCCTGATTAGCAATCAAGTTTGTTGAGATATTGAAAAGTGACATCGACGGTGCAAACGCTGCGCGGTTGGAGTAGCATGATGAAGATTTGTTGAAGCTGCAATGGAAATTCTTGAGACTATTTCGGCAGGACGTCAAGATAAACAAAGCGCTAGGAATAAAAGCAGTAATTCCCCAGATGAATGTGACTGCGTACCTCCGTACAGATCACAGTCCTGGGGAAGCAGGGGGAATAGAATCGACGGATTCAACGGGCGATTCATATTGTCGACAATAGAAACGTGAGCGGAATTTTCTTACCGTGATAACACTAAGTGCGATAGTAGTAAACGAAGCTCGCATTTGACGAAGTCGATGCTGCGCAACCTTGCAGGTGAAGACAATGTTCAGATGAACGAGTGGAGAGATTTCCTAAATTTAAAGTATGAATGCTTCAACAAATTTGACTCAACCTTTAACGTTTGGGGGCTTGCAGATAAGGCTATCATCTCCTTAACTGCCATAAATACACACTTTTACAGGGCACAGCACTGAAGCGAGGCGCTAATATTCTGGTGGTTGCCTACCTACCTAGGTATACTTCAGGGCACGTACACTAACTTTGGACCCTACCTACAGAAAGTGCCCTGTGTTCCGAATGGCAGTTAAGGGGATAGGATTACCTCTAGCGTAATTTATCATGAGATTCAAGATATTCAATGATTCCATAAATGCGAGTGAAGAGTAACAGAATATGTCACATTTTGACCCTTCGTACCCCCACCTTTTCTTCAGGATGTAGCGTAGGGGATGGTATCCACGAGGTCTGAAGTGCGGGGGTGATGCTATGAATGTGCTACTGTAGGGCTCGGCTCGGATGCACATTCCTAAAAGGGCCTCCCATCATGCTACATCACTTTAGGCTTCACAAGTCAGTGGCTGGTGGTAGACCGCGGTGTCTTCCTCACCAGTTTATGCTCCGAAGAAATACTTCTACATTACCAAGATATAGGTATCTCTTCCCATTCTTAATTTGACTGTATTATGCTGATCCCTGAAGCAGATTGTACTGCATCATCCGAGGAAAAAAAGGTGTGACTACTACTACTACTACTTATTTTAGTCTCTTGAGAACTTTGAATCCGCCATGGGACTCGTAGATGATGTTCTCAACGCTCCTGGCGTGACAGATGAGCAACGACAAGCTGCGACCAGTCGCATAAACTCAGACCCCGGAGTTCCAGACAATACAAGGACGGCCAACCCATTTTGGCTCGAAGATCCCTCACCAATATCCAATGTTCACTCAAAAACTCTCCAGAAGGAAGTCGAAATTGTGATCATCGGATCAGGAATCACAGCAGCATCAGTGGCTCGAGAACTCCTGACCAAGGCTGATACAACAACACCCAAAATTGCAATTCTTGATGCTCGAGATATCTGCAGTGGAGCAACGGGAAGGAATGGAGGTCATATCAATGAAGCTGGTTTCGACGTGTACGCCAGTATTGCTGAAATCTTAGGGAAAGATATTGCAGCAAAAATTACTCGCTTCAGATTGGGCCACCTTCCTCTGCTTCTAGAAACTGCTCGAAAGGAAAACTTGACAGAGGAGACACAACTTCGGACTGTCGAATCTGTGTTCGCTTTCTTTGACTCGACCCGATTTCTGGAAGCGAAGGCAGCTTTGGAATTGTTCAGAGCTGACATGCCACTCGAATCACGAGATCATCGACTCTACGAGGCAGAGGATGCTCGCAAGGTCAGTGACATAAAATGAATGCTTCAATTGAGACACTGATTATGGATTTAGAGATTTCTTCTTCCAGACATATGTGGTGCCATTACATATCCAGCAGGGGCTGTATGGCCCTACAAGCTTGTTGCCGGTATTTTCGAACGGCTCTTGCAGTCATACGGGTCCAACATATGGTTAGAAAGCCAAACGCCTGTGAACACAATTCTCCCACCCGACCACGAAAACTCGAAATTTACCATTGTAACTCCACGGGGAAACATCAAAGCAACGCATGTGATTCATTGTACAAATGCTCACGCCGTGCACCTCATCCCAGGATTACGGGGCCACATCGTGCCCCTCAGAGGCCACATGTCTGCTCAAGCTCCAGGCAAATCTTTTCCCGACCAGTCTCACCGCTCGTGGTCATTCATATATGCTAGAGGATTTGACTACCTGACTCAACTCCTTCCCCGCTACCCTGCTACGAGTCCACTTTGTACTGGAAGCGAGCTCATGATGGGAGGCGGTTTCGCACAGGGTTCTGGAGGAGGTGTCGAGGATGTGGGAGTCGCGACAGATACCTGCGATTTTGATTTCTACACCAAGGTTCATCTTTCTGGTATTTTGAGAGCTGCGTTTGCTGAAGATAAATGGGGCGAAGAAGACAGCAAGCCCATCAAATCTATGTGGACGGGGAACATGGGGTTCACGCGTGACAGTCTACCTTTTGTTGGAAAAGTTCCCTCGTCGTTGACAGGACGCAAGTTGCATCAAAAGTCGCTCGGCTCGGAGTGGATTGCTGCTGGATTCAATGGAGAGGGGATGGTGCATGCCTGGAGAAGTGGTATTGCTGTTGCTCAGATGGTGCTTGAAGACATTGATCCGAAGTCATGTTACGGGTGGCAAGAATGGTTCCCAGAACAGTTGTTGATTACTGAGGAGAGGTTGAAGGTGTCGGCTCAGGGGCTATAGAAAGTGTGAACACGACAATAATGGATGTATTACAAGGATGATGGCTCCAACTTAATACTGATATCCTCCTTTGAGCTTGTTTACTTATTTGATGTATCATTTCTCGCTGTAAACCGCATTGGCATGTCGGTTCAAAGGACAAGCGAGGTGTAAGGGATGGAAGAATATACGATACATATGCCGGAAAGCTGCCTATTCTTGGTAGAACCTCAGCTCAACCTAATCGTCAAACAAGTTAGGAAAGATTTGTTGAAAAGGTAAATAAATGGACAGAGACATACAAATGGGGCCCAGTCTCAATTCCACCTGTCAACAAATATTACCTCAAAAACCAATCTCCAAACCCCTTAGAGCGTGGCGTGTCCGAAGCTTTGAGCTTCAGCTTAGTTCCGGTATCCCCTAACGAGCTTCAAAGTCACCAAACTCCCCTCACCCCATGCGATGGTTATCTTCATCCTCTGACTTGATTGATCAAGATTCTGGTGATAATATTGAGCGTTTTGCCTCATATGCCAGAATCTATCTCTGCTACAGGGATACAGTCCAGTCTACAGGGATACAGTCCAGTCTCCCGAAGCCCGTGGCCAACATTTATATACGTGAAAGAACCCAGTTAAGTTGCAACCTCTGGCTGATATGAAAAATATATTCACACCCACTCGGCACTCTCACCCCCTCACTCCTCCCATCCCTCCCCCAAAACCTCCCCCACAACCCCCCAAAACTCAACCTCATCCATCACACTCCCAAACCCCAAACACGAAACCAACTCCGCAAGGCCCCTCTTCACCTCATCAATCGGGCTCTCACTCTCACTCCCACTCCCATTCCTCCCCTTCCCAACCAACCTCTCCCACCCATACCGACCCACCAATAGAAACCACGCCTGCACAGGCGTGATCTCCCAGTTCTCCTTTGGCATAGACTCGCTCATTTCATATAGACCCTTTAAATCCAGGGGTGGGACGCGCCATGTGCTGCCTGGGATGGGAGCTTCGATTGTTTGGTGGAGGTTTCCAGCTGGAATGCTCTCGGTTTGGAGGCCTTGTGAGTACGAGTGCGCGTGTAACTGTGGGGATAAGGTGCGGGGAGGGTGAGTATGTGGATGCGGATTTGGGTGGGTGAAGGATGAGGCGTGCGAGAAGAGGTGTGTCGTTGCCATTAACTCGTGGCCTGTTGCTGCGGAAGAGGGATCGTAGGGAACGGCGGAGGGGGGTGAGAAGTGTGTGCGGCAGGGGTGTTCGAGGCTGATTGGAGAGAACAGGGTTAGTGGAATGATAGACAGATACCTAGAGTTGTAATGGAGAATAGAGAGGAAAGATATAGAGAGGTTGGATGGGAGACGAACGCAAGGATGAAATTAATTGCCATCATCTCCATCTCCTCCTCCGGTGACATCGTCCCAGTGCCAGCAATTCCATCCACCCTTCCATTCATCTGCGCCTTCTCCCTCTCCTGGTGCTGTAAAACCGCCGGTTTCCACATCTCAGAATTGAACATATCAGGCGAAGGCAGCGAGATATTATTGATATCTTGACTACTGTGGATACCAGGACCGGTATCGATAGACATCGGAAAAGTGCCAGCGGGACTTATCTGTAGACATTCGTCGTCGAGGAAGGGGTCGAAAGTCGTGCGTACGAGAGTGGTGTTTGTTAGCCATGCGAGGGAGTTAGGGGAGAGGAGGTTGAAGAATTCGTCTGTGCCGCTTAACATGTTGCTCTCAAAATCTGAATGTTGATTTTGGACTTTTTCAGGAGTGTTGGATAGGCTTTGCGATTGGCTGTTAAAGTCGAATTGGAATTGGTTATCCGGTATTTGTATGTCGGTACAGTTATTTGGAGACGAAGTAGCTGGAGCTGGAGAAGGTATAGTGATTCTACTGTCTTGAAGGGTCGTTTTAATGGCAATGTTTTCGTGCTTGAAGAGCACAGATTGTGTTTCTGCTTGAGCTATTTTCTCGCGTAGGTCGATGACTTCTTGCTCTAGGTGCTTGATGTGATTCTCTTTGCGTTGACGATGCTCGCTATGCTGGCTGTTAGTGTCTACCCTTATTACATCTGTTGTGTGTAAGATGAGATGTGCTATCCTTGGCATTTGGATTGGAAGGATGGATCATGGAAACCTATATGTAGGGTGACAAAGGATCGCCAGCAGAAGTCCCGATGGCATGGGATGGGAGAAAGAGAAAGGGCGGGAACACGAACATCTGAGCTTTCCGAACCTGCGCACGCCGTCGTTGCTTAGGCGTCAAATCCGAGTCCTCTTGTCCAACTTCCGAGCTTTTACTCTTTCCTTTCCGAGGCATCAGCTTGAGAGTTCTTCCACAAGAATCGTTCGGAATGGAAAGCAATGACAGCAGCATAGAAAGTATGATGATGAAGACTTTGCCGAGAATCCAATAGTAAAACGTATTTCTAATTTACCACAAAAGAGCGATAGACCAAAAAGAGGGTAGGAAATAAGAAGTTTGCAGATGAAAAGAAACGGTGACAAAAGGCAAGAGTGTAGATGACATGGAATTATCCGCAGACAAGTCCAGCCTAGCAAGAAATCAGAAGCGAAGGCGCTCCTTAGCACACCATCAACGAATCTCGCACCTGTCATACATCCGTACAAAAATGCTGACCACCCAGACCGATATGATGATACATAACCACACAAGAGGAATAGGCAGCAAATAAGAATAGAAACCTCAGTACATACCAATTCCATCTTTCCCCGTCCCACCCTCCACAAATCGGAACGTCGTCGCCGTACCACCTCCATCTCCAAGCCCATTATTCCCGACATCTGCATCAGGTTTAGATTTGGAATTTGAATTTCCCCGGAGGCGTCCCACACCCCTCTTCCAAAAGCTGGACTCGCTCATTTTCGTCTCTGCTCAGCAATTCAATCCAATCAACCCTTGCAACTTGAGTATAAAGAACTAACAAGTAAGCAGGTAAATAGACAACTGCAACCCAAATTCAAACGCCAATCAAAGGCGGAACCCAATTCCCAGCTTTCAATTCGTAGCTCATGTGGTGGTGGGTAGGTAAGCTTGCAACTCTCGGAAAGATCGACGAGATCCCACCCTGGAGATTGAAATGCTGTACCACTGGCAATGGAAGTAACCGATTCGATCTGGCCAGCTCTTCCAATGTGAATGATTCCAAACACCAGCTCAGCGCTTTAGCGAGAATGTCTGAGCTCCCGTTCGTTCAGGGTGGGGTGGCTTGGCTGGTGAGTAGGTGCTAGAGAGAGATACAGCTATGATTTCTCCCGGCTGTGGACTTCAGTGTCGTACGCTTATGATGAGTTGCGAAAGACGGCTTGCAAATTTTCGTTAGGTTGCTGTTGAGGCGAGTGGTGTTGCTGATTCGAGGATCCTGGGTCGGTCCAGGTTTGGTGAAAGTGTGTGCCTTGCAGCATACAGCATGCAGCTATGGAACCGTAATCGATCCCAACTGGCGGAATCACATTCACTTTCCGATTCCTGTACGAAGAGTAGCACAAGAAATGTGTGATCCTGACCTTACGGACAGGAGTAGGATTGAGCTGTGATGAGATGGAGATGCATGAGTGAGATGAGGAATCACATGTCTGGATTGGGACTAGCGGGGGCTCTGGACGTCACAGCTGTCAGTGGTCCTGCAACTCCACGTGATGGTGGTTATTCCAGTCTTTACCACCTACTTTAGTCATTCTATCGGACGAGCTGTACATTCATGTGGGACTTTTATATGTTCAGGAGTACAAACTGTAGGGGTATCTCTAGTTCTATTTACTTTCAAGGTAGATCTGTCCTCGGCTACTGCCTTGGCTCCGAAGCGCTAGAGGGGCAATCGCTTGCCTTCTCGAGAAGTTTGTTTTGCCCGGGGACAATTTTCTCTCAATCAACCATCCGTCTCTCAAGCTCCAACTGACAACTGTCAAACACCTCCTACCCTCAACCCCATCCTCATCATCAATTAGCAGCCAAAATCTCTGCCGCGCTCTTAGCATCCATGTCACCCCCCATAGCCGCTTCCACCTTAATGACTTCCTCCTTCTTCTTCGCACGAATCTCATCTTCATGACTCTTATAACTCGCATATCTCAACGACGTAAGAACCATAAACGCCATGAAGAGGATGCCCATAACGGAGCGACGGGTTAAGACCCAGCGGAGGCCTTCGATTTCCGATTTGCTGTCGCTGTTGAGCAGGACGGTGATTTTGTAGTTGAGTTCTTGGATCTGTTGGGAGTGGGTTAATACATGATTTTATTGAGTATGGAAAAGTAGGAAGTGGTGGGAGGGAAAGAAAGAACGTACTTTACTCTCCATAGTTCTCTGTTCCATCCTAACGCTCATTTTCCTATCATCAAACATGCCCTTTAGATCATCCTTCAGGGTCAATAACTCCTGGCTGAGTTTCTGATTCAAGATATCCACTTCATGTTGTAACAATGTCCGTTCCCTACGCATGGTTTCCTCGTTCTTCTTGCGTGTATTTTGGATCTCGGTTTTGAGTTCTGAGCATGCGGCGCGGAAGAGGTATGTTTCCTATTTTCGCACGCTATTAGCAATCGATCTCTATCCAATTGCACAGCATTTTTCCTGCGAAAAAAAGGGCTTTGGACGTAGAGAAAGAAACGTACGTTCTCAACATCACTCTTACTAACCAACCCCTTCTTCGCAACATCCAAATTCAGCGCAAGCAACCCCCTCACAGCCTTCATACTAGTAATCGCCTGATCATTCGTGAAACCACCCGCCTCAACTTGCTGCACCAGGGTATAAGTATCAAAATGATGGACATAAGGCGGTGTTTGCAAGTGCGGTGGTTTCGAGGCATTTTCCTCCTCTGCTGTTTCTGGCGGTGGCATATGGAGGACAGTTTCGAGAGGATTGGCAGGGGTAGCCGTTGTTGAGGCAGTAGTGGCGGTAGAGGAAGTGGAGGGGTTTGTAGGTGTGGCTGTTTCTTGTTTCCCATTTCCAGATTGTTCATTCCCAGTATTCGTTCCAGTTGCAGTTGCAACCACGATCCTAGCTCCCTCATCACCAGGTATTTTCGCAGCAGCTTGTGTCTCCTCTGATAATGGCGCTGCAGAAGAAGGTTCTTTCGCAACGTCCTTCTCTTTCGGATTTTCTTCCTCCACTTCCTTCGCACTTCCTTCTGTCACGCCCCCCATCCCCTTGCCATCCGTACTTGTCCTCTCCTCTGGCTTTGGAGTTTTCGCCCCATCCAAAATCTCCTTCTCTCTCTGCTCTTCCGCCACTAATGGCTCAACCGCTTTCCCATGCCTTTTCAAGACCCTCTCGCCCCTCCTCTGTGTCGTGGAGAAATTCCGCCTTAGTCCCAAGACTGATCCACTTCCATTTCCATTTCCATTTGTATTCGCAATTCCAGTCCCAACCCTAGCCCCAGCTCTTGTCCTACCCCCAAAACTCGAACCCAAACTGAAACAGCGCTCACTAAACAGACATCTTAACTGGGGTATTCGTACTCGCGCTCGCGGTCTCGCTCGAGAATGTATTTTCCGTGTTGAAGAAGCGAATGTGCGTGTGGAACAAGGGCGGAAGAGCGATGGTGGGTAGAGGAAGGTGAGGCGGAATGTGGTGGACATCGTGGGTTATGTCGTATTTGTGGTGTTGTGAGGGAAGGGGGAAAATTGTTGTGAAGCTTGCGAGCTCGGAGTTTTGGATGAGCTGCAATGCAGATTTCTTGGTTGGGGCGTGCAGGCCCGGCGGGCAGGTTGCCACGTGGGGCTAATCGGAACAGCCTTGTGGGCGAGGCTGGATCGCCGAAGTTCTATATTTGGGGAAAGCAACAGAATGCTTTGAGGGAGAAAGCCACTTGATGGCAGGGTAGAAATTATGTGGAGGGGAGTCAAAGTCTATGTATTCGCCATTCCATGCTCTATTTAATCGTCTTATCATCAAGCCTCCTCGCTAGGTGTGTCATTTTGTCAATTTGTCTCTGTCCTCAGCTAGACCTCACGCCTTCACAGCATGCTCCAGCGCCTCCCCAAATGCACTCACGAAATACCAGCAATCCGAAAACGTGTTATACAGCGGCGCAGGCGCAACACGAATAACATCCGGCCGTCGCTCATCCACAACCACACCCCTCTCCTCCAGTCCCTCCATAACTTTGTCTAGTAATCCAGGTTGCAACTTCAGACTAAGCTGTGCACCACGTGCTTCTGGCTCTCTAGGTGTGATGATCTCGAATTGTTTGTTGGCGTGTGCTGGCATGTTCAAGAGCAGTTTCTCCAGATGGGAAGTGAGTTGTAATGATTTGGCACGTAGCGGCCCAATGCCACCAGCGAGAGCGAAGACCTCAAGCGAGGACGTCAAACTCGTGATATCCAATATCGACGGATTTGACAGCTGGAAACCCGCAGCACCAGGTATAGGGACGAATTTATTGTCCATCGCAAAACGTGAGGACTTGTCACTTCCCCACCAACCGGAGAGTCTATTAGTGAAGATTTTCTTGCCGCTCCCTCGCGTAGCGACTTGGCCGTTGTTTTCATGCACGAATAGGCCTCCTGCAGCTCCAGGTCCAGAATTCAGATACTTGTAGCTGCACCAGACGGCAGCATCGACGTGCCAGTCGTGTAATTGGAGGGGGACATTGCCAACGGCGTGGGCCAGGTCCCAGATTACAAAGATCCCGGCTTCGTGAGCGGCACGAGTAATGGTTGGAATGTCGAGGAATTGGCCAGTGTAGTATTGAATTCCTGGGAGAAGGAGGACGGCAGTTGTTGCTCCATGTTCTTTGATAATGGATAGAATGTGAGAGGTTGAGAGTGGTGCTTGCGGTTGAGATTGTGCCTCAATTGTGATCAAAGATGTCGCTGGAGAAAGATCGTGGTGCAGAATCTGAGATTCGGCAGCAAACTAGATTTTGTTAGTCTTTTATAAATTCGCAGCATCACTTGGAAATGTCAACACTTGTTGCAATTGAACCCGATTCGAGATGGGCGACTTTTTGCCATCAGGCGTACAACTGTACAAGAGAAAATGTGTACGCACGTGATCAGAGGGAAAAGCTTGACTCTCGATAATGATCTTATGACGACCATTGATATCAGGTTTGTAAAACGCAGATAACAGTAGATGGAGATTCGCTGTCAAAGTTTCCATGACAGCAACTTCGGAAGGAAGAGCTCCAACTATAGGAGCAATGCATTCCGAAGCTCTTGTGTCAGCATCTAGCCATGTTGGCAGAGGTGACTCGTCAAGAGGTTTGAAATGGCCAAAGACACCTTGTGTCGCCCAAGTTGTGAAATACTGCTGCATACGCGTCGAAACAAGTCGAGGTTGCAGACCCAGGGAATTCCCACAAAGGTAGATTGATGAGGCATCAGAAGAGGCATCACGAGCTGCGTCCTGATTCAGCCATGAAACCCTCGCTATTCAGAGAGAGGCCGGGTTTCCTTACCCGCTTCTGGCAGCGATTTGACTTTCAATTGAGCCTTTGAAGGAATGTAAAACTCTTCCCTGGTATGCTTCAGGGAGTCCTGGGAATCAAGGGACACAGCATATTCTCTGCTGTACACGTGCGGACTTTCGCCGCCGAGAGCACCCAGAGCAGACATGGTGGAAACGTAATGGCAGGCCCAGAAGAGGCAGCTGAGCAGAAAAGCACGATAGTCCGGCGCAACTGCCAATTTCCCAACAAGACAAGACAACGTTGCTGGCGGTGAAGATTCCAGAATCCAGTACACGTATTGCGTGCCGGTCCAAGCGGCGGACAAGTCAACGAGTTTAGAGGCCAAGTCTGGGGTGGAAGAGGGCCACTGGAGAAAAGCCACCGGTCATTTGACGAGATCTGGGGAAGGAGTGAGGCCTGGTGAGGCACTTGATGTCATGCACAGTAACGAGTAACGGGTACCCCAGGCGGAGAGGGCGGCGAGAGAGGCAGGCGTTGGCGACTGGGACAAGCGATGGGGTAATAGTATATGCCAGTATGTGTCATGGAATGGTGCAATTTGCGATGAATTTTGTTCTTCGAGAGCAACTGGCGGTCGACGATGAGGTCAAGAAAGAGAACCGCGTTTCCATTACCCCTTGGAAATACTTTACAGGCTTAGCAACTGTTAGATTTTGCGGGGTCTTAGTCATTGGAGGCACCATCACGGGATCGAGGGGTTCGGATTCGGTGCCAAGGTGTGGCGGAGGGTCGGGGAATGGAAAACTCGGTACGCGAAAGGGAGGCATTTATTGTTGTCAGCTGCAGGGTGAAGGTCTAAAAAAGTCAATCGTGATCCGTCAAGTCAAGGTAATGAGGCATTTGACGGATTGAATTGCAACATTGGGAGAGTTTGACAAGTGTAAAGTTGATGTTCTGTTCAAGTTGCCCAGTTGACTTGGGAACATCCGCCTGAACGGCATCGTCACAACACAAGTCAAGCGCTCGGAGCCAACTCTGAGTGGCGGAGAGGCGCAGACAAGCCCGTGAACAGGCGAAAGGGAGCAAACAGAGCAAAGACGAGGTACCAGAAATAGGTGCAGCTCGGAACTCCAATTAGTCCAGCCTCAGACAATACAGTAGGTAGTCCACTAAACTCCAAGAGGCATTATCAATAAACGGAGTCCAACACCGCGTATGGAGTCCTGACACCGCCAACACGAGTCGTTTCAGGGCCACCAGGGCGCTGACAGAGCTGACAGGGCTGGGTCAAGGGATCGCACAAGGAGGGGTTAGCAGCCCGATAAGAGCCCAACTAATGCCCGTTCGGGGCAAGCGGGCACATCCCTTGTGTTCTGGAAAGCCTTGAGTAGCCGGATTTGGTGGGGTTGGCTAGCTTGGCTGAGCGGTGCCTCTCTCACGAGGACGTCCTAGGTCGTCGTCAGTCAGGTACAGGACAGACATGCATGGACATTCGTCGGATCGTGGATCGTGGATCGTGGATCATTGGATTACCACCGCTCCTTGCTAGCTGCATCATCCATGGAAAAAAACCAATTGATCAGAATTTGCACGGCTTCACGAACTCGAGTCTCGCTCGCCTTTGCTAAGGTATATTAGAGCCAGTCCCCCAGGTGGGGTGTCGTATCGTGGTCCTTTCACAATAAACAGGTATACGAGAGCGACAGATCTTGATCCTCCTCACCTGTCATCCAATACTTCCATCCTATCCTATCATAGCTTCAGGTCTAGCTGCTCACTTTCACCCTCAGCCAGCTTCCAACTTCTCAGCCCTCTCCTCTCTCTCCTCTCCTCTGCCCATTTCCTTATCTTTGATCCTCCCAAAAGAGTTCACGCCCGCTTCACGTCAGCCCTCAGATAGAGCCTCGCGTCGCCCTTGTGTTACTATAAACATCTGATCGGCTCATCACCTTCGGGAACTTATCATCGCATCACAACAAGCAGAAACCCGGCCACACAAACAAGCACCACGTCCTCGTCTGCGGTTAGGTGCTCAATACAGCTACTGGTACGTGATTTCTCTGCACTGCTTCTACAGGCCTTATTTCCTTAGGCCCTATGAAAACATACCTCCGCAGCAGGAGCAAGGGATTGAGATTGAATGGGCCAACGGCTGACGGCCATGCTCTGGCTAGTCCACCGCTTGTTTTGAACTCGTTCACCGTCTCTGCAAGTTTAGCTGCCGTTGCCGGGCCCCATACGAAATCAATCCGACTTGTACAGCAGGTGCGACTCATTCTGCCACTCGCGAGGTCGCTGCTCAGATAAGGAAACTGTGAGTGCCTCAATATAGGGCCATGGCACGCCATAGTCAGGTCCGACAGATATATTTAAAACCTATGTCCTCCCTCGTACCCTTCTTCTACCATGGAAATTGAGCACTTCACGTCTTCTTCTTCTTCTCGTTCTTCCTCCTCCAAATTCACCACCATGATGAAAACATTGACCATAACCACCACTGACCTTGGAGGTACCGAGCAGTTTCCTCAATACTTCGAGCCAGTTGGTCTAGACATTGACCTCGAAATCGACAATATGGCGACTCCAGATCGTTCCCCTCCAAACCACAAGTTGGTCGACCAATTACTCAAGAGCCCCGGTCGTCAGCCCTCTCCACAACCCACACATTTCAGCGTGCCATATAGGAATGGGAAGAATGGCATGAATGGGAACGGAAATGGGCACAGAGTCTTGCGGTCTGCCACCGTAGGATATGTCGCTCCAGAGTTCAAGGGAAAGCAAGCACAAATGCTCGAGGGTCAGTTATATCTTTTATTTTTCCCCTTATTTGGAGGGCGGAGAGAAAACATTGGCGTGCTTGGGACCTACAGGAGTTCCAGATGCTCCCTATGTCAAGGATTAAAGGTCAATTGATGGTGTCTCCCTGCTCAATTTCGCCGTTTCCTTCAAAGTCATTTGCCAAGAACTCTTTCGAATCACTGCTAATTCCATACAGTCAAGGGCAAGTTAGAAGAAAATAAATGGATCCCGGGATCACTCATCGAAGAGCAAATAGCCTGGTTCTATAACGAGCTGGGCATTGACGATGTCTACTTCCAAATGGAGACAGTCGACGCTATCGTCAGCAACATCGTATCTCTGTATGCTGCCAAGATTGCTGCTTTTGCCCGAGAAGATAGAAAGCAAGAAATCAGACTGGATATGGAGGCTTCAGATCACGCAATATACATCGACACGAGCGAAGCAGGCATCACCAATCTCGATGGTCCTCGTTACGAGCATCGATTAGAAAAGAAGTACCTCGACTCCTCATCGAACAGCATCTTCCGTGTTGAGACCTTCCGATCACCTTCAAACTTGTCTGGAACCGGACCTGTCAAGACCTCACTGAGATGCTATTTCGTCTACCAGTGTCAATTCGTTGACCCAAATCCCTCGCCCCAGGAAACTCGTCTCGAGGTGATTGCTGATAGACTTTTCCTTGCCAAGGCTACCAAGAACACCAGAGAAATCTACCAAGATGTCATTGAGCTGGCAGTCTCAAGAACGGGCCCAGTCATCGAGGTCTTTGATATCGAAGATTCCAAGGAGAAGCGATTGGTCGTTGCATTCCGTCGTAGAACAGCTGCTGGCATGTTCAGCGCTTTGTCTGATCTTTACCACTACTATGGTGTCACCAGCTCCAGAAAATACGTCGAGCAGTTCAGCAATGGCATCACTGTTATTTGCTTGTACCTCAAGCCTGCTGTCAATTTGGATTCAAAGAAATTCCCACCACTCGAAGCCTCCATCCACCAAATCACCAAGGAAATTTCTCTGCTTTACTGCATTCCCCAGAATAAATTCCAGCCCTTGTTCGCAAGTGGTCGACTCAGTCTTCAGGAGACAATTTACGGACACTGCTTGCTGGTATTCGTGCAACATTTCCTGAACCGACTCGGTTCGGAGTACGGATCCTTGGTATCTGCTCTCGACGCATCCAACAGTGCCCATGTCGAGCTCCTATCCAAGATCAAGAAGCGTCTTAGAACCCAGACATTCACTGCTGGCTACATCCATGAGATTATCAGCACATACCCAGAGCTCATCCGATCCCTGTATGCATCCTTCGCCAACACCCATCTCACTCTCGCCCCAGGCTATAACGAGGAGTTCGTCCCACCAACTCCATCCGCGGAAGTCCTGTCAGACAATCAGCTCAAGGAAATGATCTCCAAGACTGTGAACAATGAGCACGAGGAGGTTGTTATGACTGCATTCCGAGTGTTCAATAACGCACTCCTGAAGACCAACTTCTACACACCCACCAAGGTTGCCTTGAGTTTCCGTCTCAACCCCGCTTTCCTTCCTGCTATCGAATATCCTCAGCCATTGTACGGTATGTTCTTGGTTGTCAGCTCTGAGAGTCGAGGTTTCCATCTCCGCTTCAGAGACATTGCCAGAGGTGGTATCCGTATTGTCAAGTCGCGCAACAAGGAAGCATACTCTATAAATGCTCGATCCATGTTTGATGAGAACTATGGATTGGCCAATACTCAACAACGCAAGAACAAGGATATCCCCGAAGGTGGATCCAAGGGTGTCATTCTTCTCGACGCCAATCACCAGGATAAGGGCAGTGTCGCTTTCGAGAAGTACATTGACAGTATCATGGATCTCCTCCTGAAGCCAGAGACTCCTGGCATCAAGAACCCGATCGTGGATTTGTACGGAAAGCAAGAAATTTTGTTCATGGGTCCAGATGAGAACACTGCTGATCTTGTTGATTGGGCTACTGAGCATGCTCGCAAGCGTGGTGCTCCATGGTGGAAGTCTTTCTTCACTGGAAAATCTCCCAAGCTTGGAGGTATTCCTCACGATGCTTACGGCATGACCACCCTCTCTGTTCGTGAGTTTGTCAAGGGTATCTACCGAAAACTTGAGCTCGACCCCAGCAAGGTTCGAAAAATGCAGACTGGAGGCCCTGACGGTGATCTGGGGAGTAATGAGATCCTTCTTAGCAACGAGAAGTACACTTCTATCGTCGATGGTAGCGGTGTTCTAGTTGATCCTAACGGAATCAACCATGAGGAGCTGATCCGTCTCGCCAAGGCCCGAGTCATGATCTCTCAATTCGACATCACCAAGCTGTCTAAGGCCGGATACCGCGTCCTTGTCGATGAGACCAACGTCAAGCTCCCTACCGGTGAGATCGTTGATAACGGCAACACTTTCCGCAATACCTTCCACCTCCGTGAAACCGGCTTGACCGACTCCTTCGTTCCCTGTGGTGGCCGACCCGAGTCCATTGATCTCGCTACTGTCGGCAAGCTTATCAAGAAAGGCAAATCAACAATCCCTTACATTGTTGAAGGTGCCAACCTCTTCATCACCCAAGATGCCAAGCTCCGCCTTGAAGAAGCTGGCTGCATTCTCTTCAAAGACGCCAGCGCCAACAAGGGTGGTGTCACCTCATCCTCCCTCGAAGTCCTAGCCAGTTTGAGCTTTGATGATGAAGGCTTCGTCAAGAACATGTGTGTTGGAAGCGACGGCAACCCACCCGAGTTCTACCAAGCCTACGTCAAGGAGGTCCAGGCCAAGATCAAAGACAACGCTCGTCTTGAGTTCGAAGCCATCTGGCGCGAACACAAGCAGACCAAGATCCCTCGCAGCACCCTCTCCGATACCCTCTCCATTGCTATCACCAAGCTTGATGAAGAGCTTCAGAAGACTGATCTCTGGAAGAATGAGAAGCTGAGAAACTCGGTGCTCGAGGATGCTTTGCCTAATCTGCTACTCCAGAAGATTGGTCTCAGCACGATCATTCAGCGCGTGCCTGACAACTACCTCAGAGCTATCTTTGGTAGTTACTTGGCCAGTCGCTTTGTGTACGAGTTTGGAAGTAGCCCTAGCCAGTTTGCGTTCTTTGATTTGTAAGTGTCCACCTAGCTCATTGTCTCGAAGGTCTAATACTAACACATCACAGTATGTCGAAGCGCATGCAGAAGGTCCAGTAAACAATATACGGTCTAAAAAGAGGCCTGCTTTGGTTTCAGCATTTGATCCTTGATTCTGCTCACGCTTGTTGAGTCGTCTCCTCAAAATCTCCAATTTCCCTTTTTCTCATTTCGGTGCGAAAGGGAAAAAAAAATCTACGGAAAAGCAAAAGTAAATAAAACAGCCCAGATCAGGGAACTGAGAATGGGAAATGGATATGGGTATAGCATGGGTTGCGATGGGATGGGATGGGATGGCGTTGTCTCTCTCTATATTTTGATAAAGTTTGATTCCAAATTGCATTGCATTGCCGGGATGGATGGGTTTGATGGGTTGCGTGGGTGGGAGGAGGCGGCTATAGTCTGCTGATAATGATGGCTGGGTATTGCATGAGAATTGCCTAGTTGCGTAATTTATGTCTTCGAGAATCGAAGGATTGATTGAACGATATCATGATTCTTTACTTTACTTACCTCGTGTGGCATGTGAAACCCCCCATTGATTGGATATTTGACAACAGTAGAATGGTAAGTTCTTGCACAGAGCAGAGTGCCCAAAATGAATGAACGAGCAATAAAACCTGTGAATGTGTTAAGTGTTGGAGGTAGGTAACGTAGTTCACGCGACGAAAATGATGGAGAGGTTGGGTGAGACTAGGTGGTTAGGTAGGTGGTTAGGTGGGTGGGTAGGGAGGTAGGTAGGCAGGTAGGTAGGTAGAGTTTGGCGCGCCGACCAGAATTACTGGCTGGGAAGGCTATCGCTGTGGACAAGCACTCGTATGAGGTGAGAGTTGGCTCATAGGAGATTTCCTGTCGTTGAGTATCTGGGAAGGTAGGTAGGTAGGTATAGTCACACACCGTTGTGTCATCTTCTGCACTGCGCTCCAACCCTACCTAGGTAGGGTGTCCCAACCGTTTTCGTGCTTTCGCAGCGATATAAATGAATGAAGAAATATAGCAAGCAATCCACGGCTGGAGGGACGATATATCGAAGTAAAGGGGAGCCTCTCTTGACTGAAGGCTTTGGGCAGAAATAGAAGTTATTAGATAGCGTGAGGTTTAGAATCTTTCTCTATGTGATAATAATCGTTCTCTCGTCTATAGAATCTAAAGAATCTAAGCAAGTAACCCAAATAACAACGCAGTCCTCTTCCAATACTCCTTCGCCGAATCCAGCACCCTCTTCTTCGCAGCCGCATCAAGTGTCACTTTCTTCGCTACAGTGCCTCCTAGTTTCATGAGCTCGTCTGCATCTGCATCTGGGATCTCGAATGCGTTCTGTAGGAGTAGGATGTCGAAGAGGGTTTGGATGAGGATATCATCGTCGTCGTTCTTCTTCTCTGCAACCGCTTTGACTGCGATTTCGGCATCGGAAGCCTTTTCTTCGCTGTCTGCAGGTCCCTGGTCATCATTGGGCGATTCGTCGTTCGGTGTTCCATTGACTTCAGGCTTGGAGTTCAAAGCCTCGTTCCATTTGGCTGACACTGCTTCGCGTAGACTTCGTTTAAGGACAGCTACGGCGGAAGGACTCCATAGATCGCCTCCAACCTTCGCCATTGCGAGAGCCAGGCTGTGCAATAATTTAAACGTCCCCGGCGAAGGCTGGACGGGTAGCTCGGGAGTTCCCTCCCATAATGCTCGGCCTGGGACTTTCTTCTTCGTGCAAGTCTTGCTGAAAGCTTGTAATGGCTTCTCGGAGACCTCAGAAGCAAGTCTCTGATGCAGAGGCTTGACAAGTGGGAGGCCAAAAGACTGCAGTGAGATGTTCGCTGGAAGCTCTTTGCGGATGTCCCGTATAACCCGAAGTAGGTAAATTGAGATGTGGCCGATTTGCTCGCTCTCCTCGTACGTTGTCAGGAGTGCTGAGATCTTCTCGTTGAGGACTTGATACGCCTCTTCGAGACTGCTATCTAGATGTTCCTGTAGCATCTTTGGATCTTCGGTGCTAAGGAGAGCGTTTCTGGACTCGATGCTAAGGTCATCCTCTATATCTTCTAGATCGTCATCCCACCGCTGTTTGCTCAGCTGGGAGACCACGACGCTGATCTCGTCGACTAGATGCCGCCATGTTTGGTAGCCACGGAAGACACGAGATACAGCATCAGTGCGGCCATGAGTGCGCGATAGGATGTTCTGCTTGAATAGTGAGGCACCGTTGCTGATGTCCATTTCTAGCAAGCTAGAGTCCCATAGGCTATCTTGGTGATCTGTTACCCCTTCTCTCCAGACTCCCAGCGTACCTTCGATCTCAGTGGCGACGAGATGCAGTTTACTTACTCTAGACTCGACGAGTGAGACCATACGATCATTAACGGCTTTACGGAGACCATCAAGTAGGATAGATGGGTCGAACCCTTTCGCCTTGCCACCTTCCTTGATCCAAATCTCGAGAATCCGAGTCCGAATAGCAACAACGGTTTTGAAATCAGCCATTTGACCTAGGCTCTTTGCTAGACCTTCTAACATGAGCTCTGACGCTCTCTTTGCCCAGCCTCTGAGCATCTCTACAGCTTGACTGCCTTCGAGGTCATCGTGTCGGATGTACGGCGTAAAGAATAGAATCTCGTCTCCAAACCACTTTTCGCAAACATCCAACCTGAGTCCTTCAAGATTTCTGATCGACTCGTCCTTCAATAATGGCTTAGTTTTCAGACTTGCTAGTGCTTCGGACAGGCGTCGTGGTACCAGAGCTTGAACATCCAGCAATGTCCTGGTATACAATTCCAAAGCTCTCACTACTCCCGGACTGCCTGATTTCTGTTCCTCATCATCGAACGCAAGAGCCATAGCTTCCCCTCTGATATGAAGGAAATGCCTGATGACGTCCTTTGCCCCAGAACTCGTTGCAAGGCTGTGCGCCGAAAGTGCCTGTATCAGATCCTCCCGATCTCCATCCACTTTCTCGGCTGTTTTCTCAATCGCCCTCAAAAGTTTCCTTCGTAGACTAGCTATTTTCTTCTTCAAAGCCTCAAGAGACGCTTGATCTCCTGAGCTCCTCTTCCCTGCTGCATCGCCCACCGTCTTCGCCAGCAGCCGACTTAAGACCAGCACTTTCGCAGCCACAACCAGATTCTTGCCTTTTCCAGATCTTTCTTCTGCTTGGGCAATCCCTCCTTCCCTCAACAGCTTTCCGACCGCTACCGCGCACATCTCCAACACCTTCACCCTCGCGGCCCACGCCAAATCCTCGCCCTTCTTCCCACCCCTCCCACCAGCATTCAATTTCGCCAATCCACTCGCCTTGCCTCCTATAACAGCTCTTCCACAGCCCTTTCCGACCCTCCCAAGCTTTTCCTCTACATGTTCCATATCATCTCTCATATGCAGGATTGTCTCTGCCGTCCCAAGTAGCTGCCGATAGCTTCCCCCCACCAAAGTGCGTAACCGCGCATTCTTCTCGTCGAGCTCGACTGTCAGACTACGATGGAACTGGCGTACTTGAGGTAGAGGATACTTGAAGGCTTCAGGCGCGGACGTGCAAGTTGAAGGGTCGAGGGTCTTATTGGCAGCCATTTTGAAGCTGGCTTTGAGGATGGTGATGACAACGCAGGAATAGATAGAGACCTAAGGCCGTGGAATGATGTTAGGGTAGCTGGATTATGGAGTACTGCGCTTGCATCTGGACTAAACCTGTATTTCGAATTCTGTGTCAATTGCGTCTGTAGGTGTCCTGTCGTGTCCTGATGGGAGTGTTGTTGAAGACGCCACGATTTGTCTGTGCGCGCAGCCTTCTGGAGAAGGCTGAGCTGACATCCCCTGCCGCAAAACCCATCACCAACATCCAAATCATGCCACATCTTGAATTTTCCAAGATGAGTACACACTTCTATTATTCATGTTCCAATCATGATAGATGATACGCGAGAATCGTCTGGTATCGAATATTCATACTCATTATCAACGGAGATCGTTGAGATCAGCAAGCACCGAATTTATAGGAATGATGCTCTTAAATGGGCTCGGAATCTTCGATTTCTGGCTTACGATGACAGTAAAGATGACGAAATCCAAAGACGAGAAAGCAGAATTGCGCTGTGTGCCATGCTGCATTGAAACTCTCGAGCAACGTGATATCCTGGTGTTCAAACTCCACCACGTGTGCGACACGCCTTTCCACAACAACCATATATCTTCAGCCGAGGAGCTCAAAGCTAGCCCTTTGAGATTCAGCTGTGATGTTTGTCATCGTGGTATCTGGACGGGTTCGAGGCATCATTGTGGGCAGTGTCAATCAGGGTTTGGGGGAAATTTCGACATATGTGATCCTTGTCGAACTGCTGGAAAGCATTGTCTCGACCCAGACCACGCGTTGGAGAGCATCCCCATCTTCAAGTATGGAGATTGTGTACATGTGAATGCAAGATCGTGTGGGAATTGCGAGAAGATTCCGTTGTTTCTGAATGAAGGCGAAGCTACCAGATTCCAGATCGTACAATTGCCGAATTCTGACAACAGTGAAGTTGCATTCTCGAACTGTGATCATTTTGTTGCGGTGTCATACTGCTGGCCTCCACCGCAGTATGACGGAGAGGGGACCATTATACAGCACAGAGGCAAATATTCTGTCACGGACCTTCATGGAAGAGTCAGGCCAAACCGAGCTCCGGAAGATGTCATTACCAGAGCAGCTGAGTTTGCTGCTCAAAATGGTATTCGCCTCATCGTAAGTGCCATATTATTGAAGACTAGGCCTGGTTGAATTACTCACCTTCCTTCACATCTTATGTGCATTTCAAAACTACACTATTCTGTGAACTTGCAGTGTACTAACTCGTCAGTCATCTAGTGGATAGATCAAGTGAGTTGACGTTCAACGACCCTTGTCTGATATTTTCTGATTAGGAAGGAATGTATTGATCAAGAAGACCTTGCAGATAAGGAGCTCGGAATACAGGTGATGGACAAGGTTTCCAGAGAGCTTTCTTGTCAGTCGGCCTTCTGCGAACTCGGATTGAGTCTCAGGAAACCCTTCAAGTTCTCAAACACTTCAGCCCAAAATGTGATGGAAGTTGGGACTTTTCATCGGCGGACCTCTTGACTCATGATCTCGTAGAAAGTATGATAACATTCTTCGAATGCATCGTGAGAGATCCATGGCATACTCGAGCCTGGGTTCTTCAAGAAGCATACTCAGCCGGTCCAAGGATGGTCCTTCTTCTTCAACATGCACCTGGGATTAGCATATCAGGTCATCGGACGATCAGCACGACCCTGTCGGTATCAGAAGTTGTCTTACATTTTGACTCTTTTCTCATTTTGGTCGACTACGCGACTGGATTCCTGAAGAAATCACTCGCCACTCTCATAATTACAGGTGATTTGGCACAGCGACGGCTATCACTCCTCCAAAAGTTCAAGATATTTTCCCCAGCAGACGAAAGATCCATACATATTAGCTGGACTTATTGTTAGGGTTCAGCACGGCCGAGGCGATCCTGCAATGCTGCCGTTGCATTGTCTTATCTCCGCACACGAGAGAATACTCATGTACCGGACCGGCTTGCGATTATGGCGAATCTGTGTAACTTTGATGTTCGACTCAACACAGTCGAGGTTGAGAAGGAACATCTACACCTTGGCCCTTGCATATTTGCGTTGGCTTTCATCAATGGAGATTTCTCCCTTCTTTATCCTGAACTGTATAAAGGACGCGAAACAAATAAGGGTAATGTCCATTTCAGACGATTTTAGAGCCATATTAATATCTTCACAGTGTTCAATATTGACAGCAACGAATTCTCATGGTTGAGAATGACGCCGAACGACCTGGGACGCCTTGAAGCAAGATTTTTGAACATCTTGACCTACCCCTCACCGTAACCCACAACGAAATATAATATCACATCTGCAGGCTTGTATGTACGTGGATACTTGTGGAAAGTAGACAGGAAGATTCATTTCTCCGAATTCTTGGCGGAACAGCTGAAGCCGGCGAAGGCTGTTTGGTTTCGTTCACGTCAAACAGTACTCACTGTTCAGATGCTTCGAGACCCGTCAAATACGGCACAAGTTTGGGGGTGAGCAGTGTACAGACTCGCCTGTTTTTGATGACCTGGACGAAGAAATGAAGCAAAATATAACCGAAAGTGCAAAAAAAGCTAAGAGTTTGACTACGGAGCAATCTGAGAAACTTGCGGCATTGTATCGCTTCAGTATCCTGTCCCAAGTTTCTGGTAATTTTGAAAGCACGTTCTTCAAAAATACAGTCACTTGGCTGCTGCTTATATTATACATGCTGCGACAACGAGGTGAAATCGATGTGGCAGATGCGATTTGGCATTCTGTGAAGGCAGACAGATGGGACGTATCACTCACGGCCGAGGAGAATCGAAACAGAGGTTGCTTCAATTCTGTGGCGGGCTTCCCTCCATTCGACGCGGAGGGGAACGTGCCAATCGATGAAAGTGTTGCATTGGAAATGTTCCAGCTGGACTGGGACAGAGATGGGACGCTTCAACAATGCTGGATTGTGGATAGCCTTTTCCGAGATGGATATCTCAGTGTAGGCAAACTCGTCAGAATCTCGACCCATGATGAGTTTCAATTCCATCCGGAATGGTTCGGAGAAGAAGACAGGATGCAGCCAGACGAAGAGATTGTGGGCCACGTGGAGTCAACAATAACATCTACGATGGCCTCACTCGGCCTTGACGTGGGAAAGAGGCATAAATCTGGAGACACTTCACCACAAATAACTTCCGAGGTCATTGAAGCCAAACCTATGACACAGTCGAAAATAGAAGGTTCAGTGGCTTCCAATCCACAATTACAAATTCCGGCCCAAGCTGACACTCAATTGCTCAAACAATTGATGATGTCTAAGTTTGTCTCTCCTCTTGCAGACATCCCGCCACGATCGAGAGCCGATCCTCGCAAGACCTTCCCCTCGAATGATCAAAGTCCTCTTGACAAACATAATTGCAAGATCCTAAACGCAGCCACTTTGTCCAGCAGCATGAATACCGACTGGAACGCGAACGGTCTTACGAAAATAAAAAGTATGAGAGCCGTGTTCGACGTTCAGTGGGATAGGGACGAGCAAGTCAAATGGTTATTCACGCCATATGATCAGAAAACCGAGCGTTTACCGCATGCAGAGGCTAGATCTTTGAGTATGTCGTGGGTTGTCGAACCGACGGGTCAGTCTCCTGTTGGGAAAGAGGGGGCGAGAGAAGTCTTGAGGACCAAAGGGACTGTGAAAGGAATGTGGAAGTTCATGGATTCCCCAATGACGCAGTACTCATTGGTGTGAGATGTTATTAATCGCCAAGGGTCATGCCTTTCTCCGCTTTGATATTTGGTTTCTCGATGCGCCTCATCGAAATCCACGACACGTATCACGTGATACTTTCACATCAACCCTTCCCTGTCCTAGAGCGCAGGCTGTTTTGACCAGATCAGAAGTCAAGACCATTTTAATTAAAGAGGTTACTTTAGAGAGATTTACGTTTCAGAGAGATTCTGATTAGTGACTCACAAATGCCTTCCGACCTTACAGATCGGCGAGTTTTCCTGGTACATTTCGGATATCGTCGACCAGCTTTAAAAATGAGGAATGATTCGGCTAGTTTTCTTGGGGAACAAAAAAAAAAAAAAAATAGACCGAACGCACTCGGAAGCTTGTTGTCTTTATAGACTTGAAGCCCTGCCAGTTTTCAGTGGATCGGCGGAGTAGCAATTTTGAGGAGAAACACTCTACGGAATAGCCAACCAGTCTCTCGAGTTGCAAAATCTGCCTCAGTTCACACTCGGCTTTTAAATTCGACTAACGAAGCTCACATATACACAATTAAAGAAAATTATACCACTTGTTCCAAAATTAGCTTCTGCTCTTTAAGTGGGTTGGGAGCCCTCTCCGAAAATCATTCCTCAATCTTAGCTTACATTTACAAAGTGTCCATTTTGCTACATTGGCCGAGAAAGATTGCAGCTTGAGCTCAAATACGTAGTTCTCTCGTGCAGTCACTCCAAGCTGGATGCTAACTTCAACAGACTCATGCACCAGACAGACGAAGTTGCAGTGCCGGAGGTCGAAATTACTGGCGACATTGACACCCCCAGCGAAGACAGAGCGAGTGATCACGAGGCGACGGACTCGACAGAGGCGGGATCCTCATTCATCGATTACTTCCTCTTTATGCAAGACAAATGTTGATTAGTATACAATAAAGCTCTGCTCTGAATATTCGTAAATGCAGTCCAAAGTGCTGAAACCTCGTGAGGTTGCTGGTGGTCAAGACATTGAATCTTGACATGTTCTTAGGGATTGTACCATTTGGAGGCAAGTCTGCGGAGGATAATAGGAGACATAGCACTCTGTGACTTGCATTATCGACTAGTACAATTGTAACACGCAATGAAAATATAAACAAAAGTGAAGCAGTTCTTTTGCAAGGTTACATGTATGGCATGGGTCGTGATCACATCGGTTACTGTGCTTATTTACGAGCCAACCAATCTGGTCCATGGTGGCCCCTGGTGGTCCACTTCGTCGCCCCAGACCCCGGCTCCGCCCTTCCTTCTTTTGGACGTCTTTTTACGACAGGACAAGTCAGCATAGACGGCAGCCTCATCTCCTTCAGGTCCCATTAATGCATCCAACGGCGTAGGCATGCTACAACGTCGGTCCACATCAGCCTTAAATTCTTGGAGGAGTTATATAACATCCTGGCCTCGTGTTGAAGACGTCGACTTTCGCGCTCATCTTTCGTCAATCTGAACATAATAGTTGTCTGTTCCAAATAGAACATTAACATTCTCCCCACAATCATGACCCCTCAGCCAGACACCACCTCTAAGAAAATCACCAGGGCCAGTAAGCCGAAGACGAGAACCGGATGTAGGACATGCAAGTAGGTTCAACATGCCCCCAATAATGATATTTACCTTTCCACGTGATCAGATGACGGGACTTTTTCTGACCGGCACTAGAATACGTCGAGTCAAATGTGACGAAGGCAAGCCTGTTTGTAATCGATGCGTAAAGTTTGGGGTAAAATGTGATGGATACGCCAAGCCCAATAAAACGACATCACTGCCCCCCATCAGAATCATCATTCCTAGAGGATCGGCCTATTTTGAACCCATCATCTACCAGCCGAGGGTCACGATATTCCAGGATCAAAAAGAACTGCGATATTTCCAATATTTTCGAGAAGGTATCGCTCCGCATTTAGCGGGATCATTCGAATCGGACCTTTGGAGCCATCTAGTCTTGCAAGCTTGCGAGATAGATGATTCCATTCGCCACGCCATCATTGCGATTGCCGCATTGAAGTCGACAGCAAATGCTGCGTTTGGATGCAACAGCAGACCTCCTAGGGGAAGTGAAGGTGCTTCAAACCACCAAGAATTCGCTCTCCATCAATATCAAAAGGCTCTCCAGTCTATGAGGAAGGCATCCGTTGGAGGGACGCAAGATCTTAGAACTACTTTGATTACCTGCATCGTTATCATATGTTTCGAATCATTTGCCGGGAATTTTGGGACTGCTGTGAAACGTAAGTGAGGCATCTTTGGATGAGCAACACAACTTTGAGTTCGTCTTCCTTTGTTACCACAGAAGCTAACTAGGAGTTATAGAGGCTGTCGTCGGGCTTAATCTAGTCGAGAAGCATTTGTTAGATAAACCAACAAGTCCTCAAAATATTAGCGTTGAGAAAGAGATAATCAATGCATTCGGTCGGATCGACATTCAAGCCATGGCATTCTTGGATCCCAGATATCCTAAAAGATTTCTGCCTCCTTCGGACCAATTCAAGGTGGTAGCTCAGGTACCACGTGAATTTACCTCGCTAAATGATGCCCGAGACTCGCTCATTGCGACGATGCAGAGAGTCCTGCAATTCACATCAGCTATGTTCCCGGAAACATTTCATTACTCAGGCTTTTTGAGGTTGGATTTTATGATATCCATACCACGCGAGCATGTTCATAGGAAATTCAAGCACCTTGCAGAACTTCATGCCTGGAGGGCAGCGTTCTCGCGGATTCTCGAAAGCTCCCTCACAACAAAAACTTCCAACGATCGATTCTGTGCTGCGTCTCTCGAGTTGATGTACCTTGCTGGATATGTTACAACCTTCATGATGCGGACTTACGATGGCAAGACCCCGGACACCAAGATTCTTATGCCAGAGTTTGAGCAGATGATAACCTTGTCCGAGGAGCTGCTCAAGCATCCCAACATGAGCCAACCAAACTCCACTTATATGTTCGAGATGCACACCATATGTCCTTTATACGCCATTTCATGGTATTGCCCCCACCGTACTCTGCGACGGAAAGCGATTGAATTACTTCAGACACCAGCTCGTCGAGAGGCTCTATGGGACAGTGTGATGGTTGGGAAGCTCGCAGAATGGATCATGGATCTAGAGGACGATAACTACGAAGGCGACTTTGCACCCGAGAACATACGCTGCACCCGTGGAGATATTTTAGGCTACAATCTGGTCACACGTGAGGCCGAGGTACGATGTTTCATGCCAGTCCCCGGTAAAGTAGCGCTGGTTGATCGGACGACAATTCTCAAGTTCTGAGCTACCATATGATGACATCAAATCACCACTCATGCAGCACAGTTCTGCTGTTTTGGAATGGCAGAAACTACACACGAAAGGTCGACCTCTGAGATGTACAGTTACAGAGACAGATAGATGCTCCCTCGTCAACCTTTTATTGCCCTAAAACTTCTCAGCAGCCGGCCGCAAGTCCAATTCATGAGTCCAGAGCTCCGGCTCCTGTTGAGAAAGCCACAAATACGTCTTTCCAACAGCATCTGCACTCATCTTCTTCCCGATTCTCTGATCCTCGCCATTTTTGTCCTCAATCGCACCATTGGCAATAGTATGGACGACATGAATGCCCTTGGCACTCATCTCCCTCGCCAAAGTCTGCGCTAACTGTCTGACACTGGACCTCCCCGCTCCGTACGCTGCAAACTCTGCACTGCATCTCAACGCACCCAGCGTCCCAGTGAAAATTAGAGTCCCCTTTTTCTCCCATGTCTCAGAAAGTGGCGCCTCGCCGTGGTGTTCAAAAAACATTTTCAGCGACTCCTGGGCGAACGTGAAAGCTCCTCCCACATATTGCTCCAGACTTTCCGTGAACTCTTCATACGTTTCGTTCATGAAGGGTTTCTTGCTGGAGTGCTTGACGGAATAAACAGCCACCTTTAGCTTCAGGTCTTTGAATGAGGAGTGTGACTTAATAGATTGGAAGGCCTGTTTAAGATTGTCGGGTGAGGTGTCGGTGGGGAATGTCTCGACTATGCTGCCTGGAGAGGTTTCTTTGAGGTTGGATCGTACGCTGTTGAGACCTTCTTGGCGACGAGCGAGGAGGGCTACGGCGAGGTTGCCATGCTTTGGGTGTGAGAGGATTCTGGCGATGCCGGTTCCCTGGGAGGAGAGTTAGCATTCTCGAGCTGCTTCGGCTTGATGAGACGACGAGGAGAGTGGACGTGATGAGGAGTCAAATATGGCTCAAAACGTATTCTGTTCCATTGAGACATGGTCTCATTCAATGAAAAAACATAACCGAAATTCTGTATGATAGAGGTGAGAATAAATCCACTTACAGTGTTTGGACCGGCTCCAATAATGATTGCAAGGCCAGAGGGAGGCATGTTGATGATTGGATGTTTTCTAGATTTGATGCTTTCTAAACGTATGGTTGGAAGTAATAATAAAGAAAACCTCAATCTCGAGCATCAATACCTCTTCACAATCTTCTCCAAATCTGATGGCTCCTTGTTCCTCGCTCCCTCTACGTCAGTGATATGACGTTTGCGGGCGGTAACACCTTAACACCGAAGCCAAGACACTTGAGCTGTCTTCGAGCTAGCGGCCGATCCACCACTTCACGTCGCTTCACTTCACTCCTCGAACTTTTCACTGTCAGTCACATCAAGAAGACAAACTCATTTCTTTCAAATCCATTACGTTGTTACTTTGAATTACCTAGACTAGTGCAGATCTATGGATCTGTCACCTGTTGAGTGTACAACCATTTGAAGCAGAAGCAGTAGGACTGAGACAACGAGCATGCCGATCGTTTGTCATTCTGAAGATTGGATACGCTTCGAGATGCAATATAAGGTCAGAATAATTGGTAAACGGTCTACCTGCCAGCTGCCATCCATTCAGACAAAGTTGTATTTTGGGAAGTCTGAGAAGTCAGATTAACGATGAGCAGCCAGATCCAAAGAGTTCTGCCCCCAAGCGTCTATGCTTAGATTGGAACTGCTCCGGCATACAATCTCAACGCTATTATAGGAATCAAAGATCAGAGGTCCCTTCGTCTAGATGCACGGAACGAACGAGAAACGCGATCTCCATCATGAGACAATGCCGCAGAGGTATCCTATCACTACAATATCAACCCCACTCCGCTCCCACAGATCCCAGGTTCTTGCATCCCATGATCCCAACTATGATTTTGACATATCTATCTCATAGAAGAGATCAGAAGTATCCCTTAGGATGCGGGCCAGAGGGTGGAGGAGGAGAGTAAGTCGGCATCGCTCCAGCACTGAAGTCCGTGATGTTCTTCTCTTTCCCACCCATTTTCTTCTGCTGCTCAGCAATCAACCTCTGTTTCTGCGCAATGAGTCTTTGCTTCTCTGCCCGAGCGGCGATTGAGTCGTACATAGGCGGCGAGGTAGATGTCGAGCGGAGGGAAGTGCCGTCAAGCTTTCGCTGGGCAGAAGCTCGACGAGCTGCGCGTACGTCTTCGTCATCTTCATCGGGATCAGAGAATCTGTGTTCGCGGGGACTGGCGACAGCTCTTTCGGAGAGAATAATAGGGGGCGAGGGACTCCCACGGCCAGAGTCGCCAGCAGGTTTTCCATGATTTTCGAGTCTCACTGGTTCGGTGTTCACATAGGTAGGATTCTCAGTCAGCTTGCCAGTGCGGGACTCTTCCACCAACTCATGCTCTAGTTCTTGCAGCTGTTCGAGTTGGGATGGCTCGGATCCTGATGGACTGCGGGTGTGGTAGTCTCCGAACTGGGGAGCCGTGCTGGAGTTCGTGCCCGACCTATCTCGATTCAAGTTGCCTTTTTTGACAATATTTAGAGGATCAGGGCTCATAGATCTCGCTCCAGACATCAGTGTGGCCGATGTGCCTCCTGAAAGAGCAGAACCAGTTGCTTTTTTTCTCATTCCAGACACAGGCGTCACTCTCATGGTCTCTTGTACGGACTCGGACAGGCTGGCAGGTCGTGCTGGTCGACTGGGAGGTTTGTTGGAAGGGCTAATTGATCGAGGAATCATGACCATGTTGTCCAACTCAGCGAGAGTGGCAGGGTTGAGCGGTGAGGATATGACCGGTCGAGCGCTGTTCCAATCACGGTTTCTGTATGCAGCGTTACGCTCCTCCATCTCCTCGCGAGTACGTCGCTTCTTCATGAAATATGCTGCTGATCCTGCCATGGCGAATGCGGCGAGGATACCGAAGACAATGAGCACAATGCTTGTTGTTCCAATGCCTTTCTTTGCTGGTGGTGGAGTGTCGCTGGTTGTGGGAGAGGTGGAAACTCCAGGAGTTGTAGATGTTGATGAAGCTGAGGTCTTATTTGGGGAAGTCGAAGGGCTCACGGTTGAACTCGATATAGAACCGGCGGTCGTGGAAGACTGAACTTGAAATACTGTCGAGGTCCTTCTTCTTGTGGTGGTAACGATACTACACCGGAGAGGTAAGTCAGAACCATTCTTCGAAACTCTTACACTTGTAACGTCCTCTAATACTCACACGACACTTGTTTCTGGTGGTCCTGGAGGCTTTGTGACAATAGTTACCAAGCTGACACTGCCATCATCTAGGGTTGTCTTGAATTCAACAACGCTGGTAGCGTAGCTTACCACAGAGGTAGAACTTGACGTTACTGTTGTTACCGGATTCACCTCAGAAGGCTCAGGTGGGGTAGGAGGTACAGTGAGAAGTGGCTGGTCTTGTGCAAGCGCGAGTGTTGTTGCGAGAAGCAAGATGAGAGGTTGCATGCTGATAACCACAGTCTTCCCTGTTTGGGGTGGTTTTGCCGATGCCGGTGCGAAATTATTAAGGTGAGACCAAGCAGGACAAACGAGAGATTTTGACCTTTCTTGTGATCTCAGGTCAGCAAGATAGGGGCAACTCTTCACATCCAACCAATATCTCCTTTCACCAACGAAGGGAAGTGTTCAGATAGATTGCGCAGAAATGGCCGTGATTCATATACCTCCGAACCTAGCAAACCGCCTCGTTGTGTGCCAAACCATGCAATCACGAAACGCGAAATCAGGACGCCAAGGTACCTGGGGCCGCTTCAGAAAGGCAGAGTTGAGGCTGAGCCGTGGAAGTTGAAAACTTTCGAGCCAGTCGAAATCTGGAAGTTTTAGAGTCTGGTAGCAAGGCTACGGATTTTGAGTTCTTCAAAAAAGAGAAAGCTCCAACTGAGGACAATGCAGAAATAAATGTCGAGGTCGAGGTGGTAGGGAACATAACATTTTCGATTTGAGTCAGTTCCAACCGAGAATCAACAGATCTGACCCACTTTTCGGAGTCGCTTGCAGTGGTGCAATCACATACAATCTGAGCTCGACTTCATATGGTGTTCGAAGCTAAATAATCGTGGTGGGCCTGCATATTGAAGAATACCTTCGTCGGTGGATATGAATCTGAAAGTAGTTCTAAAGAGGAAAGAGAAAAGTCTCTCACCTTTTCACTTTCTTCGAGTGAAAAGCTCCTGTGAGACAACGACAGATGGTGAATGAAGAGGTGGTTTAGCTTTGTAGTGCCAAGGTGAGCAGTACCAGTAGAATATCCGGGTAATCAAAGTTGAAGGTTAGTGAATTATACCGTTGCCACTAACTTCTGTGCATTTGATTGAAGATGTCATTATTCACTTTGAGTCCTGGCATGGGCTGGTATTTTGAGATGAGAAATTTCAAGGTAAAGTATCAATGCTTGGCTTTCGTCCCTTCAACTTTGCTGACTGGAATTTTTCTAGTTTGGCATGAAAATTTAAGGTGGTACTCCAAGGCAAAAGAGAGAAAATGGGACAAGCAAGAGATGTCTGCTCAGTTTGAGTTGTGACTTTTGATTGGGCACAGAATATGATTTCTCCAAGATTGGCTCATATGTTTTGGACTCATGTTCCGTACAGCCCTTGCCATTGTAACTTTTAGGAATCACAACATTGAGCTGGTCAAGTGGTTGGGTCAGGTGTTTCGAGATGGGCTCGGCTAATCGTCATCAGAAATTCTTTGAAGCTGTCCTCAAATGGGTGACTTAGGTCAAGCTGCAGACTTGAAAAATTTAATAAAGTAACTTCTCAAAAATGTGGGAAAGCACAAATACCTGAGTTGGCAACTGACTCTGACCTTCTGACATGGTTGCCCTCCCATTATAAACTGCATATCGCAATTGACCGCGTCAACTTTGATACTGATACTTGGTATTGTCTTTGTGTTTTGGGAAAAGCATTGGTGCTCCAAAATGCGGCTATGAATTGATTTGAAGCTTTGCAAAACTTTGCGAATAGAATATTCTACGAATGTAACTGAAATCTAAGAATTCTAATGTTTGTGCTGTGTAGTTGAATTGAAGGGAGGAGATATGCCACCTACTACCATCTCCTCGCCTGACAGAAATTACAAGACTAGAGTCAGGTAAGAGCTGTCTCAGTCACATTCTACTATAAAATCAATTTCAGAAGATGGACTGGTGCTCATAAGTGTCTATCGCTATAATCATCCTCGATTCCGTGTGTCCCCATAGCTCCAATCCAGGTCCACGCTAATTCTCAAGTCGAGGCTGTGACATCTGCGCTTTCAAGTCTGCCTCTAGCTGCCGCAATTTGATATTATTATGTAGTCCAATGCGTATTGACTCGAATGATATCAGATCTATCCTGCCGTTATGTTGTTTACGTGGAGTTGCAGATTTGGCTATATCTGGATCTCTTGAGCTTCTCCAAACCAGTGTGTGACCGGTATCCGAACTTGCTCTGATCCTCAGTTCAAAGGTCTTCAGTCCCTTCAGAGCTCGAAAAGCTGGGAGATTGCGTATATTATCGAGACTTTTGTCTGATATTTTGAAATTTGTCTCGCCTTTGGAATCGGGGTCTATGTTTAAGACCACTGTTATGTAAAGCGAGAGGACCAAATATTTCAGATTTTGACACATGGCGAGATCTTGGAATAGTTTTGGTGTGTCTTCTGGCGTGTTCCCCAACGGCCGCCTCCAAGTAAAATGTAATGAGGTGATGCAATCCAATTTCAGCTGGTCGAGAGCGTAGAATTGATTTCGTTCTAATACATCCAAGCTGAAGGCATTCGCCTTATAGAACAAGTTGCCGCCTACTATATCGACGTACATCTGCCGACTAGTAATGATAAGCCTCCCAAGGGTTGTTCTGCTTGAGGACTTCCTGAAAGCCCACCAATCGTGCTTAGGAATGCCACAAGTGGTTTCTACAAACCCCAGAGGTACGTAGCCAAATCCGCAGCTGGTCGAATCGTGTAGCGAGTATGGTAGTGCCCTTTGTGGGCATTTCAGAGCATTTTTCCAGATGTTTGTCCGTACTTCTCCGGGAAGTGACAGGAGGCTGCTCTGGAGCTGTAGCACTATTTTTTCTGCCCATGTCTTTGACTGGAAGATAAACTATGAGTATCTCATAGCTAGAGTCTGAGGTGAGCAGACTTACGTGTATGTCCGTAAGTGACATGTTGTCGAGAACTATGAGCGCTGAGTCTCGAAGTCCTGAAGTGATTAAAAGAGTGAAAGAACAGCTCGACCAAGTTATTGATTATTGTAAATTTACTTATGAAAAATGTGATTGAAGCTGGTGATTGAGCTTGGGTGTAAAATAGAACAGAGTTTGAAGGGGTTGGAGGAGTCATGAGCAGTGCAGAAACTGCCTTGTTAATATGTAATTGCAGTTGGAAAATAAACTAGACATATACGCGAAAGACTAGCGAAGTCACTTCTGAGACTAGAACAAGGTCCAAGGAACTAGACTAGTACCATCTGTATCTCAATCTCTGGTTGACTAATAAATAGAGTGGAGACCGGCTCTTAGTCACATGACATCACCCTCCTGTGATACGTACACTGTAGGTAGGTATCTTGTAGTCTGCTCTGTCGAATCTAGTGACAGAGACACGATGGTCAGATCATAACAAAAGTAAAATAATAAATTCAAAACACCATCATGGCTCACAAGTACTTACTTACAACCTATCTTGAAAGTCTGAACAAAGTGGACGCAGGGACAGCAGGTGCAGCCTCTGGCACAGCTTCCCTCCAAGACTCACGTTTCTGCGTAGCTCAACATGCTTGGAAATTATATGCATAAAGATCATAAGATATCAATTGTCATAGTCGAGTTTACAGTTGCTAGGCTTCCTCGTGGGTTGGTAATTTTGAAGTGATGACTTGGGATGCAAGCCGCTCCTAACTCGAACGGCATGGCCGCCAACTTCACTACCTCCCCAAGACCATGAGTGTCGGCTCCGGAGATTCATCGGCATTTATAAACTGAACTGGTGTATCTCACGGTATTATGGACTTCTTCAAACTTTGCAGGAGACATCCCATAGCCATACTCAAGAAGTAGATTCTGTGATACGTATGTTTCGGCTCAAGCAACCATTCTCAAACTGCTGTGATGGGAAAAAGTGGAACAAACCAATACGTCTTTTTACCAACTATAACGATTGAAATCAATGAGTTTTGGAATCATACAAGCGTAATAGTCGGTTCCCCTTTCAACTTTCGGGACTCAGGTAGAGAGTTCCCGCAGCTTCACAGAGGGGAGCCGACTATTACTCCAAATTCTCTAACACAGAACCTTACGACGAACGGCCACAATGAAAACCCAGGATATGGGTATGTAATCTTATGATAAGCTCCTTGTCAGTCGGTCGTATTTGTAGGTATCTCCTCGAATACTATGATAATCCACGGTTTTCCTTGACTCACTATCACATCAACTGCGTTTCGAGACCGGCCAGTCGAAGCCAACAGAACCAGGGGACTATGACAATCGTGCGCTGAGTTACTAACCATCCATTTCACCTAGAAGGTTCAATAAAGAGCGAAAACCTTGGTCTTGGCTATTGTGTCTGTTCCTGTGATTACTCGGCATTTGGATGATTGGCTCTGCCTCCGTAGTATTCTATACATCAACTTTGCTGTGGAGCATCATGAGCACTCGGCATTCAAGCACCCCGGCAGAACATGCGCCGTACAAATTGTTCCCAGTCGAAGTGCAAGCCGGTAGATCTTAGCACCAATCACGTCTGGCGAGAAAATTGGAAGACCAGTTCGAGAGACGTTATTTACTCTTGAAGCCATGATTTGCCTTCCAAGGTCTTAGAAGGGAGCCATTTGTCATATATGAAGTTGCATCGAGTTCTCTGGATAAATAGAGGAATGCGGGGAAGCCTATGAACATTAGGTGCGTATAATTGCAGATTAGGATAAACGAAAGCCAAGTGTTTCAGCACTGTAAATCCCAGACAGCGGCAAATGCTTTCATGCCATCAGTCATTCTGGTCCTTGAAACGAACGTTCATATAGTTCAGCAGGTCTTCCACGGCTCGTTTCTGGAGAGCTTACACGAGCTCAAGTGTGTCCCTGATTATTGTTTTGCCTCAGACATGAATTGGCTTTTACTCGCCCTGGCCCTCGTGGCACCGTCCCAGGCTGGACTTCGGTTTGGATGCTCGACTATCAGTATTGAGCGACTCGATCCTCTCGTTGAACCGGGAAGCATCCCTTCAGCGCATGTCCATCAAATCGTTGGTGGCAATGCCTTTGCTCCAACAATGAGCTCGGGTGCGAAGAACAATATCTCTGAGACAGCTACTTGCACTTCATGCTTCTTCTCCGAGGATTTCTCAAACTACTGGACGGCAGTCATGTACTTTAAGGCTCGCAATGGCACCTATAAGCGTGTCCCAATCTTTGCCAATGCTCAGCTGGAGGGGTCCACAGATGGTATGACCATCTACTACACCCAGAAGGACTTCAACTCGAATGGAAATAAGAAGATCACAGCTTTCCCTCCAGTACGCTGTCGATACGAATAATCGAGCCGGAAGGCTAACGAGACATAGGGATTCCGCATGACGGTGGGTAGCCCCACAGTGAACACCAAAGCTGGCGTCGCCAAAGGTCTTGCATATACCTGCCTCCAAACAGTCTTGACCAGAGGAGCCGAGACTCCCGACTTCCCGACAAAGCCATGCCCTGCTGGCATAATGGCAATCCATCACTTCCCATCGTGAGCTAGTGTTTCTCTCACAGACCACAGAATTTATGCTAAAAGAGACCAGATGCTGGGATGGAAAGAATGTTGACAGCCCTGACCACCAATCTCATATGTTCAGCACAACCAAAGGCGGCTTCCAAGAGGCCGGTCCTTGCCCAGCCTCTCATCCTGTTCGCATGCCCCAGCTGGCATATGAAACGATGTGGGATACCACGAAGTTTAACGACAAGTCCTTGTGGCCAACTGACGGCTCTCAGCCATTCGTTGTATGTGTTCCATTTCTCCATTGTCCGCTTACAGTCGCCCTTTATACTGACTCACATATAGTGGAGTATGGGTGACAGTACTGGATACGCGACTCATGGTGATTACGTCTTCGGCTGGAAGGGCGACTCGCTCCAGAAAGCTATGGACTCATCTTGCATGTTCCAAGCTTGTGGAAACGGCAAGCCACTCCTGAGTCAGAACGCGGCAGCAATCAACAAGTGCAAGGTCAAGAAGACAGTTACTGAAGATACTGAAGGATGTAAGTTGGTGTCATCTTAAATGCTTGACGGTGGTGTGCTAACGGATGTTCTCTTCACAGGGCTCACAGCTCTTCCTGGTAAAGCCATGTAAACTTCAAATCCGTGTGAATTGAGCGTGAGGAACTCTTATCGAATCTGTTCTGTGTAGTGCAAGGATTGTAAGGGTTGGCAATGGTTTCCTATGTAATGTACGAGTGCAGATGTAGATGGTCCATAAATTGATATCCGTATTCGGTGCTTATCAGAAACAAACAATTGTTGACACGAGTTGCATTTGCTATCGATATCCTCGACCATTGACATCTTGTAGGACGATGAATTTATGTCCCAGGCGAAAATGGCGGGGTAGCCTTAGCGAGTGGTAAGCGAGCTTACAGTCACAATAGGTAAACAAACTTTCTGCCCTCTCGCATTTTCGTCAAACCACTACTGTTGCTGTATCATTCAGAAAGAATGATCTTGTACATATATTTTCAACCGACCAATACTTCTAGAATTCTTTTGTATTCACATAGCGATTAACCTCAGTGTGGAGAGAAATCTTGTAAAATTGTTTCAAGTTTAGAGGGAATATCGGTGAGGTCAATTCTTAGCAGAATGGGAAACAACTGAGCATCGAATTGCTAGAACTATAAATGATGATCATCTAAGAATATTTTAATTTCGAAGATTCTTGGGCAAGGAAAGTATCGAAAACATGGATCCGTCAACGAGGCCGCAATCGTACTGAAGTTTGTAGTTCCGGCGGCGAGCACGGTATCGTACTCGGGAGCCCGGCTGCTAAACCTCAAATCGATCACCGCAAAACTTTACTATTGATATATGTACAAACCAAATATCTGTGGTGTCCATGCTGAGTCCAGAGATTGTGATTAAAAGATCATCATTCTGCAGTAGGACACCATGCGGAGATGAAATGCCGAGCGACTTCTTCCTTGAGACCATCCTCTGGGCTCATACCCCTGGGGATAACTTCGTAAGTCTAGGAGAATGTCGTTGTGGTGCATGTGGAGATAAAGATGAAAGAATTGAGCACCTTAATGTGCGTCAACAATACGATTCAGCCCAACTCTTCTACTGATGTGACGAAGCAAAATAACTAACAGAGCTCAAAAGGAGGAAGCAGCAGACAGAGAAAAGGCAAGGAATCAGGTTTCTTAAACTCGTATGATCGTATTGCAGGCTGAAGCAGAAATCACACCAGGTCACTTGATATGTAGGTAAGACAGGGTTTCATTTATCGGCCATGCCGTACTCTGAAGATGCAAATTGTGAATGCCTCGAGATTGAAGTTCTTTCCTTTCCTCAAGCTTGAACTTGATATTCGCATTCGTTTTTCGACAATAAGAACAAATGCGGTTGACTTACTGGAAGGATAACAAAGGAGTCTGTCACAAGCGCCTTCATTTGTGATCAAAAACGCCATAAAGAGCCACAACAGCAGAAATTTTCTCCCCACATCTGGAATGTCAGATTCGGCTTTGTCCTCGTTCAAGCTTACTAAATGTCTATTGATTGGCCCGGTGGCTCCGGATACCACGGCTTCAGACATGACGATGCCTGTCGCATGCGGCCGATCCACCCTGTAGCGCTCAAGCTTTGGGGCGTCTGTGGCGCCGCCCCCGCCTTTTGAACGGGATGCCAGAACCACTGAGTTGGCCTATCGCTAAGAACAAACAGGGTTGCTATCAGCACGAGGTAGCACTAGAGGGAGCGATGTCGTAAGAAAATAGTAACGTTGATATGTGCCACTGATATCATTTGCCAAATATTTCGTAAAGTCGCCTTCGAGAAGGAATGGAGATCCACAGTAGAGTGTTCTATGATCGAATCAGGTTAACAGATGCATTGAGATCGACATTGCAGATACTCACCTGAGATGACACTTCGGCTCAAACGTCAATGACAAAGGAAGGTCGATAGTATTACGGATGACTGTATCCTGAAAAATGTCGGTTATGGGAGCTGGGGAGAGGAGTGCAAGATCGTTGCCTACCCGCCGAGGAAAGCCACCCGCAGCCATGCGGTTCAAAAGGCGCTTCGTCCCCCTTTCCAAAAGTCTTGTTCTGCTTGGTATTGCTTGAACATCTCTTGGCGCCATATACGCTATTGCAAAGGCATCCAGAACCCTGTGACGGGACCTGCAGATCATTTTTGGACAAGACATCGTGGAACTGACGCCAAAATATCTGCACCACACGAAATGACGGACGCCGAGAAGGGCTTTGGCAACGGCAAACAAAGCTCTGGGAGTAGTGACCACACTGCACAGGATGCAGCCGTGGCTTTTGCTGGGCAGGACGAGCCCAAAGGACCATGGAAGACTCGATTCATCGACAGCTTCAAGCGAGATCCGAACGCGACAGTGATGAAAACCCCGTTGGGCAACACCAAAGGAGAATATGACCATGCAGCAGCTGCTCAAGCTACTGCCAACACAACACTCTCGAGGAAATTAAAAGGCAGACACATGCAGATGATTGCTATCGGTGGATCAATTGGTAAGTCTTTCGTCCCTACGTCAATCATCCAGTCGAACTCGGCAATCCAGGAACAAGATCCTGACGTGTAATGACAGGTACTGGTCTCTTCGTTACTTCCGGAGCGGCCCTCTCTACAGGAGGTCCCGCATCACTAGTCATCGCCTTTGGAATTATTGGTATCATGATATTCTGCACTGTCCAAGCTCTTGGAGAGATGGCTGTCGTATTCCCTGTCTCTGGATCTTTCTCGGCATACTCAACACGTTTTCTTGACCCAGCGTGGGGTTTTGCAATGGGATGGAAGTGAGTTCCCGTGTTATTCTCTTTTAATTGTAACGGAAGTGCTGACATCAGTCCTAGCTATGCCGTGCAGTGGCTAGTAGTATTGCCGCTTGAAATTGTAGCGGCATCAATTACGTTACAATACTGGCCTGGAGCACAGGATACAAACGCTGCCGCATTTGTGACCATTTTCCTCGTCGTCATTATCTGTATCAACTTCTTCGGAGTGCGCGGATACGGAGAAGCTGAATTTGTTTTCGCCATTATCAAGATCACCGCCGTGATTGGATTCATTATTCTTGGAATTATTTTGAACTGTGGTGGAGGTCCCAATGGAGGATATATTGGAGGTCGTTTCTGGGATTCTAACAGTGTGCCTGCAGACTATGCAGGATACACCAAAAATGGACAGCCAGCAGGCAGCATTGCATCTGGTGCTTTTAACCATGGATTCAAAGGTCTTTGCTCCGTGTTCGTCACTGCTGCATTTTCCTTTGCCGGAACCGAGCTTGTCGGTCTTGCTGCAGCCGAAGCCCAGAATCCGCGAAAGGTTCTTCCCACAGCCATCAAACAGGTGTTCTGGCGTATCGCTCTGTTCTACATGGTCGCTCTCACAATCGTGAGTTTGTTGGTACCATACGGTGATGCTAGACTTCTGGGTTCTGACGGTGGTGGAGCCAAGGCATCCCCATTCGTCATCGCGATCAACAATGCCGGGATTTCTGGTCTACCCAGTGTCATGAACGTGGTTATTCTCATTGCTGTCTTGTCTGTTGGCAACTCTTCGATTTACGGCTCTTCTCGTACCCTTTGCGCTTTGGCAGAACAAGGACAAGCACCCAAGATATTCGCCTACATCGACCGTACAGGTCGTCCCCTGGTATCCATCGGTGTTGCATCTACGCTTGGTCTTCTCTGTTATGTTGTAGCTGGTGGAGCCGATACTGCCAACACAGCACTGAACTGGCTGTACTCGCTCTCTGGTCTCTCATCCATTTTCACATGGGGTTCCATTTGCTTGGCCCACATTCGATTCAGATCGGCATGGAAGAAGCAAGGACACACGCTCGACGAGCTTGCGTTCACGTCGCAGGCAGGTGTGTATGGTTCATGGCTTGGCTTCATCCTCAACTGCTTGGTTTTGATTGCTCAGTTCTGGACTGCTGTGTGGCCCGTCGGCTACGCCAGTCTCAGCCCCTCTGGAATCGCGAAGAACTTCTTTCTTGCGTATTTGGCCGCTCCTGTCGTGATCTTGTTTTACGTTCCGTACAAGATTTACTACAACACTCCGATCATGAGAACTTCGACTATCGATTTGAAGACTGGTAGGAGGGAGTTGGACACCCCGCTGTTGATCCAACAAGAGCGAGAAGAGCATGCCAGATTGCCAAGGTGGAAGAGGATCTACAAGATTTTCTGTTAGAAAACTATACCGGGAAATATTTTCTATACTTGCATCCTTGTTGTGCTGTACTAAAGCTTGCTTGTGTCCAGTCAAAGGTGTTGGAAGCTAAGAGATTAATTGATATCAGAAAATGAGAAGAGACAATAAGCCCTTTACGTTCCTTGGTCACAATCACAGTGCGCACAACCGTGATTCTCACGATATCCCTAGAGGAATTCGAATCACGCCAGTCTATTAACTAATCTTACCGGTCAGACAGACTAGCTTACGAAGTTATGGATCACTGCCTCTTTCTTAAGGTAGACCCCTCAACGTCGCATAACTATCCGGTTCTTGCAGCAAAATCTCCACCTCCCTATGAACCACCACTTCCTGAGCAGTCCAAGCTGCACAAGAATAAAGGAAGAATTAATTTTCCTCCTCCTAGTCAAGCACTGCTTCAGAAACATTACCCCACCTCACTTCGCAGTTGTGATTCCATCCTTCACAACCCACATCTCGTTGCCAGGCAACTCCCATTCGCCAGGATCTCTCCCTTCAATTTCAATCTGCCTGACTCTTTTCCGCAAGTGCGCTCTAACCTGCATGATCGCTTTCCCTAACAAATTCTCTCCCCAATTCCCCCTATATCGCATTGCACGATCCTTTTTATACCCAATCCCCCACCTCCGATCCATCGAACTCGCCTCACAAATCATCCTATCACCAGTCCCCAGCAGAAAACTCCGCCTGGCCTCATCCCTTGCAAACTTCCACCAATTCCCTTCAAATGCAACCCTTTCGCATGATTGTCTCCACATGAAATCCGTAAAGTCTTTGACAGCTCGACCGTATTTCTTCTGTAGTGAGGGATCGTTGGTATCCATGATGTGATTCCCGGAGATCTTGTCGTGGAAATATACTGCTTTGCAGAACATCATGAATTGCTCGGCGCAATCGAAGTCCATTTCTACAGAAAGCTGTTCAGAAGAGGATGGTGGCGGCTGAGACAATGCTGAATCTGCATAAGCTGGGTGTGCTGCGCGGAGCCAGGTGAGGCTTTCGCGAGGAACTGTGAATGGCGTAGCTTCCCATTGGCAGAAGATGCTGTAGGGAGGCTCTCTGGGCATGAAGAAGAATATGGGCAGGTTTGGATCTTCTGTATCGGCTGCATTTTTGTCTGGTCGGCCTGTTGTGGGCTTTCTTTGGTGAGGCCTCATGTTTGTGAATTCGGAGTGATCTTGGAACTTTGGAAGGGTTGAAGCTTCGTGGGTAGAGTGAGTATTTTAGATTTATTATCAATGATATATTTTGTTCGAGTTCGAAATGCTTGAGAAGAGTCATTCGGTGACTTACTGTTTTTGAATTGGCATGGCTTCCGAAACCCAAATGCCTGGTCGCGCCTCCCTAAATCCTTAGTGAACCAAACTTTCCTCACCACTAGCAATTGACGGATGATGCTTAAGGTAAATAAGTTAGGAGACAGCCTAAACTATTGAATATCCCAAGCAAAATAGGCCACTCCTACATTTAATCTCATATTTGCGTTCTTTTCAAACGAACTTGTCTCGAGCTCCTGACGATTCAAGGGCAAGCAAGAGCACCCACGTGACAAGAGCAGCGCAAATGGTGCTTGAAATGGCCACGCGGCCAGACATATGCTGCCGTTCTTCTTGATCGATTGAGCAATGATTTATCATGTCTCTGCCTGATTGCCGTCGCACAATTTCTCGACGACAAGTGGGAGCCTGATCTGATGACCTCCCCAAAGCTAAAATAGCGATAGCAGCTTTCCATATCTCCAACTTGACTCCCTATGAAAGCAAGTTAATGCGGATCAGATCATCCAGAAATTTCCGCAATGTCCCACTACAGATCCGCCATGAGCGAAATTACGAAGCTCATTCATATCCAGCCGACCATTTCGAGCCCAATCTATCAAATCCGTTTTACGATGCAGCAACTTGACGACGACAACTTCGAAACGCAGTCAATACGAGTCAACGAAGCAGAGTTGATCCATATCAACCACATCCAATCGCTGCAAGAAGATCCTGAGTTGCAAGATCACTTGAAAGATACTTGTCAATCACGTGATGTTGATGACCATCTTCAACTCTCACATACCTCTATCGAGGCTTCAAATCAAAGAACGAACTATCAGAAGTTTATTAATATCAAAATCCAAGGCTCTTGTGCGATGCCTGAGCCAGCGACAGCAATAAATCAGGAAGAGCACGATGAATATAAACGCGATTCACCAGATGAGAAGGTCACGACAGGGCCAGAAATCAAAGAAGAGCAGGAGGGCGAAATGGCAAGATTGGATGCAGAAATCGAAGAGTTGACAAAAGGAATCGAAGAAATGAAAGCTCTCGCTCAGGCAACTGTTGACGAGCTTAATCGTTGCAGTCCTGTTTGGGGGCGGAGAGGTCAAGAGATGGATCTCTTTGATGACAAGATCCGTAACACTCGACCAAGGATCAAGCATGTCAAGTAAGGGATACAAAGGTCTTTTGGCGTACGATTAGTTCTGGATGAGAGGAGCGATCTGGCTTTTCGGTCTTCCATTAGGAGCTCTTATCACGTGTGAGGGTCTGGATTGTTTTTGCTTTTGTGATAAACCACCTTCCAAAAACTACCTACTGCCCGATTCGAGATATTAGAGGCTTCGATTAGCTTACGGCTATGCGATCTCGTTATCTTGTTGGTTCCTTGGAAACCCCACATACTGAAGAATTGACGACTCGCTACCGACGGACCAATCCACGATCAAATGATACTCAACCAACTCAGATGCAGGTCAGATCTCAAGAGCAAGACCACAGAGTAAGCTTGCAGATATTGAATCATACGGAATTCCGTATGTCGAGAAACGAAACATCTTACTTGCAGTTTTAAACCTTCTTCTCGCTTCGCCCCTATTTCAAATACCTCCAGACGCTTTGCTGCACTCGGCCTAGCAGCGGGATCTAAAACGGAGATCGCTGACGTTGTGGAGGGGTTGGCTCGAGTACATAAATACCCCTCATTGCGCCATCAGATTCTTCTTCAAGCTCTACAACACAATCAATTGCTCAATTAGACTCATTCTTTATATCATCAGACACTCTTCAAAATCGCAAATATGGTCAAAGTCGGAGATAGCATCCCAAGCATCCCCCTTGTCGAGGGAAAGCCAGATCAGACTGTTGATCTCTCCAAAGAGCTTGCATCTGGATCTGGAATTATCATCGGTGTACCAGCCGCATTCAGTATGTTTACAATTCGCCTTGAAATATCGTGCATAAATTTTTTGAGATATTCTCTATAGATTTAGATTTCCAATTCTTGATGGCTAACAAAGGCCAGGCCCAACTTGCTCCGACTCCCACATTCCCGGCTACATTTCCCACCCCAAGCTCAAGAGCGCAGGCAAGGTCTTCGTCGTCTCTGTCAACGATGCTTTCGTGTAAGCTAGCCCAATTGATGCTTTTACGATACCAATATACTAACATCAAGGCCAGCATGAACGCTTGGGGTAAGTCCCTCGATAAGGATGGCTCTTCCGGGATTCGATTCCTCGGTGACCCAGCTGGCAAGTTCACCAGAGACCTCGACCTAGAATTCGAAGCAGCTCCATTCCTTGGTACCAACAGAAGTAAGAGGTATGCTATTGTGGTTGAGGGTGGAAAGGTCAAGAGCATTGATGTTGAGCCGGATAACGTTGGAGCCGAGGTCTCGACCGCAGAAAAGATTTTGGGCTAAACATAAGATGTGGGGAAATGATTTATGAAAATAAAAGGCTCGCTGTTTTTAAGGACTTCTTACGTCATTTGTCTTTGATATGCAGCTGTGTTTGCAATGTGGAAGCTATTTACAAGTGTAAGGAGTGCTATCTAATCAGTTTTTCAAGTCCACCAAATAGGTAATTGGCAGTCTGTCATTGGCATGGTTACCAGATTTCCCTATCGCTTTTCAACCCTAAGTATTTGGTTTCAAATTGTATAAGGCTGCAGAGATCAATTTTAATTCTTGTTTCCGAGCATTGAGAGTTGTAAGTCTACCATCAGCCGCTCATTCCCCCATGATCCGCTTGAACTCTCCATTAATGTGGTTTCCAACATCTTCAACCAGTCCTTGCGATCGATATTGCTCCAGAAACTTCAAAGACGCCGCAGACCCACTTTCACAATCTGAGCTCACAGAATACACACCGCTTCCCACCTCGCCATTTGAGCCCTTGGCGACGATAGATTGATCTCCCACCTCCACACCATCAGCGCCCTTCCCCCTCTCTTTGGGCGCAAACCGTGCACTAGTCGCCAAAAACAACTGTCTCTCACCACATTCCTCAAGCGGGATACAGACATACCAGCCGAAGAGAAAAATCCAAGCACGCAGAATCACACCAATGAATCCAAGACCGTTGTCAATTAATGGAGTTTTGACCGTGCCCGGGTAGTCATGAACGAAGCTAACCTCTGGCGCATCTCGTGCCAATGATTCCATGCTGAGCGTGGTCAGGGCGATGAGATGCGGGCGCATTTTGATGAACGACAAATGCCGAGCTGGGTAGTCTTCTGGATATATCTGGCCTTCTCGGCCACCGCCCGCGACTGTGATGATGCGCCGTAGTGAAGGGGCCGTTCTGATAATTGGTAGGAGGTCCATGATGAACCTGGCACGAGAGTAGATCATCAATGCTGACATCACGACCAGTCCTTCGGAAGTTTCTAATGGTGTAAGTCAATATTCGACATCCTTTGGTTCTGGGAGAATGGTTTACCTGCACCATCGAGACTAGGGAATCCCGCACTCAAAAACAGCAGATTTACAGCTTTCTCTTTCGCTTTGATCTCATCGCAGACTTTGTCCACGTTCTTCATCAGGCTCACATCTGCTTTGATGAAGACATATTCGCCTTCAGAATTAATGACCCTGCATTCCGCAATAATTCGTTCGGCTGCAGTCTCGGATCGGCCAACGATGTATGCGCGAGGCTGATTGGTGTACCTTGCGAATGTCTTGAGTGTTATTTCGCCAATTCCACTGGTACCTCCTACGAATACAGCAACAAGACCAGGTGGGAGAGAGGTGGAGATCCGAGAGTTGGAAGCTTGGACATCTGTGAGAGATACCATATTGACGCGATGGAAAGACTTGATAATGCTACCGCGAAAAAACGGAGGAGTGCTGAGTTACGGTATGTATATGTTACAGGAAATAAACTCGAACTAAGCTTGGTAGTAGGAGATCAAATAAATAACTATCTTGGGCTTTTTGTATGAAGACGCAGGCTGGTGGCGTGGTCGGCGTTCGAGGTTGTGAGTGGTCGGTGTTCACTCGCTTGCATGTACGTAGGCTCGGCATTCATAACATGCAGCATGCTCGCCACAAAGACGCAGTCTCCCCTACCTGAAGCTATCGGAATCCGAGAGACTTTCTTACCAAGAGCGTTGCGAGCTTGTTCTTGAATCACCGACGAGTCAAAAACTGAACATTTGAAGAAACCTCAGTATAGAAGTCGTTTCTCTATTTGATATCGAAGCGCGACGATCTACTCCAACAAGAACTTGTACTTCCACTGGTCTTCCGGTACATCACGGTACTTAATACTCGTAGGATGTTTCGGTCTTGCTGGCAGCACCTTCTTGATATACAAATCCCCGACATTGAAATCCTCAAACTTTTTATCCTCGTCCCCATCAGCGAGAATACTAACTTGAGCATCAGGATCCATCGTCAGGAAAAATGGAAGCGAATATCGCTCAGCTCCAGTTCTGTTTCAAACTCGATGTACTGCTGCGAGGGACCTTCCGGTCGCCTGTCGCTCAAGGTACTGCCCTACATTACATACGAGCGTGTTTGGAATGGCTGGGACTTGGATCCACTGTCCCGTTGGAGTCAAGACTTCAAGGGCGTCAAGCGAAGGTGTTTGGAGGACTAGAGTCAGATCTATGTGCAAGTCAGCGTTTTGAGCCTATATTAGAAATACCACCGGAAATTGACTCACACGAAAAGTCAGAATGTGCACCAAGTCCAATATTCAACTCATCTTTCTCTTTATCCTCAGGCGGAACAGGTGGGTAGTGTAGAGCTCGCATTCCCGTGATTGGAAAGGTAAAGAAGTCTCCCAGAAATTTGTCCTCATCGAGCTTCAGACTAAGCGCAAGCAAGCGAACAAGCTTCAACGAAACAGGAAGGACTTCGTTGTAATATCTGTACAGCCCATCACGATACCATGGTGCTGAACTTGGCCAGATATTTTGCGGTCGCTTCAAATTTTGAGGTGGAGCTTTTCCCGTTTTCTCTCTGTAGCGCTGCTCAGGCTCCAAGGGACAGTCTCCAATTGTATACGATTCTTTGAAGTCTAAACATTTTCAGCATCTATCATGACAGATTTCCATATGAAGTTCCCTACCCTGCTTCGTCTTCGGATCCAGTTTCGTCTCTCCCATTGGCTCATATCCCCGAATAGCAGGATTCTTCTGCACATGCGCATTCATTTTGCTTTCAAAATCCAGTGCGAAGAATCGTTTCAGAAAATCAAACGTCTCCGCGAGGAGCTCTTCTGACATTCCATGGCCCTTCAGATAGAAGAAGCCGCAGCTTACGCATGCTTCATACAACTCTTGGGCGAGAACATTCCGAATGGACGGATCGGGACTATCGATGTCGGTGATGTCGATGGTTGGGATTGTGGTTATTTGTGTCGTGGATTTGGTGACTTTACGATAAGTAGGGTTAGAGCCTGAATGGAAGAAAACATAATCGTCGCTTTGATTCTGTGAAAGTGTCAATGGCTGGGTGATGTAAACAACAAAGTAGCCGAGCCATCAAAACATCTAGGAATGTCTCACTTTGTCGGTAGGAGGCCCTAGATTGGGCGCCAGAACTTCAGTCATCTTGGGTAATGGATGTGTACTCGTTTTTGTTATCATATGAATGATCCCAGACAGTGGTACTCCTTTATGGTATCAAATAAAACATCTGGTTGCGAAATAGGCGGGGTAGAGTCATCAAAAGTGGGCGGAGGTCCAAGACAAGCACAGATTAGAGTCGGCCGATCATCAGACTCCAGTCCGTGATAAGAATACCTTGGCTGCTCTTCGTCTTCATTTCGACAGTGGGATGTCGAAGTAAGGTCATTGGAGGAACATGAAGCTCGCTCGGGTGGAAGCTCGCGCGATGATCCTTCCGGCACGGAAAACACGACTAGAGGTTTGATAACAGCCATGCGTATCTTGATATTTAGATACCAGTGGATTTAAGCTCGGACATTTCCGACGAGCTGAAATTCAATTCATAAAGACTTCATCGTCTAAAAAACTTCGAAGTTGTCTGTTCATGTCTCCTGACACGATTTGCTCCTACCAAGGAAAGATCAAAAATGGATCTCATAAAGAACATCTTCGCCTCATCGTACGGTGCAGATCAACCCCCCTTTTTCTTTTGGTTTCCCAAAGGTACGCCAAAGTCTGAAAAGAAACTTCTCTGCAAAATCGACTTCTTCATCCTCACTTACGGATGTCTTGCCTACTTCACGAAATGCTCGACCAAGCAAACCTCAGCAATGCCTATGTCTCGGGCATGAAAGAAGACCTGTAGATGTATGGGACGGAATTTAATCTAGCAGTGACTTGCTTCCAGGTTGGCGCGATTCTTGGAGGTATTCCGAGTAATCTCATGCTCACTTGGGTCAAACCCCGCTACTGGTTGCCCGGATGTGAGTTGGCTTGGGCGATTCTGACTATCTTCACATACAAAGTAACCAGTTACAGTCAGGCAAGTTCTCCATATTCCATACCGACAACGAGCACAACAACTGATGTTTCGAAGCTTTACCCAAACCGCTTCTTCATCGGATTCCTGGAGGGATCCTCCTTTGTTGGTATCCAATACGTCCTCGAATCCTGGTACAAGCGTACGGAACTCGGAAGGCGAACCGCCATCTTCTCATGTTCAGCTTATGTGGAAACGATGGTAAGTGGATATCTCCAAAGCGCTGTTCTGAAAGGCCTGAATGAAACTCATGGAATCGCCCTTTGGAGATGGGTATTCATCATTGATGGAGTCATCACCGTTATTGTGGCCCTCTACGGACTGTTCTTCTTCCCTGATACTCCAGAACAAAAAAAATGCGTTCTACTTCACGGAAAAAGATAAAATGAGGGCAAAAGAAAGACTCAAGGAAGATGGTAGAGAGCCGAAGGGAGACATCTCCTGGAGCATGTTCCCAAGAGTGATCAAGACTTGGCAGCTATATGTGTTGACTATTTTGTGGATGTAAGTTGACCCTCTAATGGTCATCTTTGAATAAATATTGATGTGAGAATAGGTTCTGGAATGCGACAGTCGGAGGTTGCAAATACAGTGGTAAGTGATGCAAATATGCACAACGCCTCGTCGCACCACATCTAATTATTGGTAGATGCAACTCTGGATGAAGATCGACAAAGAACACAACCGGTCAATCTATCAAGGCAACAATGTGCCAACAGCCATAAATGGGTGGAGCATTTTCATGATCCTCGCTGCCAACGTATACGTTGATGCCACAGGAAGACGCATGATTGTGGTACTGATCAACCTGGTGAATATCCAATTTCCAACCTGCCACCTGCTTTCCACTAATTCCGGCTTTAGGTAATGCTCATCTTTGGAGCAGTCTGTCTGATAGCATGGGACATTCCTCTCGGCCTGCGCATTGTCTCCTACCTGTTCGCAGGCACAGACGGACCTCTCAGTCCCATATACATGTCATGAGCCAACATCTTGTGCTCCAACGACTCCCAACTTCGAGCTCTGACAATTGCTATCATGAATTCATGTGGTGCTGCACTTACAACAATTATACAGCAGTTCTTGTACCCCGTCACAGATGCACCGAAGTACAAGAAGGGATTCCCAGCAAGTCTTGGCTTCATTGGTGGCATGTGCATTTGGGTATTTGTGGTTCGAGGATTCGAATTGAGAGCTTTGAAGGAACCAGTGATTGATGCGGAGCAAGAAGGCGATTCAGAGACTGCCGAGGAGGAGGTTGTTAAAGGATCTGGTGTTGATATCATGGTGGCGCCGAAGTTGTGATTTATGACCTTTGAAAAGCTCAAAGAACAAGTTAAGTAGAGATTAGGATATTGTAGCCGTCTTGGAACGGAAACAGATTATTTTGTTGTGTGCATAGCCTTCACTCTCAGTTCCACCCATTCCTTACACGAAATGGGCTCATATTTCCTCGGATGTTCTTCGTCCACACAACTATCCAAAGCCCCACATGTCTCATTCAGGTTGAAGCCGAAGAACATCGGCATAGAAATTCTCTCCTTCCCGCTCAGGTTTCTCGCTCGATGAACAGTACTGATATATTTGTCATTCGTAATCCTCTGCAAATAATCTCCGATGTTGACAACAAAAGTCCCTTCAATTGGTACAGCATTGATCCATTCTCCTTCACGATTGAGAACCTGCAGACCACCGTTGGCGTCTTGCCATAGGATAGTGAATAGTTGGAAATCGGTATGTGAGCCGATGCTGACTTGCTCTTGTGAGTTGGGCGACGAAGGTGGGATGGAAGGGTAGTAATTCAGACCTATGCCGGCATCGGGATAGGTGATTTTCGAGTCAAAGTGAGTTTCTGGGAGAGAGAGTGCGAGCGCGAAAGAACGTGTGAGATGTCTTGCCAGGCTAAGAGTTGCTCTCCAGTAGTTGATGACATTTGTCTTGAGATTTGGGAGATTCGTCGTCTTTTCCCAACAGAACTCGTTTGTCACTAGAGATTCTCGAATTTCGGCTGGAATTGCCTCCAGATTACCAGAGACAGCTGGGTCGTACATGGGGTTATATCGGAACGAGAAAGTTTCTCGCACGTCGATCGATTCGGATTCATTAATACGTTGCGTCTTGGGAGGTTTCCATCCATTAAGACAAGGCGACAGTTCTGCGTTGACTTTCTGCTTGATCTCTTCCGGTTGTCTGAAGAACTCCAGCGACGAATCGTACGCTGCCTTTATGACGGACTCTGAGATCTCATGATTCTTTACATAGAAGAATCCATTATTTGTTGCAGCATTGTGGATTTGAGCTGCGACTGCTTTGCGATCTCCAAGTGAAGTGCTGTAGATGCCGGATAAGTCGATAAGAGGAATCTCGTCTGGTCGAGCATCTCGTAGAGGAGCAATCTTGACTTTGCGGTAGACGGGACCATTGGCTGAACTAAGCCGGAGGAGACTGCACTGCTCCGAACCAGCATCGGTAACAGTGGTATCCATTGATACCTCGCCAAACAATTGCCTCTCCCTAACTTTTGGAGTCCGGAAATCTGGTCGATATCTGTCTCCCACTTTACGTTTCTGATTGATATCATCAAAAGAGGGCGTTCGCATCGACAGATCGACATCTGTCATGGGCACTTTGGCTGAGCTCCAAAAATGGGGTGGTGAAGCTAAGGACATACACGTGACCCGGATTTACCCTGCTCACCAAGAAAAGCCCTGCTGAAATGATCAGATAATGCATGGTCCAGATACAGAAGTAGTCAATTTCGAGACAGAAACAGATGAGTTCTTATTCCAAAGCAAAATGTACTTTTCGATGGGCCAATAAGTTCAGTCTCCCGAGCAACGAGCAGATACCGTGTTGATATTTCCCTCACCGTAAGCGAGGTCTGCACGAAAGAGTAGGAAAAACAGAGTAGACCACGATGTATATTCCCTCCTAGAATGAAACTTTACTTTTTATCTCTACCAAAAAAGCCTTTGAGGGGCCGACCCTTCTTCTCAGTCACCTTATCCCCTGATTCCATATTATTCCTCAGAGAGCCTTTAAGCGAATTTCGCCTTATGTGGAGCTTCAAAGATGCATTACTTGACGATTACTCTAGAGATCTTCCCCTTTCCGTTACTTCATCGACAGCTCCCGACATAGAAATTGGTGGATAGCTTTTCTGAATCGAATCAGTTGATCCATCATTGAATTTCCAGAGTCTTTTCCCCGGAAGGTTTTCGCTAAGTCGTGGCCGACGGATTGGTTTCTGTTTCTGTTTCTGAGGTATGTTCCAAGTTTCCCATATTAGTAGGAGTTTTGGAAGCGCGATAGCGACAGCGAAAGTCAGGAACAGCAGTGGCAACGCGTACGCTGGATACCATTCCGGAGAAATCGTGAAGCGTGTCATGCCAAATAGCGTCTGTGAGATTTGTCAGATTCTAGATACTCAATTTCGGTGAAAGGCTCAGACGACTTACGGCGACGAAAGATAAAGGGAGGAATATAAAGGCTAAGAAATTTAGTCTTGCCATAGACTGCCCTTGTGAGATCTGCTCGAGCGAGATCAGCATGGAGACCAAGTTTTGCAACTGCTCTCTGTTTCCGTGTGCGAGAGCCTGACAGTGATCCAATGCACCTGAAAGCTCGTCTCCTCTTTTCAAGAATCTAGCATCTTGTTTGTTACTACCTTTGCCCTTCGCCTGTTTTACGAGTTTCATAACAGTCTGCAGAGAGCTAGTCTGGACGTCCAAGGTCTCCCTGAGCATGATGTTGACCGCAGTAGCCTTGTTGAGATTTTCGATCCTACCGAGGATATTTCCCCTGCCAACTTGACGGTGTACTTCATGGTCGAGCTCCACCAATCGATCACGTACCGCGTCCCAGATTCCTTCCCAGTCCATGAAAGCCGAGTAAAGGTCAAGGTATATCCACTCAGGACACATCATCAACCTCTGTAGCCGGGTTGTTTCTCCGCCATCACAATGGCTCCTGCAGTGGGTAACAAACAGAGCAACATCTGTCTGAACAAAATCACCTATCACCATGACAAGTGGAATGCGGAGACTCCTTCGCTCCAATACACCCCCACTCCAGACAGCGAGAGGCATAGATCGTATTTCCGCTGATCCGAGATGATATCCTGGTTGAAGATCTTCACGATCTTCTGAAGTTGCGTCTCCGATACTAAGATGATTCTCCAGGAATGACAACTCGGAATTCTCTTCCCGTCCCGGTGATAATGAGCTGCCTGCTGTGAAAGCATTCCCAGATTTGATATAACTGAGAACGTGTTTCGGGAATCGAGGGAATTCCCTCTCCAGAACGGTCGCAACGCCTTCCGTATGTTCAATGAGGCTTTTATTGTCAGTTACTGCGAAAAAATTGATACAATTAAGACCACTCACCAGAGAAGCAGGCCCTGCCCAGCTGAATCGAGATTCGGCGCATCTGCAAGTCCAATTCCACTGACTGCGACGCCCAATAGAAAGCTCTCTAATGTATTGTACATGTTCACGGCATATCTGGCACGATGGGTGAACGGAGGCAAAACTTTATGCGATTCAGAGATATAGCAAACATGAAGATTTAGAGGTATTGACGACATAATGCAATGTAATCGGAGCAATAATAAGTAGGTAGTTCGCTCTCATCCAGCATTGGTGTCACGTGATAATGCTCGATTTGTGGAAGTGATTTCTTTGTCGTCGTGTCTTCGTTAAAATCACTTGAGAGGATAGACACAAACTGATACAAAGCAGGCTAGAGATAGGATTTAAGTAAAGCTGCTGATTGCACCGGAGAGGCATTCATTGGAGGCGAACTACCTGGCTGCAAAACAGTGGTGGCTTAGCGAAGAAGGCAAACAGCCAGGCACATTTTCGGTGAACGACACCACTCAGCTCCACAAACGCGCCGTTTGTCTCAAACATGAACCTTCGTCTTGCGAACGGAGCCGGCCATGTAAGAGCAATACCTTCAAGCCACCGTCTTGGGCTCATTGTCATTTGCACTTTGCACAAGCTGCAGCCTCGAAATCCATCTCCATAAGGGGCACCTTTCAAGGCTCACCAGGCTCGTCACATTCGTCTTAAAACCTACTTTACCACAAGGCTGGCTGAAACATGTTTAGGGAACAATATCAAAATGTCCCTGAAGCCATCACTCTATCAAAGCCTCGACCCAGAATCCAGAACAATCCGTCTCCTTCACATCTTCCGCTCACCACACCCCACCGACGGCCGTCTCCAATGCAGTCTCGTGACGCACTCCCTCAACTCCAGCATCAAATACCAAGCCCTCTCCTACACCTGGGGCCAGCCCGACAATTTCGACTTCCAAATCTGGATCAACGGCATCTTGGTCCCCGTCCGACGAAACCTCCTCTGTGCACTGCGCGCTCGTCGCGCAAACTACAAGTCTGAGGATGAGCGCGCTTTTGCAGTCGGGAAGGCTAGTGATGTGGGGTCGCTGATATGGGTTGATGCGCTGTGTATTGATCAGAGCAATATTGTGGAGAGGGGGCATCAGGTGGATATGATGGGTGATATATTTAGAGAGGCGGAGGAGGTTCTTGCTTGGCTGGGGACGCCTGATGAGCTGGAGTTGTCGGACCCGAGGCTAGATGTTCGGGCAGAGTCGCCGGAGGTCATTGAAGTTCCGGCGTTTAACCTGGCAACTCGCGCTATGCATATCAAGCGGGTCCTAGGGTTGGTGATACAGGGACAGGAGAATGGAGGTGTGTCGGTTGACGATGTGGATACGTCGCTTATCTGGGACAAGAGTTGGGGACCTAAGGCGCATGAGAAGAAGGAATGGCGTGAGGATATCATTAAAGATGAGGAGAATGGACACGAACTTGTGCAGCTGGAGGAGTTATGCCATGTCGAGTATTGGAGCAGGTTGTGGATCATGCAGGAGGTATGTCTGGCACGACGGCTTCTCCTGCTCTATGGCAGACACACCATGAACTGGTCATCACTCAGTGATTTCCACCAGGCGATTTCAAGATCCACCATCCCGTGGAAACTTGACGACTTCCCTCCAGTCATGAGCCAGATCTTGAATAGTCGCCCCTGGAAGATTTTGCAAGTCACAAAAGACGGCATGAAACCCCACATTCCGCATTTGTGGACAAAATCAGAATGGTTCCTAGGTACAACTCTCGAAAATGCTTTGCGGCTCTCTCGGGATGCGTTCTGCCACGAGAGAAAGGACAAAGTCTTTGGTATCCTTGGCTTGGCGGATGATGTTGACACAGGTGATATTGTCGTCGACTACTCGATCTCGCTATTTGAGCTATACAGTAACGTTCTGCTGTTTCATCGAAGAAGGCTATCTGAGGAACACTCTGAGGAGTACTTGAGAATCGGGCCCGACAGGGCATATATAAGTGAAAGAATTGTACTCACGGGCCTCATAGAATTCAGTAAGCTACTGCAAAATGCCCTTTTCGGCCCAGACTTTAAGAAAGAGGCATACAGGGAGATAAAGCTTGCCCGAGAAAATGTTTCAGAACCTAACGGATGGGGACCGCAGGAGACTATACCTTTGAGTGGAGACGTTGTTGATGGAGTTGTAGCAACCTGCCATGAAGACGAACTCATCGCGTCTTTCTTCAAAGAAAATCCAGCGGCATCAAGGCAATATTCCGGAACCGCAGATTCGATTGTAACGGAGCTCAAGAGGACATGGGATTGTAATAAGTTTGCGTTCGAGTTCCTAATTGGGCCACGATCCGACGAAACTATGGATGCTGAACACTGCCTGGCACTGTTCAGCACTGAGCAACAATTTCTCGGCATCGCCCCAAGAGGTATCCGAGCCGGTGATTTGCTATGGGAATATACTTTGGATAATACTTTCTTGATGGTAATTCGTCATGTAGGCCAAACGTACCAGCCAGTTGGACGCGCTTGTGTACTCACAGACTGGGAAGAAGCATTCGTCTTTCACGAAGGAAGATTGGAAGTAAGGAAACAGCCAGAAGACAGCATCAACATTCCGGTTGGTATTCACGAGCTCCAAGTCCTGACGTCCCCACTCCGGCAACAACTACTCGGAGGTGTGGAATTGTCTGACGGAGGGTCTGTCTCGTACCTGTAGCCTCTTGGTAGATCTACAGAGTCAAACATATACATGCAAATATTTGTGGAAAGTTGTGTCATGGCTTGACCCACGACGCTGGCATCGGAAATGAAAGTGCGAAGGGTGGGAAGTAAGCAAGTCAAATGTTTCAAGATATCTCTGCGCGTCGGTTTTGGAACTATATCCTTGCCTTCGGGCGCCACTTAGCATAGGGGTGTGCTTCCCCGCCAGGAATCAAATGATCCACGGCTCCTGTATTTAACATACCTGGATGCACTTGACTTAAGTCAGTGACACCCATCATTCTCATAGTTGTCTCCAATTCATCCTTCAAAACTATTGCATCGTCAACACATCAATCCATACGTAAGTAGGTGAAAAACTCACTCTCGACGTATTTCTCCACACCCCCACTCCCATAATTCAGCGCATACAGAAAGCCGCGTCCGATACCTACACTCTTTGCACCAAGACACAGTGCTTTGAAAATATCCGTACCCCGCATTACCCCGCCATCGACAAAAACTTCTAATTTATCAAATATCTCCGGACAGTTCTTCTGCAGTTCCAGAAGTAGCAATATCGGTGGAGGCGCAGTATCTAAACTCCTCCCACCATGATTACTGAGCAGAACTCCCTCAATACCAATATGCGCCGCCTTCTTCACATCCATGAAAGTCTGCACGCCCTTCAAAACAATTGGCAGACTCGTTGATTTCCTCAGCCAAGGGATATCGTTCCACGACAGCGACGAATCAATATACGAGCCCATGATCCTCCCCAATGCACCACCCTTCGCATCATTCTTTGCTTTCACACCACTCATCGGCGTCGATATCCTCTCATCAGCCTTGACCCTCTCATCCGCCTCTCTTTTCCCCGGAACCGGCGCATCAACAGTAACGAAAATCGCTTTGACTCCCAAGCGCTCCGCATCTCTCAACAACTTCTCGCTCTTTTCCCGCTGCTTATCAACATATAGCTGGAAGAAGATTGGCAATTTTCCATCGCCCTCAAACTTGCCATAGCCACCCTCGCCACTGACAGATTCGAAGATCTCGTTTATAGGAAACGAGGCGGCCGTGGATATACATTGTGGGATCCCTACTTTCTTGCACCCACGAGCTATTCCCTTCTCGCCTTCGGGATGTACCATCTTTGCCATCGCAGCAGGCGAACAGAATATAGGCACGCTCATGTCCTGGCCCAGCATGCGGGTCCTTGTATCGACATCCTTGACATTGACCAGTATCCGCGGCCTGAGCCCGATGTCTGCATATGCAGAATTATTCCTAGCTTTCGTTTGTAGGTCCGTGGCTGCAGATGAGTAGAATGCCCATGTCTTCGACGTCAGTGTCTTGCGTGCGACGGATACGAAATCGTGTGTAGTTATTAGGGTGTCGAGAGGTGGTTTCGAGTCTCGGGAGAAGGAGGTGGTGGTTGATGGTGGGGGTATGGCCCAGGTATCTGTTATGGATGAGGTGTCGAGTGTGCCAATATGGTTTGAGGCGTCGAGAGAACTTTTGATGAGAGATGGGGCGTGGATTTCATTGTATGCCGTCGAGGCATCACGGCCTGCGTAGCGGTGGATTACTGGCGATGGTCAGTGTTGTTTAGAGAAGTTGGAAGTGATACACACTGGCTGCTCCACCTGGATGCTCCGGGGCGAATTCCGTCAGGTCGTAGACATTGTCGTCGACTACTATCCACAGATCTTCGGGAATATTGTGTTTGGCTATCTCCTGGACGGATATGTTCTCTGGCATTGCGATTGCTGCGAATCTCCTCCGTCTACTTTGGTAGCTATGAATCTGCTGAGAGGTCAATTGCCAATAGATAGCTTCTCAGTTGTACTGTAGATGATGATGAAGACTGCAAGTGGAGCAGAGATATATTGCCTTATGTACATATAGAAAATACTTAGTCCCGGCTTTGGTCCGGAGGGGGATCGGACTTGTCGATGTTGACGATCAACCTTCACAGTGGTTCCGGGGTAATGCAGAGCGAGATCTCGGTATGCTTGGCTCCACGGCCAGCCGTAACCTTTATTAGTCAGCAAGGAGGTCAGCGTTATGCTAGTATATTGTTGATGCTGCTGACGACGAGCTAATCTCTCATGTTGCAATATACTAGCAGGACGATAAAGAAGAGAAATTTGAATCTGTCTTCATATTTTTGTGTTTACATGTGAGAGTCGAGATGTTTTTGCAAAGGTCAAATACCTCGGGGCATGCCGAGGCACTTGCAGTGGTGGCGCCGATCCATAGCGGCTCGAAGCTGTGATGCCCTGGTTCCATCGTCTGGAGTTTTAGTAGGTATCGTTTGTCCCCGGCAACATCGGGCATACAATACTCTCTGTCTATATTTAATAAAAATATCTTCACTTGCTCCTCATTGTTGCAGCTAGCCCCAAGACATTGCTTAAAATGACGAGCCCAAGATGGGTTCTCAAGCTCGTCTCCAGAGCCGCTATCGTTGGCGTAGTCTTCATTGCTATTCTCTATCAATTTGTTTTCAAATCCATCATATTTGACGCTCTTGGGTATGGTCGCAAAGTCCAGTCTATTAAGGACTTCAATAACCTCCACTGCGAGAAGATCGATGAGCTGGGTCTGGAAGGATGCGAGGATATGTGGCTGCATGAGAAGACGGGATATCTCTATATGGCGTGTTCAGACTCTCAAAGTCGAGTAGACTGGCTTCCAGCGTTTGTCACTCCTGCTTCCGACAAATCGATTGGTCCGATCTGACAATTTCCATAGTGTTGGCCATCTCAATGCAACCGGACGAGGCTTGACAGATCGCATCGCTGTCCTTGACACCAGAGGACCAGGTCGTCTAGCATCTCGCATCAAATGGCTCTCTATTGAGAACTTCTCTGGCATCAACGGCGATGCGACCCTGAACCTTCACGGCTTTGATATCCGAGGCGACAAGCACACAGATATTCTGCGCATTCTCCTCGTCAATCATCGTCCTCCGTTCGACCCAGTCACCGGCGCACCTCTCGATGCTTCAAAGGTCGGAGCCAATTCAACGATTGAGCAATTCCAAACCAAAGCTGGCACAGACAAAATGCGTCACGTGCGAACTTTTGTGAATGAGCACATCCAGACGCCCAATCGTGTTGCTTGGATGAGTGAGGATACTTTTGTCTTTACCAATTCCCACAGTGGGAAGGTTGGATTTGTAAGTTTCCCTGAACCCAATCCGAGACCTTGCTCAATTATTTCGCAGCGCCAATTATTAGACCCTTTCATTGGCGGTGGCACAGTGGGATACTGCCATCGCAATCGGTGCAAGATAGCTTCATCAGGATTCAACTTCAAATTCCCAAATGGTCTCGTCCGAGGCCACGAAGGTCTCATCTACGTACCCACCACTATCGAAGGCTCCATCTCTGTCTTCACACTCACAGCCGACCACAACCTCGAACAAGTAAATAAGATCCAAACCGGCCTTCCACTAGATAACCTCTCCGTCGACAAAAACGGCGATATCTTTGCAGCAGCCATCCCCCAGGTATACAAATGGGGATGGAGCTCGAAGAAGCCATTCGACGTGAACCCGCCGAGCACAGTGCTCAAGATAACAAGGGTGAAGAAGCCTGGGCAGGGTTCTGGGAGGAAGAGTCTGTTTTCGCATGAGCTTGATTATGAGGTTGAGAAAGTAATGGAGGATGATGGGAGTGTGTTGCCTGGGTCGACCATTGCGGTACATGATGTCGAGACGGGGAGATACTTTTTGGGAGGTGCCATGTCGCCATTCATCACCATCTGTGAGCCGAGGAAGTGATGGGAGGCTGTTTGTATTTTCGGCCTATGATCAGCCAATTACTATCTACGCACATTGATTTCGCAGCAAAGTGATGAACTTTTTTCGCAGCATCGGTTATTTCATCCAGGGCCTCAGCCCTGAAACTTGATTCTAGGATGTTGAACCAGGGTCTCCGGGCCAAGTTTAGGCTCTACCCGCCTGACAGCGCCAGTCTTGGGTCTGCTCTGGCTTTCGCAGTTTCTCTCCTGCATCAATTCTCAGAACATCGTGCAGTGACATAGTCTATACGTGGACTTTTCTTTTCATCGCTTGTCTACAACCAATTACGCATCAAGATTTCGAAATCAAGCTCAATTCTGTTCGATCTAATTCCCGAAATATAATTCCACCTTGAATCTTGAACTTTGATCTCGAATAAAGTTACGTCGCTGGAGTGTTCGTGTCAAATTAATATCTCACGCACAAGTTTGGGGTATCAGCTGTATGTAATGGAGGGGATTTGTTGGTGCTGTTTACAATTGGAACAATATATTGCGTGTTGACATTCTTGGGGCTGTGGTTGATGTGGAGGGAGACCACTGTCGAAGTACAGCATTTCTCATCAAGAGAAGGAATGGAATGGTCATCAATCGCTTGAATTGTTACTCTAAACTATTCTTCTACATCTCTTGTCCCACGAAGCGGGCTTGTGAACCTTTGGAGTTCTGCCAAATTCAGCTTCACAGTCATCCTTTTTCTGTCTCGATGCCTCGCTGGGCCACTCGCTGTGCCGGAGAACAGTTTGGCAGAGTCGCCGGACTTGATGCAATCTTTCGCAAGACAAGCCCTGGATATGAGTTGATAGCTTCCTTCCTCGCCTCTAACTATTGCCATAGCGGAACATTTTGACCCATAGTCCCAAAATTTATCACCGGGCATGATGACATTGGGAGCCACACCAACATTTCCAAAGTCCGTCACAAACACTGTCAATCCAGCTTCTCTCTCTTTGGCATTCACGTCGCAGGTCACCTCACAACCAATTGATAAATCAAAGCAAAAATTTGCCCAAGAGTCGCTCAAGTCAGGGTTTGTAGATGTCAGAGATAAATTAACCTTTTCTTTGAGTATCGGGAGAAATGAATTAACGCCCCCAACCAGTTGCTCGAGTGATAAATCAGGAATATGTTTGAGAGTTGCAGTATGACCGATGACTTTTCCAAGATTCCCACCTTGGATATTCAAGTATTTGAGATCAGCTTTTGTCGTCTCCAGCATCTCAGCTCTGCCGCATCTCATCTCCTCAAACCCAGACATCCCAAAGTCTGGTCCAAGCAGTGGCTTCTGTAACGCTCTACTCAGAGTCATAATCTGATCGGCAGAGTAATTGGTTAGTACTTCGTCATCAGTGCCCCACTGGTGTGAGCGTGCTTGAAGAACGCTCACATACACCCAGAATAGTGACAGAGAGTAGTCAACCGGTACATCGAACTCATCGACATCAGTGGTAAGACCCAAAATACCATAAAACTTGTCTCGCTTATCCTCGCAGAGACAGTTTCTGGATAGCGCTAACACGCTTACGAGGTCTGTATCAGCCGACAGCAATGCCTCTCGCCTGAGCTTGACATCTGAACGCATCAGACTGTCCAGCTGCCAACAACGACTTTTCGTAATCTTTTGGAGATCTTTTGATATCTGTATCTAGAGTTGGTGATCTGGGATTTCATTTCTGGGTTCATTTTCCCAGGCACTGGACGTGGGTGAGCCAGCAATCCTGGCCAAATCGTCGAAAGTTGTTCGAGACGCACAAAAAAAGTCCCAATCCATAGATTCCCGGCCATAGAATAGAAGGAGCTTGTGAGCCAGACAAACTTCCTGAATAATCCATAGTCTCTCCCAGTAGTCATTTGAAAAGATTGTCGCCAGTTCTCGAAGGCCCTCTCTGGCTCTCGCGGCTGAGAAATATTGCAGGGCCCAGCTCAGGACTCTATCTCTACTGCAGACAAAATTGGAAGCGATAGAGTCATCACTTCGAGTAACGAAATCGAATGCCTCTACAGAAAGCTGTAGAGGATGGTTACTTTCAATATCAAGCCTACTACTTTTCTGCTCTTGCCGATCTGGCGTTCCCAGCCATGCAATGACGCGCTGTGCACCTCGATAAATTAAAGCCATCATATCAACCTGATGACCCCTCTCCGTTATGTCCTCTTGATTGATACACAAAGCATCAATCCAGATCGGCAGCTTTATCGCTTCCTCGTCGGCACGTATTACTCTCATGGCACACAAGAGGTTTCGACGAACGAGGACCAGAACACCTTTAACCCATATTTTGAAGTCGAAATCATCATTTTGACCCCACATATAGGACAGTGCTTGATAATTGAGGTCTTCGGGGTCCTCCAGAAGGGACTCGATCGTAAAGTGGCCCTGCAGCCTGCCGTCGACAGGGTGAGGCTCTGGGAGAATTGTGAGAAGTCGAATTTGGCGCAAAGAAGTCTCTAGAGGCTCATTGTATGGTGCATGAGACATGGTGTGTTTCCGATTGATTTTGGACTTCTATGCGCAAGGTTTTGGCTGAAGCGGCTAGATGTGAGGACTCTGAGGTTGACTCTGAGGCTGAGATGAGAGCTGACACTGGGTCTGGGGCTGGAGCCCAACCTGCATCTCTAGCGCCTTTTCTCAACATCCAATCAGGGTGTGTGTCGATACTTGAAAAAGTCTGGAATGACTACGAATTTTCATATGGATATCTTGCAATCAGCGAACACATCTAAGACAGTCTCGATAAATGACGGTGCTTTGTTTCAGTGTGCTCGAAGTTCGGCTAAATGTCAACAACCCCACCATCACTCCGCAGCCAGCGGCCTCAAGCCTGTAAGTCTAGCGTAGCTGTCCCTGGAAAGCCAATTTCAACCGCTTCATGTAAGCGACAACCCTGCACTGCAGAAGAACTCGAGGCAGAGCTCAGAGGTCCACATCCTTCAAAAATGCGGAGTATCTGCATCGATTACCTTCCTTTTATTCGTTATCTCACATTCCGAATATTATGTGATTGGCTTCCCTAAATGACCCTTCTCGCACATCAAATCCAGCTATGGTTTCTGGTAGCAAGAGCCTCGAGTATGTACAATAGGCTGCAAGGATTCGACCATTACAATGATAATGCTCAACTGGCAGTCACTCTTTCTTGTATCATTTCCAACATTCCTCTTCGTTGCATCCATCTCAATCCCCAGGCAAGTCCACCAACAGCAAGTGGCAATCTCAACCACCTACCGACCAACATCAAAAGCTGCCGCCAAAACAGAAACACGTGGATCTTCGCCGCATTATCTCCCTCGTTGATTCTCGGGTAAGGTTCATTTGGGACTTCCTTCCCTAAGAATTTACACAATGGTTCCCAGCCGTTTATATCCTCAAGATGAAATTCGTACAGGTTTTCCTTCGGGACAATATCTCGTATGTGCTGATTGTGTCGTTTGTACCCTTCTCGTAGCTTATGACGGTTGTAAATGTCACCATCAGTCCATTGCCTCAGCACGAGTTCGAAAATTGCCCTCTCAGTGCCAAGCACCTACAAACAGTCAGCTGGGCGACTATTTATCTGTGTTTAAGCCGTTGTGACGTACCTTGTCAAAGAATGCCAACGCTGTGAAAGATGACCATCCTAAGATTCGGTAATAAGATGTTTCCATAGATGCCACCCATCTGTCTGGGTCCCGAACGCTGAGGATGACCTTTGCATTCGGGTATGCTTCCAGTAACTCGTCGGCAAAGCACACATTGGGTGCATCTGTGACTGCCTGCAATATGTCAGAAAGGAAAGGCAAACCTCGGTTGCCTTTGTTTTGGGGTTAGAGGAAGCCGAGACGAAGCATAAGTGACACTAACACTGTACCGTCCAAGCAATTTCTCAAATTCCTCTCGCCCATATGGCTTGCCTTTACCGAGTAACTTAGCTTCCAAAGCCTCTCTCCAGCAAAGAAGATGTCCGTCTTTGACATTCTCGGGCTGCGCGACCTCCATGAAATGGTAAGTGGTGTAACCGAGCTTCTTCAATGCTGTCCATAAAGCTGCAATCTTCTGATCAGTCAAAATCACCAGACCATAAAAACATCCTTGCTTACACATAGTTGCCGTCCGAGAGAACCCGAGACACAGCACTTGCATCTCCACAGGTCTGGGGTTAAAAGGAGGTAGTTTGTCTACCTGTCGCAACCCAAGAGCGGCCATGATGTTTTCCACAAGATCTAGTGCTTCGAATATATCCAAATAAAGCAACGATCTTTGTATTTGTTGATCGAGGAGGGACAGGAGACATTGCTTTATGTCTAAAATTCGTGAACGTTGCAAAGCTAATTTCTCACTGACTGTTGCCGAAAGCAGCTCTTGGCTGCACTTTGCTGGTAGGCCTGATATGCGAAGCACACACTAGTTCGAAGTTGTAGCTTGCTGTGCAAGGATTGGGATAAGCACTAGGTAATTGCACCAATTTTGCTATTCAGTGAAGGTCAGCCGTCCACTTTAGGCCCTTTTAAACACAGGCTCCAAATCGACAGGGTTTCTATCTGACACCTGGCATATGCGATTTTACGGATGGAGGTTACAAAGTAAGGCACGAGATGTCGAATGACTCGTGTACCTAATTCCAAAGAATAATCTAACGTTTTCCCTGGGACTAGAAACCTTTGGGTATTACTTTAGACTAAAACTTGAAAAGCGCCACTGAATATTTTCATGGACAATAGCTAGAACATTAATCGCAGCATAAATCTATCTTAAGATACGGTGATATTCCCAATATGCAGAGTTCTCACCACGTTTTGGTGAAAGTAAAACTTGAGGTGACCTCGACCAAGACTACCCAAGGGCTCCTCAAGCCCCTCAGCGTTTGTGGCACCTTCTCCCTGTCTGGTTTACAGTGCGAAAAGATGCGATTTACACTTCTCTGAAAGTATCTCCAACATATGCGATGACCCAGCTCCCCTTCTCGGGCCCTTCGAGCCTTCTCACAAAGTGGAAAACATTCGTGCCGACGTGATGCAGGATCCCTCCCAAGCGAACCTCGTACGGAGTCCATGCGAAAGCAATATCGCCATCAACCCGGATTTCCGATTTAATCCCTCCATACTTTTCTTCATCATCGCCTTCTTCCCCTTCAGTTAAAGCTATGTTCTCTTCCAAGCTCACAGGCGAGTCCCATGGTATCCGGTCAATGACCTCGGGAAGCGTGATCTGGAGATGCTGGGGAGGTGTCTGGGTATCTCGGGACGCACTTTCCTTCGAATTGAGTGGCTTGCTGTTTATAGGTCTGACGAGGAGAGCATGGCCAGATGATAGAATGCAGCTGTGCATTACAGATGGATTGCGTAGTTTGATTCCTGATAGGAATTTGTGTTGTGGACGAGTGCTAGAATGATTCTGTGTTCTTTGAGAGGGTTTCTCGAGGTGCCGAGATTTGCAGTAGCCATTTTATTAATTTCAGAACGAACTTTTTGTGTACCTCCAATTTTGTAGCACTCCAGAATATACAGAGATCTAAGGATGAAACTTATAATTAGAAATTTGCTGTTTGATTTAAAGAGAGGTGGTCGAAGAATGCTGTTAGCACTTGCGGGGTTCGACACGGCGATTGATTAGTTCGTCTTCACGTCACTTTGACTCAAACGCAGTCAGTCAGTCCAAGCCAAACCCCGAAGTGAGAAATAGCCCCAGAAGTGGCAGAATGTATAAAGCCATCGAATATCGCTGTGATTTCGCTGATGCTAACAGTATCAGGTTCTCGTCCTACTGTGGTGTTCCAGTATCGAAGTCAATTTTGTAGCTGAATCGTTGAAAGCATAAGTATGGAGTATTTTCTTATTCTATAACTCCTGCTACATTCATATTACACACCAGTCTTTGCTTCGATACGACATCCGACGAAATATTAGCGTTACGGTGCAACTCTACTTACTATGTACTGTTTTGACTGTTACTTAATCTCTTCCCAATTGAGATGATATGGTCAACAACTACAAGACATAAAGAGATCCATGTATTTCTCGTAGCCATATCATCTGATGTTGATTCCCTTGGTCAGCGCCAATTGCCTTGGCACTAACAAGAAACTCTCGCTACATGGTCTCCGTTTAGGCTTGCGTAGAGGAGCAACAGCCTGGGAATTGAATTCTTAATTGCTCTATCACTGTATCTCTTAGGATATACCGTGCCGATGGGAATTTTGTTGATCGTTGGGTAGTCATGACCGAAGATCAAACCATACAGAGATTACTGTCTTGACCAGAACATTTTCACGAAAAGCATTGATATCCAACCATGAGAAACATAGTACTAAGTTAACAATCACCAACGAGATGTCAAATCCTCGGCCCGAGTATATCCACCACCCTGTTCTCACATTGGCTACTTCATGGCGGCTCGCCAGCTCGGCTCTTCTCCTGTTTCTATCGGAACAAAACCGAACATCCACCTTGGCATAACGACCATCAATATCACAAACCTGAGTTTTCACTGCTTTTAATTTGTAGATACGCTCAACCGATATTCCGACGAGTTCGATACTTCCGTCATCGCGGAAGGTGATCTCGCTGATCTTTCTTTCATTGGCTAACACTTATCTGCCGTTAATATAACGTGCGGACCGCCTTCCGGCACTTTGTATTGTTTTACATTTATCCTCAGTACCTCATGTCTGTCACGCGGGGTTATCGAGATAAATTATTCTATGGCGCATGACTGATTGTGGGGTAAGCTTGAATTCTAGTGAAGAGGTTTTGTACGCCCACAGATAAATACCTGCCAAGTGCCATTGGAAATGTGATTCTTCTTCATATCATTTTTACTCCTTCCTTTCTTCGGCATATCACTGTTCAAGATGTTACTCTCCGCCTTATTTCCTGTAGCTTCCCTTCTGGTTGCTCAAGCTTCTGCTCATGGGGCTGTCACCAGTTATCAGATTGGGAGCACTGTTTACCCAGGGTATTATGCTCCTTCTTAGACTAACGCTTGTAAACTTGCTGATTTCTGTTCTTTAGATACCAAGGATACAGCCCAGCATCCTCCCCACCAACCATCCAACGCCAGTGGACAGATGGATACAACCCGATCCTGTCAGTGACAAGCCCAAACATGCTCTGCAACGGCGGCACTTCCGCAGCGCTCTCCGCAGAAATTGCAGCTGGAACAGCCATCACAGCAAAATGGGCACAGTGGACACATCAGCAAGGACCTGTCATGGTCTGGATGTACAAGTGTGCAGGCGAGTTCAGTGCTTGTGATGGAAAAGGGAAGGGCTGGTTCAAAATTGACCAGACAGGCTTGACTGCTCCTCCTATCAGTGGCACCAGCTGGGGAACGAACATTGTCTTTTCCAAATTGGCTTACACCGTCACCATTCCCAAGAGTCTTACACCAGGCAATTATCTTATCCGACATGAGCTTTTGGCTCTCCACCAAGCAAATTCACCGCAATTCTACCCAGAATGTGCCCAACTCAAAGTCACTGGCACCGGAACTGCATCCCCAGCGTCGAGCTTCTTGACCACCATTCCCGGCTACGCTGCCGCCAATGATCCTGGTGTTCTGGTTAGTCTTATGCTATAATACTTGCGATATTCAACTGACGTAATGACAGGTCGACACTTATATGACCAAAGCTACCAACTACACCTGCCCTGGTCCAGCTGTCTGGACTGGCTAGATCGACGTGCTCACTGGGAAAGCATATCTTCGTTGTAGAGAAGTTCAAGAAGAAATGGTGATGAACGAAATAAGATGCATAGGGGAGATGAAAGACCTGACATTTGAATCTGTATATATTTACTTCAACCAGTACACTTCGTATCTAGTATCTACTCGGAATGGAGGCGTGAGTGATCGTTTTCAAGTCTGAGCCCTGCATATTCTAGTGGGGTCACTTCTTTCATCACCGCTATTTCTCACCTCGCTTGGAATATATGGTAGGTCACTATGATTCATGGCCCAAATGACGTGGACCTCCGGTCGCATTTGCCTCAGATAAAGTTTTGGGTCTAGCCCCTGCTCGGTGATCAATTGAGGCTGAATTAGAGTGGGAGGACTGAATGCGGGGGAGAGGACTACATATCACCAACACTATTCCCAACTGGAACCGGAACGTGCTGCAAGGTTGTATCTCGGCGACACTCAGGCCGTCTGTTATTGACGGTCAGGATGCGATGGGATTGGCTGTATTTGTAAATCTTCCAGCAAGATCCTCGAAGAGACCTAAGAAAGGGGCGAAACCAGAACCTGGGCATGTGATTGACAGTATCTCGTGATATATATACACCCTGATCCCGACAGTCATCCGTGAGAGTCTTTGCGATAAAATAAAGACTGCGTTGATGTGCGAAGATAGTGGTGCTGTCTCCCCTCTTAGGCCGATGATGGAGTCATAATCTAAATGGTATTTTCTGCCTGGTAAGTTGGATAAATCATTTGATAAAATGGTGTTATATACAATTTTCTTAATAGGAGAGATTAACTTGTCTTTCGTTTTTTACTTGTGGGATGAGAAGATCATGACAGTGCTTGGGTGCGTGCCAGAAGGGAGTTGAACAAGGGTGTGGATCAGGTGACTTGATTGGCAAAATCCTTCCACTTTCGCAACAGATTATCTACCTGAAAGAACCTTTGCCTTTACAAACCATTCATAGACAAAAATCTCTGGATACTTACAAAATATATCTCCCTTGTTACGGAAACGTGTTAAGACTTCAAGGTACAAAGTGCTTCTCATTTGGCTGTTTTCGCTGCATTCACTCAAAAACGATTTTGAATATACCATCTGCCTGAACATAGTCGGAGGTATGATATGTTAGTAGAGGATATACCAAGTACATTGGGGTTTGAAATTATTACCTTTTGCTTTGTTTACTTCAATGCCTACCTGCTTAGCCGAATGTCTTGGCAAAAGTTGGCTACGTCGGGAACAGATCCACTTTTATCATCTCCAAGATGAAGCATATCTAGGATGTCGAACTGTGTGGAAAGTTTCCTGTTCTTTTCTTATCTTTCTCCGCTTTCCGGGTTTCTACGTTATCAGTCGTTACCAACAGATATTCAACCATGCAGTTCCAGGCTAAACTAGGCGCAACGCGGTCTCAGAGGGTGCTCTCACCAATCGCTGAAGTATTACTCAGTTCCGCTTTTATGACATCCACGCGGTTGAGAACCTTGAATAAGCTATCGTCCAAGAAAGCTTCTCAACGGCGAAGCATCATCCCATTTGTCCCTGACAATCTGACAGGGGCAGTCCTCGCTTAGCGATAAGGCCGGGGTAAACCTCCTTCCTCTTCAGATCAAGTGGGGTACAGCAAGGAGATGTTTTGGCAAGAAAACACTGAGATATGATCTACGGTACAGATATCCGTGTGGCTTCCAATGGTTTCCTGCAAGCCTCTTTGCATTTCTGGAAGGTCGCTAGAAGATGAGCTGCTCAGTGACGACAGTGTGTCTTCTCACCGTTCAAACTCTTGGAACTGAGCGGGGTATGGAGACAAGTATATATCCTTCTGTGCCCTCAAGAGAATTGATTGTTGGTAAGCTACTGCATCTAGTAATACCGCGTGCTTAGCGGGTAACGTGCTGTCTTTTCAAGATGCCAAGATTCCTCTTCACCGCTGCCTTGACGTTCCTACTCGTGTTTGCTCTTCTCTCAACTATCTCTGCAGATAGGTTGAGTGCAGTCGCAAAAGCACGAGGCTATGATCCTCGTGTTATCAATCAAAGAGCTGTCGAGGAAGCCAAATCAAAACCCAAGCGCCAGCCAGTCGTGAAGAGAGCCGCAGAGACGGCATCAGTATGCACTACCCCTCTTCCACCAAATCCAACAGCTCCGTGAGTTTATTCCCAATACTCAAAAGTCTCAATGTACTGAACGATATCATAGACCTAGCTGTGGAGGAAACAACTGTGTCAATGCTTTCAACAAACAATTCACCGCAAGCCTAGATAATCTGGAGTCGTTCTGTAGCTCATGGACGGCGTCGCCGACTTCCTCCTTCTCGCCCACGGGTACTGCAGCTTGGGCTGCAAACTGCGTTGGTCCTTCTACTGCTGCCACACAAGCCTCTGCTGTCGCATCCAAAGTTTCGTCAGCATGCAGTTGCTTTGTTCCGGAGCCCACTCCTTGCCCAGGGGAAGAGAAGTTCCAATTCTTGAACGCAGATACTAAACGTATGCTAGATCCCTTCTACACAGTTTTCTCACTAACAGCATGCAGCATTTCAAGTCACTTCGCTTCCAGAAGTAAACTACGACATTGGAGAAATGTATTCAGGTCTCATTCCAATCGACATGAATGATCCATCTCGAGCACTGTTCTTCGTATTTCAACCCACCGACGGTGCGCCAGTTGACGAGGTCACGATCTGGCTCAACGGCGGACCAGGCTGCAGCTCACTTGAAGGTTTCTTTCAAGAAAATGGTAGATTCATCTGGAGTTGGGGAATGTATGAGCCTGTTTACAATCCATATTCATGGGTGAATTTGACCAATGTTTTGTGGGTCGAGCAGCCTGTTGGAACTGGCTTCTCCATTGGTAATGTTACCGCCACCAGCGAGGAGGATATTGCCACAGACTTTGCCGATTTCTTTTTGAACTTCCAGAAGATTTTCGGGATCTCGAAGTTCAAGATTTATGTCACTGGTGAGAGTTATGCCGGGAGATACGTCTCTTACATCTCAGCAGAAATGTTGAATCGTAACGACACGGATCACTTCGATGTCAGCGGTGAGTGGTGTTCATAATGTTGTTCGCTGCTTGCAAGAACTGATGATTAGCAGGAGCATTGATCTATGACCCCACCATTGGACCCTATGTTTACCTGCAACAAGAAGCCGTCGCTTACCCTTACATCGAGAAGTGGAACAATATCATTGGCTTGAACGAAAGCTACATGGCTCAGCTTAAAGAGCTTGATCAATCTTGTGGTTATGCAGAATACCGAGAGAAATATTTGACGTATCCTGCGGCTGGTGTTCAGCCTGTAGCGCCGGATACGACAAACGAATGCGATATCAATGGACGTGCAAGCATGGCTGCCTTCAAGATAAATCCGTGTTTTAACTCATACGAGATCAACACCCAGTGTCCAATTCCATCAGGTACGCTTGATGTGATGATTGAAATAAACTTGCTAACTTAATTTCACAGACCCACTTGGCTTCCCTACAAACTTGGCTTATTCATATCCAGGGCTTACTCCACTGTACTTCGATCGCGATGATGTCAAGAAAGCTATGCATGCCCCGATGGACGTCGAGTGGGCAGAGTGTTCTGGACCAGTATTCGTCGATGGCGATGACACCTCAGCCGATCCAATCCAAAAGGTCCTTCCACAGGTAATTGAAGCCACAAACAGGGTTTTGATCTCCAACGCACAGCTAGATCTTGTGATCATCACGGATGGCACGCTGCTAGCCATCCAAAACATGACTTGGGGAGGGAAGCTGGGTTTCGAGTCCAAGCCTGAGAAGCCAATCGTCATCACGCTGCCAGATTTACAGTACCAACAAGTGTTTGTTGATAACGGATACGAGTTCGGGACCGAAGATCCTCAGGGAACGATGGGTATCCAGCATTATGAAAGAGGGGTGATGTGGGCTGAGACTTTCCTGAGTGGACATATGCAGCCGCAGTTTCAACCACGATCAACTTATCGTCATGTTCAATGGATGTTGGGCCATATTGAGGAGCTTTGAGATGAACGTAGAAGGCGAATTTTGATATTACCACCAAATCCGTATGGAAGAGAAACTTGGACATAAGATATTACCCTCGCTACACCGAATAAGTGAGACTGCAACACAAACATGGAGACGCATCACGCTGTCAATCCAACAATGATTGTTGAATGTTCCGGAATAAGATTATGTTTATTCTAAATGCCAGAGAAGCATAAGCAAGTATAGACACGGAAGAAGTATTTCTGGATACTGGTATGGATACGGCACGTGACGCAGTGCTGCACATAGTAACTCTAGGCAGTCACCGTGAATAATCAAGTTAAAAAGCTATAACACTTCAGATGCTGTTCAGATTATGTAGTGAATCAAGATGATGGATATTCCCGAGTGGACTACCAGAAAGTGATTCAAGACATGTGACATATTAATCCACGTGATGGAGTGCTTTTCGTCGTCGTATCCATTTTCACCGTCGCCTGGATGACGCTCAAACGCTACGTCGAGTCCCCTTCGCCGCGTGTCACATCGGACCGTGCATGCTCGTCTGATCCAACGATTGGACATCATATGGCACACGAGAGCAGCGTCTGTTGCAAGGCAAGTCTCGTCGTGAAGCCTTTTCCAGTCCGCGTTGTTGACCCAATTAACCCTAATTGATTGTTTCGCTTGCTGACGCTCGATATCAGATTTTACTTGGCATCATAAGCACCATCTTTCACGTTGATGTCTAAATGGTCAGAATTTAATATGGTCAGTAAGGGTGGTGACCATACGGCCGAAATGCTCCGAGGGCACCTGGGCAGGTTTCGTCAAACGCCGGCGCAGCATGAGGCACATTTGGGGGCTCATATTTAACCACTCAAGCGAGTGCGTCCTGAGCACCAGAATAGGTAAGCTAGGTGTTCTGTATGGTTCACTGCCTTTACGGCGCTGCTGACAATGAATCTCGTGCACGGCTGCGGGTGAGCCTGGGCACACGGGTCATCCTTTGCAATCCCGCAACTCCTCCAACGAGATCGCGGGATCGCTGTCCACGATATCAGGCAGGATCCAATACCAACCTGTCAAATATTAAAACAGAGTTTCACGTCAGATCTGTTCCCCGCCAAGAGCCTCATTTACGGCCTTACGTAGAAAACCCTGGTGGATATGACTTTGAGGAATGCGGGAGTGTATTACGGCGTTACGATGGCATTCACGAGTTATGGATTCTACACTCGCAGAATTCTTGTTAAATATCGATCTCTCGGAATATTAGTGTTGAATTATTTACTTGCGTGTAAAAATCAATTATGGAATAATGGAGGGAGGATGCAGCGAGGAGAATGTAGGCAATATACATAAGGTACCTAAAATACGCTGAAGCCGAAATATGGTCCTCCGTAGGATCCACAACCGAACAATGACTGAAACTCACCGAATCCGGTACATATAACTCTTGGCCTCCTCCCAGTCTATCCCAACTCTCAGTGCCTCAGAAAAAGCATTAGCGAATCCGACCATCGTGGCTGTCCCATCTAGGTGCAGATCAGGCCGGAGTGTTTTCAACCTTAGCGGTTCGGTATGACGCGTAGACATTGACTCCCTCGCACTCGCTTAATTTGCTTGGCAGTTAGGGGTTCGGTTGATTGTTGTTGTATCGAGGACATAAAGGAACGATTTCTCTCTTCTGTCTGAGGCTTTGATTACAGAACATCAAGTCGGATCTTTATTTCTCCACCCTCAGAGCCTCTTCACTGTCCTCATACGGCACTTTCAACCACATATCATTACCCCACGCCAGAAAAAACAACCTTCGTCTGCCCTCTTCACATAAACAATCGCAAGATGACGCAACACAGAGTCGCCCAAGACTGCACAGATGTCGGTCCAGAATGTTCTGTCGAGGATACCATTTATGGCTACAGGCCAAATCTCGGTGTCAGTGCATTTTTCGTGGGCATCTTCGCACTTGTCGCAATCGCCCAACTCGGCCTTGGCTTCAAAAAGCGAACATATTTCTACAGTATCGCCATTGCAATGGGCTGCATCGGTGAAGCAATCGGGTACGGAGGAAGAATAATGATGCACCCAAACCCATACGACGATACAGGATTCACGATGCAAATCTCCTGCTTGATCTTCGCGCCTGCTTTCGTGGCCGCGGGAATCTACCTCACTCTCAAGCACCTCGTCCTCGCTTTCGGCCAAGAGCGCTCCCGTATCCAAGCACGTTGGTACACATGGATCTTCATCACATGCGACTTCTTCTCATTGTTGCTTCAAGCCATTGGTGGTGGCATGGCTGGTAGTGCAGGCGATGATGCCGACCTCCGCGACCTCGGAACCAATTTGATGATTGCTGGTATCGTCTTGCAAGTCGCTACCCTCATCGCCTTCGCATCTCTCGTTATCGACTACGTCGTACGGACACGCTTTGCATGGGAGGCGGTCGACCCGGAGGCAAAGGCCCTTCTCGCACAGAAGAAGTTCAAGGGTTTCGTGTCGGCTGTCGTCATTGCTTTCTTGACCGTGTTCTTCAGATGTGTATACAGAATCGCTGAGATGGTTGGAGGATGGGCGAATCCAATTATGCGGGATGAGATCTCCTTCATCATCATGGAGGGAGTGTAAGTCATACCTCAACGCTTGCTACTCAGCCAGTACTGATGATATGTAGTATGATTCTCGTCGCTGTTCTTGTTCTGACTGTTTTCCATCCCGGATACTGCTTCCCGCAAAAGCAAAGCCTCGTGGCGAAAACTGCTTCGCTTGAGGCAGGGAGCGACAGCGAGGTCATGCGCCAACAAGAGAAGAATGTTCGTTCGGCCATGTAGACGATCTACAAGGATCTGGATGCTCATTGACAGGAGAAATGATATCAAAACTGGGTCATACCATACTGGAAGGTTAGGAGTTAATATGGTCATCAGCCGGTGTAATTGGACTTGGGGAGGATGATTTGGTTGACGATAATGATGGTGGCGAAGGCGTATGGAATATTCGAACACACATAGATGAAACAATGATACCATTTTACCGATATAAATATTCATTATCCCAAATCCGCACATCTCGTCTCACAGTTCAAGGCAGTACCAAGTCACTAAAATTCAACCGCCCAATCCAGATCCATCCATTTCTCCTTCTCAATATCATTCCAACAAATCTCAGCCACAACTCCTCTCCCAGGAACTTCCACAATCTCCTCCGTCTCCATCAACCCAAAGCCCTTCGCCAACGCTATCATCGGCCCATTACTCTTCATAGTCCCTGCAGAAACCCTCAAGCCGTCTACATCCAACTCATTACTCAACCTCAGCAACAGCGCAAACAGTGCCTTCCCTACCCCTTTCCCCTGCGCCTCAGCCATCAACTCAATCCCAATATTCCCCTGCAACGGCCGAACTTCATGACCCTGTCCATTAAGGAGGATTCTCCCATCAGCAGCGTCCAGCACCAGGACATCGAATCCATTACGCTTTGCTTGGAACTCGCTCTACTTCTCGAGGAATCGAAATTTGTCCCTGGCCTTGCGTTCAGGGGTCCAGACCAGGTCTTGGCAGGGCCATCCGGGGGGTTGGTTGTTGGAGGGATGAGATGCGACGGCGAGCCAGGCGTCGTGGGTTCCGGGGTGTGCGCGTGCGAAGCGAAGGTGGGGGTGGGTGGGCAGAGTGATTGTCCAGTTTGAGGTGAAGAATCTGGGGTCCGTTGGAAGCATGTTTACTGATCAAATGCCAAGGAGATTTTGAAAAAGCGAGTTCGAAATCGAAATTATATTGATGTGGGACAATGCAAAGCTTGGAAGCTGGATAAAAGCTTCTGGAGGTAGTATAGTATTAGTTAAGAGAGGTTTAGCCCGGAACGAATTTTTACCTTACTAAACCTCTAAAATTAGCTGTATATTACCTACTAGCGCTTACTAAGGTAAATTATCCTATATTTATATAGGCGTAAGGCTATTTTAGTATTATAAATTAATATTTATATATTATTCTATTATTTCTGAAAGTTTAAAGTCTTTTTATATTATTATTCTTATATAATATTTAACTAAAGCTAAATCACTTAATAACTTACTTAGTGTACTTTTAGTAGTATCTTTTATTATATCTTAAGTATATACTTACCTCTTATATAAACTTCAGAGGATAAGTTATTATATACTTACTTTATACTTTATTTAGTTTTAATTTATTCCCTAAAGTATTAATATAGTAATAAAGGTATTATATAAAATAGTAGTATAGTATTAGCTCCTTCTATCTCTTTAGCTTATTTTACTATACTATTATATATATATATAAATTTTCCTAGCTCTTATAATTTTCTATAGTAGTAAGAGTATATAACGTTTCTAACTCAGTCGGTGTCGTGAGTACAGACTCGTCAGTTAGTATCAGCTATAAAGTAAGGTAATAAGACGCTCGATTCTTAATAGAAATTAAGACGTTACAAGTAGTAGTAAACTAGGTATAAACTTGCTATTTAATTTAAGTATAAAGCTCTACTATCTAGGAAACTACCTACTTGTTATATAGAACTTCCGACTTCTTATACAAGTTATATAAGATGTCTTACAGGGCGTGTAAGCCCGTAAGCCCGTCTAGTAAGCTAGCATATTATATGACCTATATCTACTATAATTAATATAACTATTATTATAATAATAAGCGTAGAGTATAGTACTACTTGCTAATTCGTACTATTCTCTTATTAGTGCTATTCTCTTAATAGTACTATTAACCCTTTAGTACTAAATACCGACTAGTGCTATCCACTTAGTAGTACCATTAGTATTATAGTGCTAACCCGTGACTTATATCAAGACTAAGCCTAGTTCATGATACTATCCCCCTTCTAGCCTAGTGTATCCTCACGCTTAAGTATACCTAAGGAAATATCGACAACTGCTTATAGCTGTCTTCTTCTTTTATTATATCACCTAAACGCTTAACTAAAAGAGTTGATTATATTACGCTTAGGCGATAGATTAAATTAAGTAGAAAAATTATAGCACCCTATACTAGATATGAAAATACGAATTATAAAGATTATATATCGCCCTGCGATTTCAAACTAATTTAGTATAGTTGATATACCTATCTAAATAAGATATATAATATACGTACTATAAACTGTATACTAATAGCGTTAGATTAGGAGTCCCTTAACTCCCAGATTAAGAAGTTAGATACTAAGGAAGAGAAAGTGATAGCGAAAATCCTTTATTTAAAGAAATAGAAATATTTCCTCTATAAAAGGCGGCAGAAGATAATTACTACCGGGCTGAATTTAATAGAAGAGCTTAACGCTCTCGAAGCGTTAGAAAAGGAAGCTAAGGAGAAGCGGAAGGCAGAGGAAGTATAGAAAAGTACTAAGTTAGTAGGCGCGGAACGTCCTAGTTCCGGCGATATTAACCCCCCCTACGACCTGATAGTCGGCCTTCCTTTTAACCTTAAGGACCTGCTCTAAGTAGACCTGGGTTTCGTTAATAGAAACTAGTAAGTAGCTTTAGGTAGTAAAGGTTTAACCTAGGTTCCTAAGTATTCTCGGATTATAGGTAATCCTTCTATTTCACTAGGTATTTAATAATACTATACTTATACTAATAATCTAGTAGTTCCTCTACTTCGTATTCTTTAAGCGGATTAATAGGTTCTGCGATTGTTTTTAGGGCTAGTAATACGCTTAGTAGTGCTTTTTCTAATAAGGATATATAGAATACTAGGAATACCTTCTTTATTATATTCAGTAGTTAGAGTTCGTAATTCAAAGGTCCTTTGACTTACTTAATCTTAAATAGTCCTAATTTCTTATGATCTAATTTATCGCTTAGCTACTGCGTGTTAATATTTTTCTATAAAAGATAAACCCTATCCCCTTTCTATAGCGTTAGCTCCTAGCTACGTGTTTTGTTATAGTAGTATATATTTTTTTCTACTACGAATTAGAGTTCCTAGGATAATTCCTTATATAAGTCCTGAATCTTCTAGACCTAGATACGAGCCGTATTATTATCCTTAACTGTTAGGTTAGATTCTCTATATACGATAGGTTCGTAACTATAGTTAGTAAAGAATAGTATTATATTAGTTATTTCCGTGGTCGAGCTATTATAGGCGAACTCTATAAGTGGCAGTAGTCTTACCTAGTTATCTTATTAGTAGTTAATATAGTATTATAAGTATACTTTAACGACTTGATTCATCTGTTCATTTCCTCTATTTATCTAAGAGTGAAATACTATTAAGAGTTTTCGTTTAGTTCTAAGGAAACTCGTTAATACCTTCTAGAATTTAGATATAAACAGCTTATCCTAATCAGATACTATTTCTTCTAGTACTTCACGCTTAAAGACTACTTCTTTAAGGTATACCTGCGCTAGGTCCTCGGCTATAAGTATTAATTTGACTAGTACTAGGTTCATATATTTAGTAAGTCTCTCTATAATAACTAGTATTATATTATAGCTAACTCCTATAGCCGGGTCTTTGGATATAGGTAATAGTCTAATAAAATCCTATAATATCGATTTCTAAGGTTATAGTAGTATAGGTACTATGATTATCTGCTTATAAGGTGCGTGCTTAGTTAGCTTATTCCTAATATAAGTATCACAATTTCTAACTACCTCCTTGACTACTACGCGAAGTCCCTCGCCCTAGTAGTATCGCGAAATCCTTAGGTATATTTTTCGTACCCCTTGATATCCGTGTGTGAGTAGTCTATGTTATTCCTGAATATATTCCTTAGTTAGGCTAGGCGGGAGCTATAGCTTCCTATTTACTTGCATATATCTTTTCTTAATTGTAGTATAGTTATTAGTCTTTAGGAGAGACCTTTTGAGCTCCTGAGCTTTCTTTAGTGTTTCTACCTAGGGTCCCTTAAGTTCTAAGGCCGCTACTTCTCGAATATAGGGGACTAAGTCCCTATTATCTAATTCCTTAAGTAAGGCGGTTTTATTATAGATCTTATCTCCTTTGTACCTTAGTAGCCTACTTAGGGCGTCGGCTCTAGCGTTATCTTTTTCTTATATATACTTAATTATAAGATTAAAAGAGGTAAGTTCCTCGGCCTACCTAGCTAACTATTAATTATCTAAGACCTTAGTAGTTATAAAAGTTCGAAGATTTATATAATCGGTGTAGATAATAATTAGATACTTAGCTCCTTATAGATAGATCTTCTAATATTTATATATTTTAACGATAGCTATAAGCTCCTTCTTGTATATATTATAATTTTATTCAGCTAAGGATATTTTTTCGGAATAGTAAGCGACTAGGTGTAGTCGGCCTTCCTTATCTTACTATAAGTAAGCTATACTAGTGTAAGTATCCGAAGCGTCGGTTTCGATTATACTTTCCCTTTCCTTGTTGAAACTATAAAGGATTAGTTCCTTAGTGAATTCCTTCTTAATTCGTTAGAAGGCTTCCTCGTACTAGCTAGTCCAGGTGAAAGAGACACTCTTCCTAGTTAAGTTAGTAAGCGGTTTAGCGATTTTAGAGTAGTTTCAAATGAACTATTGATAAAAATTAGTAAATCCTAGTTAGGATTATATATTCTTAACGTTCTTAGGTAACTCCTACTCTTTTATCGCTCTGACCTTTTCTAGGTTAATACTTATCTATCCTAGGTTTATAATATATCCTAGGAAAGTGACTTGCTTAACTGAGAATTCATACTTTAATAGTTTTAGTCTAGAATCTATCTTATATAGGGCTTTTATAACTTGTAGGATATGTCCTTAGTGTTCCTCGATAGTTCTCGAGTAGACTAGGATATTATTTAGGTAGTATATTACGAATTTTCTGATAAAGTCCTTTAGAATTTC